GGACCCAACTCCTGTGCTACAGTACGTCGTTGAGCAACTGCGCCAAAACAACTCTACGGACCTCATTATCTTGGAGCAGATGATTAGCTCCATGGCCGGAATCATCACTGATACGAACTTCAATGATTCTCAGATCCAGGCTATGGCTGGTGGTGAGGTCCTACAATCGCAAACTATCCTTCAACTATTGGATAAACGACATGAATCCAGAACCACTTCGAAACGACTTATCAAATCACTCACCTCTTCAAAGCTCGCTGGCCAGCTCCTAATCGCCATCTCCCAGGAACGACTTACCTGTATCTTCAAGGAATCAGAGACATCATCTGAGCTTAAGTTACTCGGTAATGTATTCGATGAGATCCACCGGATACTAGCACAATATCTGGACCTCCTCCGCAGCAATCTATCTGTCGAAGATTTCGATTCGTTTGTCCCCGATGTTGCATCTCTCATTAGGGATTTCGGTATCCAGCCCGAAATTGCCTTCTGGATCCGACGTGCAAGCGTTGCCCAAAAGCTCATTGATTTCGATAAAGAATCACAGGATGCAGCGAACGCAGTCAAAAAGGAGAGCCAGGATAAAGATGTCCCTGCTTTGAAGGCAGAGGTGGAAAAAATTGAGGGAACGGATGTTGACGAAACAGGCACTGCCGAAGCTGGTCCTTCAGGAGAGAGCGAAATGGAGATTGATAAGGAGCAACCTTCTCAAGACACTGAGACAACCCTAAACGAAAAGCCCTCAGTTGTACCTGAGTCGCCCGAATCTCCTCCGAACCCTATCATGCAAGATCTTCAGGATCAAGTCAAATCTGTTTTACCGCAGGAGGCTTGGGGCACCGTCGGCCTGCCATTTTACGCCACTTTCTGGCAGCTCTCAGTTTATGACGTGCACATTCCTCAGAAGTCATATGAAGAAGAGATTGAACGATTGAAAAAGAAGGTCATCGCAATTGGCAACGACAGATCGGATATCAGCCTGGCTGGAACTCAGCGAAAGGAGAGGGACAAAAAGCAAGTCACTCAACTTCAGGATCGAATCCTGGAAGAAAACAAAGCACATCTTGTGTCGTATGGTCAAACGAGGTCCAAGTTACAAAAAGAAAAGGAGAACTGGTTCGTTGGTATGCGGGGGAAGGCCGATTCCCTTCATATTTCTCTGTTGGAGCAATGTTTCCTGCCTCGTCTTCTGTTGTCCCCTATCGATGCCTTTTACTGTTTCAAAATGCTGAAGTTCCTCCACACCACCGGTGCACCCAATTTCCGTACTGTCGGTCTGCTCGATCAGTTATTCCGGGAACACAGGCTCACTGCCTTGATTTTCCTATCTACGTCGAGGGAAGCTGATAATCTCGGCCGCTTCTTGAACGAGGTTCTCCGTGACCTTGGACGCTGGCACGCTGACCGAACTGTTTACGAGAAGGAGGCTTTTGGAACGAAAAAAGACCTACCCGGATTTGCCATGAGTGTTGACCCTGAGGGCAAGCCTACAAACTTCCTTGATTATGAAGACTTCCGTCGACTGCTCTACAAATGGCACCGGCTCATCTCTTCCGCGCTGAAGATTTGCCTGAATGGTGGCGAATACATGCACATTCGGAATGCTATCAGTGTGTTGAAGGCTATCGTCCAGAATTTCCCTGCTGTCAATTGGATTGGCCGAGATATGCACACCGCTGTGAACAACCTGAGTCAGAATGACGAGCGAGACGATGTCAAGATTCCCGCTGCCTCTTTGATTGGTGATCTCAACCGCCGAGAAAAGAAGTGGATGCTACCGCAGGCCTTCATGATTAGCAACCAGCCGATTCCCAAGGGAAGTCAAATAGACAAAACTGGAAAAGGAACTGGTTCCCGGCCTCAGTCCACTACCCCGACTCCTTTCAATGCCACGGCGCCAGAGTTCAAGCCCGGTCCCGCTGAGTAAGTCGATGAGAGATCCGTTCTCTAGATATCGGATGCTAACTGTAGCAGCAGATCAGATGGTGCCACCAAGGCAGAGGGTCCAACAAGGCAGGAAGTGGAGGATGGAGAGATTGAGGATGCCAAGATGGCTGATGCCTCGAAAGATGGCAAGGATACCCAACAGCCGTCCCAAAAGCCAGACGAAACCGCACCGCAAGACACAGACAAAGCAGCCAGCCAAACGTCCGCTACCGAAGGACGTCCGACAAGTGGCCAAGATACGGCATCTAGGGAAACCACCAATAACCAAAGCCGTAGAGGTGACACTCAGTCGCGACCCTCTCCCGGCCCTCCCCAAGCAACCCCTAAAGGTCCTGAACAGCGGAGACAAGCGAATATTCCAAAGCCACCCGACTCAGACCGAACACCAAGCGGGAGCCAAGCATCACGTTCCCAACAGCATACACCGTCTCACCCCTACCGAGATGATAGGAGGCTGCCACCTCGGCCCGATCTTCTAGATGACCGACGGGACCGTGTGTCAGACTACGGCCGGGGTGGTCGTATGCCCGGGGACCACGGCTATGGTCGCTCTTTTGAACCACCTATGAGTGACAGTCGAGGTTTTGGACGTCTGGATAGGGATTTCCCGTCCAGACCGCCCCCAGATGAGTCTTTCCGTGGGCCTCCCTATCGGGACGGACCTGACAGGTCCGGTCGCCTCCGCCCTCCAGATGTTCGTGACAACCTTTCTGGGCCCCCTGGTCCACGACCCGGCCCTCAAACACATCCTGACCGTGCGGATCTTATCCATGAAAACCAGGATCGTCCAGGAGACGGATATCGCCGTGGAGAAAGGGACGACAGGAGATCTTTGCCAAACAGGCCTGCGTCCCCTCCCAAGTTAGATCTCCCTAATCGCCCAGAACGGTTTCCTGATAGCCGCAAACCTCCTGGCCATATTCAACCATCGCCCCGTGGCGAAGATTTGCCAAGGGGACCTCGCAGTGATCGGTTGCCGCGACCTTCTATGGAAGGCCCCGACTCACGCGATTCAGGGCCCGGGGCCGACCTTCCTCTAGGACGATCACGACAAGGCGATCTAATGTCAGATATCCCCTCTGGACCAAGAAGCAGGATGGCTTCTGGCCGTGGACCTCGCAATCCTCCTGCCTCGGGCCCGCCTAGCAGTGGCCCTGCAGACCGGCCGACGCCGACAGGCCCTGGACGTCAAGGAATGCGAAACGAGCAACCACCCGGTGCTACCTCATCTCCTACGGGTGAAAAGCTAGAAGCAAGTGGGATTCATCCTGACCGTCTCAAAGCCTTGCAATCCCAGACCCCAGAGAATACACGGTCCAACCCGTCCGGACAACCCGCTGTTGTTCCTCCTTCAGGACCTCGTGGCGGGACAGGGGGATCATCACCCATAAGCCGTGGACCACCAGCTGGGCCAGGCTTTGGCGGCGAGCGCGGCCGGGGTGACAAACGATTTGCCGGCATCAACAACATGCTTCAGCAGACCGGAGGTCCTCCAGATCGTGGACCCGGTCCAACTATTCGGGGTCGGGGAGCAAATCGCCCACCTGGTAGCGCTCGACCTCCATCACCACCCCCTGCGGGTGGAGACGAAGGCTCCCACTCCGGATTTTCAGCCCCAAACAGGCCCGACGGAGGAAGAGCACCTGGTCATCCTGAAGACGATGGACACCCGCGAAGTCGACTAAGCAACAGCGCTCGTAACGAGCCTACGGAAGATGCTAACTCTGATGGTCGTCGATCACAACGCTACTCAGAACGAGACAATGACAGGGAGCGCGATCGACGCGGGGGCGAGGACGATGGGTCCCGGAGTAGTAGTAGGCGCGAAGAAGGGCGTGATCGTAACCGTGAGCGAAGTCGAAGGAGTGATGCGCCTACTGGGCCCCCTCGAGAAGAGCGGTATGAATCTCGTGAGGCGTCTCGCCGTGGAGTCGGCTCTCGTGAAGATAATAGACGGCGGCGTGACCGTGATGGTGGTCCAGATGCGTCGCAAGAACATGAAGGACGTCTCCGCCCTCCGTCATCGCACGGCGGACAACCTCCTCCGCCCCCTCCTCCGCCGCCGCCGCCTCCCGCTGGGCCAGACGAGGAACGGCGCTGGGGTAGTGGCGGACGAGAGCCACGAGACCGCGATCGCGACCGGAATCGTGAGCGCCCTCCGCGCGAACGGAACTATGCTCGTGAGAGCGGCGGTGGAAGCGGACCTCACCGCAAGCGTGGACGCCCAGGAGACGAAGGTGGACCTAATGATGGGAGCAACCGCAGCGGTGGACGCGGTGCAGGCGGCGAAAACAAGCGCGCTCGGCGAGGAGCTTGATCTGTTGAAGGCTTACGACGCTTTTCTCTTTTTTTTTCTTTTGCCCTTTTTTATTTCCTTCCCTCTGGTTTTCTTGGTGATATCATATAAGCATTGTCAACGGTGTTAAATCATTTCACTGCCGCCATTTATGTGTCTGGGCTTTCTTGCTGCATGGAACCGACCTGTATTTTTCTTTCCATTGTGTTCAATCTCATCTTCAATGTACTTTCCCTGCAATACGCAGTGAAGATCATGAGTATCGTGTGTATTCACTAGATATCAGCCCAGACAGTACTACTAGATCTGCTTCAAATCAAACACGCAAAACTCAAAGCCTCTATATACGTAATGTCTCAGCAACGCCATATCGGCACCTAAGATAAAGGCATCGCGACGATGTGGAATGGACAAAGTCCCTAATAACTTGGTCCGCCAACTTGAAGTCACCTGCACTCGCCCAGTAGGAGGCATACCGAACCTTCGATCAATTCTCATCCGCCCGGCAACTCCCTTCATCAATATTCCCTTTTCTTTTGCTTTTGCTGAACACCAATTATTCCATCAGTCTGACTCGCGCGTAGGCTCGACGGCCCGACACTCCGCGAGACCCCCCCACCACCGTCGATGACTCGACTGCGTTCTCCAGCCAAGCCGCCGGTTGATCTTCGGGACATCCTCCGTGCCCTTTTCAGTTCCTCTCGATCGTCCAACGTTTTTCTTCGTCAACCGAGTCGACCAAGTCGATTTGACCCTCTTCAGCTCCACCGGCTCCATGCCGATTATGTGCTACGCATTGTTTATCCGCCGTGATGCCCCGCGTGTCCCGCCAATTGCACCTGTGTGGCTAGTTCATACTTGACCCCTCCATCCTGCGACACAGCATGCTGTTTTTCCGTGGCATAATTTCGGCGATTAGACCCATAATGGCTTCCTGTTCAGGAACTTCAGCCAGCACTGATCATGGGATGGCCTCCGTAGTTGTTGGTGCTGGTGTGGAGCTTCAGCACCCCATCGATGATCCATCGATAATATGTACGTGCTTCGCTCCGAGTAATGGGGCGGATGGAGAAATATATCTAGAGCTCCAATTCCTCGAGTTCCCAGGCTTTTGATTGACTTTATACGCTGGTTGTGTTCCGCCTTCCTTACAGATTTTCTCAATCAGTGAACTGGCTTTCACTTCAAAACCTCTCTGTGTTCTCACTTTTCTGTAGATCAGAGGAATCTTCTCCCCTTGACTTCAACACACTTCTTCCACTATGCCCCAGCTGGACGTGGAGAAGACAATCGAAGAGCTTAGGCTCGGAGAGAAGATTGACCTGGTTTCCGGTAAGTAGAACCGAGTTGTAGAATCCTCTAACAGTGTATTTTGGCATTGGAACTCACCCAGGCTTTTCGCAGGAATTGATTTCTGGCACACCGCGTCGGTCCCTCGACTGAACATCCCCAGTATCCGCATGTCCGATGGCCCTAATGGAGTACGTGGCACACGTTTCTTCAACGGCGTGCCTGCTGCCTGTTTTCCCTGCGCCACGGCCCTGGGAGCAACCTGGGACACCGAATTGCTCCACAAGGTCGGTCAGCTCATGGGAGACGAAGCCATTGCCAAGGGCTCCCACGTTATTCTAGGTCCCACAATAAACACACAGCGTTCTCCGCTAGGCGGCCGAGGCTTTGAATCTTATGCTGAAGATGGCGTTCTTTCCGGTCGATTGGCTGGCTACTGCTCCAAAGGTATACAGGATAGGGGTGTTGCGGCATGTCTTAAGCACTTTGTGTGCAATGACCAAGAGCACGAGCGGTTGGCCGTTGATTCTATTGTCACTGACCGTGCTACCCGCGAAATTTACCTCTTGCCGTTCCACATTGCAATGAGAATCTGCCAGACGGCAACCGTTATGACGGCTTATAACAAGGTCAATGGCACCCATGTTAGCGAGAATAAGAAACTCATTACAGACATTCTACGTAAGGAATGGGGCTGGGACGGTTTGGTTATGAGTGACTGGTATGTGTCTCATGAAGCATTTTACTGTGCATGAAGGCTAACACACAAACAACAGGTTTGGAACATACAGCACTTCGGAGTCTATCAATGCCGGTCTCGACGTCGAGATGCCAGGAAAGACACGCTGGAGAGGAGACGCCCTGGCACATGCTGTATCATCGAATAAAGTCAACGAGTTTGTCCTAGACGAGCGTGTACGCAACGTTCTGAACCTTTTGAACTACGTTGAGCCGTTGGGAATCCCAGAACATGCGGAGGAGAAGGTCCTGAACCGCCCCGAAGACCAAGCTCTGCTGCGAAAGGTTGCGGCTGAATCCGTTGTGCTCATGAAGAACGATGGCAACATTCTACCGCTCAACAAGGAGAAGTCAATTGCCGTCATTGGACCAAACGCCAAGATTGCCGCCTACTGTGGAGGTGGCTCTGCATCTCTCGATGCTTACTACACTGTTACGCCTTTTGAGGGTGTGGCTGCTCAGAGCAAGGGCGAAGTCCAGTTCTCTCAGGGAGCATACTCCCACAAGGATCTACCTCTAATCGGACATCTCCTCAAGACAGACGAGGGCAAAACTGGTTTCAAGTTCCGTGTTTACGACGAGCCCGCATCCAGCGCCAAGAGAGAGCTCCTCCACGAGCTTCACCTTGTCTCGTCGATGGGATTCCTCATGGACTACAGACATCCAAAGATCAAGTCCTTCCTCTACTATGTTGATATGGAAGGGTACTTCACTCCCGAAGAGGATGGTATCTACGACTTTGGTGTCGTTGTTGTCGGCACCGGAAAACTCCTAGTTGATGATGAAGTCGTCGTTGACAACACCAAGAATCAACGCCTTGGATCCGCCTTCTTCGGTAACGGAACCGTTGAGGAGAAAGGCTCAAAAGAGCTCAAGGCAGGCCAGACCTACAAGGTCACTCTCCAATTTGGCACCGCCCCAACTTCTGATATCGACACCCGCGGGGTGGTCATCTTCGGCCCTGGAGGCTTCCGTTTCGGCGCTGCCCGCCGCACCACTCAAGAGGAGCTTATCACCAAGGCCGTCGAGCTAGCTTCCAAAGCCGACCAAGTCGTCCTCTTCGCAGGATTAACTAGTGAATGGGAAACAGAAGGTTACGACCGACCAGACATGGACCTTCCCCCCGGCTCAGACGACCTGATCTCCAAGGTCCTCGACGTCAACCCCAACACGGTCATCGTCATCCAGAGCGGTACACCTGTAACCATGCCCTGGGCCAACAAAGCTAAAGCGCTTCTCCACGCCTGGTTCGGCGGCAACGAATGCGGCAACGGGATTGCAGACGTCCTCTACGGCGCCGTCAACCCTTCTGGCAAGCTCCCTGTCAGCTTCCCCGTCCGTCTTCAGGATAACCCTAGCTATCTGAACTTCCGTTCTGAGCGAGGTCGCGTCCTCTACGGTGAAGACATCTACGTCGGATACCGCTACTACGACAAAGTCAACCTACCAACCCTCTTCCCCTTTGGCCACGGCCTCTCCTATACATCCTTCACCCGCGAGAACCTTACTCTAGCCACAGCTCCCGAGAAACCCAAGCTTGAAGACGGCGAGCCCATCACTGCCACCGTGACGGTCACCAACACCGGCAAGGTCGCCGGCGCTGAGACAGTGCAGCTCTGGGTCCTCCCGCCCCCAACTGAAGTCAACCGTCCCGTTCGAGAACTCAAGGGCTTTGCCAAGGTTCGCTTGGAACCGGGAGAGCAGAAAAAGGTGGAGATCGTGGTTGAGAAGAAGCTTGCAACTAGCTGGTATGATGAGAAGCGCGAGGCTTGGGCATCTGAGAAGGGCGAGTATGAAGTGCAGGTTACAGGGACTGGCGAGGGTATTTTGACTTCGTCGTTTGCGGTGGAGAAGACAAGGTTCTGGACTGGGCTCTAGAAACATACAGATATCAGTATGTAATGAGTTTTCTAGGCGGCTTAACACTTTCTTTTTCTGATTTACTTAACGCTCACCAACTGGTTTGGTGGTGGACTCCTGTGAAGTTTGTTATAAATGAGATCCATCATACAGAGATCAACAAGATCAACGACAAGAATAATTGTATAGTGGCTACCACTGTCCAAGTCCAGGGACGTTTAATACTAGTACCACCCGTCCAAACGATAAAAAAAAAACTAGTAACCCCACGCAGAGAAAGGCGATGGCCTCCAAAAACGGTCGACCAACGACTGCACATACATCTACACTACTCCCTGGCTGGTTCTATTTTTGGTAACTCGGCCACATATATTTGATTTAACAGATTACTACGGATAGTTAAATAGAGGTTTTAATCTTTTTTATTAATCATACGGATTTGGTTGTAAGCCACTTTTGGCTGTATTAAAGTGGCGGTCATGTGATCAGCGTTACCCTACATAGGAGGTTGAGGTAAGTAATCGCAATACTAAAATCCACACCTTGTTATAATGTAAGGAATATATATATAATGCTTAGCTAAAATAAGAATAATTATTTATGACCATCTGCACCGTCTCAGTCAAAAATCTAGATCTCATTATTCCCTTTCTATTCGTCAAACCCAACGCTATGTGCTCGAAGAGAATAATCAATTTGGAACCGACTATGTAGATATTATATACCCTACCCCCTACCGAGCCCCTAAGCCACTCCGCTCCCGCATAAAGAAACCAGCCAGCTTGCCGATCAATGGAACCCCCTCCCTCAATCTAGAACATGAGCGAGACATTCCTTTCTTACTCTGATCCTTCCGCTTCAGCCCATCAAAATCAGACTTAAAATTCGTCCATGAGAAACTGAACTTTGAAGCGCTAGTCTGCGGTCGAGACTGCGGCTCCGGATACCGATAAGCACTGCTAACATTGTTGCCAGCTGTACTTGGTCTGCACGGCCGCGTCGAGGTTTCGTTGGTTGGGTTATGTCGCCTCATTCCAGTAGTCATCCGTTCCACCACAGCTTTTTGAAGATCCTTATTACGCTGGGATTCCTCGTCGGGGGTGAGGAGACGGGCCTGCCCGGTGCTGTCGATTATGATGCTGCGGCTTTGGGGCCGCTTCGTGTCGGATTCGGATGCGGATACGGAAGTTGTTGGTCGTTGAGTGAAGTCATTATGTCTGGATAACCCTAGGCTTGGAGAGGCGGCATCGGTTGTTAAGGTTGAGGAGGATAGATTCATATGGGCGCTTGTTGGGTTGAGGAAAACTTCGGTGTTTTCGGGAATACTCCCCTTGAACGGTAGTGGCTCACAGGGGGATAAATCGGCGAGGAAGGCATTTGTGGCGCTTTTTTGTTGCCGCGGGGAGTCTGGTATGATTGTGCGCGTTATTGACCGTGGTTTGCTCGGCCTGGGGCTGTGAGACGAGGCCTGCGTGCATGACACCTCCGTGGAGTTGATGGCGCTGGTGTTGGAACAGGAAGTGCCGGTTCTGGTGTTGCTGTTGCTAAATACTGACATGGCTCTGGTATCTCCGGAATCTGACGCATCGCCAGAGCGAGAGCTGAGAACTCGCATGGTTTGCATGCTCGGTTGTTGGGTGAGTCCCACGCCGGAGTCATATCCAGTTGTCACGGCGCCTTCTGGTCCGAACTTAGACGAAGGATACTTCGATGGGAGATGTGCATTGGTTCTAATATTTCCCACTGATCCTGCGCGAACTGCACGACGGATAACTGGGTCGTTTCCCCGAGACGGGACACCATGTTCGATTCGATGCGCAAGCAAGGAGCAGGCATATCTAATTTCTGATTCCAGCTCCCGCGAGATATATTGACGGCTGATTAAGTGTGATTGAGCATTTGGAGGGCTGGGACTGTCGACAAAGTGGTAATATCGGGTGGGTTTGTCGTCGGGTGGTGCTGCAAAGGTCGGTGGCTTCTATATCACTGTCAGTACGATTTCGGAGAGTTGGATCACGTAAGTCATCTCACCTGTGAGCCAAATAGGAGCGACAGCGACGCCCGCCTTTTGAGCGAGGCTTTCTTGGGATCAAGGGCATCCATAATTTAAACGAGGACAATATCATGCAGTCTGGCTGGGCAGCACTGCTCACCAGAGAGTGGGTAGTTGGATCACACAACCACACAGAAAACACAAAGCAACGGGTGTCGGGAAACCAGCCCCAAGCAACCAGTGGATACAAAAGAAAGCGAGCTATGTGGCTAATTTCAAGCGAGCAAGATTTAATGAAATGAGAGCCTCTCTGGCGCAACGGACTGGAATGCGGGGAGAGTTCAAACAATGCTTAAGTCCAGTAGTCCCAAGTAGGCGGGGTCTGAGAGCCGCGACTCTTGTAGGATGAGGGGATAATGCAGAAACAAGGAAGCTCAATGATTAGTATCAACTCTGTCTGCCACATACGTAGGCGAAGCGTTCATTCCGACGACCGGAGGCAAACAACGCAACTGTGGCGTCAACCACGACAAAACCAGCAGAAAGAAAAGGGAATTTAATGATCGACTGACAGGCTCGTAAAAAAGCGCTATCTAAAAGAAAGAAAGCGAAGCAAACAGCAGATAATGAATGACTGGTGATGGGGGAAGAAGAAGATGAACGAAGACAGGAGGGAGAAAAAAAACAGCAGCCCAAAGTCGTACAGCGTCACGGGCCCGTGAAACACGCGACATCTTCAAGCAGCTTAACCTCAGGCAGGCAGGAGTTGCAGTAAAAGAAACGGCTGCTATTTGCTATGTGTGAGAAACAAGCATACAGGCTCTGAGACTCGACCCGTTGATGGGACCCGGATCGTCATCGTCAGAGGGAGGCCGAGCGTCCCAGACCGCCAGGCAGTGGATGAGAAGCCGACGATCTCGGAGCACAAACAGGGCGGCGACGGTTTCTTGTCGCAGTGCATAAGACTCGTGCTATACGGGGTCTCACAACACGCCACCCCCATTGCACCGCTTGCACGATAGCAAGCACGGAAGGAGGCCCTCTTAGGCGGGAGTGTTGCCAGCCACAGTCAACAATATGATTTGTTTCATGATCGTAGAAATCGCCCTGAATTGATCTGTGGGAGCTCCTGCAAGGGGTATCAGCTGAATTGCGCAAGGGATAACTCGAGGGGTTGACCAACTCTCGCCCTGCCTGACACATCACATTGGGCGAGGTTCATCGATCGTGGTCAGAATCGACTGAGGGGTCATTTGATGGTCATCAGTTGATTAACTTGATTTACACAAAATAAGATGGACAAGAAAGTATGATAATATGCATTCATATGCGATTTATATTTTGTAATATCGAAATTGTCGGGAATCCCGAAATGTGGCCCACCACCCTCACAAAATTGATTCGCAAGAGACCGCTTGGTCGAGGGCTTGTGTGATGGGGAGCAGTTGGATGCTTCTTTACAGTCTGACCTGTGATGTTGGTTACGGGAGAGGCAGTTGGATGCTCATCTCCCTGACTGGTTAAGAATGAAAACAATAAAGCTGCAACTCGACTCCCTCAAGGCTCCGGAGATGGCTGATCGCCGGCCCGTACTCTCCTTCCGAGAGAAGGCGTCGGGCTCTGCCCACCTGCAGAGCACCAACTTGTGTGAAGGCTGCAAAATTCTGCGCCAACGGGTAATAATCTTGCTTGACTTGTTTACCAAGCGGTAATGTCATCTACCTCCGCTTCTCCGAAAGTGCTGCTCTTGGTTAGCTTACCAACACCATCAATTATGGCACTATCGGCAGGAGTCTTGGACATGAGGTCGGGTAGGACTTCCCGGAAGAAGTCTAGGATGTGTCGGTTGACCTGCTCAAACTGAAGCAGGAAGGCATCATGACCCTCGGGGCTCTCAATTCGCTTAAGCCTTGAGTCAGGAATGCCCTCGGCAATTTCTTTCTGCTCCTCAAAAGTGAACAAACCATCACTTTCAATTCCGAGCACAAGGGCAGGTTGTTGTATCTGCGAAAGCGCCTCGATAACAGGATTCTCGGAGGCTGCGCTAACCCTGTCGCGGGAGACGTCATGTGTGTCAAGCTTACGAGTGATGGCGATGTAACAGTTGGCGTCGAACCGTTTCACGAACTTGTCTCCTTGGTAACGGAGGTAGGACTGGGCAGAAAAGTAGGTTGCAGGTCGCTTCTGTGTGTTTCCATTGGTGTTGTCGACAGTTTTGCTGAAAGTCTTTGTACCGGAAAATTGTGGGTCCATGTACTGCACCTCGGCTTTCTCAGGGGCAGGAGAATTATGGCCACTCGGACTCCAGTTACCCTTGTGACCATCATTGTGGATAGCCCAATGCTCGTTCGGAGGTGTAGGCTGCCTTTCTGTACCGTTGATATTTTGGCGCTTAGACGGGTCTGGGACATTTCTGCCGAACCGAGACTCGAACGAATTACGGCTCCGGTAGGTCAGAAGGGCCGACATCCGGGCAGCGCCGAGGCCAGCAGCAGGGGGGTCGTCAAACGGATAATACCCGTTATCGTACTTGGGATCACTGTATATGCTCTGACGCTGGGCCTCTCCCCAGCTGATGCACCATGCGGAGTGGCGGGCCGAAGTAGCGATAGGAACGATGGCACGAACATAATCCTTCCCAAAGAAGGCATATTCAAGGGTAAGCATTCCACCCATCGAGCCACCAACTACCGCTGCAATTTGTTTAACCCCAATGTCATCAAGTACCATCTTGTGAAGCCTTGGCGAAGTTAGCACCGCAGTGGCGTGATAACGGACTAAAACATCACTCACCTCACGTCGTCACGGACTGTCGTAAGAGGAAACTCGGGCCCATAAAGGCCATTCTCCGGGTTTCCATCCTTATATGTCACCGCGCTTGCGCTTCCGTAAGGACTTCCAAGGCTGTTGAGGCAGATCACGAAGAAACGAGAGACATCGAATGCTTGGCCTGGGCCACCAAGCAGCGGTCCCCACCAATCAGCCACATCGGCGCTACCACTCAGAGCATGGCAGATGACGAGGGCATTATCGCCTTCCGGTGAAAGCTTTCCGCGAGACGTATAAGACACCGGGACATTGTGAAGAGTAACGCCGGACTCTAAGGTGAATGAAGGGATAATGACAAATGATTGATCCGTAATTAGGGCAGAGAATGGGTTCTCAGATTGGGATTCGACCCTCTCTACGGGATTTAGTAGCTGTCCAACTCGAATAAGAGGGGAGAAAAGGGGAGGGAGCGTGTGGGGGAAACTGACGGAAGCGCGGGGTGGAAGTTTCTGTGGTCATTTTACACCACTTGGAAACGGACAGTCAAGAAAATAAACGATTTGAGAAAGACAAAACGGTTAAAAAAGAGAGAATCAAGGAAAGCGAAGTAAGTGAAACAAAAGTTATGCTCTCATCAATGGCAGAATCGCGGGGGCGCAAAGGTGGGAGATTTTAAGCAACAAATTTGACCCCAAAGGCGATGACTCTTTCCAAAGACCCGCCGCCATCGGAGTCCAATCGGCACCAATAAGCAGCCTCCGATTCCTTCCCCTCGGCCATTTTCCGTCGGCAAAACTAATATTCCGTGCAGACCCAGTAGGAATGAGTAATGACACCATATTTTTGCCTCAGGCATGAAATATCAAATCTATGCAAAAATATCTCCTCCTTCCGGTCCATTAGCCGCTTTCTCGAGCCTTTCAGAAGTTGTTTTGAAGACTCGAGGGATATTTGTGTCCTCAAAACTCCGTCCTTTTAGGATCATATCTGCGAGTCCCTTTGTGGCAAGGAAAACCACCGGCATACCATGCCCATCGTACCCGGCACATATATATTTCCCAGGATTTCCAGGAACCTCACCAACGTGAGGCGCGATATCGTACGCATAACCCATAACTATTGCAAGCCGTTAGTGAACTTAGGTTCGTGGGTCTCGATTCCAGGGTAAGACACTCACTACCAGTCCAAATCTCCTTGACATATGCGCCGCTATTATCCCATCCTCTAAAGGTACGCTGCATGAAATCATCGTAGTAGTTCTTCGCAGGATCGATAAGAGTGCTATCATCGATAACGTTATACCATTGTTTCTTATCCTCGACAAAAGTGTACTGTGCACCCCCGACTATAATACTTCCATCCGGCCGGGTAATCATGTAACTCTGTCCAGTCGCTTCGGGCGATCTGATAACATATGAGTATGGTAGAAACGGGGAATCATTTCCATTCGGGACCGTTATGTGGCAGCAAATTCCTCGGCATGGTATGATGTTCGCAGAGTACTGGGGGAGTAGTCCCGAGGTATATGCATTGGTTGCGTACACCACCTTGGACGCGGTAATGGTTCCACGAGGTGTGTGAACAATTTGTTCGCCATTTTTGGTATTTACCGAGGTGACAGGTGTTGATGTTTGGATATTAATCAGCGGAGAGCTTATTATTTTGGAGAGGAGGCCCAGTATTAGTTTATAAGGCCATAGAGTACCAGTCGTGGAGGAGAGACACGCTTTGGCACCCTTGACTCCGGAAATCTAGTAACATCAGCCATTTCGTTTCCATGCATGCACATATGGTGATCACAATCATGAGCATACAGTTTCCGCAAACTTTTGGGAAGTATAGTGGATGTCGGAGGTGTATTCAAGCCCTTGAGCAACAAGCGCTTCATAAGTTTGCCTTGCCTTTTCGCCATCAGCCTCATTTAAATAAACGTTCAGACACCGCGTCAAGTTTAATTCGCAGTCGATATTCTCTTCGGCTATGAGATCTTTAATGGCGCGTATGTGGGCAATCTCAAAGTTTGCGACTTCGGCCCCCGCTTCGATTCCGTATCTTTCGATATACTTTGGAATATTCCAGTATAGGTCTGGGCGTAAATGGCCGCCTAAATTCTGACATTAGAATCCGCTTATCCATCTTTGACAAATGGAAAACACATGGTGACTGACCGTTACGGCCGGTAGCTCCTGAGCATATCTGTCTCGCTTCGAGAACGGTAATTGCGGGGTGGGGTTGATCGGAGTGAGAAAGCTGTTTATACAGGTGATACGCGAGACTTATTCCAGTGTAGCCCGCCCCGATGATCACAATATCGCTTTTATTGGACAGCTCTGAGGTGGTTCGGAGTTGATCGAGATGATGGAGCTCGGTGCGCCAGAAAGGCACTGTGGGGTTTTCGACTGGTAAGAAAGGCGGCAAGGAGGTTTCATGAGCCATGTTTGAATTGGCTTGTGATTTGGTTTGTTTTACTGCCTTGACCTTGTTGCTATAAGATAATCATTAAATAGTGACCGTATACCTAAATCTCACAAGGTGCGGGGAATTGGAGTCATAAATAATGGAACTTGTTATTGGTGCCTGATATTAGCTAGCAACCGCCTTACTACCTATATAACCTAGGATTTTCCGGACCCAGCGTTCGAAATATTGTTCACTTGTCATCAATAGGTCAAAAAATAAATTATTTTCATGTTGAAACATTTAGCAGCTCGTTTGCCGTTTGCTCAAACGCCCGCATCGCTGCTTTGTACAATTCTGGGCCCATGCTAACCCTCGCAACGCCAAGTTGCTTTAATTCTGGAATTGTAAGGAAACCATCTTTGAGAACAAGTTTGACGTTTAGCCTCCCATCGAAAGCGGAAACAAGTCTCTCAATTTCTTCTCTTGATACACCCCTACCTCCAGGGCCTCCCCACACAAAGACGGTGCAGGCACCTGCTTCCAGGAAAGCCTTGCCTCTCTGTATCGCATCTTCAATCGACCCCCCGTTTGCAAGAATGTCTGTACGTGCGTTGATAACGAATTCTGGCACTCCCAGATCGCGAGCTGTCCGGAGAGCAAGCTCGATCCGGTTTACAGCTTCTGGAAGCGGCCTTATTTGGTCTGTGCTGTTATTGAAATCCTCGATATTGCATCCCACGGCTCCCAGTTTGATGACCTCCTTGATGGTCTCCGCGATATCGTAACCATCTTGGACATCCACGGATAAAGGTAACTTGGGAAGCCCATCCACTGTTAAGCTGGCCGCAATCGAGCGTACACTCTGGATATTCTGAGAAAGAGTTAACTCGCTATCCGCGATGCCTTGGGAGGCGGCGATAGCGAAGCTCGCAGTTGCGACGGCAGCAGTGGCAGGATGATTCGCAATGAACGAGGCTGTCGCTGCGTCAAATACATTTGTGAGTACCAACGGTTGACCGGGAATATGGAGGTTTCGAAAACGAATTGCAAGTTCATTCTGTCGAGTATTGATAGCCATGGTATAGTGTTCACGATATATACCCAGGCTCTCGTTTATTTTTCGGTCAGCTTGGGTGTTCACTTGGCGTCGAATGAGGATCAATCCCTAACATGCAAATTCGAGACGGATACTCCTCCATTTATAAACATTGACTGAGTCACTGCCCTCGTATTCACGCAGTGAATTGTTGCTGCCAAAGTGACCACTCAGATGCCACAAAGAAAAAGAAGAGGCGCTAATCCATAAACAGTAAGGGCGAAATCCTAATGTTCCGAAACTGGACTAGTGTCTGGGATCCCCAGCCAAAGGTCCGAGTCGTCTCGCGTCGCATACCTCCTCGACTCTTCAACCCATTCAGCTTGCGAACAGCACCCCAGCTATGCGAGATTTCGGCTAACACTACGACTATTCCCAAAAATTTACCCGAATACGTTCCCGACTGCACACCCCGTCGCCATGACCGATTATTCAACATGGAAGGTGACTGATCTGAAGGCGGAGCTGAAGCGACGCGGTATTCCCCAGACTGGATTGCGAGTCAAACAGCAGATTATCGATAGGCTGGTGGAAGAGGATAATAAGGCGCAAGCTGGAGGTGCGAGTGAAGCTACTACAGCTCCTGAGTCGGAGCCACAGGAAAAGGCGCAGGCTGTCGAGCCCGAGGCTCCTACCGCCGCTGAGAAGACGGACAGTGTTAATGACGCGCCAGCACAAGAGACTGCACCGACTGCCCCCGAAGATGCGGAGAAGATAAAATCAGTGAACGAAAAACAGGCTGAAGAGCCGCCAGCACAACCCGACGATTCGGCTGCGCCCCCGGAACCTTCGCAAGCGGAAGAACCTTCGAAAGAAGCGCAGGAGACTCAAGCCCCGGATACACAGACCAAGGTTGGCGGAGAGGAAGCCGAAGCCGACGCTACCACCAAATCAGTTGAGCTGGCTCCTGGAGGTGTAGCCGAAGCAGAGCCACTGAGTGTAACTCAGCATGAGGCGAAGCCGGCCGAGGCCGAAAAGGCTGCGCCAGGCGCTCAGACGTCAGAAGTGAACACTGCACTGTCAACGCCACTCCCCACAGAAGAACTTATCGACGATGTTCGGAAGAGGAAGCGGCGCAGTCAAAGCCCTGCCCCCAGCCTTGACGAAATTGCAAGGAAGAAGGCCAAAGCTCTAGGTCATGACGAAGCTCAAGCATTGCCAGAAGAGAAAGACGCAACAACCGGGAAGAGCGCCGATGGGGCTGCTGAACCTCCACAGACCCATGATGAAACCCAGGCTAAAAAGGGCACGCCTCAGAAGCATGACATGCGTTTCAAAGGTTTATTCTCTTCTACTGTACGGGAACAGACGAGACAATCCCCGCCGCCAGTCGACACGGAGATGGAGGATGTTACGGTTGAACCTGCCTTACATGCTGCGACTTCTGCATTATACATAGACGGCCTTATGCGCCCTCTTCAACCTGGGGCCCTCAAAAATCATTTGCTCTCCGTTGCAACCCCGGCCGGAAGATCTCCCAACCCTGACCTGATAACCGACTTCTATCTGGACTCGATAAAAACACATTGCTTTACCAGATTTGTCGACGTTTCAACAGCCTCTCGCGCTCGCAGCGCTCTCCACGGCACCATATGGCCCAATGAGAAGAACAGAAAAAGTTTGTTCGTCGATTTTATCCCCGAGCACAAAGTACGGGACTGGATCCAAACGGAAGAGGAAACTCGCGGAGGCCGTGGTCCTCCACCGCGCTGGGAAGTTAAATATGATAAGAGAGACGATGAAGTTGAAGCGGTGCTGGAGCAAGTCGATCTCAAGAACGCTGGATCTCATGCTCCACGTGGCGCAGAACCAAAGGAATTCTCACACCCTCCTCCTCGTGGGCCCCGGGCAGATATGCAGCCGACGGACAGGCGGCCCAGTGGCCCATCACAGCCCAGCGGAAGTTCTCGACCTGGGCAAGGGTTCAAGCCACTCGATGAACTTTTCAAGTCAACCACTGCGAAGCCCAAGCTTTACTACCTTCCAGTACCCCGGGAAGTTGCGGATCGACGCCTAGATAGGTTCGACGACCTGATACGGAAAGGATCATTCCCACGCCGAGGTGGAGACGAGACGCGGAAATTCACTTTCGAAGACGACGATCGGTTTGTCGATTCAGGACCGGAATTTGCCGGCCGTGGACGGGGCCCGGGAGGAAGGGGACGAGGACGCGGCGGAGGAATGTTTGACTCACGAAGAGGAGGTCGCAGAGATCAATATTGATTGAGATTTCTGGCGTACTTCAGTATCTACTATACCACTTGCTCCTGATATTCTGGTATACAGCCAGAGTTTGTTTGGTGGTGCGGTATTATAGGTAGTATTGGGAACACAAAAGCCAGGGCAAGCCAGTGTATATTACATATTGACAGAACCATCATGCATAAGATTTAGCAAACCATTTAGCTAAAAAATCCTTGTCCGTCTATTTCTCACGACCCAAGGTTCAGTGATTGACTGGTTCTGCAGGCCTTGGCGGCTTGTGCAAAGCTTAGCGGTCTTGGTGTTTTGCTGTTGCCTGCAGTGGGTGCCCTTTTGTACATACTTTTAACTCCTCACCCAGCGTTAAACTACGCCAATGACCAAAGCCATTGAACTTGAAACAATCTAATTATAGAAGCGTTGGGTTCGTGGCCGTGCAATTGAAATTGGTGTCCACTTTGGGTAACCAGTTCGCGCTGAAACCTGCCCCGTCCAGCTGGTGGCCTTCATTATTGCAACTCTCGCCAGCCGAGCTGAATCTGCCGCCTGATCTTCTCTCAACTCTGCTGATCTTCGTCCCCATCAGCCTTGTGGCATCGCAACGTCTTGCTTCCAGAAACCACCAAAAGGAAAAACAAACGTGAAGAATTACTAGCTGCTGCGTGGTTCCAGGGGTTGATCTGCCGCCGCTCCACAGACAAAAATAGTCGTGGCGGATAAGATAAAGCAAAAGATACGCTCGGACTAGGCGCCTGTTTCTGTTTCTTCATCCACTTTTTCGCCGTTCATTACGCCATTGTCGCGGCCTCAAACACCGCGAGCATGGGCTGGCCGGTGTGCAATACTACCTTAGAAGACGAGACCAGTATGCTCCCAATAATTCACATCTCCCGCTGTTTAATCAAGAACCATGCAGTCGCTAACCACTCTACCCCTCGATAATAGTCCATGAGATCGACTTATGGGATGGCGGTCTTACATTTCACGAGCTCTGCGTCATCCTTGTCGGTGTTTTCGCGCTCATTGCTGGTTTTGTCGCCTTTTACCTGATCATGCGACATGCGACTCATTATAGCAAACCCACTGAACAACGGCAGTACGTGCTCCGATCCTAGCCCATCCCCTTCCGATATTGCTCCGCTCACTCTTGCCCTTGTTGTAGTACCATTCGCATTCTTTTGATGATACCTATTTACTCCCTCGTCTCCTGGCTCAGCACATTCTACTACAAACATGCCGTTTACTACAGCGTTCTGGGCGACTGCTACGAAGCGTTCACGATCTCCGCCTTCTTTGCGCTGATGTGTGGCTATATTGCTCCCGATTTGCACAGCCAGAAGGATTACTTTCGTGCAATACAACCGAAAAACTGGCTCTGGCCTATAACCTGGCTGCAGAAGATCTCCGGCGGGAAGAAAGGTGTTTGGAGGGTGCCGCGCAGCGGCCTGACGTGGTTCAATGTAAGACACCAGAAAACGACTACGCGCATGCGCGTTGAATATCATAGGTAATGTAGACGCTGACTGGTTTCCTTCAGGTTATCTGGGCTGGGGTGTTTCAGTATTGCTTTTTGCGAGTATTGATGACCATTGTCGCCGTAGCTACGCAAAAGGCCGACCTATATTGCGAGTCGTCTCTCAACCCGGCATTCGCCCATATCTGGGTATGTTGTATTTCCGCTCTGCTCTACTATTAAACGCTAACATCCGCCAAAGGTCCTAACCATCGAGTGTATTGCGGTCACTATTGCGATGTACTGCCTGATACAGTTTTATGTCCAGATCAAGGATGAAATTAGCGAGCACTCTCCGTTCTTGAAGATCCTGTCAATAAAGCTCGTTATTTTCTTGTCATTCTGGCAAACGGTAAGAGCCAAGCTTGTCTCAATTGCCGAGTCGCGTGTGTTAATAAAGCGTCTAGATTGTAATATCCTTCCTGTTTTCTTCCGGGGCTATCGAGGCCTCGAAAAAGATTGCCGCGCCCGACCTTAAGGTCGTTCTTGCGCATCTCATCATTAGTATTGAAATGGCGTTCTTTGCCATATTACATCTCTGGTCATTCCCATGGAAACCATATGCTGCCGGGTTCCAAACTGATGAAATCACCGACATGTATGGAAATGGTAAAAGCACTTATCACGGCGGACGCTGGGGACTTCGTGCCCTTCTTGATGCCCTCAACCCAGTCGATCTCGTCAGGGCCGTTGGGCGCAGCATGCGTTGGCTATTCGTTGGTCGAAAGAACCGAACACTTGACCCGAGTTACCAGCCTACGAACGAAGCCATCCGTCTCAACCCAGCAGATGCTGAGGCGCACCCAGCCGATACAAGCTATGGAGGTGCTGGTGCTGTTATGACTGGCGGCGCTTCAAGCCGTTACGGGAAGCAGCAGGATGAAGAAGGTGAAGTCCTGCTTTCCCATGCCCAGCCGAACCCGTCAACCACAGATATGGGAACAGTCCCTCCACCATACGACGAAGACCAGGATCAGTATCACTTTGTCAACAGCAGGTCCGAAGACCACCTTGCAGATTCAAATCTTCATCCACGTTCCGGGTCAATGTCACCATTTGAGGAGGTGCATTACACTTCTGGGCCATCTAGGGCCCCTTCAGATTCGGATAGTGGACCTTACCACAGTACCGCCGGGTATCCAAATACTACTAGCCACTTTCCGACATCTTCAACCGAACTCCAGGAGCAGCCACCCATTCCACTACCAGATTCCTATCAACCCCCACATACTCGATATGATTACGATTCCCAAGGACGGCGATACTAGAAGCTGGAAAACATTTGGTTTTCTTGTCTAATGATTGCATTTCCGTTTGAGATTCCCCTGGCCTTCCACCCAAGGCTGTGTTTTGATATCCATGTTAAGAACAATACCCTGCATGTATTATTTGGTTTGGTTTTTAGCGCGCTCTCAGTTGATTCACTAGACTTATTGGTATCTATCATGGAGACATTGAAATATATGCGGTTGATATTCTTATTGTTTTAGCATCTGAGGCTTATTCTAACGGTAGAGTTATATAAGCACTGGGAGTATCATAAAGAAGGTACAACAAAGGGCTGTTCCTTCTCAGAATGTACAGTGAGTTGCGCTTCATCGCACCTTCCTGCTGGGCCGGCCTCCTCAAATGCAGGATAAGGAAGGTGCGATTCAGCTGGCCAGGTGGGCTGTTCCTTCCTAGTGCACCCTGTGCAACTTTAGGCCATGCATTGGACATTCCTATTTGGGCTCCTATTAGTTTTCGCAGGCATGGTAAGTGCCGTGGAGGGATGCCTACTTTTTCTTCACATGGTTTTCAGGGTATTTGTTGTCATTCAATAAAGTTGTATAGAATCGCTCAGTGTTTCTAATATGAAAGGTTGCCTGTTTAAAATAAACGCCGCATGTCATTATCTGGGAACCATCATGGAACAAAAATCGTCTTCTGTTATTGGGCAAAGTAAGGACTACCCAAGCGCAATGCCGTCTCTCGACAGAAGATCCTCCTCATATCGTCCTTGCCCGCCAATTTGCTTTCGCGAGGCGGCGTTTCGCCTGACGTTATTCACAATAGCCGTGCGCTTCCCAACTTCCCTCATGCCTTTAACGCTTTGGCTGAGTTGGCCAAGCAGGGCTACTAGGTTGACGTCGTTGTTTTGCGCAAGAGCTTCCTCGGAGAAGGCGCTTTGTTCGTGTGGTGTGAGAAGAGATAGGTTCGAGAGGAGGGAATTTATGTCTCGGAGGGTGCCATGGTCCAGTTGGGTTGCAGGCTTTTCCTGGCCTTCTGCGGATGACGGAGATATGCTTGAGACGTAGGACTTGATTAGGGATATCCGCGATTCGAGTGTTCGGATGGCATTCAAACGCGTGTTGAGAGAGGCGATAACTAAAATAGATACCGGGTTAGCGATGAATAGTTTAGTTTCTGCTAGGATACTTACGTTCTTCCTCCTCAGCTGAAAGGAGGTCGGTGTCAACTGTCTGCTTCTCCTTTTGTTTCTGAGCTTTCGTCTGAGAGGCTGCGGCCGCTGTTGAGGATTGTACGGCGGCCGCATTTCTCGCTGTGCGAGCCACAGTATCAATCCCGATCATTTCCGCCTCACCGGTCTCAACTGTATAGGGTAATTCTCGGAAACGAATATTTAACGACTGCTCTTCACCGTCCACCTGCATAGCTTTTCCGCTCTCTGTCACGCTCTCTCCCTCGTAGACACTTTCGTAAACAGTGAGGGGCAGTTTTCCTTGAGTTGCTGATGTTTCCTTTACTTGCGACGGATGAAATGCCAGGAATATTGCAGATTCATTGTGACTTTGGAGGATCTGGCGATGAATCGGGAGGTGTGCTAATGTTGGTCCGGAAGGAGGAGCTGTTGCCCACCATCCGATAAGGTCGAGGGCGGGTATTTTATGGACATCCTTGACTATTTCCATTGAGTTAGATTGGTCCATGATAATCGAAGTGCAAACCCTTACATTGCTTTACTCGCTCAACGAACCAATCGCTTGGAAGTTGAGTTTCTCCGTTCGGGCCTTCAACGACAACACATTCGAAAGCATGTTCTACCGTTATCTCACGTCCATTTTGCTGGCCTAAGAGAGCTCCAATGATCGGTCCTTGTTGTGATCGTGCTGCATGTCGTGTGATGTGGTCGGAGATCGTGAGGAGTACGAGAGGATGGAGTTGGAGGTGAAGACCCGAGTCGGATGATTTCTGGGACAGAAGGGAATCTGTGTGGTCTGACATCGTTCGAGAATATTGGCGTTTCAATTGTGGCTTGAGAAGATGACCTTCGTTGGCCGAGTTGATCTTCGCTGTGTAGGTTGCTTGTTGAAGTTGATGAGCTTCGTTTCCCCAGGATAAGAGAGGGGCCTGCTATTGTGTTTGTTTGGTTTGCATTCCACTTGGAGCTTCCCCGCCGTATTTCCGCCCAGCTTCTCAACGCTCCTGCTTTCGCATCTTTCAAAAACGCGCAGTTCATCGATCTAGAGGCTGAAGTTGCCCTTCGGCCAAAATGGAGGTCCCATCTGCGTATGACGAAGTGATAGCTCATCTACAACAAATCCAGCGCGATCCCTCCACAGCTCTAGACCAGACTATCCTTGATAAGCTCAAGCTGGAGCTTACAGAGAGTACGGACCGTAAAGTCCCCGCAACACTATTGACACAAATATCGCAGCTCCTGCCAATCCTCCAGGAGGACCCTACACCTATCACTACTCTTGGTATCAAGTCTGCTGCTTATTTCAGTTTCTCTGACCTGCTCGCCGTCGACCCTCCTATTAATTTCGTTGCCGGTTTCCGCGCTCCATCACCACCCATAAACGAGCTAGCTTTGACGCTACTGCGCAAAGCAGGGAACCTTCCAAGCGATGCTGCAATAGTTGCTGGCGATCCGGAGTTAGTTGCATCCCTGGTGGAGCTTTGGCTTTCAACTTCTTCAACCGCTGTCGCCCAGGCTGCATTTGATGCTTTGTGGGCGCTTCTGGAGGTTGACCAAACGAGTACATTGGAGAACGGAGAACATTCCGGAGATGCTTCTGGTGGACAAGGTCTTATGTGGAGAAGAGTTTTCACCGACAGGGATGTTTATGGACGCCTGTTCTCCTTTTGCAGTCTTATGGATAATGATTCCTGCACACTGTCGGCTCGGGAAAAGACAGTAGCACAGGGCAGGCTAATGGGATTCCTTGTGAAAGCAGGCCACCTACGCTGGGACTTTATCTCGACCTCGCATATTGCAGAGGTTGAAGCTAAATACAGAAGCAAAAATCTCCTGCATTTCGCGTCCTGCCAAATGGTTGACAAAAGTGATGTTTTGATGCATATGACGCAGCTGAACTTCTTCCGTGATTTACTAGAAATCGAAGCTCCCAACCTGATGTCTCGTACCGTTGTACAGTCAGCGTCTACGTTTTCCTCCCAGGCCCTCGACTTCCTCATCTCAAACGATATCCACAACACTTTACTGGAGTACTATGTGGATGAATCGAAATTGGATCCTGTGGACTTGAGCTTCCTTTGTGGTCCGGTCATGACTTATGTCGCCCAATATGCTGAACTATACCCCAACCACTTTTTGCAAAACCCTCAAACTTTATTGGATCGCATTCTTTCTCGGATCGACGCATCGTTCTTGATATCATCCACACAATGGGCACACGGACCTGCTCCAAGTGGCCAACTCAATGTGCTTTCCTCTCTTCCACGCGTATTACTCTTGGAGGCCACTAAGAAGGGCATGAATCCAGTCTTGGCTTTGCCAACAAACCCTCCAAACCAAGAGGTTTTCAACGCTCTAGGGAAAATATTTCATGGACCTCCAAAGCACACTCGCTCTGACTCCATCGACCTTACTACATCCGGTCAAACGGCAACGGACTGGAACAAAGAAGCAGCGGCGGCCCGCGTGTTGTACTTTATGTATCAGAATCATCGGTCTTCATTATGGGACGATGTCGTTTCTGCAGCGGATGTTTTGGCCATGAAGGATATCTCACTTGCGGCTCTGTCATTTATGCTAGCTGTAGTTACTGCCAATTGGCAACCATTGTTCGGCCAAGCTGCTTCTTCAATCCATGGCACACCCCGATACCAGCTTCCAACTGAGGAGGAGCTTGGGCGTTTATCACCGGCAACGCAAGGAAGCCTTCCTCAGTCAGGTGCCTGGGTGGCCATTTCTCCTCCCGCCCTCACCATCCTGCTACCTTTTCTCTTCAAGCCACCTCGTTCGTACTCCGAGTTTGTCGCTGGCGGAGCAGCTGACCCACAAAACGCTGTCTGGAAAGTTGCAACGGCGAGGTATGATGTTCTGGTCGCCTTGTATAAGTCCATGCAAAGTATTGAGGACCGCGGGCCGGATATTGAGGACATCGTACGCACGTTGAAGAAGAGGGTTGATGACGGGCCCTTGGGTCCGGGGGTCCGGACCGTCACTCAGGTCGAAACTGTGAACATGTGAAATATTACAATTGTTTGTAAATACGCCATATATCTCTCTAGCTATCAACTCCCGTATCTATTACCTCGATTGTAGCAGGTGATCTGCATGATAAATTCCGAGCCCTAATTCCGCTGAGGAGCAATCCCCGCCAAGGCGGTGAGTCAAGCTCTGGCGGAACTTTTTTCTCTCGCGGCAAAAAGAAAGCCGCGGACATAATATTACATTCTCTCCCACTCCAATTCCCAGACACAATTTACCGCAGACAATGTCGCGGTTCGGCGCAAAGAAGGGCAGAAAATTGCCCGGTGCAGAATTTACCTGGGACAACACCGACGCAAGTGGCGAGGCAGACACAGCGCCTACTCCGCTCTTCCCTGTACGTTGGCCATGACACAAGCAAAATCCCTCCCCTCTCTCAAATGATAGCCATTGCCATCATATGCACTCTGCTCAGCAAAACCTACACAAAGCTTACCCTGTGTCTTTTCATGGATAGAAATATGCCATTCCCCGCGCACGACCCCTAAGCGAGCGCGAACAAGTGCAGGTTGATCTCTATCGAACCCTTCGCGAGCAGTTCCACGACGGGCCGTACTATTCCATTCTAGGCGCATCCTCGGGGACTGGGTACACAACGAACTCGAAGGCGAACTTTGATCCGTTTAATGGCATGCCCTCGTATTCGGGGAAGTATCAGAAAAAGAAGAGGCTTGTGCCGAGAGTGCAGGGGAGGCCATATGGTGAGATTTATATTCCCTAATCTCGTCATTGTGCTTTTCTTTCCGTTGCCGACTGATGCTAATACCTTTCTGGGTGGCAGTTATGAAATTCTTCCCTCGTGAGCTCTGGACAACCGTCATGCCGAATTACAAACCGGATGGGCTACTTGATGGGTATGTGCCCCAAACTTTACAGAGCGGGGTGAAGCGTGGGTTTGAGGAGGATGATGAGGACGATAATACTTTGAAGCGGCGGCGACAGGGAGACGCGGAAGAGGGTGACGAGAATGAGGATGCTGAGGGACCCATCCCTGACGCCGAAGAGGAGCAGGACGAGGAAGAAATTGTGGATGATGATTTTGAGGATGACGATGATGAGATGGGTGGGGATTATAACGCCGAGCAGTACTTTGATGGCGGTGATGATGAATATGGGGATGACGGATTTGGGGATGGAGGGGGTGGTGGCGGTGATGAAGATACTTATTGAGATGTATTTGTACGGATACCCTTATTTTTTGGAGTTATGGCTATCTTTAAGCGATTGTTTAGCATATCAATTGGAAATAACGTTGAGTTCCTTCTCAATTAACTATCGATCCTACTACAAGAGCATACCGTCGAAAGCAGCCTTGTCATTGCCCCGGGCTTTTATATCCGGTACTCAAGCCCTAACTCCAATGTTGATAATACTGGGCATTGCTAATAGGTATTCTATAAGGAAGCCGTCATTTGGTAGGAGCAATGGCCCCAGCGCTTTCCAAAAATATTCAAATGGTAAATAATACTTCAGGAAGGCACGATGGGCCGGGCATCAGCTGGGCCACTTGCTGAATTAGGAAGCTGCGATGAGGGGTTCCCCGAACGCTGATGCTTGGATAGGAAGGCACGCATACGGCCGGATCACATAAATTGGGGTCAATACTGACAGATACCAATCTGGGCAGCTGGTGCTAGCAGACTCTAAGACAATATAGTCATATCAGGGCGACATGATAATATGGAAGGTGATTCCGACGACTGCGGGGAAAACCCTGGGGGAGACCCCAAAAGTCACCCCATTAAGGACTACAGTGCCAGGATTTATAACTAGGTAGCGTGAATTCCTCGGCCGATACCTGTTAACCTGACACTAAATAGTTTATACTCATTGCTCAAGATAATCTCGCGAGTATGGCCATACCAAGTTCAGCAGCTAGTCTTTTCGATGTCACCAGCATTGTTGCGGTGGTGACTGGTGGTGGAAGTGGTATGATATGAAAATCACTGTAAAATACTTGAATTATCAGGCTAACAAATCTGAATTAGGTCTGGGCCTGCTCATGACGCGTGCACTAGCAAGCAACGGTGCGAAGAGGGTTTACATTCTGGGAAGACGCAAGAACGTGCTTGACCAGGCAGTTGCAGACATAGTAGCGTCTCCAAGCCCCCATATATAAATCTGCGTCTGATGTTTTCTAGGGCCAAAATAACGTGGTTCCAGTCCAATGCGATGTAACAGATCAAGAAGCGCTCAATTCGGCTGTTGCATTTATCGAGTCGGATATAGGGCATATCAATCTCCTGGTTGCCAATTCAGGAATAATCGGCCCATCCGGAAGCGCACCCCCCGGGTCAAGCATCACCCAGGTGCAAGAGGCGCTGAGAAAGGTTCCCATGGAGGAATTTACCAACACATTTCACGTGAACTGCACTGCAGTCTTCTACACCGCAATCGCATTTCTTGGGCTCCTGGACGCTGGGAACAAGAGGCAGAACTACCCCAACGGCAGGAGTCAAATCATCGCCACCAGTAGTATCTCAGGCTTCAACCGCCGCATCACGGATGGATTTGCATACGGGACAAGCAAGGCAGCTACAACGATGATGCTGAAGGCGTTGGCTACTTACTTGGTGCCGCATCGTATTAGGGCTAATGTTCTTTGCCCCGGATGTACGTGAGATAACAACACCAATTGCATGATATGTATCTTTCCAACAGAACAGCAGGAATACGCACTGACCATAGTTGTTCAACCTTAGGGTTTCCAACTGATATGACGGCGGATCATTTCCACGGAAACGACCCAAGTGCGGAGGGGGCGTTTCCCCTGAACGAGATTCCGGCTGAGCGAGCTGGAGCGCCCGAGGATATTATGGGACCGTTATTGTATCTAGCTTCACGTGCGGGGGCATATTGTAATGGGAACTGTGTGATTACCGATGGTGGTCGTTTGAGTGTCACTCCTGCTACCTACTAGGGTGGGTTACTCCTGGCGAAGTGGAAAGTCTTCAGGGAAGAGGATTACATCTGCAATTTTGTATCTATTGCGGAATCGGTAATATAATACTCTTTGCCGCATAACTACAGCATGACAATCTTAGTAATTTTGGCAACTGCTGCTACTACATCGATGATAGAGACTTGGACTATGCCGCATCATAATCATACTGAGTATCACTCTGCTAATCTTTAAGTAGATCTATAATTAGAGAGCTATTTCGGGTCCAAAGGCCCTTAATATGACACAGCCAACCGAAAGGGAAGAAATTCAAGAACGCTCCTACTACTATTCTCGGTGGTAGTACGCGCCATAGTACTTTGACACTAGAATAAAACGCAATATCCTTAAAATATACTTAACCGCTATAAGCGACGTCAGTATCCGTTCCTCGGGAATTTATTCCTCTTACTCCAGTATATGCATTTGGACCCATCGTCCTCCCGCAGACACCTCATATCCACTGAGCAAGTCCCACTAATCAAGTCCACAACACATCAAACTTAATCGAACAGACCTGTTCGATGTAGGACCCTGGTTAGAGTGGTGATGTCCCACTCTTCGACCGAAGCGGTTCGGCTGGAATAAGTACGTGTTGGCGTGCGCAGACGCAGGGTTGCACGAGAGGTGCTGGAGTTGCGCCACCATGTTTTCGTATCGGCATTTGGCTCCGTTCGTTGGGAAGGGTGATATATCATATTCGTTTAGTTGTTGGGTTTATTGTGTTGGATTTCTTCCATGGCCCGACTCAAGTTTAGAGGCACTTTGCAATGGTAGTATATGCGAAGTTCATTGTGTACTTGGCTTATTTAGACTGACATAAAACGAGAACAGAACGATGTGTACAAGATCTAGCCTCCAGTCACGCTTGTAGAAGCGTCAGAAATAAAAGTAAATAACTTCGTCTAGCTAACTAATCATAAATCAACAGTATCGTGTCCATCACAGAGCTGCTCACAGAGCTCCGAGCTCCTTCAGCTTTCCGATCAGGCCATCGACATCCTCGACCTTGCCGCCACCCTGTCGGGTCGGGGGTTCTGCAATCAAGGTTAGTATCTCGAACAAGCATCCAAGGCACCGCCAAGTGGGAATGAACATACCCGTAACCTTCAAGGTCTTCAGGCGCTTCTTATCCTCTACACCAAAGTCCGCCAGCGTCTTCTTCTCCAGAGGCTTCTTCTTCGCCTTCATGATGTTAGGCAGACTCGCATACCGCGGCTCGTTCAGTCGCAGATCAGTCGTGATAATCAGCGGCAGCTTAGCCTTGAGCGTCTCAACACCGCCATCAACTTCGTGCGTAATCTCAACAGTCCCCTGCTCATCCTTAATGTCAACCTTGCTGGCTTGTGTCGCCTGCGGCCAGCCCAGAAGACCCGCCAGCATCTGACCCGTCTGCCCCTGGTCACCGTCAATGGCCTGCTTTCCAAGCAGCACCAAGTTGATGTTCTCCTTCTCCACCACAGCACGCAGTGTCTTGGCAACGGTCAGCGGCTCCAGGCCGCCGTCGTTGCTGTCGGGTACATCAATGTGGAAAGCACGGTCGGCGCCCATGGCCATCGCAGTGCGAAGGGTGTCGGCGCATTTCGGTCCGCCGGCAGAGAGGGCAAGGATATTGTCGACCTTTAGGGGGCCCTTGCGTTCGCGGAGACGCACGGCTTCCTCGACGGAGAGCTCGTCGAATGGGTTGAGGGAGTGCTTGACACCAGCGGTCTCAACGCCGGTCTGGGCCTTGTTGATTCGGGGTTTGATCTATGTTTATTAGCTTAGTGCAACCCGAGTAATAAATGCCATGCGGGATAAGTAAAGCAAAATGCAAACGTGGATTCCCGGTATGAACAGCTTCACAGCAGCAACTCGAAGGCCCCCGGGGGAACAAGCCTGCGCCGAAGACGGAGCTCAAGCAAAGAGCAAAACTCACCGCATAGTCAATGACCCTCTTAACAGGGACAAGGATCCGCAAACCGCTAGCCATTGTGAAATATGTAACCGGTTAGAGTATTCTCGCACTCGTGGTAATCCAGCAATTGACTCCTGGACAGCGGGGGCCGGAGCAGGTGTCAAAGAGGGTGGTGTATGTTCAGGTAGGCCGATCGGACGGAGGGCAGAAAACAGGTGATTTGAGGGCGGAGAGACGAATTGGGCGGGCCGAGTGTCCAACCAGGTGACCCGCTTGTTTGGTGCGAACGAGCCCGATCCGCCTCCAGCCGAGGTTACCCATCGCTTGCCAGCAGCCATCACGCATGTAGCCGACTTTGTGGCCCATCGGCCATCTCTGCGGTTGACCTTCAGGCGGTTGTATCGGTATATGAAAACTACCCTACCGGACAAACGTTGTAGTTCTGACTTAAGCGATTTCCTAGAGCTCAGCGTCGGTTCGAACTGAGCGTGTACGCTATCACTCCTTGCACAAGGTAAACACGTCATTATTCATGACTGCTCCTTATCGTGAGCCTCGGCTCACTGCACCTCTGCAGTCTGGAAGCCTATAGTTAGTTCAGCTCGTATGCTCTGATGCCGAAAATGAATTACTGCCTTAGGCCACAGTATTTTCTGGAAAGCCCTCACATGCCTCTATTGGCCAACCTGTAATGGAGGCACGAACTCAACTTTATTTAGACAACTGGATTATTTATGCTTTTAGATGCCATCCAGGAGAAGAAAATGTGGCTGGTGAACATCTAACGTCTATGCAAGGGTTGAAGCTAGGTGAGGGTGGCTCGGATATTGAAGTTTCGCCTCCATGATCTATATATTTACATTGACTTTATTTGTCTATATATAGCAAAGAAAACTCGACTGTTTTCCAATCCTCACCACGTCTCTTGTTTGTACCTCCCCGTCTTCTCCATGCCAACCAAATGATCTTCTGCCTCCCGTCTACTGAAAGCCTGCGTGCCAGATTCATTTCCAGACTGGAACGCCTCTGTTAATGATTCCCGCACAGCCTGGGGCATACGGCCCGACGATCCACAGACAAACACGGCGCCACCTTTATCATGTAGGAGGTTGAAGACTAAGCTCGAGTGCTCCTTGATAACATCCTGGACGTAAACCTTCTGCTTCTGATCTCGCGAGAACGCCGTCAGGACTTTAAGCTTGATCAGCTCGCTCAAGTGGTGCCACTCGTCCTCGAAGAAGAAATCCGACGCTCTGTTGCGGCCGCCATACACAAGGATCGTCGGCTCGATGGGCGGGTCAACGCCTGGGTTTTCCTCCTGGTACGACTTGACTATGGCAGCTTTTTCCCAAAGCATGGATCGCAGCGGCGCAACGCCCGTACCAGGCCCAATCAGCATCATCGGCCCAACTAGTTGGCCGAAGGACGAATTCAGGCCGCCTCGCTGGAGCTGGACGCGGAGGGTACTCCCGGGCCGCAGATTGGAGATATACTTAGTGCAAACACCCTCTCTTATTCTCTTAATCACGGTGCGGTACTTGACGATTGCGATTAATAGTTCGAACTTTGCGCCACCCTCTGGCGTTCGCTTCAGTTCTCCGCCGCTGGCGATGCTGAACTGGCGCCCGCGGAAGATCGGAAATGCGGATGTTGCGTGTTGCCAGGGGATTTTGACAGTGTCGAACTCATGTAGGATCTCGAGAATGCTGCGCCGTGGTCTTGTGGTGTAATCCCAGAACTCATCGAGGAATTCGGGGTTGGTGAATTCTAGAAGGCGCTCCTGGTGCATGTCGTAGGTGGTATAGTGGGCGATGGAAGAGAAAAATGACCGCCGGGGGATCGCTCGGATGTCGAGGTAGTTTATGAGTAGCTCACGTAGGGTGAGCCTGGGATGGGATTCGAGGTTATGGATGGGCGGAATCGGTGTTTCTTCCGGTGGTAGAGTACTGTCGCGAGGAACTAACGATACTAGACGGTCGGCTTGCTCTTGCCAGCCCATCATCTCAATGAGGCTTTGGACATCCTCGGGAGTGTTTTTTGGGGTGATTGCTATAACATCTCCTGGAGCATACGACACCGGGTTGGGCACAGTTAAGCTCAAGTGACGCACGTCCTGCCAGTGCGTCCCCGGGGTTATGCGCTTGTTCTGGGTCAGTGTCGCAGCCAAGCTATCGTGGAGTGGGCGACAATCATTGTCGAGTCGATATGAGTCTGGAAAGTCTCCAGATATGGTCACCCCATCCGTTTTTGGAGGAACAGCAGCATCGTCGGAAGGTGGTACATCCTGCTCTTGTAATTGTAGAACCCATTTTGGTGGCAGTTGAACATCCTCCGGTATCGGATCCTGTCCTTCAGGAAGAGGATATCTCTCAAGCAGGTACGTTCGGAAACCTGTCAACCAGGGAATAAACGTTCCCTCGAGCCTATATCAATAGTCAGCGGGTGGCCATCGAGGATATAGTAATAGGAAGTATACCCCTCGGGATGCTGCTGGTCTGCCTCCCCACCAGAGTGAATCTCATCCGCACCCAGCTGCAGCAATCTCTTGTATAGTTTGCGCGCCGCCCAATTGAACCTGCCATTGTTAGAAATTCACACCATGAACAGTCCCAAACAAAGCCTTGAGGAATACTAACTTGGGGTACGAGCTATCACCCAGCCCAAACCATGAAAAGCTGACCCCACTCAGGAAAGTCGCCGGCAACTTCTTCAAAAGCAGCGACTTCCAGAACGTCCTCGCATTAGCAGGCAGATCTCCCTGGCCAGTAGTTGACACCGAAAAGACAACAATTGTGTACGACCTCAACGATTCCTGGGTCCGCAGTTAGAACGATTCTACAGATGTATAAAAACGCGGGGCAACAAACCGGCTTAACGTGGTTTAACTCAGAAACGTGGGTGGTGAAATGGAGCCGCTCGACCATCGCACCGAGCTCCTCGGCGACATCCTGTGCATTGCCAGTTTCGGAGCCGTAGAGGACGAGAGCAGTGCGTCGCTGCGAGGCTGCATCCCCGCTCATACTGGCGTGTTAGATGAAGCAATAACCTTATAGCACTGGCGCGGCTCGTGATCGCTTGAGTTGCTTGTTGTTGGAGTCAAATTTGGTTCGAGACTCCGCTGATCGGAATGATGTCATCCGGGATCGGACTGAAAAGATATTCACACTCACAACTCCTACCTTATGCTTCTCTATCTGGTTATTTCTAGGTAAAGTAGAGATAGATAATATGATTTTACTTGCTACTGACTAGTGAGCTACTGGTTCTCGTAACAGACATTCTACTGCGTCAACCACAGCCCTATTGCTCGTGGCTAGCGACACTTTGCGCTGTAGGCCACTGGTGCAACCAACCTGCGTATACCCAGCCCTAAACAGGGAGTCTCTGATGCCGAGGTGGCTGATATACGCAAATAGAAAGCATCGGGGGCCCAACGAAACCATTCTGGGGCTGGCCTGCATATCCGTGGAGCATGGTGTTTAATTGACAGTTCCCGAAGCTGTGGGCTGCTTGACGAAATAGAAAATTTTTTTCAAGAGAGGTGTCAGATACAGCAAGGTTCATCGACAACATATCATACAACTCTGCAAGATTTGGTTTTTTAGTGGTGGTAGCGGAGACTGCCGGCCGAAACTTTGCTTGGAGACTTGCTCGAAATGAGGGTAGAGGAAGAGGGTTCGGGGTCCGTTTCAAGTATATTACCTACATCGATACTGAAGACTGACGAGTGACGGCAATGTTCATCTTATATATCGGGTGTCCGTTTTAATTGCCTCAAGAAGAATTCCGCATGGCTTCTTCTGGCTAGTCAATACATTGGAACCGAACACGTTTGACGGCGATAGTAGCCCCGAAAATGAACATGTATGAAGACGACGGAATATTGCGGCCGTTTAGCCGTCAGCCATGGATAGCTCGACCACCTACTCCATTCGGTAATGAATACTGCTGGGGACCAAGTCTCCACCTCGCGCATGGAGGAGCCTTCCCGATGTCTCGGCGATTAGCCTGGAGTTCTAGACCGTTGATCGATTCTATACCTCACAGGGCTGATTGGTTGGCATCAGTCCCAGCGCTTTTGAAGACTTTCTCGAGAACTGAGAAGACAGGAAGAGACTTCCAGGCTCATCCTCGTGTCGAAGAGAGTCATCGTGAGAATAACTTCGATGAACCGATGGAGCTCGGTGGAGTACGAACTGCTGCATATGACCTGTATGGCGTTGCCGGGGCAAACAACACATGGTCTCTCGACGAGATAGAGACAATACAACCAGACTCTGGTTACACGGGGATTGCTCGGAAGTCCATAAGTGGAAATCCAATTACATTTTGGTCCCGAGAAATCATCTGCAAACCCCACAGTGGTCGTGAGAAAATGATGGAGAATTGGAGAGCGCCGAGAAGAAAACCTCGAAAGTTGAGATCGCCATAGGGCACTAGGATAGGTCACTGCGGACATCTTGTCAAGAAAGAGGTCCGCAGCAGGCCTTCCCTTTCATCTCCGACGGTCTGGCCCGGATTTAGACTATTGAGAAACTACTGCGCGATCCGGGGTGCCCCGTTGGGATGTATCATGCAAGAGAAGTGGGCGGCAATCAGATCGCTGGGATGCGGATCGAGGGAAATGAGCATGGACGGCTTATTAACCGAACCATCGAATTGGAGGCAACAAGGCGGCTAAGCTGGCGAAGCTGATTATCCAAGCATCATGAGGCTGGGCTGAGGAAAAGCGCAGCAAGTGAGCTGTCAGATTTCCGGTGGACGGGATGCAGCTTGATACATACGATCGGAGGCTGGAATGGGATGCACCCTTGTCCTTGGAGAAGGGAAGGGAAAATTCAAACCTTGAAAATCGTGGAAACAAACCTTGTTTACCGTGGCGGAGCATGGCCCTCCTCTCATCTCGCAGTGAAAATTTCGAAGATTCTGAATATTCGGAGGGCTGTTCAGGCCTGGTTCAGGCCCCATCGGGTACGTAGTCCATGATGACGACACTGGCCTTGTCGGGGTTTCACCCGGAACTGGGGGAAAGAATGCTGTTCCTGGATGTTTGAGCCTTGAGTGAACGATATTGTAGACCTGGCACGGACAGTAAGTACAGTGTGCTCTGTAGATAGATGGAGTCAAGGTGATTGACTGCTTATCGATCGCCAACGGGGATCACTGACGGCGCCGATGATGTAACTCTAGCCTCGTTTCTTGAAGCCTTCCCCTCCTTCACTGCAGCTGTGCAGTAGTTTGTCCCTTGACTCCTCCTTCCACTGGGCCACTGTCCATTGCAAAGCTCGATCCAGCCACTGTGCTCCGTACATTTTCTATGCCTTGCCGGTCCAGCCGTTGGCAATCCAAACTAATGGTTTCCTGCGCTGACTCCGCGCAATGCCAGCTGCGCTCCCCCAGTCCGATTACTTATTTAGCTTCTGCATCCCGGTCTGCTCCTCTGATGCTGATGCTTTTCTTTTTCTTTTCTTCTTTGGATCCCTCTCTCGTGGCCCGAACGCATCAGACTAGCTGATCATCAAACGACCTGTTTGCTCGCTGTTGGTAATAGATCTTGGCGACGCATCCATACATCATAATTAATTCCCCTTTGGTCGCCTCAACAACACATCCGGGTGAACCCTGAATTTATTCTGCTTCCCGGGAATTCCGCCCTTCCGTCTGGCGGCCTTATATATCAAGTCCGGAACATCGGCCTTGTTTCCCAGGTGGTTCTTCCCCGTCCTTAGAGGTAAGGCCTCGCCGTGTTGCCGGCCCGCGGTTCCCTTTCCAGTATGCCACTGGTTCCTTCAGTTGCCACCCATCTGACCTTCTTGCCTTACTCAGTTCAGCCGGTCAGCGCGATTATCAATCCGAGATATTGTCGTCGGCATTTCTAAACCCCCGGATTTGGCTGTCCGCATTTTCTCTGTTTTCACATTCCGACGCCAGGCGCGCATTCTCCGGCTGTGGCAGACAGGCAGCATACCAGCGCCTATTCCCCCCTCGATCATTCTCTGGCGCGTTGAGACTGCCGACCGCGATACATGTTCGCCGTTTCCGGCACATCCGACTCGTCAAGTGTTTGACTGTGCATATATAGCATCCAGCCTTCGACTTTTACTGCGCAGTCCTTCTATACCCTTTGCGCAACCTAGAGTTGCTCACCAAACACGCCTAGTCGCAAGCGGGCGCCTTAATCGCCCGCAATGCCTCCCTCCCTTTGGGTTAAGACAAAAGGGACCTCCAAAAAGGGCTTCGATAAGGCATGGCATGCCCTAGACAAGCTGGGGGATCCCGTTAATCGACTGTCCAACCGTGTTGGTGCTGAGGCCTTCTGGCCTATGACCACGGACAAGGAAAGCGACAAAGCCGCTCGAATACTACGCAGCTTTTGCAAAGATGGCTTCTACGCCGACAACGAGACCGATCGACAGAGCTCTGAGAGCGTCATAAACAAGGATACTGGCAAAATCGATAAACCCAAAGGCAAGCAGCGGGTGTTGAAGAAGATCCCTACCAAGGTCATCCAACAGGCCAAGGGTTTAGCGATCTTTACAACTATGCGTACGGGTCTATGGCTCAGTGGCTCCGGTGGTAGTGGTGTCCTTCTGGCCCGTATTCCCGAAACAGGCGAATGGAGTCCGCCGTCCGGTATCATGTTGCACACTGCAGGTGTAGGGTTTCTCGCAGGCATTGATATCTACGACTGTGTGGTTGTGATCAATACCTACGAAGCTCTCGAGGCATTTAAGAAGGTCCGCTGTACATTAGGCGGAGAAGTTAGTGCTTCAGCTGGGCCTGTTGGAATGGGTGGTGTGCTCGAGTCGGAAGTCCATAAGAGGCAAGCTCCCATTTGGACTTATATGAAGAGTCGGGGGTTATATGCAGGCGTCCAAGTGGATGGTACTATAATAATCGAGCGAACCGACGAAAACGAACGGTTCTACGGTGAACGCATTTCTGTGACTGATATCTTGGCTGGGAAGGCCAGACACCCTCCTGCATCCATTCAACCTCTCCTTCAAACAATAAAAGCAGCACAGGGAGATACGGATGTGAACGAGGATTTGCTTCCTCCACCGGGGGAAACACCCGGGGATGTGGAGCTAGAGCCAACTCCAGCATTCGGCATTCCAGATCCAGAGGATCCAGATCCGTTTGGCGTCAAAGCTTTGGAAGCTGAAGGTCTGTTCATCCGCGAGGCTGGTTCTAGAGCCCGACCAACCCATGACGTCTTCGAGTTTAAACCGAACCCGAATAGTCCTGTCTATGCAACTTTCCGGCGAAGTATGGAGAGCTCGCAGCGTAACAGCTGGCGGACTAGCGTCCAGAGCTATGTCAGTCAAGACCGAGGTACCCAAACTTTCGATGAACCTTCCACTGCGCCGACTTCTCTCAGTCGTGCGTCTTCGACGAGCCATAGGGATTTCTCAGAACCCAAGGACTCGATTCCGTCGGATAACGAGGGACACTGGGAGACAGTCATCCCTGAGCACCACGAGGCAAACTTCCGCAGCCAGGATAAAAGTCTACAGGAAAATTTTATCGACGATGAAGACTTTGAAGTACACGAAGTCAGCAGCGCCAGAATCTCCAGGCCCGACAGCGCTACTGGATCTCCCGTGTCATCAGAGCCTCCAACAACGTTGGGTGAACCAATGCGCCAGTCGCCTCCTACTTTCACCCGCGCTCGCCTTGTTACTATTGCCAAGAGGCAACCTCCATCGCTTCCTCCGCGGAACCCTTACCGAGCGTCGACCTCGACTTCCACTCCCGCCTCGCCTATTCCTTGGGCTTCGTCCGATGATAACCGATCCGTAACCTCCATCTCTACTCGCGCCTCTCTCGGTGGGGCCGCTGCAGCGACTGACAGCGGTAAGAAAGACTCGAGCGCAGGCGCATCATCTGTCGACGAGACATCTGAGTCACACAAGGCGTCTGGCAGTAAAGATGACGAGTTCCACTCCGTATCCAGTGCTCACTCGTCTGAATCGGCACCGGAAAAGGAAATCGGCACGCAAAACGAGCATTCTCGCTCAGCGACTCCCGAAGACAAGCTTGATGCGACTTTTGCCGAAGGAAAGGCCACTGAGGAGAATGTCACCGAGGCGAAGGCCACTGAAGAAAAAGCCAGCAAGGGAAAAGCCAGCGAAGAAAAAGTCACCGACGAAGAGGACAAGAAACTATCGCAAGACGAAGTCTCAGCCGCAGAAACGCATACCTAAACCGTACGAACCTATTATCAACCCTAATTTGCCCCTCCCATTATATTTGATACCCTCCCTTCACTCATATTTTCTTTTGCTCAGGCTTTATGTTGTATATATAAGATTACGTTTAACCTTATGTTGTGGATACTTTTTCGTTGGTTGGAGTTTCTCTTTGCATTCTCAAGATTGCCGACGAGTCGGCGTCTATCTTGCTTTCAACTTAATTATTTAGCGATACCTTATTCTCATGGGCCCGTTGATATATCAGCATTGTTTTACAGCGTTCAGGGCGTTGGGAGGCACTGGGGAACCGCTGTGTGGGCTGACATAATGTCTTACTCCTGGATCTCCTAACTATAACTTTTACGAAGGGGAGTTTGTATGATAGCCTTGCTTGTTAATTGTATATCCCATTGGCTTTCTTATCATAATTCTCCGTTTTCTTCATTATTATCTTTAATCTTATCTGTAAGGGACTCCCGGCTTCGGCCGAGGGATATCCGGAAACATCAAATGAGTTCGAGCGCATCCCCGACTCGAAATTAATTTGTTTATTTGCGTCAGCAACGCTTATCACAGAGTGACACTGCAGTGGAACCTGCCGGGAGCTTGAAGCCGCTAGGTCTCACTTGGTCTTGCTGATCGATCGCTGCCGTCGGGCCACACAGCTTGTCACAGCCCCATCCACCCCTGCGATTGTTACATCGATCGTCGCTTTCCCCGCTACTGACCGTCCCTGTCGACCCCCTATTGCGTTATCGGCTGCTCCCAGCTCCCAAGGTAGCCCTGACCTCTGGCACAGATAAAGCCAGGATGATCCCCGATCACCGGTGCTTCCCCTTCTGCAACTTGTGTTCTTCGGGCGTTGCTACTTCTCGCAATGCCCTCCCTCACGTCGCTGCTCGGCCTCTCCGCGGGCCTAGTCAGCCTTGTCGCCGGCCAGTACTTTCCTCCGTCTCCTGAGGGCGTGAAGGTCGTCCACTCCAAACACCAGAAGGGTGTTACAATTTCGTATAAAGAGGTAATGCGATCCAATTCCTTTAATTCATTTGCTGCTCCAGAGTGAGGATAAGCACTCCCGCACCCGATTCAATGCATTCATTCTAACAAATTCCTCACAGCCTAAAATCTGCGAAACAACCCCAGGCGTCAAATCCTACTCGGGGTATGTCCATCTACCATCAGGCACTCTCAACGATCTTGGTCTGGATCAGCAGTATCCAATCAATACCTTCTTCTGGTTCTTCGAGTCCCGGAACGACCCGCGCAATGCGCCTTTGTCGATATGGATGAATGGCGGGCCTGGAAGCTCGTCTATGATCGGTCTGATGCAGGAGAACGGGCCGTGTCAGGTCAATGGCGACTCGAATTCCACCGAGTTGAACCCGTGGTCCTGGAACAACTACGTCAATATGCTCTACATCGACCAACCGAACCAAGTTGGTTTCAGCTATGATGTGCCGACGAACGGGACATATGACCAGCTCTCAGGCGAGCGCGAAGTTTCGCCTGATGGGTTTGAGAATGGTGTCCCCAAGCAGAACAGCACGTTCTATGTCGGGACATTCCCGAGTTTGAATGCGTCGACGTCGGCGAATACGACTGAGAACTCGGCTCGGGCGCTTTGGCACTTTGCACAGACTTGGTTCTCGGAGTTCCCGGCGTATAAACCCCGTGATGATCGGGTTAGTATTTGGACTGAGTCGTATGGTGGGCGCTACGGGCCGGCGTTCACTGCGTTCTTCCAGGAACAGAATGAGAAGATCGCGAATGGCTCGCTTACGGAACCTGGGGAGTCGCATTATATTCATCTGGATACGCTTGGGATTATTAATGGTTGTGTGGACTTGCTTGTCCAGGCACCATCGTACCCTGACATGGCGTACAATAATACCTACGGGATTGAGGCAATTAATGAAACCGTGTACGACCAGGCAATAGAGGCATGGAGCAAGCCGGGTGGCTGCAAGGACCAGATTACGAGATGCCGCCGTCTTGCAAAGGAGGGCGACCCTCATATGTACGGCAACAATGCGACTGTGAACAAGGCTTGTCAAGAAGCGGACTCATACTGCAGTAACACTGTCGAGGGTCCCTACATTCTATACTCTGGCCGAGGCTACTACGACATTTCGCACTTCGACCCGGACCCTTTCCCCCCACCTTATTACCTGGGTTACCTGAGCCAGAACTGGGTCCAGAAAGCTCTCGGCGTCCCGATCAACTTCACCGAGTCCGTCGACAGTGTTTACACCGGCTTCTCGAGCACCGGCGATTACCCACGCTCCGATGTCCGAGGATACCTCGAAGACATTGCATACGTGCTTGACTCGGGCATCAAGGTGGCCCTCGTTTACGGCGACCGCGATTATGCATGCCCCTGGAACGGCGGCGAAGAGGTAAGTCTGCAGGTCGACTACAGCAATGCAGACAAATTCCGCGCCGCGGGGTACGCACCGCTGCAGACGAACGCCTCGTATGTGGGCGGCAGAGTGCGTCAACACGGAAACTTCTCATTCACCCGGGTGTTCGAGGCAGGACACGAAGTTCCCGCGTACCAGCCGCAGACGGCGTACGAGATCTTCCACCGTGCGATGTTCAACCGCGACATTGCGACGGGGAAGATCTCTACGAGTAAGAATAGCACCTATACCACCAAGGGGCCGTCTTCGACATTTGATATCAAGAATGAGGTACCCGATAGTCCGGAGCCGACTTGTTATATCCTGTCTCTGTCCTCTTATTGTACTGATGAACAGGCTGAGAGTGTGTCGAATGGCACTGCAGTAATCAAGGATTATATAGTGGTGGATGAGAATTCTCCTGGGCTTCGAGTTTGAGGGAATCCCCTTACGTCGCGGATATAAAGACGACCTTCGATCCAGCCCAGCTGCGTGTGGATCATGCATGTAAATAAATGTCGGTGACCGTGAATACACCAATTGGAATAAATGGCGAGATGTTAGAACCTGGATTCCATTATTCTGGACGTGGGCGGGTGGATCGCAGCTATCCGTAACGGGCAACTGTGAGGTTCTGTAGGGTAAGGAGGTGGTAAGGCGCGGGCACTTTCAGGCACCCCCGAAAGTCCGAGTCGTCTCCCAATCCCGCCCAATATAATTAAATCAATGACCGTGCACGATCTTCATAAAGTCACAGTCTCGCAGTTCAATTCTCTCATCCTATCAAACAGAGTCAATATTGACAATTGGTGCTAAAAACCAACCCGACTCGCTCTCCGGTCCGAAGCTTCTCGAATCTTCGATTGGCTCTTCGTTGCGGTCAACGTCACACGTCACGCCCCGGGGCTCTGGGCTCTTTCAAGATCGCCCTGGCGTCACTCAAAGAAACCACTCTTCCAACTCTATTATAACCCTTCGTTTTCATCCTGTTTGCTGTCGTTAAGTGTGCGCTACTTTTAGCTGATTATCGTATTGTATTGTTGAGTTATACACTCCCATACTCTCCCACTACCGTACAGCTCAGCTCCCCGCATTCGTCCCCTACCGAATCTTCTACGTCATTCGAGTACCCCCCTCCAAACTGGTCTTAAAGACACCACTCTTACCTCTCGCGCAACACCACGTCCAAACTTTAAAGTATTAATAATACCCTTCAATTGGTGTTTCTTAGCCCGAAATTTCCATTTCCATACTATAGGGCACAATGGTTGCGGAAACGAAGTTATATGACTCCCTCGGAGTCAAGCCCGATGCTTCCCAAGACGAAATCAAAAAGGCCTACCGGAAGGGAGCCTTGAAATATCACCCAGATAAGAATAAGGATGATGCGAAGGCTGCAGATCGGTTCAAAGGTATGTTTTCTATCCCCTTATGCTCCTGATTTTTGGTATTCATTGTTGCTGATTAACTTCCCTTCTACAGAGGTCTCCCAAGCATACGAAGTCCTATCCGATCCGGAAAAACGAAAAGTATACGACCAATTTGGCCTCGAATACCTCCTCCGCGGCGGACCCCCGCCAACATCAGGCGGCGGTGCAGGCCCCAATCCCTTCGAAGGAGGCGGCATGCCCGGTGGATTCTCATTCGGAGGGATGCCAGGCGGCGGCGGCGGTGCCCGCACGTTCCACTTTTCATCACGGCCTGGTGGTGGTGGCGGCGGCCCTGGCGGAGGCGGATTCCAGTTCAGCTCTGCGGACGATATCTTCCGGAACTTCGCCAAGGCGAGCGGTGGCATGGGTGGAGGATTTGACGACGATGATATATTCTCCATGCTAGGCGGTGGCTTTGGTGGTGGTGGTGGTGGACGCGGCGGAGGTCCCCGGTTCCGAAGCAGTCGTGGGCCTAGTAATGGTGGTGCTGGGTTTGGCCGACAGTCGTCTCAACGGGCGCCGACACCCGAACCGACCGTTGTTGAGAAACAATTGCCGCTGACACTGGAAGAGATTATGAGTGGGTGTTCGAAGAAGGTGACGGTTAAGAGCAAGACGTTCGATGCGAGCGGGAAACGTACCGTGCAAGATGTGACGCTGGAAGCGAACATCAAGCCTGGGTTGCGAACTGGTTCGAAGATTAAGTATCGCGGTGTCGGTGACCAGGAAGAAGGTGGTCGACAGGATGTCCACCTCATTGTTACAGAGGTAAGCTAATCATCCTAACCTGAACCCCCATTCATTGTCGTAAATGGATCAGTACTAACTACCCAGCAGAAAGAACACCCCAACTTCAAACGCCACGGCGATCAACTAATTACAACAGTCGACCTCACTCTCAAAGAGGCTCTCACAGGCTGGAGTCGTATCGTCCGCACCATCGACGGCAAATCGATCAAGGTGTCGAAACCTGGCCCAACAGCGCCTGGTTTCGAGGAGAGTTTCCCAGGTCTCGGAATGACGATATCAAAGAAACCAAGTGAGCGAGGCGAGCTGATTGTCCGCGCTAATGTCGAATTCCCCAAGACGCTGTCATCCAGTGCAAAGGAGGTGCTAAAGGATGTTCTTCCTTGATTCAATACAAGCAGAGACTTGGGTTTGATTGCATTCGACTATGGGTGATGGCTTTGCGTTTAGTCGGTACATACTTATACCTATTTTCAGCATTGTTGGCGTTAGGATGAATATTGTGGGCCGTGGTTTACATTTTCTTGTTTTATTTCTTGTTTATCCGTGATGATAATGATTACCCATGATGGGACTGTTATTGAACATGTCCTTCCCAGCTTTATTCAGTGCATAGAACAAAGGAAAAAGTTGTTCATATTTATTGTTTGCTATCAGTAACAGAGTTTGTAGCTCCCATCATGTGTCTTGGACATTGAATAGGCCTGTATATTAGTCACAGAAATGTATGTAGATAAGTTCATAGTATAGTAGTTATAGCATATTTCCTTACTTGAAGGAGATAGTGAGCCATCAAACAAAACACACGGTAGCTAAGATCCGGGCAATTCTATAAAAATTCCAATCTAAACCAACTATCGCTCTAACTACTTATCGCCAGCTTCCCTCTATTAAGAAACCCATTGTAAACTCGTCGGTTTCGAGTGTAGAAAAGAGGACACAGAAATCGAAATAAAGATGGACCTCATGGACAACAGCCTGCCCTCCGCTAATAACTAGTCGAGTGGTCTATGAGTTCAACAAAGGGTGTCAAAAGTCCAGCTACACTTTAGCGCGATCTGCATCATCTGCTAAGGAGCGGGACCTACCGGCGCCGAGGCACCAAGCAACCTCCGATAACACTTCAACAAGTCGACGAGCTCCTTCCACACTCCAAGCCCGATACTCTCTCCTTTTAAGACCAGAATTACCTCCAAGCCACCAGCCTACATGCGCCAAAGAACCACCTTCATCCAAAAACCCTCCGCCCCCTTCCATCCCTCCCAAACCACTCTCAAGCGCGACGCCCTAGCAATCCAGGCTCTCGACGCTGCCCGCGAGGAGCGCCTGACGTTTAGCTTCGATGATCTCTCCACTGAGGTACGCTGTCTATCTTATAACTTATTCTGCATGCTACGACAGCCCTTTATGAAGTTAGCAGTGAGTTGGCTAACTTGTCGGTCACGGTGTTTATAGCTCTGGCAAGTCCTGAGACAATGCCAACAGCTTCATATCCGGTGGGCAAGTACGAGCAAGTTTGAGGCCGTGTCACCGTTTTCGAGCCGGATAAGTCCTGGATTACATGTCTTTTACTCGCCGGTCGCTTCTGGGAAGGGGGGTGAGAGGGAGGTATCCGGGTCGGGGTGAGCTTCTCCTACCTGGCCTGTTGAGGTTTTAACGATACGATATGCTGATACATTTATGTTTTGGACAGGGAAGCGGTATGTGCATTGCTGAAGAAGATATTCGATGATGGGTTGCGATGCGAAAGTCCTGAGGTACGTGTTTATAGCTTCCCCCACGTTATTTTGTGGGGGATACAGGCTGATATGAGGCTATGGATTTAGAAATCGTTCATCACGCCCCCTCTGCTTTCTACACGTTTCGCTTCGACGGCTGCATACCAATTTCATGATTTATTACCTACCCTCGAGAACCTGGTTACATACATTCAACAGAAGTTTTGTTCAACGGGCGACAAGGAATGTTATCGTCGGGCGGACTTGATTTTATCTGCGGACTCGGTTGATATGGACTATGATAGTATATCCCATGCTTTGACGGTGAGTGGCTATTGGTCAGAAGCTCCCGGGGCCCAAGGATGGTCGGAAACGATTGGGGCGCGTGAAGCTGGGACGGATCAGGTGGAGGTTGGGCTTCTAGGAGCCGAACAAGCAAATGATCCAGAGGAGATCAAGATGGGTGGGTTGTTGGCCGCTATCGGAAAAGATAATGAGTTGAGTAAGTTTTCCAGCCCTTCCCCATTCAAAGTGCCGTTAGCTGATTCATGGCTCAGAGCCTACACTCTTCTCATTCCCATCACGGCATCACCCATTGCCCGAAGACGCGACGTACGCGGTTTCGTTTTCGGCTCCCACCGGAATGCATCCTACGATGACTATTTCGATGGCCCGACAGGCGCTAAAGGTGCCACCGAGTCGGCCCGATGCGACCTGCGCCCTGCATGCTTATCTGACCCTGCCGTCCTCAATATTCGGCGACAAGTACCAGCTTTCTACCACGGATCCGTTGTTCCTCAAGTCCCATAACTTGGCCGCACTACGCGCACTAGCAGGAGAGATGGACCTCGAGGCACCGGACTGGTCTGTATCTCGTTGGGGTTCTAACTGGCTGTTTGAATTAGCCAGCCCGTCCGAGACCGAACAGAGCACAGAAGATTGGAACGCCACAATCCCCCTGCATTTGCGATATCTGCGTCCATCAGAGTCAGGTTATCGGTCGGCTTCGATACCCTGGCCCGTGGTGTTTTGGGCATGTTCGGCGGAAGATGGCACAAAGATGGGAACGAACCCGTTTGATCGGGCTAACTTGGGTTGGGAGGGACTATTCGGTCCTCGGACCATGTTTTACCAGCTTCATCCTTCGTCCGATCATGAGAAAAGAGTCCTCGTAGAAGATCTGGATGTGCCCGTTCTCACGCTGAAGGAGGGAGGAGGTATATTTGAAAGCCAGGTCATCGAATTGGGTACCGTTGTCGTCATAGTCCTTGGCTTCTTGTGGGTGCTATGGAAGCTAGGATTGGTGACGCGGTCATCCGGAATCAGGCCTCAGCAAGAACGGGCCACTGGCAAACAGGATAAAGCCGAATAGATGGCCCTTGCTGCGGTATATCTGTAGTTTTAGCGTTTGCATTTTAGGCACAATACCCTAGATAGACAGCATCTTGTCACCTATCTTTGATACCAGCAAGTCTGAGAATGAGCATCTGGAATGACGACGGCAAACAAATATACCACGTAGTTTCAAAGCGGACCCATGTCAAAGTCCCGAAGACTGGGTATATCAACTAGGATATCACTCAGCCAGGAAAAGCCCGGGTAATCCATAAGCGTGTGATCTGATTGCACCGTAGGCTCGGTGACCGGCGTCTCAGCGGGAACCGATACCGATGGGTTGAACTGCAGGACGTCTCTAATTGTCCGGATATCCTCTTCCTTTCGGCGCTGATGCATCACAGTCATCAGGTAAGCCGTTGTATAAGCTTCGCGCATAACTTCTGTATCATATGCAGACGCGACCTCGTGAAGTGTTCGCATGGACTCGCGCAGCATCGCCAATGCGGCACGGTTATCGATTGCCAGCAGGGTACACACAACTTGGAAGGGCACATTCGCGATTTGGTGCCAGGGGCAGCTCTGAGATACTAACTCTGAAACTGCTTTGAGTCCCTTACCGGAAAGTGCGAGCACGCGATCTAAAATATCGCCAGATAGGAAGGAGTTGAGGGCTCGCAGGCGGCGGTATATGCAGAGCATTAAGTTGCATTGCACGAGAATAAGATGGGGCTGGATGTAGACGACGTCAAGAACATCGACGAGAGCAATTTCAAGGTTTGAGACATCTTGTGCCTCATTTGGATCAAGGCTTTCGGATATAGGAAGGAGGTTAAAAATATCTGTCGTTAAGGCAGTTGCAAAGCCGTCTGTTGTAGGCCGTGGACTAGGAGGAAGAGAGGTTGCACCTTGCAGGACAACGCGAGAGCGACCAAGCTCAAAGGAGATCCAGACATTTAAATGACGTGCCATGGCGAAAAGTCGCCGGCGGGTCTCTGGATTGCAGGATTCAGTTGTCGACGTTCGATCAAGAGCTGTATTTGATGATGGCTCGATGTGCATTCCCGTTGCTTCAATGAGGTGCATCAGGGAACAGCTGGCCATCCAGGCTGCGTGCGCGGTAGTTGTCATACGGAGATACGCGACGCGCAACACCCAACCAGTCACTGTATCAACAGGGGAAAGCGGTTCGGACTGCAAGCCCTGTTCAAGTATTGACCGAGCAGACTCTATAAGCTGCAGTTCCGTTAGAGTAGCCCGCCGACGAGAAAAGAGGTACCCAAAAGCGGCCACGCCGCAAAGCACAGCATCGTAAGGCCCAAAGCCCAAAGCCTCAGATGTTGCGGGTAGCCATCGCCTGCTTATTTGGCGGAGAAGAGTATCCCGATCGATGAATGGATAACACGGATCTACCCTATCAAAGAAGATGCCAGCCAGCGATCGCATTTCATCTTGGGCAACGATTTCCACCACTGGCAGTGGCTTCACGGCTGACAGGGCCTGCGCCCATTCAGGAGTTGGGTAACGGGCCCCAACATTCCAGCCAAAAAGATGTAATTTCGGAGCGCCTGTCACATCATTTTTGGGATTGAGGCGGCGTGCGAATGCGGCGCCTGAATTCGCTTCTAAAGCTTTTAGTAGGAGTCCAGCCAAGGCAGCTGGGTTCGTTTGCTGATCATGCTGCTGTCTTTTCGCAGTAATATCGTTCTGGACCGTGGCAGGACTCAGCAACGAGCTTGTCATAGACTGTGACTGGAAGTGCCGAATATCTTTCTTCTTCCGTGATAGTAGGTCGTAGTGGCAATCAACGCCGAACTGCGCGCATGTTGTACATGGCTGGTCGCCCGAGCATTTGCGTTTGCGGGATTGACAGGAAGTGCAGGCGACTCTGGATCGCTTCCTGTTTTGATTAGACATGACTAGTTGCTTTCTTCACTAAACCATGAAGCTAGGGCAGAATAAAGACAGAATGCATCACAACTGGAGAACTACAGGAGTTTTGAATTCCTGGGCCTGTCAATGCTCGTCACTATCAACACATCACGTGCTCGGAATCACTCGCCCAATAGGGGAAGGCCTCTTTTACGCCGAAGATGGCCGAGGTTCTTTCTGCTTCACCTTTTCCACCCGAATTGCTCCTCGCTTGATCTTGATTCTGGGGTATTTAGAATTCTGGTCTAATCACCGATCCCGCATGATCACGATCGCGATCTTGGTTCTAGACTCGGCGACCTAGCTCTCTGGCTACTTCTGGATCACAAATCATTATACCTCCGCCCATCTGGGTACTGCATGAGCTTCTTCAATTCCTCTAAATCAGGCATACCAGAAGGACCAGGCATGTATTGTGGATTCTCCCGATATGAGGTGCCATTTGTCCAAAGTTCATTTCTACGCAGCGCATCGGTGACCGAGCCTTGATCAATATATGTTCGAGCCTCCACCATTTGGCCTTGATACCATCTGGTCACCCAGACATTGACCACTTCGAAGTTATCGCCTAGCCGAAAGTCAGCGTTAAGGCGCGAGCGAATGAACGTTGATTTTGATACCTGTATTCAGTAAACCTTTGAACTGAATCTCCTGGACAGACCACTGGCTGTTGCAGCCGCCGTGAATCGCCTGTGGGTGAACTTCGAACTTCTCCGCATGCTCTGAAAAACATTCAGAAACTCGCCGAAGCGCATTGACATAGAAATGAAGCAGATCATGGTAATGACCCGCCACCGGGTGGTGGCCCATGACATGGAAGTCAACATCCTTGTGGACGTACGTAAAAAGCTTTCCCATGTCTTTCTCAAGAACCTTGAATACATCGTATATATACATCTGCGAGACGTATTTGCAGTCAGTCGAAGGATTGTCGAATCGAAACCCTTCCCTTTTAGGGTCTGGAGGGTTATCAATGACCCCATCACCATTGCATCGGCCACCTGGGTCGACTATACCTGATCCATCGCAGCCGGGTTCTTCAAGGGGCTCTTGAGATTGGATTAAGCGTTGATAGCTCTGCCAAAAAGGTAAAATAGCATGGCTGATGGTGCTGATGGATACAATGCAGACCAGTGCTGCCTGGGAGTACGACTTGAAGATCATTGGAGAAGGAATATATCTTGGAAGTCGATTTCCAGCGAAAAGTTAACCCTTACACAAGCATTTTAGCGGACAATCTGGTTCATTATATACGTGGATCAGACTCCGGCTACTATCCATGGAATAACCCGGTAGCATGGTGTAACTTATTCTGAATATGACCAACATGCTGCGAAAACGCGCCGAAAGTGAGGGAAAGAACCGATAGATACATGACTAATGCGCCCATCATTCTCCCTAAATATTCTTAGGAAGTGGGCAGTCCACCAAGCGTGTTCTGTCTGATGTCACAGCAGTAGTTAACACCGTAGCATCCATCTATCCACGGTGAACGGGGATATCTCGGTCGCTACTCGCACTCCATGCCACTCGCTTTCCTCCAGGTAAGTCAGAAGCCAGGTAAATTAAGGGCACAATTCCCTCACTGTCGCGAAGAAAGCTTAGCCTTGCCAAGTCCGATGCCAACAAAGCAACAAAGAGATCGCGAGAAACTATTCAGGGACTCCGACACCGCGATGATAACAGAAACAATGCGCCGACTGTGATTGGCCCGGCCTGCAGAAGTCGGTGAGGTGGGGACACGTGACCCGCAACCGGCCCGAGTCTCGCACTGCAAAATTTGAACCTTTAAATCGGACTCCGTCCGCCGCTCCCCTCTTGACTCACTTCTTCCCCAAATCTCGAGAACCATCATACGTCCAACCAATGTCTTTCTAAACAACACCTCAACAAATACCTTTTTCCATATCAGTTTGCATAACTGGTAGCTCACAGTCGCGTTAATGAGTCTGTCACCTTCCACCTTCACCTCTCAGGTATGCTCATTCTTCCCTTCCATCCGACGTCCATCCTATCCTGGACTGGATTCGTTTTTACACGGGGTCAATTGTACTAATTATCCCCAGGATTACATCTCGGATCACCTCTGGAAAGCCTCCGGAAGTTACTGAAACGACCAATAACTCAATCGTCGATTCCCAACCTCTTTCTATATTCTCAATACTATCACCATAAATATGATGTTCACCCGATTCGTCAGGGCGGTTCCCGCCCGGGCTCCGGCCTTCACAGCCCCCATGGGCTCTACCTTCCAGAGTCGCTTCATGGCTACTGTTCGCTCCCAGAGGCCCGCTGAGCGAGCAACATTCACGATCCGAGATGGTCCTATCTTCCACGGAAAGTCCTTCGGAGCTCGTACCAACATCTCCGGAGAGGCGGTCTTCACCACGTCCCTGGTTGGTTACCCTGAATCTCTGACGGACCCTTCGTACCGGGGCCAGATTCTGGTTTTCACCCAGCCTTTGATTGGTAACTACGGTGTTCCGTCCGCCGCCAGAGACTCCCGCGGTCTTCTGAAGTACTTCGAATCGCCCAACCTCCAGGCAGCTGGTGTAGTTGTGGCTGATGCTGCGGAACAATACTCGCACTGGACCGCCGTCGAGAGTCTCGGCGAATGGTGCGCACGTGAGGGTGTCCCTGCTATCTCTGGAGTTGACACTCGTGCCATTGTCACCTATCTCCGAGAGCAGGGTTCCTCCCTTGCTCGTATCACCGTCGGCGAGGAGTATGATGCCGACCAGGATGAGGCTTTCACCGACCCCGAGCAGATCCACCTTGTTCGCCAGGTCAGCACCAAGTCTCCATTCCACGTCAGCGCAGCCGACCCTCAGTGTCATGTTGCTGTGCTTGACTGTGGAGTCAAGGAGAACATCCTGCGTAGCCTCGTGCACCGCGGAGCTAGTGTTACGGTGTTCCCCTTCGATTACCCCATCCACAAGGTCGCTCACCACTTCGATGGTGTCTTCATCTCCAACGGCCCCGGTGACCCCACCCACTGCCAGGACACCACCTACCACCTTCGCCGCTTGATGGAGACCTCTCAGGTTCCCGTCTTTGGCATCTGCCTGGGCCACCAGCTTCTGGCTCTTGCGGCTGGCGCTCGTACCGTCAAGCTGAAGTACGGTAACCGTGCTCACAACATTCCTGCTCTCGACTTGACGACTGGTCGCTGCCATATCACCAGCCAGAACCACGGTTACGCCGTGGATGCCACTACACTGTCTTCAGACTGGAAGCCTTACTTTGTGAACTTGAATGACTCGAGCAACGAGGGTATGATCCACAAGTCTCGTCCCATCTTCAGCACTCAGTTCCACCCCGAGGCCAAGGGCGGCCCACTTGACTCTTCTTACCTCTTCGACATCTACATTGACAGTGTGAAGAAGTACAAGAACAGCCAGCTCGCCTTCCACCCTACCCGGGAGACTATCCCCAGCCCTCTCTTGGTTGACCTGCTCCCCAAGGAGCGTGTTGATGTCGCCCCGACTATCGGTATGCAGAACGTTGCTGCTGCTGCTGCCGCCGCCGCCGCGTAGGAAAATATAGGAACTAATTCTATGGAGTCTTGGTTAATGGCTTGGGGTTTGCTTCTGTGTATGGGTCACTTTATAGTTTCGCTTTGTATTTAAGAGAATTCAAAATATTTTCGTTTCATATATCGTTATCTGATCCATCCTTAGAATGTAGAACGTTTGGATGCTTTGATTTCTGGAACCTATTGGATTTCTTTATCAAAGGCCATGGTATCACTCAGCTAACCAACCCTGCATTACTTTGCCACAATCGAAACCACATCCTCATCAGCAACAACATGACTCAACCCAACCCGCTGCGGAACATGCCTTGCGCTCGCACCCCAAACCAACGCATATTTGAACGTTTCCTTTAGTGTCCGATGGATCTGGTCACAAACATCCTCTATAGTAGAATTGTTCCGAACAATCAATGCTTCACTGAAATCAGGCTCGATTCCCTTTCTGCTTGGAAATTAGTCATACCCTGATGCACTGCGTCGAAGTAAAGGCGAGAAGGAACGTACCGTTTTGTGTACACCCGCATCAAGCGCAGTTCTTTCCAGATACGTTCAACGACGTCCTTCACGGCGAGGTCTAGCTCACAACTCATTACAGCAGTATGTGGTTCACGGGCCAGTTGGTCGAGGAATTCGATGCTGACGCTGTCGACTTTGTTGTAGACATACAGACTATCGGGTTCGTTAGCCAAGCCATTGCGAGCCCCGATATCCATGTGCGAGACGGCAATTGGGTTTACGTACCAGGGGATATATTTTCTGTGGTCTTTCATGATCACGTCGATAAAGTCATCAATTGTAGCTAGGATGACGGTTAGTATCTGTCTGTCTGGTCTAAGAATGGCATGAAAGGCAGCGCACCATTTTCGTCTCGGACTAGGACCTCGCAGTTTAGAATCTTGTAGTCTCGCAAGACGTTGTAGATCATCTTTTCGTCTAGGTTTTTGGGTGGTGATGAAAAAGTGATTTTCATTCCTCCTGCTTTCTTTGCTTTAAGATAGATATTTCTAGTTTCCTGTCAGTGCTAGGTTGAGGGGGGATGAGAAGGAGTGTAGATAGATATGCTCACGGTGGCTCTTTGTTAAGTCGAATACCAACAGCATCTAATTCAGCTTCAAGCAAGGCGCGCTGTTCCGCCTTCTTGGTAGCATCCAGAACCATCAATATCAAGTCGCTGGTCTATCACAATATCAGCCTCGTAATGCCACCAAACCACGCAAAGGAGCATACCTTAGCGGCAGAAATGACCTGTCTCCCTCGCCCCTTACCCTCAGAGGCACCCTCAATGATACCAGGAAGATCAAGAATCTGAATCTCAGCACCCCCATACTCCAACACACCGGGAATAGCAGTAAGGGTAGTGAACGAGTACGCGGCTGCTTCACTCTTCGTCTTGGTGATCTTGTTCAGGAAGGTGGATTTACCAACAGATGGGAACCCGACCAGTGCAACACGGGCATCACCACTCTTGCTGACATCGAACCCTGCCCCGGCACCGCCAGAACTGCCTGTGGGTTCTAGCAGTTGGGCTCTTAATCGGGCAAGTTTTCTATATACTATGTAAGCTGTGTCATTTTGGAAGGTGGACGAGTATGAGACTTACCCTTTTAGAAGACCCAAATGATATTCTAGGATCGGTTAGTAGCTTATCACGTCAAATTGTTGCATTGAATGCCCGCACCTGTGGCCTTATTCTCTATACTCAAATTAGTTGCGGGGTTAATCTAGAGAGTTAGAATGTAGATAATGCTTACTCTGCGTCCTACGCATCTCATCTTCAATCCTGTAAAGTTGACAAATGTATCAGTGTCATACTCGCCATAGAATGAATCATCTCCGGCCACATACTCCTTAATCTTTTCCGTAATGTTCACCATCTTGCCGGTTGGAGAGCCCCGCGGACTCTGATAGTGGACTTAGAGAATCGAAAGCACCAGGAGTCAAACCGTCAAGGAGATTATATGCGTGATATCCGTGTAATATGCAAATAACACCCCATGAAAAAAAAGAAAAAAGAACTTCCGGAATCAATATGCTCCAATTTTATCGGCGGAATCTCCGCAGCTTCAAAATCATCGCGATGCCAAGACCTGCTCAATGGCTTATGTAATCCTACATATGAAATTCCCGCCGTCTCTACTGAACGTCCATGATTCTTCCCTCCGACAGCTCAAAACTCAAAACCAAACACATACCATGGCAGAGACAGCAGATATAGATACTCCGCCGGTCGAAGTACCGGTAGATCAGGCACAACAGCAAGGAGAAGAGGAACAGCAACTAACACCGAATGACGATAACGCTCTCGTCCAACAACAGTCTGAAACTGCTGTGACAACCACCACTGACGCTGACGGCACGCAAAAGAAAACAAAGAAGATTATTCGAAAGAAACGACGACCAGCACGGCCGCAAGTTGATCCCGCAACTGTCAAGTCCGAGCCACCGCCTCAAACAGGAACAGTCTTCAACATCTGGTATAACAAGTGGTCTGGAGGTGATCGCGAGGACAAATATCTTTCAAAACATGCGGCGCCGTCGCGATGCAATATTACAAAGGATAGTGGCTATACGCGCGCAGATAAAGTGACAGGTTCTTACTTTTGTTTGTTTTTCGCTCGAGGGGTACGTAACGTATTGCTTGTTTCTCATGCCCAGGACAGAGTTTACTGACAATTGACGGACAGATTTGCCCGAAAGGTTATGAATGCGAATATCTCCACCGGCTCCCTACGCTCCACGATCTCTTTAACCCGAACGTAGACTGCTTCGGCCGTGACAAGCACAGCGACTACCGCGATGACATGGGCGGTGTGGGTTCGTTCATGCGCCAAAACCGCACACTTTACGTTGGCCGGATCCACGTAACCGATGACATCGAAGAGGTCGTATCGCGGCATTTCGCAGAATGGGGCCAGGTCGACCGGATCAGAGTGCTTACATCGCGTGGCGTCGCTTTTGTTACGTACACAAATGAAGCAAACGCGCAGTTTGCAAAGGAGGCGATGGCACATCAGAGTTTGGACCATAGTGAAATCCTCAATGTCAGGTGGGCGACAGTCGATCCGAACCCGTTGGCCCAGAAGCGGGAGGCTAGGAGACTTGAGGAGCAGGCTGCCGAGGCTGTCAGGAGAGCATTACCGGCTGAGTTTGTGGCCGAATTAGAGGGGAGGGATCCCGAGGCGAAGAAAAGGAAGAAGATCGAAGGCAGTTACGGATTGCAGGGGTATGAGCCGCCGGATGAGGTTTGGTTTGCGAGGGCAAAAGAGTTGGAGGCCGTCGGCGATGAGACTGGCCAGCTCGAGGCGCCTGAACAACCGCTCATGATCGAAGGTGGAGGATCAACGGCTCAGCAAGAAGTTGGGGGTGGTGGGATCTTTTCAAGTTCAACTGTCGCTGCGCTAAGAGGCTTGAATGGTGGTAACGTCACAACAAAACAAGCGCCGCAGGCTTCAGGCCCCCTTGTGGGATATGGAAGTGATGACGAGAGTGACTAATTTTTATGATTCCACATTACTTTATTTCATTTACATGTATAATATCAGAGATACCTGGATTCATCGTTTTCTCTCTTGTAGCTGAGTTGAGAGTTTGGGGTATAATTCGTTCGGAAATCACTGGGATGAGATGCTAAAACCCATATATCGCGCTGAATAACATTCAAATGCATGACACATATCGCATACTGCATATATTTCCCACCTGCCATGTTGCTTTCTCAATGGTCAACTCCGCTTCCCAAATCGTAGTATAAACATGACCCTGTCCGGAAATTGTAGATGAAAGCGTTGCCAGAACTTTCGGCGCCTTCTCCCCGACTTTCGTTTGCCAGGTCTAAGAGTAATTCGTGAACTTGATTCAGATATTTCCGCTCGGTTAGCGGCGCATTTTGTATGACTCCACGCCAACTGTCATGATCAGACAAGCGGGTATCCCTGATTGCTTGGAGCAAATCGTCACGAGTGTCAATGGCAGCAACCGGGCCATTAAGTGCCTTTTCAACTACCTCGCGCGAACGCGTAAGAGCTAATTTTCGTCAGCCGTAGACCACCAAGTGAGTTGATTTAGAACTTACCTTGTTCGACAATATTCCTCCGGTTTGTCTTCTTGCTTCGGTGTTGTGGGACGAGGATGCGCACATCATTTGCTCGCTCACTCGCGCCTGGGTTAGCTTCCGACTGGCTGGGGAGGCGAAAATACCGCGAGTTTTCCGGTGCCCCCTCGCGGATATTGCGTGCACGAATCTCGCTTCGAAGCCAAGGTACAAGCTCGGACGCCCGTATATCAAATTCTTCCTTTGGCACAAGGCAGCGAACTTTGAACCCTCTCTCTTTGCTATCTTGTTTCGCAATCACGATCCAGCTATGGTTATGCTCTTTGTATTTTGCAAGGAGCTCTTCAAGTGACGACGCATCAACTGCCAATTCCGCACTGATATCGTTGGACCAGAGATCCTGAGTCAGTTTGACACCGATCTCGCGCAGGACCGTTGGATCAAAACTCGCAACGAGTACATCACACTAAGGAATGGTTAGAGGCTGGTATTGTTATGGAACTTGTTTCAGCTTACTCTTCTCGTTTTCCAGAAATTTCCGACCTCGGTTTCTGGCTGCTTAAGGGATGTCCTGGTAGGTGCTTTGAGATAGTCGATCATCGCGGAACTAAGCCTGTCCCAACTCAAATTGAAACCCACAGCATGAGACTGGGCGCGGTTTGTCGTAACTCCTGAGCCGAAATCTTGAACCAAGGAGTCATACCGGCCCCCAGCTGCAAAGACATCGCGTCTTTTGCCGTCGAATATACACTGAAATAGTATGCTTCCCCGGAAGAATTTGTCGTTCAGACTTCCTAGAGGGCTAATGTACGCCTTCCGTTTCACTTCAAAGCTCTGCAAAAAAGTAACCAGAGAATTAATCCTCGCGAATATCGGCGTTAACCTCTCGGAGAACTCAGTGCCTTCCATGATGGACCGCAGCCTCTTTTGGGTTTGCTTTGGCGTGTCTATGCTCGATTAGCATCCAATGTCTCAACAGAGTATCTCTAGGACCATACCTCGAAAATCAAATCTAGCAAGTTCATCAATTGACGTAGACGCAACACCGATTGCAGGCGAGCGAAGCTCACTTCGAATTTTCTGCATTGAATACTTGCCGACGTTGAGTCTGCTCATTACTTCTTTGACCAATGGAACCTGGGAAGGCTTTATGCGACAAAATTCCATGATAAGCTGGAGCAAGTCGGAATGGTTTATCAAGAAACACATTGGACTAGCTCTTAATGGCGGGAATTCTTGGATGATTTCATCAAGAACTTTGATCACTTCTGCTTCCTTCAAGGCGAGGTCCAAGGTATTGCGGGAGACAATATCGAAGTCTACTTCTTTATGAGTCCTGGGCTCGCCATCATGAGGAGTATCTCGATAAACGGTTCCAAAAGTGAAGGTCTTTTCTAGTGAAGGATCTTGTCGAGGAATTGCACGCGCGTTAGGGAGTGTTAGATCAAATGGTAATTGAAGCATATTTCCCGAAGCATCAAGAAGCCTCACATCACCACTATTATAGTGCTGGGATTTCGGAAACAGCATCTGTCTCGTAGTTTCTACCGCGCCGTGCTTGCGGAAAATTGATGTAAGTCTTTCCTTGACCAGACCGTGCACAAGAAGCTCGTTTGCCGCTGGGGCTCCACGTGATTCCATGTCCCAGGCGATGTCTTCAATCTTCTTTGGGGATTGGGAAAATATTGCAGTCAGAATCTTCCTGTAGTCGGGAGAGCTTGGATCGGAGAGTAGATGCATGATCGCGCGCCTGAAAGTTTCCTCCTCGACCTGAAGTGGAATCTGACCGCTGTGCAGTAACTCTGACGCAGAAGGTCGTTCGGCTGGATTGTGGCTCAGGAGAGATTCAATAATCTTGCCCTGAACCACTTTCTCGGGGTCTCGGAATGTACTTGGAAGAATATGATGTCTTTCCCTAATACTCCGCAGAATTTGATCACGTTCCATATTCGTCGGTAACGGATGGCACATTTCGAGGAAAATAACCCCCAGTGAGTACATCTTCCTTAGTTAGCGACACGGAGATCCAGCTGCGCACATATAGAAGATTTGTTGAACTTACATCAACCTTCTCATTGTAGTGCCCAGAAAACCCTGACTTCATCTCGGGTGCTACATAGTAGGTGGTGCCTAGGCTTCGAGTAAGATTGCCCCCGAAATCCACCGTTGCAGAAGAGCGCACCGCAGTGGTGAACTGGCCGCTGGTGGCTAACCCAAAATCTCCAATACGCGGGTTGCTGGCTGCATCTATGAAAATGTTATCAGGTTTGAGGTCGCGGTGGATAATCCCATTTCCATGGATATGAGACAATCCGTCGAGAATTTGGCGGAACAAACGCCAGGACCGATCGACATCGTCATATAAGCCGTTTTTTATAAGATCCCGAAGAGTCTTTTCAATGTCAGTGCCAGGGCATGGCCACAATATAAAAAAGTTAAAGCACCTGATAGTGGACTCACATGTTTCTCACAATATTCCATTTGAATGTACAGTGCAGTAAGCATGGGTCTGCTCTGCGAGCCCGATCTCACGCGGCTAAGTTCCTTGCCCGTTCCACTCTCCGTTCCAAACGTCTCTGGTGTGGAGCCTTTTTCTTTGGTAGACACTGTTCCAGCGTCCTCATTATCACTGTCTGCAGCGAACTCTATGTTGGGGTACCCGCTCGAACTGATGAAATCAAGCCCGCCAGTGGTACTATACTCAAAATCCCCCGAGTGTGTACTGACAACGGAATTCCCGTCGGTGAACGAGATAGCCTCATCATCTCTTTGATCATAATCTTCCTCAAGCCAGGCGGTATAATAGCGCACAACGTACGGATGATTCAAGCGCGACAAGAGCATGATTTCTGATAGTGTATCTTTCAATGTAGCGGCAGATTTATGTGAAATTTTCTTGATGGCATAGAAACGACCGTCTAGTTTATTCCGTGCCTTAACGACCTCGCCAAAGCCACCTTTACCCAATCGCCCAGCCTCATCGAAATCTTGGTGGTAGCGTGAGAATGAAGGGAAACCGCCGTTGAATGACTCAAGACGTGGGCGCCGTGACAGCGACATGGAGTTCGAGGCGCTCGTGCGCATGATCAATGGACTGTCAACTCGGAAAAATTCGGAAGGCTGCAACTGAAAAGCTGTTGGCCTTCTCTTTGGATTTGGCCTAAAAAGCTCCTGCAGCAAATCTTGTAACGGCGGCGATAAGTCAAGGCTATCCGTTAACGCATTTGCGGACGTATACCGTTGAAGCACATCTTTCCCGAAGCCCATCTGAAGAAAGACTATCCCAAGGTCCCAAATGTCAGTCTTCATTGTTGGAGAAGAGCTTCCCTGGGTTAGCTCTGGGGGGAGCCAAAATGGTGACTTGGAGGTTGTGAGAGAACGTGTGTTTCCAGCTGGATCGGGTAGAGCTTCTTTAATGCTTGAGAGCAGCTTCACTATCGTACCACCGCTAGGGTTTCTGAATAACAAAACACGTCCAGAATGGATGTCCCCGTGAACAAAGCCATGCCGGTGATAATATTCGAGCGCTTCAAGAAGTTGGATTGTCCAGCTACGGAGTATTTCGACTGGTACTGTTCCAACCATGTCTAGAAACTCGGAAAGAGACCCCTTGTTCGCGTGCTCAACCAGTGCATATACAGTCCACGTGCTGTCTTTGGAGTCGCTGGTATATAATGGTGTGAGGATCTTGAACCCAATGAAGTCAACCAGATTCTGGTGTCGGAGTCTCTTCAGACCTTCAAGCCTATCCTCACTCAGCCGCATTTGCTCGCGAAAAGGTAGAGTATCAGCTCCCTTTTCACTAATAGACAGTTCCTTTAATACCAGAAGGGGGGCACATGGCCGGGTCTCTGAAATCACAGGTCTCACTATAAATGTGCTTGCACCATGGTCACTTTTTAACAAAGACTTCCCGTACACTGCTCGGAACACCAAAGAACCCTCCTCTGCATCCGTCATTACTAACGGTGGATCAAATGAGATTGCCCCTGGTAAATTAACCAGACCCTCGGCGTCACCAGCTGTTTCTAACCCAGGTGTTTTGCTTTTCCGACGTGATAGTGCTTTTGTTCGCTTGGTTATTGCATCTTGTACCAGCCGTTTCAGTTCTAGTTCCTCCTTCGCCGAAGCCGCTTGTTGCTTTCGAAGTTCTTCCTCCTTTTCACGCTCCGCTCGTTCGTTTGCTGCAGCTTCTTGCACTATCCGCTCCTCCTCCAAACTTGGAAGGTCCTGATCCTGGGCTTGAGCTTCGGCCGCATCTTCGAGAATATCCTGAATCGAAACCGCCAGTTCGTATATCATTTCTGACCCCAGAAGAGTTTGGGGCTTATTTCGGAGAATATCTCGAATCCTCGACTGCGCGCCTCGGCGAAGGTCTTCCAGGTTTTCGGCAGTAATATTTGGACATGTCTTAGGATATGTAGTGGGCAGCTCCACGAGCAATTCTAAATGTACATCGGAGTTGGAGGAGGCACGTAAATGGAGCTTGAACATAAACTCCGACGATTGCTACTTGAAATGTAAGAGGACTAAAACTTCATATGACAGTAATTCAACCATGGTGACTTACATGCCAGACAGACCGCCGGTGCTGCACCTCTTCGAAGTCGTCGCCATAGATTGAGCGTAGTGCCTCAACCTCGTTCTGGTGTATTTCATGGTAATTCGTCGGAGCTATTACAGGTGATGTAAAGGGCACAGCGTCCGGGAATATCTGTTTCTTCTCCGCCCGGGGAGAGGCGTTCTTCGAGGCATTTGCGGTCTTCTTGTGATGGTGAGGCATAGCGGGGCGCAGGGCGGTGAGGTTGGAAGCTCGAATAAACACCGATTGATTTGATGGCCTTTGACACGAGAAGCAGTGACAAAGATGCAGCCGAAGCTGCAGCCCTCTATAGCTCGGGATTGGACATATCTATGATAAAGAGGGAAACAAAATCAAGGTCAGGCTGGGCGAGAAAGCGTACTTTCAACACCAATTGGGCATGATTTAAGAGGGGAAGAAACTTGAAAGAGCGGTCGATCGAACTGCCACGCCAATCAGTGGACCCTCGATGCAGCTTGCTCGCCCCGTTGTTGTTCCGCTACACCGCCCGGCAATACTTTTGCGGAGCGGGCACCGAGTAAACAAAGCACGTCCTTACACGTCAATCCAGCACTCCCACGTCTCCGCTTCTATCACCTGTGGTGGCCCCAGTATGATGCGTATGTTGCCGTGTTTGGATGTTTGAATGAATTTGTCCCTGCAGTCGCGATGATGGGATGGATTGGTGGTCAAAATGACCCTGGCGCAGGTGCGTGTCTCCATCTCGTTTCCGCCGGCAGCGCGCCGCACCCGTGCTCCTCTTGCTTGATAATGCAGCGCTACCTTCATGTTAAACCTATTACGTACGAACTAACCTATTTCCTGCCATCTCGTTAGGTGACTCCAAGGTTATGGAGCCTCCAGAAACACCTGCGCCTATGTTCGCGCTCCGCGCATTCCAAAGTGCTCTTTTTGGGACGCCAAAGGCTGATGATGACGACAATACCAAGTCTGACCTGAAAATGAACGAGCAAGACAATAATCGACAATTTAGCAAAGGCAATACTACGCAGAAACCACCCGAGGAAAGGGAGGATATTCCCAGGATTACCCCGGCGGATACGGATCTGGCTACGAACACGATACCATCTCCGACAAAAAGTATCCTTATGACTCCTGGCACGGCATCGAATCGGCGGAAAACAGTTTCTTTTGGAGATGGTGTTGTCGACAACGAGCGCAAGCGTGAGGACACTTCGAGCAAAACGGTCAAAACCCCAACAACGTTATCCGGAAATATCAGCAGTCAGTGGTCATCGGGCTCATCGGAAGGAAAGCGAAGCAAACTTACTCAGGCCCTGCTGGATTCACGAGAAAAGCCCGCCAAATCCTCTGAAACCCCCTCTCAAAAACCGGATCAAAGTCGCCCATCGAAAGCCGATTCTAAGCCCGAAGCAGCAGCCGCGCAAGGGGGTGACAGTGAAGATACGATCAACATGGATGAGCCACGCTCTCAATCTGGCAAATATTGGAAGGCGGAATTTGACAGCTACAAATCCAAGACCGCACTAGAAATCAGGAGGCTCATTCAGTATCGCTCGGCTGCGAAAACATACGCGAAAAAGAAAGATGAGGAGGCTTACCGTCTAGCTTCAAAGTTGAGAGAGGAAGAACTAAAAGTCGAAGAGATGGAACATCATGTGACGCAACTTGCCTCCACAATGGTTACCGAGAACACGCGAGTTGACAAGGAGCAACTCGTCCACGACCTCACAAAGCAAACGGCTTTGGCGCTTCAATACAAACACAAGGTCAGTTTACTGCGTAAGGCTTTGGAGGAACATGGTGTTGTTGGTGAAGAATTTGAGGATATTGCCGGGCAGTCAGAACCTAATTTTGCCTCCAAGGATGAATCGGAAACTTTGCAAGAGTCTCAACAGTCCCTGGCTCAGGCGAAGGCCAGAATTAAGGAAATGAAACAACAGCAGTCTGAGTTCCAAGAACTTAGAGGCCTCGCCCTCAGCTCTCAGCAGAAGGCCTCAGATCTGGAGAAGGAAAATGGCATGCTCAAACATACACTGGCCCGTTTCAAACAAGAAGCATCAAGATATGAAGGTCGACGTAAGGAAAGGGAAGCGAAACTAAAACAACGAGAAGCTAAACTGGAGGCGCGCATTCAAGAGTATCGTGAACGGCTAAAATCGACGTCACAGCAGCATCGAGACCAGCAAGATTACATGAAACTTTCATTCGATGAAGAGCGCCGTCATATGCAGGAACAAATCGATGTGTTGAAGACGGAGCTACGAGCTTTTGAGAGTGCAACAGAGATTAGAGCGCGGGCTCGCCCAGAAAGCCGCAGAGATTATCATGGGGTCCAGGTACAGGACTTCGGCGTCTCCAGTCCTGAGAAGGACGACCTTGAAGGGACAGATGAGATTGATCAACCACCAAGCCCAAGTCCTCGCGGCAAGGATCGCCGCGCCTATGGGTTGGAAAACGACCTCGCAGACTCGGATTTGAGGAAGGCAATGAAGGAGATGGGCATTGAAGATATCGACGAAAAATTCAACAATCTCGGAATGTCCCCTCTCAAGTCATACAAAGCTCCTCGTTATCAAGAGGACACCGATATTATCCCGCCATCTTCGCCTCCCGAGAACCCGACAATCGAGACTGGTACATGGTCAGATGCGAATCGCAGGCGTACTCAAGATCATCGTCTTTCACATCAATTCTCACATGCAACCACATCTCTTCCTAGTCGTCGACTACATCTAGATGATAGCCATCAGCTACGTCCTGATCGTCTCCGATCCCGACGATCAGCTACTAAATATAGCCTCGACGCTTTGTCTTCGCTGCCAGACACGTACCTTATCGACCGTGCAAAGAGGCGACAAACTGTTTCTACAGGACAACGCGATCCATTATCTATGGAGCGGAAAATGGCAGCCCAGGCGCGCCTTAAGCGCAAGGGCGGCAGTAAGGGTATAGAAGAAGGCAAGGAGAACATTCGAACAACTGTCAGAAACTAATTACCTGGTTCTTTCACAACCCTATATCTTCTTTTTCTTTTCTTAATTACCGCTGTGGGTTACTACAAGTATGTGCTGGATTTTGCGCGGTGCAGGTTGAACATATCCTTTGGTTGGCGTGTTTTGGTGGCTGTCCTTTTTTGATGTCTTAACTTAAAGATTATACCCTCACTCCGAACAAACATTGGCTTAGTCTCCATCCCCTTGAACGACTCGGCATAGTAAAATTTCCTTGATTGCCAAGTCTCAGTATCATTATCTAGCGGCGCTCAAGGTTGTTGTTGAGTCACTCATAGAACTTGACAAGTATATCCCCGCTTCGCCGGTCTATCCGACATTACCATAAACAGAAGCAAGGGTAGGTTAGAGGCTATATATCTATCAAAGTATCCCTATAGTATCTCTCTAGGACTATCTATTTTGGTTTCAATTATATGTGTCGTTGAGGGGGGAAATCAAACCTTTCCATCAGAGAAAGATATCACAGCCCATTTCCCACTCCAAGCCCATTCGCGGCCCCCAGATCCGGATCCTCCGTAGACCTTACGCAGTTCCTCGTCTTTTCCGGCAGGGAGGCCAACCACGACATCGGCCTTGCAAGTACGGAAGGACATTGCGCGGATGCCGGAGTGTGGGCCTAGCGGGCCGATAGCGGTTGTAAAGGGCGTCGTAGGATCCCAGGCAGCCTGTGAGATATATCGTTAGTGTATTCCTTACAGTATAGAGTAGAATGGTGTTCGTGTGGCAAAGGAAACGCACATCGTGAGTCAGCTTTCTGTAGTTAAGGTCGCCCTTGAAAAGAACGAGTTCGGACTCTTTCAGGTCTTCGAACAGGTCCGGTGCGACGTGCGGTAAGCGCCAGTAGCTGCCACCCATGGTCCAGAAGGGGTGAGGGCGGATAATCAACTGCCCCTCCGCGTGGAAGCTGCTCCACTGATCGAAAAGGAACTTAACCTCTTCAACCTCCTTGTCCGAAAGAGGGGTCTTCTCTCTTCCAGAGTCATCAGGTGCTGTGTAGAAGCTCTGTGGGTCGGCCAGAGCCTGGATAAGATCTGCGAAGTCTTGAGGGACGACATCCGACACGAACCAGGGGATCACCTTGGGGCGGAGGACCACCGATGTCGCGATTCCAGCGGACAAAAGGTATCCGGCAAGGATGAGGTCGACGAAGAGCTCGAAACCGGCATTGTCCAAGACAATGTCCACTCGGCGTTCTGCCTTCCCTTCGTGCTGGCTTTGTCGGAGAGCATCGAATGCGGCGTCCAGATCATTAACGAGAATATTTTCCTCCGCGTCCTTGCGTGCCTGGGAGCCCTGCAGTTTCTGGATATCCTCGTAGGTGAGGGATGTCAAAAGCGAAAGATCCGTCGCATTCCCCCATAGGCAAATCTCGCACATCTCCCTGAAAAGCAGACGGTCGGTTTCTTCAGTGTTGTGTCCTTTCTTCGCCTCAGTGGCCAATTCCTTGTATCTAGCCGCTAATTCAAGCACAGCAGGTCGCGAAGACTTGAAAGTGTCCATCTTCTGGCGAGAAAAGACATCGTATCTCTTCCAGTGCTTTGAGAGGGCAAATAGAGTGGCCACGCGCCTGTCTGTAGTCCATCATTTGTTAGCACCCATACGTTATCCTCTCCAACAACCATCTAGAGTGTCTCTCAAACGCACAAAGGTAGCACTCTGAAAAGAGCCATGACACGTTATGCCACTTGGGGTTCCCTCGCTGCTCCAATTCCTCGTTGTATTCCTCGATACCCGGTTCGCTGTCATCTTGGAGAGGACTATACCAAAAAAAAAGAGCAAATCAGTACTATCGCTACCAGATACAAGTACGAAGGGCAATCAAAATCTCACGTCATCTGTCTATCATGCTGGATCTCATATTTGAGCTTCGCCAGCTGCTCAATGATCGATTTTCCTTCCTTGCGCTTCTCCTCGTCGGTGACATCGGCGACGGTCCGGTGCAAGTCATCAATGGCACCGGTCTAATCGGAATTTGGTATAAGAAGCCGGATATATATTAAGTCGAATATGTACTTACCACAATGACGGGCCATCGGTCGTTGACGGACTTGTGACCGAAGCTCTTCGGGTCGGAAGTGAGGTATGACGCTGTGGTGAAAGCGGGGAGTTAGTCCGGCCTCCAGAAAAGACTTTGCGGTACTTACGGGTCTTGGGATCGAACTCCATTTTCAGAATGAATAGAGGAGAGTAGTATGAAGAGAATTGGATGGGTTGCAAGAGGAAGGGTGAAGGAATAGCTCGGGGCCTTAAGGTACGCAATAAAATGTAATAGTGGAGCTTGACCGATGACTGCATCTGCAAACGATCGCGGGGTCAGCGGGGTTACCTCTACGAACGTCAAACAGCACTCTGCAGATCGTCCAAAAGTATACAGACATGCCTACATGAAAGAAAATTGCTGTCCGCTAGTTTATATCACTAGATTTAGATTGAAGATAAATACAATTTTGGCGTAGCAAGTAGTACTGTTCTTATTTCATGTGCTTCCATATTCAAAAAGAAGCTTTCCGCATTCTATCGTCGTAGACACCATAAAACGGACGAAGATGCTCCCTTGTAGATTGTTCCGCTATGCAAAATCTGGAAAAATCGTAAAGCAACATATCGAGTACATTCATATTCTGAAATATTCACCCAAAAAGGTACAAACAACAGCGCGTGCGAGATCATGACGGTTACGGTTGGTACGGTAGCTTGGGTATCCACCAACGCCTAACACCTCAATGAGACGCATTCATCTCACATCATAGACATCAGCGAGCTTTGAGCATAGGCCTAGACATGGTCAGTACTTTATTCGAGATCTGTTGAATAAAAGTGAGTTTTAGAGACTTACCATCGGCTTAATATCTGGGTGAGGCACCGCCTCGAAGACCTGGTACTCAAGCTTAAGCTCGGGCCCAATCTTGATGAAAGCGCCCTTGTTCTCTGTCGTGTCGCAGTACTTAGGAGCAGAGAAGACCGTGATGCATCGTCCATCGTGCTCAACTTCGTATCCATTCATGCGCACCTCGTGCGAACGGATAATGGCCTCTAGGCCGTTGTTCTCACAGAAGCGCTTGGTAACATCTGGACCGAATTGAAGACCAACACCTCGTTTGCTGGGTCCACGGCCGGGCTCCGTCTGGGGGTCAGTCCAAAGCATCTCCATCATCAAGCCTTGCTGTCCGGGCTGCCTTTGGTTGTGGCGATCCAGCTTGCGGATGTCATCCAATGTCGTCTTATCGTTGGAGAAAAGACCACCGTGGAGGACAAGGTACTTGTCGCCGATCAACGTGGCCAGCGGCAGAGCAGAGAATGATTCGGAGAAAACCTTGAACATTGTCTCGTTGTATTTGGCCTTGCATTCGCCTTCAAATCCGTATACCTTGTTCATGTCGTCCGTCTCGTGGTTCCCACGGTTCAAGAAGATACCGTTTGGCCGCAGCCACTTGTACGCATAAAGGAGGAGAGCAATTTCGGTAGACCATGAGCCACGATCCACAAAGTCACCGTTGAACAGATATGCGTGAGTGTCCGTAGGGTATCCATTCAGACGGAAGATCTCCAAAAGATCGAAGAATTGACCTACAATCGTCAGTCAGGTCACCCATAGAAAATGAAGCAAAGGAAAACCAACCATGAGTATCACCGCAAACAGTCAACTTCTTGCCCTGGTCCACACCAATCTCAACCATAGTCGGCTCAGCATAGACAAGGTCCTTAACAGCCTTGACAATCTGGAACGCATATTTCCGGTGGATTTTCTTCCCACTCTTAAACCTCTCAATCATATCATCAACGAACTCCTGGGTCATCTCGGTCCCCAGTCGCACGCCATCATACGCATCATCCACGGCAATAGCATCAATATCCAAGCCCTCAAAAGCAGACGGAGGGTCGGCGACCTCAATTGCCTTCTCAAATTCCAACCGTCGGACCAATTTCTCGCACTCGGCCAACTTTAGTTTCGCATCACGGTTACCGGGCTCACGCTTCACAACAGCCTTGAAGTCTTTGACGGCATCGCGGTAATTCAGGATCGCACTGTTGGCTAGGGCTCGTCGCCAGTAAGCTTTAATGTAGTTAGAGTCGAGATCTAGCGCCTTTGTGGCGTCCGCGACCGCGAACCCATATGCTTCGAGTTTGATGTGACACTATATTTGACAATAACAACAAGGATTAGTTCGATTTATCCTCCATTGGCGTATCTCCGACACGGCTTGGGAATGCCCGACGTACCTGCGCTCGGTTGCTGAAGAATGATGGTTCCTGGTCGTACTTTTCAATCGCCTGCGTATAAAAGTCGACTGCGGCGGGCCATTCATGCTGAACGAAGGCCTTGTTGCCCTGCACCTTAAGTGCAGTGGCTGCCTCGACGTCCTGAGAGGCCATCGGAGAGATGGGATTCGACCAGAGCCGTGAGCGGGGGAGGCTGGATGGGTTTTCGGTAAGAGAGCACGAGAGCGAAAGGAATCCGGTCTCGGAGAAGTAGAAGGGCGAATAAGAAAGACGAAATAAAATCTATGGTCGCTTTTTGGGAAGAAGAAAAAGAAAAGAGTGAGGGGGGAAAAGATAACCAACCCACTGTGACGGGCGTCGAAGAAGTGCCTGCTGATCTTTTTGTGTCGATAGTTCGTTCTGCATCCTGGTTCCTTTCGAGGGGGGCGTTTGCTCCCCGCCAGTCTTGGCGTTTGCCGCAACGGTTCAGGTTCGAGAAGCATCGGCCACCCGCCCGAGTGCGACCTTCAGCCGACGGCGTTGAATGAAATCGAACAAGGCTGCTTTGCTTGGCTTTCAGCAGCATTGTCTACTTACCGCCGAACCCTATCCGCACCTCACATCCTCCTCTATCGCTACCTGGTCAATTAAAGGCCAAAAAAAGTCTTGCATCCAGAGCTCCTCGTCGTCAGTGCTGCACCGCCAATTTCCAACGCGCCTCAAATGTCCTTCTACGTCCCACCCAGCCAGCAGCGCACTCTCCGCGCGTGCATGGTCTGCTCTCTTGTCCAGCTACACAGCGTAAGCTAAGCCTCGATCAATCATTCAGCATCCCTTCAAAAACGGCACCAACTAATACATTCTCTATCTTGTTCAGAAATTCATGCGCGAAGGTTGCCCAAACTGTGATAACGTACTCGGTCTTCGCGGAAACAATGACAACATCCAAGAATGCACCTCGCAGGTCTTCGAGGGCCTAATTACCGTCAACGAACCGATGACGAGCTGGGTGGCTCGCTGGCAACGACTAGATAGCTACGTCGCCGGAACATACGCGGTCAAAGTGACGGGGTCGCTGCCAAATGAGGTTATTGGGCATTTGGAGGATGCTGGGATAAAGTATATTCCTAGGGATGGGAGTCAGGTCGAGGAGGAGGGGTGAGCTGGATGGATTCGATCGAATTCGACTGCGGCTGGGATGGATTGGTCGTTTGCTGCGTTATGTGGGAAAGCGAGGCATACACGGTAACGGCTTAGATTCCCTTTTTTTTTTTTTCTCCCCTGCTCGGGGATCAGAGAATACAAGAGATACATACCCTTTCTTTCTCTGTCTCTGATAATTGCACACAATTGGAGTTTACGGACTTGTTGGGAGCTGGCTATTTCTTCACGCGGGAGTTTTTGTGTTTCTACGTTTTATTTCATCCAACGCGAGCTATCTCGTGAAGCCAAACTTTTTGATATATTTTGGTATACTACTATAGGATTCTCGGAATGTTTGGCATAAACTCATATATAACTGTCATAAATATGCAAAAAATAATTTGCGAAGCCTGCTCCGGATTACCATTATAAACGCCAAATAATAAACGATGCACAACTAGCATGGGATCACCACTGTAGAGTTACCCTACAGCTGCTTGATAATCTTCTCGACGCTCTCAAGGAGGATATCAGCTGCGAAAAGTTAGCCGTACTCTTGACATAGCAAACTGGAAATGGGGAGGGGTTGCTTACCATGGTGCTTCTGGAAGATCAGCATGGGTCGTAGGCGGACGGCGCTCTGGCCGCTTCCACCAATGTTGATACCAGCACCCTTGCCCTTCGCAAGGAACTCATCACGCTTAGGAGTATCCCAGGCAATGAACGTACCCTGGCCCTTGCCACGAAGGTTCTGCAGGTGCTCAGGGTACTGCTTCGCAAGGCGCTCAAGGCCAGAGAAAAGGTAGTCACCAGTTGCGGCAGTGTTTTCGACGAGGGACAGACGCTCAATCTCCTCGATGATGCCACGGAAGATGAGAGCGCGGGAGGGGTCACCCATCCAGGTGTTGAACTGGCGGTAGGGCTTGTTGGGACGCAGGGCAGGGTTACCGAAGTAGTAACCAGCAGTCTGGGCCTTCTTGGAGAAGGTGACCATGTCAGGAGGAGTCTCAAGGTTCCAGTGGTCGTGAGCCCAGAGTTTTCCAGTGGCACCGACACCAGTCTGGACTTCATCGACAATGAAGAGGACGTTGTTGCGCTTGGTGATCTCACGGAGGCCACGGAAGAAGGCAGGGGAAGCGTGGTTGTCACCACCCTCAGACTGGATTGGCTCCACAATGATGGCAGCGACGGGGTTGTGCCATTCCTTGAGTAGGCGCTCAGCTTCCTGGAGGCAGCGCTGCTCCTCCTCAGCATTCTCGCGAGCGTGCTCCTCAAGAGGATACTTGAGAGATGGGAAGGGGGCCTGAGGCCAGTCAAACGCAGGGATGTCAAGCTTGTGGATGGGCTTGCTGCGAGTGGTAGACAAACTACCGAAGAGGCGACCGTGGAAGCCAGCCTTGAAAGACATGATAGACAACTGAGGAGATCCAGGGCTCTGGTTCACCATGGTCGACTGAATCTCTTCCTCGGTGAACTCCTTCTCGGGACCACCACGCTGCAGCTGACGGTAGTACATGAAGGCGGCCTTATAAGCAGTCTCGTTGGCGTCAGAGCCAGCCATGGCGGTGAATACCTGGTCCAAGCCCTTGGGAGCAGCCTTGAGTATACCAGTCTTCAAGACGTGAGACCAATCTGCAGAGGGGAAGTTGCCGAGGGCTGGTCTGTTGATCAAGGAGGTCGCCATCTCAGATGAAGCGGCCACCTTTTGGAGGTGGGGGTTGTTGTAACCGACAGGGATAGAAGCAATTTGAGCATAGCTATATTGAAGTCAGTAATCTGTTGCATCCGTATATTCAAAAGATGAAATCCAATTGACCACTTACACATCGAGAAGAACGTTTCCGTCAAGGTCGGCGATACTGGATTTTCATTAGCCGTGTCAACCGTGTGCGCGGGGAGTATTGACGTACTAGTTTCCGACGGACTTGGAGTAATCCGCGAGCATGTTCAAGCTACGGACATCGAACACCTCATTAAGCTCTTCGGCAGCTGCCTTGTTCTTTGGGCCAGGAATGGCGGTGGCCAACTTGGGGCCAGCAGGCTCATTGGGGAAGTAAGGCTTCTCCGCAGCTCGCAGGTGCGGGGTGGTGGTGATGGTGCGAACAGCCGGCAGACGAGCAGATGCTCGCAGCTTAAGGCTGGAGCGGAATACAGCAGCCATTGTGTGAATTCAAAGGGAAACTTTTAGGATCAGGAGAGGGAGGGTGCACCGGTGGTGGGAGAACCCTTGATTGAGGGATTCCCGATAAGAGCGGAGATGATAAGAGCTTTCCTGAGCTACAGAAGCGGTCGCTCGGCCGGACTGACGAGATTGAATCTGGGGAGAATGAGGTACAAAAGAAGCTCAAGATGCAGTTAAGTTCAGATCGAAATCTGAAAGGAATTGCCAGACGAGCGCCCTTATATACCGGATAAGAAGTGGGATGGACTGTTGAGATCACAGAAAGCGGAGGGGAGCTATGGCTTCTTCGGCGAGGTCAGCCAATCACAGCCCATCCTTTCACCGAGTACCATCCAGATCTCCAAAACGCTGAAGTCGCAGAACTTCCGACAGAGAGCAGCTTCGAATCTTCCTTCCCTCTGTGGCCTGGTGGTTCCACCGCCGGCGGAAGCCAGGTGTCATTGAAATTCCCTTTTATGTCTCCGACCAACTGAGAACGCCGAGTCGGGGCGTTTTCTGCCACGAGTCGGAAACAGATGCCTAAAGAGAACACAGCAGTCGGCGCCAGTCAAACGCCGTGACTTGTCCCGGCCAACTCTACTAAATATAGGAACCATGCTTCTACTTCCTTACATATATGAGACGACATATCGAAATAGAGAAAATAGTTACATTATCAACGTATCAGGATAAGTCAGGAAATTATTGTCGACCATGAAATATATACAGTGCTGGGGTTTGTAGAGGAACCTGATATCGTGAACAGGAATGAAAAGCACTAGTTAATTTCATACTACAATTGTTCTTGGTTTATTTTTTTATTTTTATTTATCTTTTGAATATCTAATGAAGTAGGCAGCATGGGCAAGTACAAGCAGTATATGAATCGATTCGCAACCAAATCAATGTCTCGATGAGCCGCAGGACCTGGTGCGGAGAAATTCCAGCCCCCACGCAGAAGGCTGCAAGACTGGGGTTCGTAAATGAACTCCGATAAGCTTATATTATTCCTCGGGATAATTATCGCATGCATATTTCCCCAGAAAGCCGGCGTCGAACTAATACAGGAATAATGTAAATACTTATGCTCCGCCCGACAGTGCAAAGCCCTCGTTCGCCAAGTACCGGCACTCATGGTCGTGGGCGTGGTCGACGAAACGCTCAGGCTCAGTCGAGCACTCGCAGCCGAAACCCTGACTTGACATGATTGGCGGCAGTCAGGCACGAGCCTCGGTTCGTTTGGGGGCGAATAGTGTTGGCGATTGGCTGTCAAAACGCAAGCCCCGATGTTAGTGCAAAACTATTGAACTCTGTCACCGGTGGCACGACGTACCAGATTCCAGAACGTTTCAGGCTTTCAGGCGTCCCTGGTTGCGTTTCCGAATCCCTGCACAGAGTTACACTCGTTAAGTGTTCAGGGGCATGTGAAGTGCAAAATGAAGGTTTTGTGGCGACTCTGGCCAGGTACACATACGCTGTAGGGACCAATGATTGAACATAATTCATAACTGCGTTATTTTATCTGAGGAAGTACCTGACACGTTCCCGCCAACGCCATCCAAACCCAAAAGTTCATAGAAAGTAAGTACATCGAAAGTAAATAGGGGTAATAGACATGACAGTGTACAGAAAGAAAGGAAGAAGAAAAGAAATATTTATGTTACACCGATTCGTTCTCCCGACTGGGCGGACCATCCCTAGTCTCGCTCCGAATCGACGTGGTCGGAGGTGACACTGACCTCTCGCTGATCGACGAGTGTTTGAAAGGCTCACCACTGTGCGCGAAGCGGACTTCATCGTCGGATATTGGCGATTGCTGTCGGGATGTGGAGATATCGTAAATGTTACCAATGGGTTGGCGGCTCGAGCGAATCTCGCTATGCGTTTCCATCTCCACAGTCCGAAACACCCTTAGTTGTTCGGTTGGCGTCTTTGCGTGGGGCCCATAGAGGCGCGAGTCCCTTGACTTTGACGCCCCAGTGTATGACCGAAGTTTATATGATTGCTTTGAGCGAGGTTGGTTATTGTAGCCGTATTGATACGAGGAGCCGAGGAGACGGGGGATGCAGAAATTCACCAGCGGTCGCAATGCAGGAGCCGAGGCGCAAATCTGAAAAGTTAAAGTTAGTTTCAGCTTGGTTACGAAATAAAATAATCAATTTACATACCAGGCCGAGGTTGATTTCAACAGTTGCTGCGAGAAGAACAGGCCATCCTTCCCAGGTGGTGTCGTAAGAGACGACCATACTCTTCCAAACATACGCCGTTCTAATCGCACCAGCGACATCGACGAAAATTCCCAGGCCGAAAATAGACATCACAGCAAGTCGTTGTCGAGCGGGTAGCTTCAACTTCCAGATCAAGGGCATGGGCAGAATAGTGGCCAAGACGTCGGTCAACATGTTGATAACACTAGCGGAGAACACAATCGCTCCGTCATTCAGACAGGTGAATTCGTACTGGGGGTCCAGATCCCAGTATGCGTGTATTGGGCTTTGCAAAAGATCAGGAGCTGGCCAGATAGAATGATTGGAAACGAATGGACTCACCGGCACTGGAAGATACTGACGAGTACAAACAGGGCGCTGGAGATGAATACAATCACCATGCCCACTATCATGGCAATGTTATATGCCGAGTAGACACCCTTGCTGCCGACAATGAGTAGACGTCTGCAGAACCAAAGTAAAGAAAGCTTGGTTATAGAGCAGGACACCGAAAAGAGGATTTGGAAAGTGAGATTGAGCTTGGAGACCATCGGTATCCATCCCATTGGCACGTCCCAGATATGTCTGGTCCAGCCCCAGCGCTCGGTTGCAATACACACGACAACGGCCATCGCGATACCGCAGCCCTGGAAACCTGTTAGAAGTCTAAACCAGTAGATAATGCGGCTATACCATAACATACCAAACCAATCAGGATCATAATATCATCTAGTCCAGCAGTGCATGTGATCCTTAACCGTGTGTATACACGAAGGGCTGTCACGATGGTGGAAAGAATGACGAAGACGATACTTGTAACGAGCACGGCATTTCCGCGAGTGACAGGATCCTGGTAGTTTGGTGTCGGCCAGGTAAGGAGCACTTCTGGGGGAGGGAGTTGCATTTTTGCGGTTGGTAACTAAGTAGGCTGCAATGACACCGCACTGTGCGGGAAGAAAAGAGTCGTTCAGATATGGCGGAGAGAGGGACGAACGGGTCTGGTTCCCGTACGTTATCGGCTGGGTTCAAGTCTCAAGAGCACAGGCTGGGTTGATATGAATGTCATTTCAGCTCATTATTAGAAAAGAAAGAAAGAAAGAAAGAAATCTGCTGGAGGGATGCTGGAAGGAGTGACTACAGCAAAACGGACAGAATTAAAAGGGCAGACAGATAATATATTATAATGGTCATTATTATAATGTGCTAGTGTTTCCCTCAGGCTTCGGCCTGGCACCTGCATGTGGGGGTTTGTTCGAAGACAGGGCCGGAATTGGAGGGAATTCAATAGCGCATCGTGGATCCACGGATGGAACCAGGTCGATTAACAGCAGCGCTTAGGCTTTCCCGGGTTCCTGACGCGGGTTTTTGACGGAGGATCAATTGCTTTGCCAGGCCACTTTATCAGATGAGGGCCCGTCGACACGAGAAAGACTCCGCCAATAAGCGTTCCATCTGCACCTCCTCCGCTGGCGTGCGGCTGCAGAGACGATACTCCTTGCAGTAACAAATGCGGCCCTCCCGGCTGTCTGCTGTTCCACAGCATCCTCGCCCGTCGCGGCGATCGTGATAGGCACATTAAGTTCCCATGTTGTGCAAGAGGATGCGCCTTTGGACGAGCATAATCCTCGAAGCACGAGCCATTATGGACCTGTATCCTGGTCGGTTTATCGTTCGTTCCCTGGGACCTTGGTGGCTGGTTGACCGACCCCATTTTAGCCGAAAATTTTTGGCGACGCACTGAAAGGCTCTGATTCGATCAAGGTGGTGATCCAGAGAGGAGAAGTGCGTAATCCGTGGTTGCAGGCTCTGGCACCTAATGGATCAGAACCGTGGGACTTGAATCTCAGGCCGAGCCAATCAAACTAAATATCGCGACTCCGGCTGGACTGGAGTGGACTGGAGTTCGCCTACGGAGAGATCTCTTGCGGTGGCGAGAGCACAGCCAGGAGGTTCTGAGACCAACTGCAACTGAGCAGACTCTGAGACTGTATGGGGAGTCAGAGACCACTGACTCACTGGTACCCCGCGCTGCTGTCGTCGCCCTCCTCCACCATGGTGCTGCATACGTCGGCCCGAGATGATTCAAATCAACAAATGGAAAGGACTCTTTGCCAGGGTTCTGCGACGCCCCCGGTAGTTCGAAGGCTTGGTTTGGGGAAGAGAAGGGCGCTAAAGAGCTGCTAAAGAGTTGCTAGCTCATGCCTTATGGTGCTAACGAATCCTGGATGCTTCCAGCCGGCACCTGACAGATGTCACTCAACTTACTCGCATATCTTCCATCTATTTGAAACGAACTGCCGAAATTGGGACCCGAGTCTATGAGCATTGAATATTGATTCCTGGTCTCTCATACCCCTGGCATATTGACGAAGAAAGCAGAGGCGAGGAGGAGTTCGAACAAGGTTGGCCGAAATATTCGACCACAAACTTTCAGATCTTCGTATTCGATTAAACACCAACCACGCACGTTCTCGCCGTTTTCGGACAGATAACGGTGAAGCCGAGCATGAGGCCGATTGGTCCTCGAAAGAATTGGCGTATGCGACAGTTCCAGACGAATAAACAGGTCGGAGTCTGTATCCGCGGCATTGGGTTTACCTACCCTTTTGCCGAAACCCCGCATGGTTCCTTGGGCTGGCTTCTTAATTCTCAGTCATAGATCGTCTCGACTCCAGAGGCCATCCCAAGGTTCTCTGCTCGACCCTCTACGGATAGCAACAATCTTTGTGTTGCTGGACACCCGTTGCCATCCATTCAACCGACCTGTAGACAACGTCGGTCGCGCGGCTGTCTGTCTTTTCGCCCCGGTCGATCATCCACAACCTAACTCGATGATCTCCACTTGCTTATTTTCATACTATTTGGGCTTGGTCTTCTGTCTACCATTTTCGGAATGTCGTGGTAAAGCTCGAGAGATCAAACCCTTCGCTGGTCTTTGAATTCGAAAGGATTCCACCCACATCGCAGTCTAGGCTTTGCAGCCCTCCCTCCAGGATGGCTTCGGGCATCCGGCAAATTAATTTCTCATCCGCCATGAGCCTACAATGTTAAGGAAATGATTGTCATGACGAAAAGTTGTTATAATCGAGTCCTGAGTTCCAGACCAAGACCATCGAAATGCCTCAAGACAGTTGCCGGTATCCCCGGTCTCTGGCCTGCCCATCTGATTCTCTATACTTTCGTTGAAGTAGGTTCCAAGCCGAGGCATAGGAAAGTAAGACCCATCATAAAACTTATTGCAAATTCACAAGATATCTATTATGCTCAGTCAATATCAGTAGCCGTGGAGATCTCCCTGGTCGCCTCCAGATCGTTCCGCAGCTGTCCAATCTTATCCTCCAAAGCACCCACGCAGTCTTTCCCCAAGGGCAGTCGAAGATAATCATATCCCGTACCGGCAGCCTGGACGATCGCCCGGGCCGCTTTATCAGGGTCGCCCCTTACGAAATCCGGAGTGGACGTTGTCCAATTCCGATGCAGACTAAGCGTTTGCTCCAGCGCGGTACCGTTATAGCCCTCGCTAAATCCATTCTCAAGGTGAGCGGGGGTAAGGACGCGGCTTGCAAAGGGCGTACGGAATGCTCCTGGCTCCACTATGAGGACTTTGATCCCGAGTGTTTTGACTTCGTAGGAGAGGGACTCGTGCATAGCCTCGATGGCGAACTTGCTTGCGGAATACGTCCCTCGTCCAGGCCGGGCTATAAATCTGGTATTTACAATTCGCCGTCAGTTCCAGAGTAGAAATACAAGACGGGGGGGATATGAACATACCCAGCACCACTACTAATCAGAATGATATGACCAGAGCCTCTTTCACGCATAGCCGGCAGACAAGCCCGGACAGCGCGGAGAGGGCCATAGAAGTTGACTTCCATCTGATCCCGAACATCACCTTCACTGCACGTATAATTACCTCATCAGTAATCATACTGGTCTCATGATGAAACTGCCAACAACTCTATTGCACTAACCTGGTATCCTCGATGCCGCCGATGAATGCATACGCAGCATTATTGACCAAGACATCAACATTATGCTCCCGCGAACAGCTGGCGAACTTCTCAAATGAATCTTTTTCAGCAGGGTCTATCTCCACCCAAGTTCCACCCTTGGCTGAGAGCTCCGGACAAGCCTTCTCAGCTTTATTGGCATCACGGGTAGCCCCGATTACCTTGTAGCCGGCTTCAAGGGCAGCCAGGGCAAGCGACTTGCCGAGACCTGAAGAGGCGCCAGTGATTAGCCAGGTTTTAGGTGATGCCGCCATGTCGATTTATGTCTTGAATTTTCTGATAACCTTTCCATCGCATTGGGCGTTTAAATAGTAACGAATAGTTCGATGTCGAAGCGCTGTCGGGTATAGCAGTGGGTGAGGGATGCGCGGAGATAAGCACTTAAATCCTTGATGACCCCCGTTCGACCTCATCTAACTATGGGTCAGAATCCGGGGAGTCAGCATAAGACCCTGAATCCCGTTCCATTTTGTTAAGTCTGCGGAGGTATCGCATGTAGAGATCGGATGTTAAGATTCGATCTAAACTTTGAGCCGAAGTAGGTATATAGGAGGGCTAAAATCCGCCGTCAGGATTATAGAAGCTTTAGTAACAATACGTCACTCAAATTTCAACTTCGTTTCTTGCAAAATGCCTACCTTGTAGCCGCACCATGTTTTGTGTTGGCAGTGGTGAGTACAATTAGAAAATATATAATATCGCGCCCCATATCATCCATAAGCACTTTAATGAGCACGGGGCATCTGAGTGCAAATATATATATATGCAACCTCCGATTGCACATATGCATACTGATTACGATATAGTGAAATAACAACTCCTATATGCTATTGACTATGACAAAATTTGACATTGCAACGTAAGGGGTTACTTCATTCTCAATTAGGTATGCATGTATTTATACTATCTTGGCCAGGGCCGGTGCCGCGATATGAGTTTGGGAGAGAGGGCGAAACCTTCCAGATCTGATAATGTGCTTAGTCGCCTTACAGGGCGAAAAAATAATATTGTTACGAAATAATGCATTGAATGCCAGCAATGTCAATATGTCAGAACATTGTATCAACGCGGAGTGGGCTGCATAGCGAAGACAACCCTGCATATCCTCTGCAGCGTGTCCACAACCAAGATGCGGGGCTCGACAACTTCACCTTAGCATGAAACTGGAGGTGAGACTTGAGAGGGGACTGACTTCGTTCGAACTCCCTGAATCCTGAGACGCGGAGCCCCGGGTTTCAGCTGAGACATGTTGTCTGACTCCTGTTAAATGTTGCATCATCATCTTCTGAGGATTGGGTCTTGTTCTCGGACTCGTCAATTATGAATATATAATTCTACGCAGATGTTTCACATATGGGGTGAACTCAAGGCTCAGCCTCTGATGGGGTTGCTCTGGAAGCGAACAAACTGAGTAGTCACTTTAAAAAACGGCAGCAAAACAGAAGGAGCACTTTTGGTGTCCAGCTGAGAACAAGACAGACAGCATGTACTTGGAAGGGAGCGGAGGTAGCGAGCAGTGGCTACCTGAACCATGCACTAAAATAGGCTCACTGGCCCAATCCCGCGAAGTTGACGCGTTGGAAGTTGAGCTTCTGGGATCGTGCATGAATTCAGCCCCAGGGTCCGCGAATGGTCCTATGAGCGACGAGGAGTTTGGCTGACGATGGAACGTCAGCATGGAATGACAGAGCAGAGGAAAAAGTCGTCAGCAGCCGGCTCGGGAATGACAATCTCGACCTGGAACGCCAATGATGCAGACAGCGCTGGTCAGTTTTGTGACCAGTGACGTTTCTCCTCAGCATTGGACCCCTGAGAAGGCCAAGAGATTCTTTGTCGTGGACCAACCATCCTTGCGCGGCGCTTCATGTGGTGCTGGAAAGTGAAACAGCCCCAGACCCATCGCTCTAAATTTCCCGTCTCTCTGCCGCACTGCTGCGACTTCGGGTCACCGACAGTTTCTGAAAGACTGAGGGCTTTTACTTCTGCATTTAATTGTTTTGCAGCCGCGAGGAAGCAGAGGAGACGGAAAGGGACCGAAATGGCCGATGTTTCCAATAATAAACTGGGTTTGTGCTACCAAGGAGAAAGGGATTGACTTGGACCTCCAGCTTCAGGGACCAGCGCTGGATTTAATCCCCTTTCGTTTCAGGACGCCGCCACTCAGCCATTCAGGGCCTGGACTGCGAAACCGATCGACAAGCAGCCAATCGAGAAGCAATGCGAAATCGACCGGATCCTCCCGTCTGGCTCTCTCTGGCTCTGGGCTCTTCGTGGCGCAGTCTTGCCCGTTGACACTGGTCCTCACTCGGGCCCTGCCGTGATTGATCCAAGGTTCTGCAGAGCCTAAAAGTGCTGCTTCTTCAAGGTCTTGTAAAGGGTGACCGCGCTGTCCAGCTCAGCCCCGCGGGCTTTTCTTTCTGATTCTTTGTAATACATACTATAAACCGTCAGCAAAGCCCGGTGCTAAGCTCTGACCACTAAATTTGTGTTGTACTGCATGCACTCCGCCATTGACCATCCTGACTCTTTTCGCCGTTAATCTCCAGGCTTTTTTCGCTCTTTTCTTCCTCTCGCCCCCAGATTCTGTCCTCCCACATTTTCTCTTTTCTCGTTATTAATTAATGCACTGACCCCGATCCTTTCGTTCTCGTTTCTTACCGTCTCAAATCTGCTTCTCACTCTGTCTTGGACGCTCTCTTGCTAGATTGCCGCGTCACTATTTTCTTTCACCTTCAACTCCGGAACATCCCATCATGGTGGACGGGCACGCAGCAGCCCCGGCTGAGGCTTCTGCTCCTGCTGCTGGTCAGGCTGATGGGCCTGCTCCAGTGCAAGCAGATGTGCGTCATGCCAACGCTGGCAACGCCCACGACCACACTGCCCCGAGAAGCGAGAAGAGCTCCAGCCCTGGGCGTATAACACCGCGACCAACATTCCTGGAGAACCTCGCCGATTCCCGAGATTCACAATTCATGCTACATCGGCAAGATTCGGATGATCTCGATCGGTACTTTGTGAGTTCAAGTGTTCCCCGAGATGTAAAAGATGATCGAACTGACGATCACCTCCCTGCTAGCACGGCCCGAGAGATCTCGATAAGCATTCAAAATGGCCCATCATGCTCCGTATGCATGGCAGTATATCGCCAAAATTGATACTCCCAATTGCTTTCATCGCCGGCTGGTCCTCTTGTATAACTTTAATTTGCCACTTCGTCTATGATAGTGAGTATTGGAAGCAAATCAATCATTGCTGATTCTCCGACTAACGGCAATGGAACAGTTTCTGTTGATAACATCCTCCTGACTGTTTTGGGTTTTGTCGTTGGTCTGTCACTTTCTTTCCGAAGTTCCACTGCATATGAAAGATGGGCGGATGGCCGGAAATACTGGTCATTGCTCATCCAGACATCTCGCAACCTGTCTCGCACCATTTGGGTGAACACGTCGGAGCGAGAAGATGAGGAAGAAGGAAAGGAGGACTTGCTAAGGAAGCTGTAAGTTTCCCAAATGCCCCCGAGATTGAACCAACATATTGACTACTGTTAGGACGGCTATAAACCTAATCATAGCCTTCGCAATTGCTTTGAAGCACAAGCTGCGGTTTGAACCTGATGTCGGATACGAAGACCTAGCGGGCCTAGTTGGTTATCTCGACACATTCGCCAAGGAAGCTCACGACCGCCAGGTCCTCCAGCCAAAGAGGAAGACGCTTTGGAAGGCGGCTGGTGAATACTTGGGCGTTTCATTCGCAGAATCGAACCCTAGAAAACTCATCAAGCGCTCAAAGAAGCCGTTGGGCCATTTGCCTCTGGAGATTCTCAACCACATCTCGGCCTACATCGATTCAGTTATCAATAACGGAACTCTCTCTATCAGTCTTCATCAGTCTCAAGCTAGTACGTATCAATTTTACCCACCTGAACGACCTTTGGATCACTAACCAGCCATAGTCACCTACCTTGCCCAGATGAACGAGGTCGTTACTGGCACCGAGCGTGTCCTCGACACCCCGCTACCGGCTGCTTACAGTATCGCAATCGCCCAGATCGCGTGGATATATGTCCTCGTCCTCCCATTCCAGCTGTACGACTCCCTAGGCTGGGTGACAATTCCTGGATCAATCGTTGCCGCATACATCATTCTCGGTCTTGCAACCATTGGCAGCGAAATCGAAAACCCCTTCGGCCACGACGTCAACGATCTCCCTCTTGACACATACTGCAGACAGATTGCCCTCGAAATGGACCTAGTCACCGCAAACCCGGCACCTAAGGTTGATGATTTCTCCTCTCGCGAGGACAATTACGTCCTTTACCCCCTTAGCACATCGGGCCAGCCGGAATGGAAGGACCGCAGTGTTGAGGATATCCGTGCCGCTTTGCGTGCGAAAGTGGTTGCAAACACTGGCCATGGTTCGTCAAGTACTTCGACAGTGGTTGAACAAGTCAATGCGAAGTTCAACAAGACGGCCTCGGTATAACACAAGTTTCTTCCCCTCACTTTTGATGAGGGGAGATGCAATAAAATTGAAAAGACTAGGAAAGACAAAAAAAAAAGTCGAGAATGCATGGCAATTTGAAGGGAATTTGAAACTTCTTTTATCGCGTCGCAAGCATGGAATCGGTTTCGGGCGTCTCTTGATTGGTTGAGCGTGAGTCTACTATACTATATCATCTGTCTTGCCTGTTCATCATTGTGGTTTTGTGTTGAGCTTGTCCATTCCTCTTTCGATTTTATTCGATCGACGTTCGTTACCTGCGGTTGGCCTTTTGTCTGTTGTTAAATACATACAAAATCGTGTTTTTAGAATCTTTGCTGTATATTTTCGAAAATTTGAACTTGATCATAGCGTTGTTTAGACGCACACATTAAGTATCTGTTCAGTCGCCTGTCATTGTTTGTCCATCTCCTCTCCATTATCATCTCGTGTGATCTCCTTGATCACACCCTATAAAACTCCCCTCCAAGAGCGTAATCTCTAGGAGTGATTAGATAGCCGCAATACATAAGCACCGGGACTAGCATTGTGTACACATCTATTCATGCGTATAGCTCGCAATGCAAGTTGCTCCTTCCTGGCCAAGGGTTCCAAAGCGACATTTTCGAGGCAGCAGGTGGTTGCTCCTTCCTCAACTTGGAGTACATATCGAAATCCAGCTATGAGAAGGCAGGTGCGACCGTTGACCTGACGGGGCGCTCATTCCATTCAGATGGTTGCTTTGTCACCCTGCTGTCGTAGAGCATGAGATTAAAATAAGGTAGCGTTGCCATAAACTGCGAACGGGTACTAAGTACCTTTCCAAAGGCTATGCCTGTATGCTCCGTACTCTAGGACGTGAACAAATCTTCCCCGCCTCCTCTCACGAGCGCATCCAAGAAATTACCTTTCGCGCAGATTCTCCATGCCACGCTTCCCCCGGTATCTGCCTCGCTAGTTCCTCCGATCCACGAGCTCACGGCGGAAACGACAGCAGACGCATCCTGCCGCGGTACGCGGATCCAGACATATTTATCGATTGCTTTTGGTTCCGAGATGTTTGTTTCGGGGGTTACCGAGAGGATGTCGATGGGGATTGAGGTTCCGGAGAGGCCCAGGAATTGCGAGAGGGCGGTGTTTAGATGCGTGCGAGCTGTGAGAGGGTCCAGGGGAGTTGCTTTGGTGGCTGTGGAGGTGTTGGGTTGGTGGATTCTGTGGGGGTTTCACTGGATTAGATTGATACCGTGAAAATTATGAGGAGGGAAGGCAGCTTGGACGTACAGTTGAAGCTTGAAGTAGGTCCAAGGAGGATTGCGCGCGGTGAAAGAGATGGGTTTGGCGTTGGAGTTGGAGTCCTCAGGAGCTTTTCGTTTCGTGGAAGCCATTTCGTACTTTTATGTGGTAAAATTTCTATCGCTCCAGGATGGATTTTGGATAGCTTTCGTAATAGTTGCAAGTGGGTTGCTTGTGGAAAGGTCGCGTCGTCGCGGTTGAAGTGTTGAAGGGAAAAAAAAGGTGGGAGCTTTCCGTGATGTCACGGAGGGTTCCGCATTGTCAGGACAAGACCGTTTATTTCTTGACCACCGCTTCTTCTAGCTGCTGATGAGCCCTCTGTAGATATTCTTCTTCGCTCTCCATTCCAATCTCCAAATTAGCAATTGATATGATTTTGTCGCGCGATTTTAACCCATGGATGACGCCGACTTCGGACTTCGGGACGTTCAACACCTGAATCCTAAGTATCAGCCACTCCGTTTAAAAGACTTACTGCTCGACCAAAAACGCGAAAAGCATCAAAACGAACTAATGATTGAGAAGTACCTTTGAAAAGACGCGAGATACGGCTTTGTTCGCTTCTCCGTTCCTTGGGACTGCTGCCACGCAAACATCCACTTTCTCTGACCCGATCGCGGTGATGCCCTCTCGGTTGCCGGAGGCGTTCGGTTTCACTCTGCAAGATATCTGTAGGCTGTAGTGTTTCGTAATGTCCTGATTCTTGCTGCGGGGAGCTGTGGCAGCTGTGCGAATGAGACGGAGCATGGGCGATGACATTTTCCGATTATTGTAGTGAGGTGTTTCTGGTCAAAAGTTTGTATAATGCAGCCGGCTCCAGAAGTTGACGGGCCTTGGCCTTGCCGTTTGTTGACTACTCTGCCACGAGCTACAAACCATTAATTAATGGCAGCTCCGTTTGATTAAACGGGGTTTCAAGTGGCATTTCTTTATGCCATATCCCAGCAACCCGTGATCAACCTTAGCCTCTTCATAGACATGTATTTTATCAACCAGGGCAATCGGAAACTACTTGACAGTTTACAGGACAGCCCAAAACCACGTTTCGAAGCCCAACGGTCTCTTCCAGTATTGTGCCATACCTAAGCTTTGTTTTGATGCTCTCTAAAAGCATGAACATGAACAAATGTTGCCTCAGTATCCACAGCCTTTAATGCTGTTTGACGCACTATAGGAAATGCCATATTCACCACCAGCTACATGCTTGCAATGCAAAAAAAAGTCTGATTATGGTCAATAAATATGACCTCCAGAAAACAGCCCGGATCATCCTTCCATGTCCAGCTTCTCTAACATCCAGCAGCTTCTTAGGTTTTCTTTGCGAAAAGCCTTTTTCGACTACTCTCCTTGTTCCTTCCTAGTAAGAGCCTGCCCTTTCCATTGCTTTGGATAAATGCCCATTGACTCTAACTCGGTATCTACTTCTTCTAGACCATATCGCGTGCAAGCTATCCCCATAATATACTCCAAGTATCCTGCCTCTTAGCCGTTAGCTAAGATGAACTCTGTCGAACCTGCTAGAAACCAACAAGTCTTGGAACTTGCACCCCTGCTTCTTTGCACCGAGCCTAAATGCTACTACATGGTTCTCAGGACTCCAGGGACTGTGGATTGCACGCTGTGTGACTTTGCACATGTCCATCAAGCAAGCTGGAGTGAACGGAATCTCCCTGATATACTTTACGGACCCAACCGCACGGCGAATATCCAGGCAGAGGGGCCTGTCATGCAGACTCTCGCGAAAATATTTGGGAAGAGAATCAATCATTTCCCTGAACTTCCTTGGCACATTTCGTCCAAGGTGGAGGGATGGCGTCTCGAAGCATGGTTTCGTACCGACGATCGAATCACGGCGAGTGATATTATGGACCGTATCCATCCCAAGTACAGACAAGAGATTAGCCCTGCAATCATTGACCAACGCCGGGAGTCCTTCCTGCGCGAATTCGACTCCCTCTTTTGGGAACCGTCGCCTTTGGACAGAGCGCCTATGGCATACCAGACAGTTCGACATGATGGAGTCATGAGATATGATGAGAATGAAATACTTAACTGCACAGGCAGATTAACTGACAGTGCGTGGTCCTCAATAATCTATAGCCCCATGCCTCTCCTGGTCTGAAATATACTAAAATTTCAAGATTCAAATCTCAACCTAGAGAATGGCGGCGCCATTCCGCCTATAGCAGGTCCTTTGACAAATGCGGGCCAGTCGGAGGAGCAAGCGGTTCAAACTGATGGCCCTCCCCTTATCGCAAACTTGTACTCAAATCGACTGGTGCCGCCTCGCGATTCATATTACCGCTCAATAGCTGCGGTGCCCCCAAGTCCCAACGGGATACGTGTATCGCATGCTGAACACCCCGAGTCTCGCGAGTCGCAAAATCCGCGGCCTAATTAGAGGCCGGACGAAAATCAGGGGCACTACTCTTTCTTTACGGATTATGGCTTCGCATCCAACTGTTAAATTGGTATTCTTTGCCAATTTATCATTTTTGCGCTCCTTCGTTTCGCAGTCTTTTGGTTTCATTCGTTGGTGGGCTTTGGCTGTCGGTTTGCTCTCAATTTACTGCCCACTGCTGGCCTCGGCAAAAACGCATGACTGGGCTTTTATGCCGAACTGGGTTTATTACTTATGAGTCTTCTGTATGTAACTATTGGTAGAAGGAAAAGGGAATTAGAAGAGATAAGAAACAACCGAGTGTTGGCTCATTGTGCATGCTTGGGCCGAACTCTACTTTCTCAAAGTGAGAGTTGGGATAGTGGACTACACCGTAATATTGCTGCGTAGCAGCCGAGGAAGCTTTAAACCAGCATCATAATATATGCACCGTTTAGAAAAGAATCATTAAATTCATGTTTGGGAAGGACATTGTTCTTTCAGATTGTACAATCTACTCACCGTCGTCCTCCCTGCCACCTTTGGCTCTGCGGGCGACAAGACAAAATGGCATCATCGATTGGAAAAGCCTCAACAATGGACCAATAAGAGAGTCACCAATTACAATCACTATTATCAGAAGAGACTCGTCTTATTGTCGCCATTCCCTGAATAGCCAGCCTTCTTTCAGGCACCGACTCAGGATTGGCTGCTCGGGGGGCCGGGCCATGTCAGCTGGCAGCAGCTCATTGTCCATTGTCTTTCGAACCAGCCTATAGGGTGTCATTGTCCAGCAACTAGCCGCATGGGCTAGTCTCAGATAATTGGCGTTGAAGCTGGCTACTTGAACTGGAGTGGGAGTTCGGCTGGAAGTGTGGTTGTTGCGAGATCTCACCAGAGAGAAAACCCTATATTGCGGCTCAACACCAAGCAAAATCATAGTCATCATGGGGCTCATTTTGAAGCGCAGATCGAGCCTTATCACGCAAAACGTAGAGGGGAGAAGCAATTGGTTCATTGCTAGAGAAACACTCATATCCGAGTTTTGCCCGTTGAAGGGGGAGGCCGAAGCCAGTAGCTGGAGCGAGTGAGTGAATATTCACTCACACACACTCCCTCATCCAAGTTTTGCCCACCACCTCTCCCATTTCGGACCTCAAGGCCAGCCTCCCTAATTGTTCGACTTCCAGAAATGAAGAACAATAGCGATTGTGGGCGGGCAACATGGCTTCTTCTCTTCTCTCGACTTCGCTTCGTCTTTGGACTATTCCCTTCTTCCTCCCACAGTCGTCTTCACTCCGTTTCCCAAGCATCAATTGCAAACATATTACATTTCAGTGTGCAACCCGTTTGCGGAGACTGAGTCTACGCACCTACTCAAGATCTTTGAAGTGATTAACTCAAGGTACCCTCGTGACCTCTTCCCTTATGCCATTCGGGCTGAGTATGGGGGTTGCCTGGATAACCTTGCTAACTTTGGCTGTCCAGAACAACAAAGCTTCCATCACCATGACTCGTTACAGAGTTACCAAGACTACTTCCAAATCCTTTGGAAAGAAGCCCATGACTCCGGAGCGCAGTAAGTCTATCCTCGATTCGTAATCGAATCAGATCACTAACGTCCCGTAGAAAAGGCACCTCCCAGACAGGATAGCCCTAACGCGAATGATCCTCGCAACAGGACTTCTTACCATCCTGAACAGGCCGGTTGGTCGTGGACCAATCTTCCCGATATTCTCTATCAGTTCAGTCCCGAGGACAAGGAGAAAGGAGCTAGAGACCCAGGCCCGATGTCGTACCCTATCCACGGGAAGTACCTACGCAACCTCCCGGTTCTGCCGGACAACATCTCATCCACCGTGGAAGAATTCCGCGTTGAAGCATGGCAACGTTTGGATGAGCGCATTTACCTCGACGACATAACAGCTCGCATGCATCCTGACTTCAGGATCAAGAATAATGCGCTTCAACAGCGTGGAGTGCGCTTCCGTCAGGCCTTTAACATCATCGCCTGGCGCTCGGGAAACAAGCGCAGCGCACAGCTTGAGGCCGAGCTCATGCAGAAAATGACTGTTCTTGGCTTGGACGTGAGCTTAAACTCCACCCGCGGCATTACTCCTGGTCTCATAGACCCCAGCCGTGGTGAATCCGGTGGTCGAGTGCCGATACCAGCGTGCTGGCGGCAGAGGAAACTTGGTTCTGACGGACACATGCCTACCCAGCAGCCTCTCACTACAGAGCCAATTACCATGGAGTTGGAAATTCGCCCGAAGAAGACCGACGACCTGCCTAAGGTTTCGGATGGCTTTGAGATTTCGGATGATGTCTCTGAGCACGTAGCTGGAGTAATCCAGTTAATTCACGAGTTTACCGAATTTGACCCAGAACACAATCACCCGGAAAATGCTCTTCCTGTAATCAGGGGCCTCGTCCCCGATGAGCAACTCCCTGGCACGGTGAGAATGCAGGATGTCAACCTGCTCGAGGGCTACGGACAACCGAAGCAACAAATCATCGACAATGAAGAGCTCCCCCTCTTAACAAATAGCGACAGGATCGAGCACCGATCCAAACAAGGTTGGACACCCAGTTCGGCCATTTCGAACTCTGAGTTCTGCAATTTGTTTTGCCGAGAACCTGCTCCTTTGCGATACGAAGAATTTATTGATTTTCCTATTGAGTCTTTTGATGGCCCAAGCAAACCTCAAACGCCAACAAGTGGCTTGTTCCCTTTCACAAGCCCAATGGAGCTGGACTTGCTCCCCGAGGGCATACAGAAGAATGTGTTCGATGATATGCTGATGGAATACTACAAGGGTGAGCGTTACATTCCTGAAATGCCCTGGATCTCGGTTTGAAGCTGCTGTTATTTGAACTACGTGGACACGACCATACTTTGAACGTCGTCGCTAATATAAGCTGGCCTTATCTTGCTCCGATTAGCATTTCTTTTCTTTTCTTTTTTCTTTCTGGTCGGCGTTCGTTTTTGTTCTGTACATTATCTTTCCGGAAATACCCAAAGGAGTCTGGCAGATGGTGACGATTGGCATTCCAATGCGTTTGTGTTTAACTTGTTTTATTTTCCTTTTCTCTACTAAAGCGTTCCGCTTAGTTCATCTCAGGGAAGGGTTGTTGGCGTCCTGTTGTTTCGTCGCTTCGAGTTCGCTTTTCAAATGTCTGGCCCTGATGGCGTTTCATCACATTACCATACAATACTGTACCATAAGGTGTACCATAAATTGCGAGGCAATCAGCGAAAGGGCTTGTTCGCTATCTAGATCAAATCACAAATTGTTGTTCTGTTGGATTCGTTTTGACACTCTGGGGATGGGGATCGGCGTTTCGTAGGAAAGCCCTAACTTCCTTCCAACTCGTGGTAGCCGTATCTTGGCAGCAACTTAATTCAGACGACCTGCCTATCGCAAGATGGAGCGGTTGAAAGGAGAAAGAGATGAATGGAGTGGCGGACTCTATAATCAATAAATTCTAGTATATTTACTAAAAGCATTGGCTATTTAGATTACTGAAATTTCAACCATGCAATGTCGATGACTAGTCTAAAACAAAAGAACACTGTCTAGACTGGAGAAGCCTGTCGCCACACCACCTTCGTTTACACCCTCCGCCTTCGTCCGCATCAACCATCCACCTTGCTCATTGTGGAGGATCTTGCCTCCGTTTTGATCCCATAGAATGGTACCGTATACACCCAGCTCCCCGATGACACCGCCGCCCAGGACCTCGCCGTCGCTGCGTAAGGCTACGTTCTTCGCGGCTGCCGGTGGGTGAATCAGCTCCATGAGAATCCAGCGCTTCCATTCATTTTCAGGGATTGATTTGAGGAAGTCAGGAATGGCGGTTTTGTAGATGTTGTTCCCACCTCCTTCGCGCTGGGGCTTGAGGACGTGGTTTGACGCCGTTGAGGGGTTGAGGGCGAGTTCTCGGCCTTTGCCGGAGACGGATAAGTCGTATTGCGGCGCGAAGGTTTCGCGGAGCCTTGAAATGAGCGACGGGTCGGTATCAGCGAGAAAAGTTTGGAGGTGGTCGGGCCCGGTGGTCGTTGCGAGAACCTGCTGGACGATTTTGGATCCAGATAGTTGGTTCAGGACAGTTGGACACTTGATTGCTGCAGAGCGTTCGACATGGGTTCGGGCTTCCCAATCACGCTCAGATTTATAGTCGGTCGGGGTGTAGAAGCATCGGAGGTAGACTGTTGTTACTTCGAACTGTGTTGTGTCGGCGTGCGGTGGGCAATAAATGAGAGGGCGGGAAGGGTTGGAGCTGGAAATTACGGTGTGATCAAGGATTTCGGAGCTTAGTAGACGGAATACGGGTATTCTGTGAACCTTCTCGAGTTGTCTGGACAGAGCTAGTTGATCGAATATGTTTCTTTCGCCTTCTTGGACCAGGAATAAGATACACGTCGGGAGCTGCGGCTGCGACTTGGACGGCCCGTATGCAGTATGTGCCGTTGCCAAACCTGCAGACAGCGTCTCCACGGCCGTATTCTGCGGGACACCTTCTGGTTTCAGTAGCGGGTGTCGCGGGTATGCGATGGGACTGCCGGGAGGAGATTCTAGGAGTTCGGAATGGAGGGATGCCACTTGGGATGACAACCCACCGAAAGACGAAGAGATCGTGTTGAACTCCACCTGTTTCAACTGGGGATCTGTCGAGTTTGCGGGAGAGTGTGCCATATAATCAGACCGGAAGAGACCAAGAGAGAGCGTCTGAGCATAGCCTTCTTCTCGGACTGCGAGGTGGACTTTCCAGAGGTTCGAAATGAAATCATCCACGTCAATGAGACTACAGTCATATCGCATGTTTAGTCTAGGTCTCTGGTCTTTATAGAGCGAGTATTTGAAATAACAGGGAAATAGAAGCGGGAGCAGGTAACAAGAACATAGATCAGAAATTGGCCCTTACTCTTCCATAATCTTTCCAATCCAATCTTCACTGCATGTTATTGCGGCATATAGCTTATTGTACACGGTCTGCAGAACCTTCGCCTCTTCGAAGCATGTCCGCGGAAAAGGGCTGGGGAAGAGGGTCACCGGCGCATTTGTCGCAAGTACCCCATGAGAATCGGCTTCTTTTGAGACAAAAGTCGGCGCTGGCCTGACCATCAGGCCATTTTGCGTAGCCCAGTCCTTGACGGTCCTTACTAGGTACTCCTTCTGTGCGGGGTTCAAGGTGGGGGGATAATCCTCATAAATGGAGTCTGCCATGGTGAATCGGCGCCAATTCGTAAGAGTAAGGTAATTCCAAGAGACTAGATATTCATATCAAATGCCACAAGAGATTGGCTGTAGCAGAGGAGCAAACAAAAATGGTTGACCAAGAACTCATTTCACCTTCTCTCCGTGCTTCTGGAGGGGTCTTGGAAATTAGTAATCAGAATCGTTATCGCAATCATCACCACCGCCCGTTCCACCGCCCAGGATACTGGCAGAAAGATTGATCGGCCAGTGGAGATGGCGCGAGGCGCGGTTGCTTCCCGCCTACATTTCGATCTCATGCGGGGGACTCGAGGAGCTGCCATGTAGATTTGCATGCTGCCGAGTTTGTCGTTGAGACGCCGGGTTTCTTATTCATCTTGCTCTTTGGCAATATCCAGCTCTTTGATTTGAATTCGGTGTATTGTCTGCCCTCTGCCGTACCATGGCAGATTCTATTTTCGCTCACTTTTCGCTCGTCTTGCAGGTTCCCTCATTCACAGCCTTGATTTCGCGCCCCGAATCCCACGCGATCAAGATCGACCATTCCTTGTCTTTTTATCCATATTAGCATGTACAATTGCATGGCTTTTGTCTCAATTGTCGAATTCATGAGTTGTGCACGGGGTCCCTGCTGTTGCCCGTTCCATCATGGAATATAGCAACGCAGATCCTCTTGACTGGACAGTCGATGAGGTCGTGAATTTCCTTTGCTACAATCCCGAGACACCGTGGTCTAAGTCAAACTCAAGCACACCCCGACCGAATCCTGCTTCGTTCGCAAAGGCAATACGGGATAACTTGATCACGGGAGAGGTACTTTTACAAGATGTGGACAAAAATGTATTGAAGGATGATCTAGACCTCAAAGCTGTTGGGCATCGGGGCTCAATAATGCGGGCTATTGGGTTTCTTCAGCAATGTTCGCCAAAATTTCAAACTTCAAAGTCCGAACAGAGCCTTGTATTGCCCTCATCATCCCCGCTGCAACTACTACCTCACTTGCAGCATACCAATGCCCATTCGTCCCCTGCACAGTATTCAAAACCAGTGCCGCCGACTGCGCCGAGTACTCCTTCACTGAACAAGCTACCCGCAGCCGCAGCCGTTTCAGGTACTCTGAATACCGGAAGAGGGTTGGATAACCCGCACGGTGCCATCGAGAACAGCCCAGAGATCAATGTACCTGCTGGCCCTCGAGAGGTACCTGAGGCCCGGACGTCGAATCGGTCACGTTCTCACGAAAACATTGTGGTTGACGAACATGGCAAGAAAAGACGAAGGCTAAACCTAACAACTTTTGTGGAATCTCGGGGCGGCGATGTCATTTCGGAAATCTCAAGTAATGAGAAGTCGAAAAGCTGGTATATGGGCCCTAATGCTCTTACACTGGACCAAGTTTTCTACTCGTCGGATTTGGAGGGAGATGACCAGACCTTCACACTAGTCCCGTCCAAATTACCAAATGCGCAGCGCATATTTGTCAACCGACGTCTCAGTTATTTCTTCCAACAATCACCCATTGAGCTAGGCTCTGGCCACGGCTTTTCGCAGAAGGCTATTGTTCCCTACAAATCTTCAATAATAAAGTCAAGCAACGATGGGTATTTTACCCTTTACACAGCAGAGAACGGCGCAATTAACGTCAGTAAAGAAAGAATCAATGACTGGCCCCGCCTAGGGCACCAAGCAAGAGTGAATGACGAAGCCCAGTCGCCAAGTGAATTACCGAAACCCTCAGATCCATTTTCATATTTGCTTCAAAAATATCCAGCCGAGGAAGGCTCTGGAGATGCATTTCCTATATATGGAGACTCTGGTTCTGAGGGTGACTTTGACGAAGAAACCTGGCGAGAGATGGAGGAGGAACAAAGCGAGCCTATTCCCCACCAGCAGAGGAAGCTTGGCCCCACAGAAGTAGAATACATCATCAAAGATTGCGTCTCTGCTTATGAGGCATACTGGCGCGAATCTCACATGCCCAGGGAATACTGCAAGGCGCGAAAGCTCTGGTTAGTTGCCAGAAGGGGGAACCGTGTCAACCAGGAGACTAAAGCCTTAGTAAGAGATATCGGGTTGCTAGCAGCTCGCTTGCAGAAGTTGCAGGAGGAAATTCGCAAGAATGAATACACTACCGCAGCCGAACTACGCACACAATGCGAGTGCTTGGAGCTCACTGTTTTCAATATCCAAAAACAGAAGTTCCGTGTTTCGGTACTTGAACAAGAAAAGTGTCCTCCGAGAGTGCCTGCGCCCCCCAAACCTCGAAATCCTCCAAAATTGAGGACCGGAGATGAAGAAACCCTAGATTCGGAGTCCGATTTTGCCGAGAATGACACGTTCGATGACTTTATTATTGATGATATTGGAACACCCAAAGTTCTTGAGGCTGAAAACTCTCCCGACACGTCCTCATCATCTGATGGTGACGACGATATTATCAGCGTTTCCGGTATACGACGTAAAACTCAGGGTCAACCACCTAAGGTCTTTGGATCAAGCAGCCCTTCTATTTCTCCTCCTCCCCCGCCCGCCTGGCCTCTTCATGAGAAGCCCGAAGTCATCGATCTAACTATGGAGGAACCCGATGATCTACGCATAGAGACACCCCCTCTCAATCCTGTGGGATCCGCCAAATCAAATTATCAGGGTGCTACGCTGCTGAGATCCAGCACCTCCATGTCACCCCCACCCAGTATTGGCTCGCTAGAGGGTAGCGCTCTTGTGAAAACAGAAAATGACACACGTTCTCCCCGGCCCAAAATCAATGATATTGAAGGAATCTTGTCATTGGATTGGGAGTTTTTTGAAGCGCGTAAAGACCGCCGTCGGTTATTGGCTAAACTTATTGGTGGGCTTGCTGATGACGAGCGGACCAAGTTGGCAACACACATCCCGGAATATCAATTCTCGAAACTAAAGCTCCTGGTGCGCAGAGCTCTTAAGTCTTTGGGCAGCGGCAGGGTAGATGTCCCAGGAATGAATTCTAATGAGAATCGTTTAATCATGAGAACAGCTTCATTTTACGTGGCATGGCTGAACTGTATTCGTCTGGATGTAGAAGGTATCCCAAAAAAGGACATTCAGAAGGCTCTGAATCGTCTTGATTCGGACGGGTTTGACCGCTACTATGATGAACTCATTGAACAGTTACGGAACTGCCGCGCGTGGAAACAAAAGACAGAAACTACCGACCCAGACTCCGACCAGGAGCCCCATGATACACCGCATAAAAAGCGAAAAAGGGAAGTCAAAGAAAGTCAGTCGGCAAAAATGACACAGGCGAGTGCTCAGCGTCGTGTGGCACAGCAAGAAAAGCAGAGAGAGAAACTCGAGAAACGACTAAACAGCATGGGCCTGGGCAATGATAACCCCAGCCGCCAGGCCGTTAGCTTTAAGGACCCTATTATTTACTTGAATTCCCACATTGGGCAACACGTCAAACCGCATCAACTCAAAGGCATCCAATTCATGTGGCGGGAGTTGATAGAGGATAAGGATCGACAAGGATGTCTATTGGCCCATACAATGGGACTCGGGAAAACAATGCAGGTGTAAGTTCTCCGGGTTTTGGAAGTTGTACACACTAGTAGCCAGTTACTAATCCAATAAAGCATATCGCTGCTTACCACGATATATGAGGCCTCTGCTTCCTCTGACCCAAGAATCAGCCGCCAGGTTCCGGAAGCTCTTCGTCCGCTGCAGACCTTGATTATTTGCCCGGCATCCTTGATTGAAAATTGGCAAGATGAGTTCCATATGTGGTCACCAAAGATCTGGCCTATGGTGAGACGAGTTTCAACTGCAAAAGAAGAAAGCCTGAATGCACGCCTACAACAAATATCCGCATGGTATGACGATGGCGGAGTTCTCTTAATCAGCTATGATATTTTTCGACGTTGGATAAGCAATAAAGAGACTGGTAAACGGGGCAAACCTCTATCAGATGCTGACCATGATATGGTTAAGCGCTGGCTTCTTCAAGGGCCCAATCTCATCATCGCTGACGAAGCCCACAAAATGAAAAATGCTTCCTCTACAACCTATTTGGCGGCGATACAATTCCGCTCAACGAGTCGTATTGCTCTGACAGGATCCCCCCTTGCTAACAATCTTAGCGACTATTATACCATGGTCAACTGGATTGCAGAAGACTACCTTGGGAGTGCTGTCGAGTTCAAGGCCAACTACATAGAGCCAATCGAGCAAGGTCTGTATGCCGATAGCACACACACCGAAAGGCGAAGGTCTCTCATGAGGCTTCAGGTACTAAAACAGATCTTGGAGCCAAAGATCAACCGTGCAGATATCACAGTCCTTGCAGGAGATTTGCCGCCCAAGGTAGAATTTGTTCTGACGGTACCCTTGACCAAGCTACAGAAGGCAGCATACGATTCCTATGTATCATTTGCCCTGCGTGACCGAATGGAGGATATTGCACAGACCCAATTATGGTCATGGTTAGCCATTCTCGGGTTGTGCTGCAAGCACCCCGCAAGCTTCTGGGAAAAGCTCGAGAGTCGCGTACAAGACGCCGCGGCGAAGATGAGCGATGGCGAGCAACAACCAATTCCAGGCGATGAGTCTATTGACAAAATTGGAATACCAGACTCAGAGGGACTTGTGGCCGAACAACGTGATCTTTTTGCACAAGTCACTGATTTGAAAGCTGTAGAGCTTTCGGCTCGAACGGAGATTGTGAACAGGATCATTGACGAGTCTATCAAAGCCGGTGACAAAGTTTTGATTTTCTCTCAAAGTTTGCCAGCACTTAACTATCTTGAACATGTTTTGCAGGCCTCTGGCCGGCGTTACTCGCGATTAGATGGACAGACACTAATTCCCACTAGACAAGCGGCCATAAAGCAGTTCAACCAGGGCCAGCTGCAAGTGTACCTTATTTCAACTCGAGCAGGAGGGCTCGGTCTGAATATCCAAGGCGCCAACCGCGTTATTATCTTTGACTTCTCCTTCAGCCCTACATGGGAAGAGCAGGCTGTTGGGCGTGCATACCGCTTAGGGCAGCAAAAGCCAGTCTACGTGTACCGATTTCTCACTGGGGGGACATATGAAGAGATCATACACCACAAAGCAATATTCAAGACTCAGCTCTCCGTCCGTGTTGTTGATAAGAAGAACCCTATACGTTTTGCGTTCAAGAAGCCTGGCGATTACCTGTTTCCAGCAAAGCCCGTTCCTCAGCAAGATATCTCTGAATACATTGGGAAAGACAAGCTGGTCTTGGACAATATTTTGCGTGAAGACCAAGCAAAAAACACAGAAGACAGGTTGATAAGAGATATCATACTCACGGAGACTTTCCAAAGGGAGGACAACGACAAACTGACCGACGAAGAGAAACGAAGCGTCCAGGAAGAATTTGATGATGAAAACCTTCGCCGAAGAGATCCCGTTGCTTACAACAAACGATTCCTCGAGAAGCAAATGAAACTTATACAGCAACAGAATTATGCGCGTTCGTCAAGTTCAGTGGCTCATGGAGTCTATCAGCCTTCAGTCCCACAAGGTACGACTTATGGCGGCCAACACGCTCCACAACAGGGGTCTGTTTTGTACCCAGATCAACGACAAGGTCTACAATTCCAAGTCCCAAACAGTGCGCATAATAATGGCCCTCCTGCTCTTGTTCCCGATATGATTTCTTATCAACCTCCAAAATCGACCTGCGAATCTGGCGCACTGTCTCCTTTTACAAACACTCCACCGATAGGAGATGCGAGAGAAAATACTCATGTCCATCCGACTGGGCCATCCTCCCAGTAGCAAATGGATTCGACGGCGAGTCGTCCAGCACCGATTACTACAAGTGTTCCGCGTTCTGCAGCCCCCCAAACCGTCCCTCAAAATACGGATTCCCGTGCGCGCACATCGTCAACGCCTGAGCCACAAGAACGGCGGAAATTTGGCTGCGGAAATCAGTGATATTGCAGTGTAGACACTGCAAGACAAGGCCTGACCTTCTTGTGGCATCCCCAGTTTTTATAGCGTACCTCCCCTCTATCTATTTTCATTATTGAACATTGTTTATGGCGGCAAATACTTTATCTGCATATATCTTATCATGATTGGGGTTTCTTTCTTTCTTCCTTGTTTTTTTTTTTTTTTTTTTTTCTCGCTTACATTTATCTTGTACTCGTTGCTTCGTTCTAGCGAAAGACCGGTTAACTTTCAGCATGTGCTTGACAGCGTTGGCGTTTTCGGTGGGACAGCGAGCTTTATTCCTGGGTCTGGTATCTGCACCACTCAGCTCCGCACAGAAACCGGCCTTGACACCGGCGGCGAAACCTCAATCATCACTTATCAGTTGATTTATCATTCCTCATTCCTCATCCAATCTTCACAGTAAAAACTCCGTTATCATAGCATTCTCCACAGTATAAATCAACCACAGATCCGCGCCTCTTTGGCCACCAGTAACACCATGCGAGTTGCTGACGGCTTCGCGTGGATTGTGGATCCAGATCATTTCATCTGGATCAGGCTACAATTTACTGACAGCGCTGTTGGAGCTTATCTCTTGAAGATGCAGGAGGCTCTCCAACTCGGAGATCAGACGACCGTCTGCAGGAACAACAGCACAGGGTCCACTTACAGTGCTATAAATCCCGTTCGCTCATCCTGTTGGGTACAGTCTTGGAATATAATAATATAACAATAATATACAGACAACATGGTCCCCCCAAGGTGGCTCCAAGCCCTGGCCACCCTGTGTATCTCACTATCGCCCCTGCCAGGAGTTCAAGCAGACAACCATGCCCACAATTAGAGCGTCCTGGGACATAGTGTAGCCGTTCCTTCTCGGCTTCACTATAAGGAAACTGCTGAGCAACCTCTGGCTGGCGTACGTACCCCCACCTTCTGGACGTTCTTGTACGATTTGATCTGCTTTATAAAATAAACAGCTCCGCCTTGGAGTCAAGGATATCTTCCACGTCAAAGGCCTTCGCCCGAGCGGCGGAAACAGGGCATACTACGCTCTCTACGAGCCTCGCAACGCAGCCGGCCCTGCTATCCAGCGGCTTATCGACCTGGGCGCGGTTGTATCCTTGAACACCCAAGGGTGATATAGCTAGTAGGTGTTAGACGAAGTAGATTAAAAGACCGTATAGGGGCTGTAGAAGGTGGGGGTTTATTCTCGATAAAAAGTTACTGCAATAGTAATCGAAATATATACTGGTTGCTCAAGATACAGTTGATTCTTCTGCTAATCTCGGATTCCTCCGATTCAAATCTAAAGCTTATTACATAGAACGTAACCGAAAGGGTGTTTATACATATGGTGAAGGCAGGACCAAGAAATAACGGACACGAAAAAAGTCTGACCGAAGAAGATGGGGTTACAGGGAAACGCAAAACATATCACGTCAAGAGCTTCTCCAGATCCGCCACACGCGTGGCTCGATCATCAACTTTCTTACTCGCCTTTTCGCGGAAGGCGGCAAGCATCAACTTCCGCTTCTGCTCCTGGATGGCCAGCACCCGATCCTCAATACTATCCTCCATAACAAGCCGCCAGACAGTCGTCTCGCGCGTCTGACCCAGACGGTAAACGCGGTCGACGGCCTGGTCTTCAATGGCAGGAGCCCACCAGCTATCCGCGAGAATGGCCTGGTTTGCAGCTACTAGATTGAGACCAACGCTGCAGACACTTAGACTAGCTAGGAGGACTCTGCAATTTGGGTCTGTGGAGAAGCGATATGTGGAGTTGTCACGGGCCAGCGAGCTCATCTTTCCGTCGATGCGGGCAAAGTCTATGCCGGCTTGTTTGAGGTGCGGCTCGACGAGGTTCAAGAAGGACGTCCATTGGCTGAATACGACGGTTTTTGTGCCCTGGGCCTGGCCTTGAGCTGTTAGGATCTTGACGAGTCCTTCGATTTTACTGCTAGGGCTGTCTGGGTCTGCGTAGACGTCGTCTGTGTTCTCACCCATATCGGCGGCCGGCGCTACGAGGGTGGAGTTGTCATCTATTTCAGCGCGACACATGGGACACTTGTGCTGGCGGTCGATGACTTGTTCGATACAATCGCGGTCGAAAGCGTGTGCGCAGGCGGTTATTACGGGCTGCTCGAGGGTATCCAGGCAAATAGGGCATGTTTCTTGACTTTCAATTCGGATTTGTAGCACGTCCTGGAGGGCTTTGACGTTTTCGGGTGTGAGCGGAACGACTTTATGTTTATCCAGAATGTCGGCGAGTTTGTCGAGGCGGTTTTTGCACAGTGCCCAGTGGTTGCAAACTTGGCGGAGGCGGAGTATGACTTCGAGGAGGTGGGAGTAGGTGGTGTTGGGTTTGTCTTTGTTTTTGAAGTCCATCAGCATGCCCTTGGCTTCCGATCTAACCGAGTATTAGCAAAATGGGCATCCTTAGGCCGCCGGGTGTATAGATACTTACTGAAACATCTCGTATTTTTCTTGCTCATGGGCATGGAATTTGATACGCAAAACGCGAGAGGTAAGAGGTGGCAGACGCAGATTTACGAAGCCCATGTCCTTCCTACGGCGTAGGCAGATAGTACTCATAAGTGCTTGCAGCAGCAAACGAGCGTCTGGATCGTCAGACATGAGCGGTCGGATTAGAACGCTGTTGAAGACAGCAAGATCCTCTAGGCCTCCGGTAAGACCAAGAAAGCGAACCTGAGAGTAAAGATCTTTGAGGGTGTTGATTATGGGCGTTCCTGTCAAGGTCCAGCGAGAGTCAGCCCGTAGAGAGCAAGCCGCCAGTGCACCTTTCGATCGTGGGTTGCGGATAGTATGCCCTTCATCGAGAACAATACGGCGCCACTGCAGCGAAAATAAGCCCCCCTTGGGGAGAGCCTTGGTGTCCGGGCGGTATTCCATTGCCAGAGCTCCGTAACTTGTCACCACCACATCATACTGGTTTAGGTTTTTGGCCTCCTTCTTTCCAATGCCATGGTAGATTAGCACGCGCGGAGTTTGATCGGGGTTGGTGTGATCTTGGATTTGGTTTCTCCAGTTGCTCATCACGCCAACAGGAGACACGATCAACGTTGCCTTGGAGGATTCTTTGGTCTTTGGTTGAGAATTTGACAGAATCAAAGAAATAACTTGAATCGTCTTGCCCAACCCCATATCGTCAGCCAAAATGCCACCGCTAGCAAGTGGAGGCGGATTTGTCGTGGAGAAATTTGTAGCGATATTGGTGAATTTATTACCCTGTCTTTTCCAGAGTTGCACCACGTCGTCAGTGCCGAGTTTGGGGAGCTGTGGGTTCTCCTTGTTGATCATCCACGCCAGGCCTTGACGTTGATACGGAAGGAGAGTGGTCGAAAGAGATGCCGGGCTGTCGGCCATAGGCATGTTCTCAAGATCCGATTCCTTCAAACCAAAGCTCTCAGCCACTTGGCCGATTTTTCGAGGGTTGAATGTACTGCTTTGATTGATAAGTTCATCCAAACTTTCCTCGGTGATCATTCCCTCCCCAAGTGGTTGAGAAAGAGAATATCCTAGATGATTCGCAGCCCCTGCCAGTTGCCCAGTGCGAGCTCTCTTGGCAGCCTCTTTCATAGCTTTCTCCCGTTCTTTTTGCGACTTCTTTTCGTCACGTTCGGCCTGTCTGAACTGGCCGAGTGGCAGCTTATCCTTTGTCATCTTGAGTTTCAACGCCTCCCGCATGTTAAACTCGCTTGGGCCGTACAGCTTCAGGACGATTGGGCAGTCATACGCGCCGATGACCCCGGTTAAAATACCTTCAATAGTCAACAGTCGGTCATCCTACAGAAGGTAAGAATGTTTCAAAGAAATTGAACCCCGCGTTGGTTCTTCAAAGATAAACATACCAGGTAGCTTGCTAGCTTCGCGGCCATGTTTCTGGGAATATGACCAACTTGAGCCCCCATGACATTATCAACACGGATCGCATTACGATCATATTGATTGTGTGGCTCTCGCTTCAGAACAACATGCTCCCCAATAGTGGCTTGTCCCCTGTAGTAGCGAACACCTACAATCTTAGTGTGCAGATCTCCGTAATGCCATTGCGTAGAATCAGAGGAGTCGTCAACCACTTGACTGCCTTGGATTAGGCCCGCAGCTTCAGTGTCGTCTTCGTTTTCCTCTAGGGAAACCTGTGATGCCTGGCTGAGAGGAATGAATGTTGTATCCTGGCCAAAGCGCTGCCCAGAGACACGGGGGTACTTGGGTGGTGGTGCCGGAGCAACCTCATGAACCTCGTCAAGCGTAAGATCAACCTGGTTTATAGGTCGCTTTGCCTGTGGAGCACCCATGATTCCTGAGAACCCTGGAACATCGATGGGTATAGCTGGAAGAACACTGGAGCCAAATATAGCCAAATAGAGCTGGCTGATAGCAGACGCGCATCGCGTTTGTGCTAGAACTCCAGACAGTCCCTTATCGATAAGATAAGGGAGTACCGCTAACTATTCTAGGATAGGCGCAAACCTTGAATGGGTGACAGAATGCGGCAGTATCAAGGCGGTGAATTCAGTTTCTTGTCGCGACTCTCCCCAAATTCATGGAAACTGGCTGATCTATCCCAATTTAGCCCTGGTAGCAGTTAAGAATGACTTGTCGATCTGAACTGTCGATAACTGTGGCTTGTGTGGTGTAATGATAATTGTCAAAAGGGGGGCAGAAAGCCAGGATTCTGCAGAATGAGGAGCCTCGCCTCCCTGCATTGACAGGCCTTTTCCCTTTTCCTTCCCTCGTATGTGGCGTCACGATCTTTTGAGCGAGGTTGCTTGGGTTGGAGAATCTTGACTTCTTTATTTCACTATTATCCCTTCTTTTTCTGTCTTTCTTTTAGAGGCTGTAATCGTTGGCTTTCCAATCCTGGCCATCCATGGTGGATTCCATCTTCGTTCGCTACGAGCGCACCGTCTTCGATGTCTACCAGCAATTCGATTCGCTCCTAGAAAATGGAGATGCGAAGCCTTTACTCTTATGGCATGTGCTATCTGCCATGGTTCTACCATTCTGTGCACTCCTGATTCCTCATCGCCCAAGCGGTTGGATCTTACGGCCCTTTCTCTTCGCTATCGCCCTCAGTATCAGCGTTGAGACCATACGATATCGGCGTGCGCTTCTGGGGGCAAATGGATACATAGTCGGACTTATCATGGTATGGTGGCTTGTTTGGAGCTCTACGCTCCTTTTCTTCAATGATGCTGAGCGAAACTTTCGGCGGATTGAGCGAGCGCAATCCCATGGGATTCAAGACGCTGCCAGCCAGCAAAATGGTCACGCCAGTAATAAAATCCATAAACCAAGTGACACCTTGGGGAGATCAGGCACTCTGGTATGGCAACCTTATCCTCGGTCATTCATGCATCGTCTTGGGTGGATACTCGCTCTGGTGTTGAACATGAGAGGCCCTGATTTCAACTTCAGAATTTCCTCCTTGGATCCATTACCTCCCCAGCTCAAGGCCAAGAATGATCCGATAGATGATAAATGGGTGTGTCCACAAGCTACAGCCCGTATACGGGCGGCTTTTATTCGCTTCTTTGTTGCCTACCTCGCTATAGATATCTTAAAACTTACGATGATATGGGACCCTTATTTTATGGGTATCATATCCGCGCCACCCCCATTCCCACTCAACCACCTTTCAGACATCCCAGGTCTGATTCGGTTGTATCGTTCCTTACTTTCTGGTACCGGCGTATACTTCGCTCTCCAGTTTGTCACTGCTCTTAACCCGATGTTCTTCCTTGGCCTATCGACTGCGTTCCCCAATGCATTTCGTGCAATAACTGCGACACCATTAGATGAACCGTGGCTCTATGCCGACCAATTTGGACCGCTTAACGCAGTACTAGATGAAGGCCTTATAGGTACATGGGGGAAGTGGTGGCACCAGATCTTCAGGTTCGGATTCGTATCCACCGGAAAATGGACACTCTCGTTGCTCCCATCAGCAATCTCGTCCCGTCGCAGCGTGCGACGCACAATTATTACCATTGTTGCCTTCGGAGTCAGTGGGGCGATTCACGGCTTTGGAAGCTATACGCAACTCAGCAATGAGACCCGTCCCATAACCGAAACGTTCCTCTTCTTTATCCTACAGCCCGTGGGAATGTTCATCCAAGACATCTGGAACCGTGCCGTGGTGGCGCAACTCAACTGCAATGGCCTTCCGCCACCGCGCTGGCTGCGTCGAATTGGCAATGTTGCTTTTGTGATTTCTTGGCTTCTTTTCTCGGGAAATCGCATTGCAGACGATTTTGCCAAAGGCGGGATGTGGTTAACGGAGCCGTTACCTATTAGTCCCCTTCGAGGGTTGATGGGCCAAGGGTGGAATTGTTGGCAGGCCCCCTGGTTTGAGCGTCATGATGATGGAACGTTTTGGGGTAGTGGGGTGCGGGTTATATAGTAGACTGACATTTAGAATAGACGGATGATAGATGTTTTATAGAGACTATATAGAATGTTGGCTAGTTTATTTCAATAAAAGAAAATCTCCGGATGGAGCTATTAAGTATTCTTAACTTCAGACAATGTAGCCAACCATAGGGTTTACTCGTCGTCTTCCTCATCAGTATCCGGTTCAATATTTAGAGTTGGCATCTCTTCATCGCTATCCTCATTCGGTACAGTTGCAGCCCCGACTTCGGGAATGGAAGATGACTGCTCCACCACAACCGATGTGGAACTAGAGGCAGCGTTGTCAAATACTGAGGTTGACTTTTCTTCCTTGACCGAGCTAGTCTGTATTGAGCCAAGTTGGGTCGATGAGATCGATGTTGGCGCAGATGGGAGAGTTCCCCCAACTGTAGTAGGCCCCGAATCAGGTTGTTCTGATGAGAGTTTTGAGATGTTGCTGTCAAATCTAGGCTTCTTGGTCTGGGCAACATCTGCGGTTGGCGATAGCTTAGAAGTAACAGGATCCCGGGTCATTTTTTCTTCTGTGTAAGTACGTTTATTCGAAGATGCGGTGAGGCTTTGAGGCGCGCTAGAATCAACGAGGTCTTGGAGGTTTGGTGTTGTAGATGGTTTCAGAAATTCGGTGCTGTCTTCGTGGGCAGCTTGCGGTAGAGAAGCGGGTTCAACGTCTTCTTCCTCATCCTCATCCATGTTAACATAATGTCCAATGCTGTTTGAATTTGTCAAAACAGGCATCCGGGGTCGTATTAGTGCTTCCACGTCCATTTCTGAGGTATAACTCCTGGCTAGGAAGGGCATAATGCTGACGTTTGCTCCACGGCCCTTCACGGCCGGGAATGGGTTGAGAACACTAGCATACATGGCATTCTTGTCGGAGGTCATTATGATGGTGCGGTCGATTTCTGCGCGAACTGGCGGTGCGATGTTTTCCATAGGAACATGGGTTAATACGGTCTGGAGAAGGCTGGAAGCAGCTCGTGATAGTCTCGGGAATTTTGTCGGGGCGTTAGTTTGGCGTCCTTGCTTGAGACTAGGATTCAAGAAGAAGTCCGCATTCACGGCACCTGAGTTTGTCTTGGATTTTCCCTTTGCGTCTGAGGATTCCTTTGTAGTTTCACCTCCCGAGGGCAAGAGATCGGAGCAACAGGTGCGAATGATATCGGTCAAAGAGGATACATTCTTCTTGTTAATGGCCGGGCCAATATGCTCGAGCAACGCAGTTGTCAGGCCATACACTGAAGCGCGAATTTTCTTGTTGAATTTTTCCGCACGGAACACCCAAAGCGTTTGCTCCAAAATTGTCTGAGCGACTGGAATGGCAGCAGTTTCCAATGTGTTGACCAAGGTACGAAGTACTTTGATGCAGGCCACATGAACGTAAGGCAGCTCTGCAAAAAGATTTTCCCTTTCTGTTCGACTTACTTGCGGATTGGCCTGGATATCACTTGTGTCTGACGGAACAACCACGGACATTAGCCGTGCAGTCAAATCAAGCACAGAACCAACTGGGATCGACACGGTAGAAGCTGTGGCAGTACTTAAAAAGGCCGACAGCATTCGCAGCAGCTCACGAAGGCGTTTAACACCCATGTCCAGCCCTTGCCAGCTTGATAATCCTAAGGCGTCAGGTGCATGGCTACCGACTTCGAGCGCGTAGTCAATGGGGTGGTTTAATTGCTGTCGCAATGACGGGTCAACAGACTCCCACTGCTCCACGACTGCCCTCAAAACATGACTTGCAGTCGAATGAGTTGAATTTATGGTCATCCGACAAGCACTCTTCCACTCTTCTCCCCCGGTGTTCTTTGGCGCACAATGGTGAAGCGCAATAAACAGCTGCTCCGCAACATCCAACACAGGCTGCGAATAGGGCGCTGATGTTGACCCAATAATTGCCTGGAGGATACTGTGGATCTGCGACGTGAACGGCCGGAAGATGGTCGGATGTCTGGCTGTGAGCTCCGCATATGAGCGAAGAACAACCTCCAAGAACGGCGTGTTAGGTTTCAATTTCCGGGTAGGCTCAGAAGACGATTTGACAGAAACGAGGTTCAAGGTAGTCGTAACGAAACCCGGGAGTGATGGCGTTGTTATTTCGCGAACCAAGGTTGGATACTGGTAGGTAAGGTGAAAGATCCGAGTCAAGGTGATAACGGCCATGGTCTTGGTAGAAGTAGGGTCGGATTTCTATATGAAACTAACCATCAGCAATTGAACCTCAGATTAATTCCAAGAACAAGTATACTCACACTTAGAATGCCCATGAGACCTCGAACAAAAGGCTCACTGCCGCGGAGAATCTCCCATTGACCAGATTCCACCAGGGCCTTGACAAGAACGACTGCAGCCCACCGACCCTCGGGCGATCTATCCTGCAGCAGACTTGAGATTCGCGTCACTAGCTTGTGCACCTGAACCGCATGGTCTGAATCTGCCTTCCCAGCCTTCTGAGACTGAGGGGTGGAGAGCAACTCCCCGCATTCTGTGATGGATGCTGCGAGCGAAGCTGCAATGGCAGGGAGCTGCTGGACCGGTAGGTTGGTCAATCGGTGATTTACCGCGCGCAGAGTCATGAACAGGTGCGCCATCTCGGATAAGAAAGCCCGGCGAGCTGCTCGGCTGTCAACGAGGGATTTGAGGCTCGGGGTAGCTTGAGACCGCTGGCCAAAAAAAAAGTCGATAAAAAAAAACCGATAAAGCCGATAAGCTCGGACCACCACATGAAGCCTCGGGACGGAACAATACTGCAATACGGTACCGCAATACAAATAATACGTTGAGCTGGGCGTTTCTTACGGGATCTCCCCTGGCCGGATAATAATAATGATCATCAACCACTGACGACTGGTTCCTGGGGGAGTCGTCCTCCTGTGCTTGTGCGAGCATCCCTCCCCCAGTTTTTTTGCCTAGCGAACGTCGAGCCTCGGGGTGGGCGCTCGTGATGGACTGTGTTTTTTAACTGCCCTCCCCCAGATTTTGTTACTGAGCCTCTTTAACTCCGACCATCCCTCACAATGAGTGTAAGTCATGTACCTTGTTCAGACCCCCTGTGCACTTCCTGCCCGCCCCACGACGTCACCAACTTAAAGTCGGCTTCGCTAAAAAATGCTACAGGCGCGAGAATCTGAAAAGGGGCATCGCTACGTCGTTGCCCTGGATAATGCTCGAAGTCAAAATAAATGGGACGAGGTCCCTGAGCTAATCCGAAAGGTCTCGAAGCACGCACCTCACAAGACATGTAATTGCCCAGCGCCCCTCACCATCGGACTCACGGTCTAATGCAACTGAGTATAGGCTTTCTAGATGTAGCAAAAGCAGAACACCAAATCATTACCCATTTCCATAGAACTTCGTCCAACGCACGTCCTCAGTCCTCCTCCTCGGCCAATTTACCAGAATTAATACCGTCCCTCCTTTCCACGATTGATCAGGCAGGTGGCTCGAAACACGAGATATTCCAAGCACAGGTCTGCTTAGGATGGGTTCACTACACCCTCAATGAACCGGGATTGGCTGCGGCTCGCCTTCCAAAGGACTTTAAGAATGAACTGGACAACCTGACAGCTACGGGGGAGGAATTGTCGCCGTGGACCAGAGTCTGCTTTGCCAAGGGCTGCTATATTAAAGGCGCCGCTCAGCATTCGGTTTCGGGCCCTCAGGACGCACTGCGAACATTCAATTCTCTTGCTCCTTGGCTCGGCAGTACAAGCCTGGCATCGCCATCCAGTCAATTCCATTATTGGTCCGAGAAAATCCAGGCAGATGGCGCACTCATTGCTGGCGATGAAGTCTGCAAGGATACCGACGAGGCGAGTGCTGAACTCATCAGCATTGCTTTAAGGTTCTTCCGGACATGGTCCTCCCATCCCAACGTCAAGTCAGATACACCTTCTCAAGGCCCGCAAGCTGAAAACTCGTCTGAGCCTGTCCCGAAATCTTCGATTTGGACGTCCTACTATGACCTTCTGTCTACCATCCTTCTGCATGATTTGCCGTACACCGGACCTGTGGATGGCCCTGGGCGGCCGCAGCTTGCCAGCGAAATCCGACGAGTAGAGAAAATTTGCGAGTCCAACCTTCTCCGTGATGCGAAATTCCCTACAGCGGATCATGGCAATGAAAGAGTCGAGGTGTGGGTAGAACAGGTCATCCAGAACTGGAAGAAATTATGTGGTCCCCAGTGGCACGACGAGGAGTTGGGAGAAGGTGGCCAAACTGCTTTGGGCACAAATGTTCTTGATGTATGTGCCGTTTGAAATTCTAACATGACGCTTGCCGTGCTGATTGTCTTTTAGATCCTATACCGTGCTGCGACCCGCACATACCATTCCTATCTCATTCTCAGGCGTCTCTTCCACGTTCACTCAGCACTGTCGCAGTTTGATCTCGCCTTCAAAGCGCTCGACTCATATATAGAAATCGTCATGGGAGCTAAAGAGAGAGCAGAGAAATCTGTACCCAACGAAGCGTTAGAGAATGACGGCGTTTTCATGCGAACACTTTCAGAGGGTGTGACCATTCTGTGTTGCTATGGCTCAGACAAAGCTGCAGAGAAGGCAAAGGATCTCATCGCCATTTTGAAAACATTTATCAGCGACCACGTCACAGATCACGAGGAGGGGCAGGAAAGGAAAATGGCACTCAAATATCACGATGTCTCGCCAGCTGACATCAGCAGTACCTACCGTGCTATTGGTGTTGGTCTCGCCAACTGGGCAAACTGGACGACTGTGAACGAAAGTCGCGATGACATTCGGGCTGAAGCCATTGAGAATCTAGAGCGGAGCATTGCCCCAGAACTCAGTGATGAGTTCAATTATTCGTCACTCTACACGCTGGCTCTGCTCTTAGCAGAGAACCGTGATCTTGATGCTGCAATTGACTATGTCAAGTCAGCGTTATCGTCAAGCAAAGACCATGAAACCGCTTCATCTAGTTTCAGTCGAGAACGAGATTTGATACCATTATGGCATCTTCTAGCGTTGCTCCTAAGCGCGAAACAGGAATTTGACATTGCGGAGCGCTCCTGCGAAGCTGCATTTGAGCAATTCCCGGCTGCCGTTACTTCACTAGCCCACACCGACAGGCGGCCACCAAAACAGCCGCCGAGCACGCAGGAACAAAAGAAACTAAAGCATGCGCTTATTGATCAATTACGCAGTCGTGAAAAGGAGCGCATAATTGAGACTCGCATAACCCAACTCGCTTTTGTGGAGCTTTTAGAAGGCCCCGAGGCTGCCCTCAACCATAGCGACCAACTTCTTGGTCTTTTCGGCACTCTATTCCGAAGCATAAACCTAGAGTATGAGCCGCAGACGAACACGAAGGCAGATCAACTTCTACGACCGAAAAGCTCATCTGGTACTGTAAGGAGCTTCCGTGGCAGCATCTTCGGACGGCACAAAGCTTCTCGCACTCCAGACCAAAAGGTCGTCCCAAGTGGTGAACCTAAGCCTGACTCTCCACATCAAACATTGCCTTTGAATCAGTCCCCGAATTCTGATGGCGCGCCTGCTATACAAGTGACAGGCGAGAATGATCAAAGTGCTGGTGATAACCATGCTTCTCTAGGAAGATCTGAATCTCGGAAAGTGCGCAAGCGTGGCAGTACTCTCGGGAGGTCGAATGCCACCCCAGACCAAAATTCAGGACCTGTCAATGGCGATGGTGCAGGTCACTATGAGTCAGACATTGGTGAGCCCAATGGGCATCACTTCGAGCAAGAGGCACCTAGCCCAGATACCGTACGTAGTGCAGTCTCGCAAGCTGCCAATCAACCACAAAGCGCAAAGCAGACGCTTGCCCCCATCGCGCACAACGCCAAACTTTCGCACCTGGAACCGCCTGTTGGCCATGAAAACCAGCCTCCCGAGCAGGACATCCGGCTACCGACATCTTATGGCTTTGAGTCGCCAGCGGGGGCGCTGACCAAGTTCCCACAGAACCAAACTCAGAAGTATGCCCTATGCGTTCTCGTGAAGGTATGGTTGCTCATTGCTGGGCTCTATCGACGCGCGGCGTCGTTCGACGATGCCGCTGAAGCGTGCGAAGAAGCTTCTAAACACCTCAAACGGATAGAGACCCTCACAGCATCCCAAGATGCCTCTGCTCGATCGTTCCGTGAGCGTGGGTGGGCCACGCCAAAGAGCTCTGACGAACTTTGGGCTGATGTCTATGCTGAACGGGGTTTGTTGCTGAAAGCACAGTCACGTCCTCACGATGCGATGGAACATTTTGAAGAAGCCCTACTTTACAACGCCAACCATCCGAAGGCAACAATCAGCTTAGCGAACCTTCTCCTCGATATTTGGGACCAAAAACTTCCTCTGCAGCCTCCGGAGCCCGGGGTGGAGATAGGTCTGCCAACGCTTCCAGTCAAGAAGTCAAACGAAACCAGGCGCCTCAGCAGATCGGGGCTCTCCGATGCACCCAAGCCAAAGGTTGAAGGCTCGACTTCTACCTCAGAGGATGAAGAGCCCAAGCTGATCAACCGTATCGCCGCGCGAGAGAGGGCATATTCCTTGTTATCGGCCCTGACCAAACGCGGAACCTCTTGGGATAACTCTGAAGCTTGGTTTGCTCTTTCACGGGCGTACGAAGCTGTTAATCAAACGCAAAAACTAAAAGAGGTCTTATGGTGGTGCATTGAGCTGGAGGATCGGCGACCTATCCGTCACTGGTCCAACATCGGATCCGGTGCTTATGTCCTATAATCCACTCTATAATTCATCTCATCTTTTTGGTTGACTTTAAATTCTTGTTTGGGCGATCTTTGGTCGATGCCATTTCAAGTCATTACATATTTCGCGATTTGCTTTTGCGTTGGTATGATACCTCGATAGTATCGTGTTACACAAATATTTGTAAATAAGACTTTATCAATTGAAAATAGAATAATAGGAACACCTTTATTTACACATTGCCCACAAATACACCGGTAACCAGTGGCCTGAGAGAACTCAAATGACGGAATAACCTCGACCGGATTACCGGGGAGCAGCAACGGGGTTCCAAGCTGAATACTTAGGCTTGGTACTAGAAAGTTAATACGGTTAGCCACATATAGATCAAACAAAACTCTCCAAAGAAGTTTCAAGGATGCACTCACGTAGAATAGGTCTTGAAAGCGGCGCGGCTCAGTGTCAGGGTAGGCCTGTGCTCCCTCAATTCCCAGGGACGAAGACCAGTCTGCATAATCTTGTCACCAGTGGGAGGGGTGTCGACCATGTAAGATATCCAGGCGTGCCTGTAATAAGTCATTAAACGGAGCTCATCCAAGATTTAAAACAGAAACAATAAGTGAATGATGTACTCACCAACCGGGCTCTATCTGCGACGGGTCGTACTCCTGCTGCTTGTAATCGACCCAGCGAGTTCGGACTTGCATCACAATCAGCACCACCAGCCAATGTAACTTCGACTCGACTTTAACTCACGAGGAAGTTCCTCTTCCATGTTCTCGTAGAATTTGTTGCCATATCGGTCAACGCCAATCAAAGTACCAGCTTTGGTATCACCTGAAATCGGATTTGCGTTAGTCAATTGCGATCCCTGCCGCTCCCGTTCGGGCAGAGGGGTAGCGATGAGGAATCATACCGATATACTAAAAGTTCCAATGCCGAGAATCAGTATAAACAGTCCAAGAGAAGACAACTTCAATCCATATATCGCAACGACAGGGGCTGCATACCTGCATTTGGTGGCCATATTCCTAAAAAGCGAAAGGGTCGAAGTTAGCAATCGTGCGGTACCAATTGGTCGGCGGCTTCTGGATGCAAAAGAACTCACCTTGAAGCCAATCCTTCGGAGATTCCGCAATGTACGGAGAATGGTCGACATCTTGGACGAAGTGCCGCTCGCGGAGCTTGTTTCGCTGGTCCAAGGGAGTTAATGTTGTCGTCCTTCTGTGTCGTCGGTCTTTCCGCTCGGAACTTGTATCGGCCTAATGCGGCTTAGCGGATGAGATATGTTTGCTCTGTTTGCATGTTTCTACATTGCGCCGCGAAAGACAAGAAAGTGTTGAAACACTCTGCTGCCGTCGCAATTCTCCGTGCGGTTCGATTATTGCCAGTCTATGATCTCCATCCTCTAGCCTCTGCATCTACTATGTTTGGGCGTGTTGGTGGTCATACGCTTCGGTGCGCTTCGCGCAGCCCCGTTGTCCGGCGGAAATTCTGGGAGCGCAGCTTTTCAACGCAAATACCCCCCTCAACGAGTACAGCAGCTCAGTCGAGTGCGTCGCCCCTCGGGAGCATCACGACGGAATTGGATCGGATAGCGCCATGCTTTGAGGTTCCAGCGTCTCGCATATCCGTCTTGGACTCCCCCGCGAGTTTCTACACTACCCTCAAGGTGCGAATGACACCCATCGTTGATGAGGGCTCTGGAGTGAAGACTAACTCGAACATGTGTTGCGGTGGCTTAGAATAAAATTCGCAAGGCTCGGAAGCGCGTCTACTTATCTACGTTATATATCGGCAAGAAAGAATACGAATTGATCCAAACCGTGAATGAAGCTCTTCGCGAAAATCCCGACTTACGAGTTTCGATTCTAACGGATGCTTTGCGGGGGACACGAGAAACGCCGAATCCATCATGTGCTTCTCTTTTGGCATCGCTAGTTGCAGAACATGGTCCGGATAGAGTTGATATTCGGATGTTTCATACCCCTAACCTAACGGGTTTGCGGAAGAAATGGATTCCTCGGCGGATAAATGAGGGTTGGGGGTTACAGCACATGAAGCTTTACGGAATTGACGATGAGATTTTACTTTCGGGGTAGGTGTTAACAGTTCGAATAAAGTTAGACGCAGTGACTAACTAGGATACAGGGCAAACCTCTCAGAGGACTATTTCACGAATCGCCTAGATCGGTATCATCTCTTTAATTCGAAGGAACTGGCCGACTACTATGCGCGCATCCACAACGCAATATGCGGACTCAGTTTCAAAGTCCTTCCCGATGCTCATAATTCAGCAGGGTATCTTTTAGACTGGCCCAGTGCCAATGGCGCTCCTTCGCCTCTTGATGACCCTGAGGACTTCATTGCATATTCATCGACCGTCTTGAAACCCCTCATTCAGCCATCAGCCAGCAAAGCCGCACTTGAGCCGAAATCCCCCAGCAAAACATTCGTGTATCCAGTTGCTCAATTCACTTCCTTGATGAAACCCGATGCCTCAACCGAATTCCCGGCCGTCACAACCATTCTAGGCCTCCTTTCCAGCTCGCCGATCTTCTCGGGCGCGCGCTGGCTCTTTACAGCTGGCTATTTCAACATTCATCCTACCCTCTCGTCCCTCTTAATAGCCAGCACCTCAACGTCTAAAACGGAGCCGTCTACTCGTGGTACTGTCCTAACCGCCTCGCCCTGGGCGAACGGCTTCTACGGATCACCTGGCATTTCCGGCATGCTCCCAGCAGCATACACCCACCTCTCTGCGCGCTTCCTCGATAGGGTCGCAGCCGCTCAGGCAACAAACTCCATTCAGCTCAAAGAATGGCGCCGCGGCACGGTTGGCGAGCCAGGCGGCTGGACGTACCACGCCAAGGGGCTCTGGGTCACGCTTCCCAAGGAAGAAAACCCAAGTCTGACTTTTGTCGGGAGCAGCAATTACACCAAGCGCAGCTATAGCCTGGATTTGGAGGTTGGGGCACTAGTCGTCACAGGAGATGAGGAGCTGAAGAGGCGATTGGGGGCTGAAATGGAGTGGTTACAGACGCACTCGAGTGCAGTCTCAAGGGATGATTTGAGAAGGACAGAGCGCAGAGTTAGATGGAACGTTAGGCTGGCTATGTGGATCGTTGAGAAAGTTGGGGGAGCTTTATGATGAGCCACAGAGTGGTTCTTTGAAGTTGCCATCTGTACTTCTAAATAGACTTTATATAATTGTATACACTATACCATTCCATTGCGGAATTAGCATAATATATACCACGCTTCCTTGATTCGCGTTCTGGGTCCCTCAAACCAGGTCTGTATATATTTTTGAAGCATCATTGCATTCCAATTTTAACAGGTATGGTTCATGATGTATGCGTAGTAAATGAACTTTTAAATGCCTAGCCGAATCTATGAAAAAAACTACCCTCAAAACGCCTTAGTCCATGTCTAACCTTCGTGAATAAACAAGGGGATATCGTTGCGATCGTCAACAGTAATTAAATCACGCTCTTCCAGGAACTTGTCCCCGAAGCTTCGCAGGGCCAAGTCCCTGCCGAACCTCATCTAGCATCCTAATACCAATCGCCTCATTTCCATTCTTCCCACGCTTGTTCTTCACTCCCTTGCGCTTGGCTTGTGCACTGGTGTTGTCGTCCCAACCAGACAGGAAGTCATCCATGATGTTGTTGAAATCGTGGCGGGGAGCAACTTCCCTGCCGTTTGCATCGATGAGACTAGGGGCTTGTGAAGAAGCGGTTGATAAATCTGTCATCCCGGTCATCCCGCTGACCATGGACATTGAGTCATCGAATTCTTCTTCCTCATCGAGGGCATAGAGGGCTTCGACGCGGTCGAAACGATCGTCTAAGAGACGATGTCCTTCTGTACGGGCTATCGAGGATGAAGTCATAGAGTAGGCAGAAGGGTTGGTGAGTGCACCCTTGCGCTTCTTACGCCGGATCGGCGTTCCTCCGGCAGTGAAGACTGTAGAGGCGAGAGTGCTGCGCTGCTCAGAAGGAACAACGCTGGCGGGCGCCGCAGGAGCGGCTTGGGTCTTTCCAGCTTTCTTGAACTTGCTGAACTCACGCATCCAGTCTTGGTCGTCAGGGTGCATGTCGGGGGCCGGGGCGTCATGTTCGGGGAGTTCTCCAGGGGCCGGGGCTGCAGCCGAGTTTGAGTCTTGTTTCGTAGATAAAGTACTTGGCTGAACAGGAGCCTTCTCTGTGGCATCAGATTCCCATCCATCATCTTCTTCGTCTTGGTCGAATAAAGTGTCCTCCCAATCGGCGGGGTCCATTTCATCGCCTTCGCCGGTCAATTCACCAAAGAAATCATCGTCCTCTTTCTCGTCCACGTATTCTTCATCTTCAAGCGCCTCAAGCACCTCCCGAAGTCGGGGATCCATGTCGGGCTGGAACCCTGCAATAGCATCCGGTACATTCTGCTGATCCTGGTAGGTGGGTTTCCGAGAATATGTAGATGCAGTAGAATACGCTCCATATGCGGAGCTCATCGTACTGCGACCGTCCCAGTTGCTGCTTGTATCGTCATCGTCCAGAGAAGTTTGTGCAAGTGCATCTTCAAGCTTTATGGACTTTCCCTTGCCCTTCCCTTTGTCCTTGTTTACGGCCTCTACAAAGTATGAATCGCCACCACCGGTCCCTAGGTCGCGCATATGTTGCATGTAATCATACTTCGAGTCGTCGTAGTAGATGCCATGGTTAGCTGCTTCACCCTCATTCTCTCGAACGGTATCGGACCCAAATTCGCTCGCAAGGTCACTCAGGTGCTTCGCACGGCCTGCTGAAGCAGTACTCGGGGCATTTGCTGGCGGTCCATGTACAGGGTGGAGAACACGGTCGTCGGCTTGGGGGTCGTGGATGAGCGGATCGTGCTGAGAACGATGGAACAGTTGATAAGTAGTAGCGCTTTTCTTATCGCTAGAAGGATGTTAGTGAGGGGCACGGCCTAAAGATTCGTTAGGGAGCAAAACTTACATCCACTGCTTCCGGGGAGGCATTTTGAATGGTAGTCGACTGGATCAACCGGTACGATCGTAAAGCAGGACTGGGCTTAAAATCGGAGATAAAAAAATGATGTTATCCAAAAAAAAATGCGGGCGGTCGTGGGTCACGTGCGACAAACCCCTCCTTCAGATAAGAAAAAGAAATTGAGCAGGCAGTGGAAAGAAGGATGATATGCTACTTTATTGCAAGTGAGATTAAGGTAGTAATCCGGTAAACTTCATTTATTTGTCGCTTCCCCAAGGTTCCCAGCACTACGAACGAAGAAGATGGAAAAAGTCATGCTGAGTCATCCACCTCCCGCGGGGCTTTTTTGGCAGTCAAAAATCTATTAGAAATCCAACTTCTTCAACCACACTACTCACCATTTCTGTCATACATATCGATCCAAGATGGTGTTGGCAAAATCCAAAAACTCCGTGGGGCTGGGCCAGAGCCTCATGAACGATCGCTTTGGCAAAGGAAAGGCGTCCAACATGAAGAAGGGCTCCCATAATGCCGGAATCGCTCGAAAAGATATGAACGGCGAAACTTACATCACCAACTCTGCCAAGGAGGCGTCCTGGGTCAAGATGCGCAGTATCACAGAACAAGCCGCACTAGACGAGTTCCTGACGACCGCCGAGCTGGCTGGTACTGATTTCACTGCGGAAAAGATGAACAATGTTCAAATTATCCATACCGACCAGAAGAACCCATACCTGCTTTCAGCTGCAGAGGAGCAATCGACACTCCGGAAGCACAAGAAGAACAAAAGCCGACTGACGGTTCCGCGTCGCCCGCATTGGGATAAAAACACCACCCGAAATGAGCTTGATGCTATGGAGCGCGAGAATTTCATGGACTGGCGTCGGGGACTGGCTGAACTACAGGAGAACCATGATCTCCTGATGACCCCGTTCGAGCGAAATATCGAGGTTTGGCGTCAGTTGTGGCGAGTGATTGAGCGTTCCGACATTGTTGTACAGATTGTCGATGCCCGAAATCCCTTACTCTTCCGGTCCGAGGACCTTGAAATCTATGTGAAGGAACTCAGCCCACACAAGCGAAACCTGTTGCTCGTCAACAAGGCGGACATGTTGACCGACAAGCAGCGTGAAACATGGGCAGATTACTTCGAGCGAAACCAGATTGATTTCCGTTTCTTCTCCGCGCAAATGGCCAAGGAAGCCAATGAGGCCCGCGAGAATGAGAGTAGGAGTGACGATGAGGATGAGACTGAGGCCTTGGCCGGGGGTACAGAAGATTTGGATATCCAGGACTCTGGCGAGAAGGAAGCAGATGGCGGCGTTGAGCTCTCTAGCAAGACAGCAGCCACCCCCTCCAAGCGCACCGATATTCTCGACGTGGACGAGTTAGAGGAGCTTTTCCTTTCAAATGCGCCGGGTGAGACGGAAGAGGAGGAGCTCGAGGAAGACGGCACTCCTAAGCAAAAGAAGACCATTATTGGTCTTGTGGGATACCCTAACGTCGGAAAGTCCAGCACAATCAACGCCCTCCTAGGAGCCAAGAAAGTTTCCGTCTCAGCAACACCCGGTAAAACCAAGCACTTCCAAACCCTCTACCTCTCCCCAGAGATCATGCTCTGCGATTGCCCCGGTCTCGTCTTCCCCAACTTCGCCTCCACAAAGGCTGAGCTTGTCGTCAACGGTGTCCTCCCCATCGACCAACAGCGCGAGTTCACCGGGCCCGCCGGCCTCGTCGCCCAACGTATTCCCAAGCACTTCTTGGAGGATGTCTACGGTGTAACAATCAAGACTCGCCCAGTCGAAGAAGGCGGTACAGGAATCCCAACTGCCCACGACCTTCTCCGCTCCTACGCCCGTGCCCGCGGTTTCGCAACAACCGGCCAAGGCCAACCCGATGAATCGCGCGCTGCCCGCTACGTCCTAAAGGACTACGTCAACGGCAAGCTCCTCTTCTGCCACCCACCACCGACAAATGATGCCGAAGACGAAGAGCCCATCGACGTAGACGAATTTAACAAAGACCTCTACGACTGGGCTCACCTCCCACCACGCCGCCGAGCAATGCTCGAAGCAGCTCATCAGTCTTCATCCGCATCCACTTCCACGTCGAAAGCGCCTGTTCGGGGTACCAAGTCCCAAACAGTGGACAATGGTTTCTTCGGCAACGGATCCCAGTCTAATGGAGGCCGGCTAACAATGCCCTTCAATTCCAAGTACACCGAGCAAGGTCAGGCAATCCGCAAACCCCTCACAGGGCGCAAGGAACGAACGATGGTGGCGTTGGAGCGGGGTGTCGACGTATCTGAGGTACGAGGTAACTCGAAGAAGCATTTCAAGGTTAAGCACAAGAATCAGAAGAAAGGGAAGAAGACGGCGGAGGATGATGATTACTGAGCTCGCTGGCGAGTGGTGGCGACATACAAAAAGCATTGCACTCATTATTGATTCCCTTTTATTTTTAACCCCATCGCATTTGTCTTGTTCCTTTTACATTACATGTCGACTATGATGACGACGGGTTTTAGATGGCGTTTGGTAATACCTAGCTTGAGTTTCTTGAACCTTCACGATTGACTAGTCCTGGTTATTCAATGGTATATACGAAATCTGCATGACTCAACCTAGACCTCCTTTCTTTTCAACCTAGTAGGCCCAGACTATATATAAAACAAAAGAGATTTCCTTGTTATACAAGGTAAGAGTTTAAAGCGAACTCTTCGTCTTAGGGAACCCATTGGCAGTCAAATTCTTATCGCTCAGCTCCCTCTGCCACGCTAACCGCTTAACAACCTCCTCGCGACGCGACTTATTCTCCCTCTTCCCAAGCTGCTGCAAATGCACCTCATCAGGCCCATCCGCAATCCTCAGCGTCCGGATCATAGCCCACAGGTTCGCCAACGGCGTATCCTGACTCACACCCGCAGCACCATAAGCCTGCACAGCCCGATCAATAACCGCCAGCGCAATCTGTGGCACAAGCACCTTCGCCTGGGCGATTTCCTTGAGCGCAAACTTGGCATTACCCTGGTCGATCTTGATGGCGGCGTTGAGGACGACCAGGCGCGCGGAGTCAATTTCGATACGTGACTTGGCGAGCCACTCGAGGATGACACCGTGCGAGGAGAGAGGCTGGCCGAAGGGCTTCTTGCGGTCGTCGTTGATGCGGGCAATGAGCCAGTCGACGGCGCGCTCGGCAGCGCCAATGGCGCGCATGGCGTGGTGGATACGACCAGGGCCTAGGCGGCCTTGGATGATTTCGAACCCGCGGCCTTCGCCGAGGACCATGGCTGACAGGGGGACGCGGACGTTCTCGAAGGTGATGTGGCCGTGGCCGTGGGGGGCGTCGTCGTAGCCGTAGACATTGAGCATGCGGTGGATAGTGACGCCGGGGGTGGAGGCGGGGACTAGGACGACGGATTGTTGCTTGTAGGGGTCAGGGTTGCGGGCGTCGGTCTTGCCCATGACGAGGTAGATTTGGCAACGGGGGTCACCAGCGCCGGAGGACCACCATTTCTGTAAACCTTGTCTTAGCTCATTTTCATTCGGGCCAGTATATGAAGAGGGAAGGGTAAGCGCACAGATCCATTGAGGACATATTCGTTGCCCTCACGGCGAATGTCAAGCTGGATGTTGGTCGCATCACTAGAAGCGATATCCGGCTCCGTCATCAGGAACGCAGACCGGATCTTCCCCTCCAGGAGGGGCGACAGCCACTGTGCCTTCTGTTGGTCATTGCCATACTTGGCGAATACCTCCATGTTACCCGTGTCGGGCGCAGCATTATTCGTAGCCTACTCCATAACAGAAACATTGTCAGTTGACATCACGACAAAGACCCAGCCTTTGATGCGGGGAAGAAACCACTCACCTCGCTCGCAACTTTGCTCTTCCCCAAGTACTCCGCCATCAATCCATACTCAAGATTGCTGAACCCGGCGCCCTGCGAGAAGTGGTTCTTGGGCAGGAACATGTTCCACAGACCAATCTTGCGGGCCTTGACCTTAAGCTCCTCCATGACGGCGGGGTTGGTGTTCCATCGTTGCTCGCCTACGCCAAGCTGGGCGGAGAAGAGGGCTTCGGAGGGGATGCATTCCTTTTCGACGAATTCTTCGACCTATGTTCGTTGGTTAAACTTGAGATCATTGGGAGTGGGTGATGATGATGCTGTGTTGGGGAAACGGTGTGGGGAGGTACCAACCAGATCAAGGGTCTTCTTCGCGCGGTCGCTGACGAAGGGTTGGGCGATAGGGGGGATTCTGGCGGAGGCAGACATGATGATCAGTGTACAAGAACTGACAGGAGAAAATCTGGGGAAAACGAGGAGAGGGCCAGCAAGAAAGAGGGGACGAGGTGATAAAAGAGGAGCTCAGGGCCGGGCTGGAGATCTGACGTTGCGGAGAAGCCGAGGTCCATTTCGGTTGCGTCAGCCACTCTGCAGCTTACAATCGAGCGCGATTCGAATTCCGGCCCTGGTGTCTTCGATTTACCTAGGCAGTAGGCAGTCTAGATCATGCCATACGGCTATTCACTAATGGTGGCCAATCATGGTTGTCAAATCAAGTCATTTTCAAAGCATCATCAGACATAACAGACTCTCGGACATTTGTCCGAGATCTACCAGCAAAACTAAGATACCATAGCCAACCCAATCCAATCCAACAATCCCAAATTTAGGAGTAGAACAAAAGAAAAAACGAAGAGAATGAAATCAAGAAACAGTCCCAAATCCATCAGACCATCCCAGAATATGTATTACAAGAATGACCAAAAATCAACTCCTGCGACCTGCGCCAACCGGACATCCAAAGAGCAATCATCCATCATTATGCCAGAATTCTAAAATAAAATCAAGCACTCTTCTCGGTATTCTCTGGAGAATTGCGAGCTTGCTCGGCGGATGACTGCTCATAGTTCTTCTTGCCCAGCTTGGCGAACAGCGACTGGGGTTTTCCGGCACTAAACACGGCGGATTAGCATTCCACCTCAACGACTTAATAACATGAGAAACGGATGAAGAGGGACATACTTCTTGAAACGCTTTCCCTTGAGGTCGCTGAGTTTCTTTGAGCAGGGGCTCATGATGTCGTCGGATGGAGAGACGTATGTTTGTGGCCTGTGTTGAAATGTTAGTAGCTGATCCAAACCAAAATCATCGAAGTGATTTGCAAATCGCAAGCCGAACAACATACTTTTCCTGGCTGTCCAGCTTTCCCTGGAGAACCTGACGGTGGTGGTCCATTGAGTTCATGGTGGTTGACGCAGCCTTCAGGTCCTGCTCGTTGTTGGAGGAAGCAAGGTGGGTGTTAGGCGAGCGGGCAGCGAGGGGTGTAGAGCTCATTGTTTAAAGTTGAGGAGAGATTGTTTCTTCAGTTTGAAATGCAGGAAATCTTTGCGGAATCTGGGTTCAATTTAATAGAAGAGACGTGGTGGTGAAGAGATGGTCGATTGTCCAAAGAAAAAGCGAAAAGTCCACACATCGATTGTTGTCATGGCAACCACACCACCACATCTTTGTTCTGTTCGATGCATTTCAGAGATGGACCAGACTAGTCGAATTGTTTCATTCGTTCTTCTGACATTAATGGTGATCTTCATTTGATTTACCGTTTCATTCCATCATTATCTCATTACAGTGAGGGTGCTAGCATCTAAATTCTAGTCAGGTTGTTGTTGATAGTTTACATTGGGCACAGTCCACAGTCCACACGGGTCGTCGTCCCTTGACAACCCAGGGTTCCCGTCCCCCCTCAGTGTGTCATCGCCTTGAGCCAGAACATTCCGAGTCAGATTCCAGACTATCAGACTTTCCTTCGTCATCTCCTTCATTCTCCCCATTAAAATCCGGCGGGCTACTGTTAGATCTGAGCAACGGGAGAACAACATCCGATACAGACCGAGGATCTGCCGACACTGGCGGGCTAGGCCCGCGCACATCCTCACTCAATCCGGAGTCGTTGTCCGAAGTTGGAGTGGGAGGTGCATATGCAACGGCCGGGCTGAATGACCCGCCCTGTGACTCATCTGAGATCTGCCGACGGTGACCCGTCGTGTGGTAGGATGATGTGGGACGGGTCGAACCCGGGCTCCCCGGGAGCGACCTCAATCCAAAGACAGGGGAGGACGATCGTAGACTGTATGAGCGGGAAACCATGTTTTGTACGCGTGGAAGGTCAATGTAACCGCCAGCTGCGCCATGAGTAAAGAGCACAAGGCCGAAACAGAGAAGCACCACGATGCTCTGGACCACGGCTACCCGCTTCTGGAACACCAGCTCATCCGCGAGCACCCCTAACTGAGTGCTCAGGGAGTGAATCTCGGTGTGGTACTGGATTCGCTGGTGCTCGAACTCCAGTGCCACGCTTCTCCATGCATGGTCGTATTGCTCACGGAACTGCTTCAGCTCATTCACTACCGTGACATTCAAGTTCTCCAGGAACGTAGATGTCTTGGATAGCTGTCGTTTTTCGACTTTGTTGAATGCATCGCGCAGGATCCGAGACTGCTCCTCAATATATTGTAAGGACAGACTTGAATTAGTCTCCAGCATCTGCAGACGCTTGTTGACCGATTTGAAGAAAGACTCCTGCGTCGTTGGGTTGGCCGACGGCGGCTGCGTTGTACTCACTCGCGTCGACTCGGCACTCTGTTCGTCTTTGGAAACACCAGTAGAGCGGGTGTCCGCGTCAGAGGTCGCATTTTGAGGGGCTGCGTCAGATGAAACAGCGGTAGAGGTAGTATTCATGGAGGCTTGAGTACTTGTACTGGGGACGCCTTGGGCTTTAGAGTCCCCAGTATCAGATGGAATGGCACTGACACTGTCACCAGTCGAGGGGGGGGTCTCTGGGCTACTCGGCGCGACTTGACCGGATGTTGGAGCGGTACTGCCCTCAGAAGCGGGGAATTCTTTCGGGGCATCCTGGAGATCAGACTTGTGTAAATCAGTCAAACCCACTAACATCAGTTCAACTGGTGTCGCAGAATTGGGACATGTTTGGGGAGTGTGCTTTTCAACAGCGTCCACGAGGGCATCAGGTGAATCTGGTAGCGGCGTGTCAGTCTTCTCCAAGGCATTCTCTGGCTTTTGAGCTAGCTCCAGGAGCTCTTCAGGCGCATCTTCCTCAGCTCTAGCTTCTCCATCATGTTTATACTCTTCCAACATTGTAGTCCCGTGAACGCGGATCAGACTCAGCGGGCAGTAAAACTCGTTTCCGTAATGCGTTAGGAACTCGATTCGTAGATAGCGCGCCCAAATGAGTGGGTTCTCAACAGCGAAGGCTTGGATCTCACGAGTATTCCTCGCTTCGTAAATCCCCAGTTCTTTCCACTGGTCTGGCTTCGCAGGGTACCGGTCCGCGACACTGACCCGAAACGTATGGAAAATCGAGCTGAAGAATTCGTAGTTGGCGAGAACGACAGTGTCAACCAAGATGTCATCGCACATCTCCAGAATCAGAAATTTATTATTAGCACGGCACTCATTCAGCATATAGCTATCTTTGTTCTCGATCAGGACAGATGACGACCCCTGCGCCTGGGGATTCGTCTTCAGTACTGTCGCAGCACAGTCAAAGGAGGCGTAGTTAAACCGCTCCTTGCAGGTGGTGCCAGCGTCCTTCGAGCGCTCACCAGCCGCTTGAGGGACACCCTGCTCTGACACATCAGCACCCACAGTACGGGGCATATCTGAGGGTATTGGCGCGCCATCGCTTGCGCCCGAGTGAACCTGCGTCTCCCAGGCTGAAGCAGTCTTCGCAGCCTCCGACGCATCGGTCCCGAACCCGACAAAATCAAGCTCAATCTCTGCATCATCTCCAAAAGAGTCCAGTGCATTATTTATACCCGTCGGCCTTCGTCGGTCCTTCTCGACGGTGCCAGCCCGCCGGTTCCCACCGATATTCTCCGCCGATTGCCCTGCCTTGGCCAGATTTTGTTTTTTCCAATCTTCGAAGGAGAGAAAGTTGACGTTATCGAGTGGCGAGTCTGTATCGAGTTCCTGCTCTTTTTCTCGTCCTGGTGGTGATACCGCTGAGCCTGTCTCTACCGATACTGTAGCCGAACTTGATTCCGGTATGACTTTCGCAGGATCTTGATCTTGTGGCGTCGGCGTTGGTGCGAGTAGTTCGCCGTTCCTCCTACGATCCCATTGCGTCTCGATGCAGGTTGGCCACTGCAAAATGCTGGCTTCGGCTTCTCTCCAATCCCTCGCGAGGCATATTGGCTGTTGCTGTTGTTGTATCGTAGTCTCACCGCCGGTTTCCAGGATCCACGCCAGCATACAAATAGCCCAAGAGGTCCAGCATGTCGTGCTCCACCGGGGTACCAACATCGTGAACGCGGAACTCGGCTCAGGTAGGAATCATTGGCACGAACATCGTCTGCGAACTGGAAGTTGAATCAGTTAATCGACTGTTTTCGCAGCGAGGAAATAAGTGGGACTGAGTGGCAAGCCCTTATCAGCTTCTGTGGGGTTTGACCACCTTTGATCCGTAACCGGTCTGGGGCCGGGGCCTTTTTGGCCAAGTGTCGCCGACTCGTGAAGTACGTAATACGTAGGGAGCGGACCTGATACAACACAGGGGATCCAAGCGCACTGTTGGTAAGAAATAAAAATAGTGATGCGATAAGACAGCAAAGAGAGTGAGCAATAATAATTAGGAGTCGAAAGGGAGTTGGTGAAATGAACAAACCCTTATAGCGACGGCAGAAGCTTCACCGCTCGGTCTTCGGCAAAACTACAAGCGCAGACGGTATAACACTACGTATTAGTCGCAGTTACGGTCAAGCAAAAGTACTTCAAGCTGGACTAGACTACTACTACCAGTGGAAATATGTACGAGAATCACTTTTGGATTAAATCCTCCGTGGCTACCCATCCAACTGTCCTAGTAACTAAAATATACAGAAACCAGTCCAATGCCAGACTAGGACAACGTCCTTCTGGGTAGAATCAATAACATGGCTTTTCCCGTAGCTTTTCTTTCTTTCTTTCTGTTGAGATGAGAGAATGGCACCTCCATCGGCCCCGTCTCGAGTCGTCGCCAGCCCGTGATGTTGAAACCGTATTAAAAAAAGAACATGCGTGAAGTGAAAAGGGAAATGGTCATAAAGAAAAAAACAAAGTGCCAATCTGAGAAAACTGTCGCCTCCCGGTACCACTTTTGTGTTTCACGCCATGATAAGTATTATACAGGAGTTCAGGGTAAGAGTAAAAGCGCGCTTGGGTGACACAAGATATGGTCTATAAAGGGGTAAAAGAATAAAAACATAATATAGTGGTGACGGGACACCAGGTTTTCTGCTCAAAATTGATCGAGAAGGGAAAATTGAATATATCGAACGCTGAAAAAAATAAACCGGATTCAGACGCATGTAACGGGAACATCATAACACGAGAGGCTGCAGACATGCGAGACGAGGTACGCGATAGACTATCGTTTATAGGTGAAGGTCATGCCACCCGCCAACAAGGTCAAGGTCCTCGTCAATACTGCCGTGATAGTCTTGAGTAAGGGCAGGCTTGACGGGCTTGTGGGTCTCCAAGGAATCACGTCGCCATTCCCTATTAAGGAACTGGCGGCGGCGGCGGTCTGGAGAAGTGAAGCTCTCCTTCTTAGCCCAGGAGCCATAATCGAACCCAGAGGAACCCAGACCCCAATCCTTGCGCCAAGTCATGTTGTTCGGGAAACGCTTTGACTCGAGGGAACGCTCTGAGGGCTTGAAATTCCGTCTCTTATCGCCCAAAGCAGCCCACTTATCCAGGCTAGACTTCTTTGGAGAAGTTTGGGGAGTGAAAGAGACGACCTTGGGGGCGGTAGCGAAGGTCTCGGATTTTGGCGGCTTGTCCAACGAGTCGGAGCTCTTAGAAGCAGGCGACTGCACAGGACGAGAGCGGGAGTTGAGGATAGAAGTCGAGCTTGGCTCTCGCAAGCCAGCCGTAGGGGAGCTCCTTCCGTCCACAGTAGTGCTCTCATGGCTCCAGCTACGGGAGTTCTGTTCACGCCGTTCGTTGAGGGCCATTTCTTCGCTTTCCGATTCCTCTTCTTCCCAGAGATCGCTCCAGCTCTTGGAGATCTGATCACTCTTGTTGTTCCGACCAAATACCATAGAAAGAGATGGGATTGGCTTGGCTGCCTGGCTGGGCAAGGACCCAGTAATTGGCACAGGGTCAGAAGGAGGTGGATAACGAGGAGCGGACTTGTCAACCGCTGGGAAAGCACTGGAACGGTACGAGTCGCCTAGGGCTGACTCCAGAACGGACGCCATGGACGGCGTTTGATGAACAGAAAACCACGAGGTGCCTGCAGTTTCCGATGGCGGGAAGAGATCTTCCGAATAGCTCTCGTTGTCGGAAATGGCAGAGAGTTGCCGAATCGCCTGAGGTGGGCTGGATTGGAGTGCCTTTGCCCATGGGAAGGAGTCGCCTTGGTTGAATTGGGGACTCGAGATGGAGGGAGTCCGGAGGGGCTCGCGGTTAGCGCTTGCTGGGACGACCTCACGCTCATCAGTGCAGAATTCATCCAACGCATCATCATCGGTCGTGAAGGATACTGCCCGCAGAACGGCATCGCGGAGACCAGAGATGGACCGTTTCTCGGGATCAATCGCCATCGTGATCCTCAAAATCTCAAAGGTATCCTGAGACATGTTGGGGAAGATGTCGAAAAGAGACTGCCGATCCCTCACGTAATCAGCAAACAGAACGTCGGATTCGGTTGGTGTAGCAAATGGGTTCCGAGCAAAGAGAACATTGAGCAGGCAGATGCCAACAGCCCAAAGGTCTGCTTTGGCGGGTGAATACCCATTGTTAGCCGGATCGTACTGTTCCGGGGCCATGTAGCGATCACTTCCAACACAGGCTTCGTAGCACCAGGCATCACGAGTAGCAAGGCCGAGATCACCGAGTTTCATAGATCCATCTTGCGTGAGGAAGATATTCTCCGGTTTGATGTCTCGGTGATACAGACCGTTGGCATGCATAAACTCCACAGCACTGACCAATTCCAACATGAACTCCCGAACATGCTCTGTTTCGAGGGGACCACGGTTGAGTCTGATGGCCTCGTAAAGATCACCATTTGCACAATACTCCAAAACAAGGTACAGGTGCGTTTTTGTTTCGAAGTAGTGAACGAGATTGACGATGTTTGGATGATACCTAAGGCGCTGGTGACAATCGAGTTCTTCGAAGCGGCCATCGCTGGCAGATGGACTCCAGGGCCCGCTTGAAGGAGGCTTCATCATGCACTTGATTGCGACATCGCGGCCGGTCTGGAGGTCGTTCGCAAGGAAGACCATGCCAAACGACCCGTGGTTGAGAGGCGCCACAGTGCGAAAGCGGCCATCGAGAAGCTGGCCAGGAATGAAACTGTTCTTTAAAGACTCCATGGCTAGCAATTAATCGAACAAGACGGTATTCTTCCAGAGATATAACTGTCGTAGTCCGTAGTGGGCGAATGCGATGAGAAGGTTCAACGGTGAGGAGACGGCAGGACCCAGAAATGAGACAGTTGCTCTATAAGCGCGCTGGGATGCAAGAAATTGACGTCTGACAAGAGTGATGCGAGAATAAAATCAAGATAATAGGCTGATCAAATGTAAAGAGTCGGCCTGCAGTTCCGAAGATTTCACCGCCGAGAAACCAAAAGGAAAACGGATTGGTAGAGGGGAGGTTATCGAAAAGAAAACACCGAATTTGGTTTTGTTTATCAAAGTGTCGTATAAATATGTAAGAGTGAGGAAGATTCAATGGACAAGAAAAGCAGTCGATAAGACGAGACAGCGCAAAGCGCGGATTGGAAAATACCCAGGGAGGGTTGAATGACGCAAGGAAATTGTAGAGACCGTTATAATTTCATTGGTATATCGTTCCAGTGATGACAGTGGGAGTCCGATATAAGAATAAGGAATTCGACGAAAGAGTGTCCGGGACGGAGAGTCGATTTACCGTGGGAAGAGCACGGGGTTGGTTGAGATGAGATGGAACAAAAAGCGCTGCGTAATATCGTAACCACAAGATATAAGTTGTATAAAAAGGAACAAAAAAGCACGTCTCGTTATAAATGGCCTTCGAACTCCAGGTTGAAGGTTGGGATGGTCGTGAGTCAGAAAATGGAAGCAGTCATAGATTGCTTCCAAAGTCGAAAACAGCACTACACTAGGCAGATGCTATTGATGTTAAGCTGAGGCTCTAGACGACTGGCAAAGGGTCTTCGTTTCGAAGCCGGGAAGGGCGGAAATGAAGAACCAAATACCAGCAGCCGGCCCAGGTAGTGGACAGGGCCAGATGGACAACTCAGCGAACTCGACTTCTGAATAATCAACGTCCCAACACTTGTTCTGCAGGCTCACGAAATGTAGCTCGGCTTTGGGAGGAAGGTTGGCAGGGCGTGGGTCCCAAAAGCTCGTGGAGTATGAGTCACGGAAGGCGTTCGAGTATTCGAGTAAACAAGAAACGTTTTGGCGGAATTCAATAGGTAGGATGGAGCTCAGCCAGCAGTACACACGATATATAGAGCAGAATAGGAGTCTGGTCTAGATTTCGGCGTTGAAAGAGTACTCTTGATGTTCTGGAGCAAGCTGATGATGATACGGATAGGACGGGAAAGCGGCAGAGGTCGGAGGCGACGGCAAATGGAGGTGGAGTCGCAGGGAAGGTGCAGGGGCGAGGACGAACAAGTCGGTGAGGTGAAGGTGAGATGGGAGAGAGAAGGTGGGATGGAGGAGAGGACGGAAAGAAGAAGGAAGAGTTGGATGGAGAGGTGTAGGTCGAAGGGGAAGAGCGATAGGGATAACGGGATGGATAAGGAGGTACTCGGACTTGTTGGAGTCTGGGGGGGGTGATAGGCTGATGAGCTGAGGGGGGCGAAGAAGCAGAAGGAAGAACGGCGGCGCTGCTTAGAGTTGGGCGGGTTGGGGAGGGGACCAGGACCGTCATTTACGGTCTTTCCCATCAAAGACGGCGCAAAGAGGCTTAGCGCTGGGTCCTTGTTGTAAAAGGCCGTAACATTACCAACCCGGGCCTGCAATACGTGTGATCTCCAGACTTCCCCCACCCACGAGCTCGTTTCAATTGGCCGTCGGCAAGGCGCTATGTCTGCTTCCGGGCCCTGCTCCACACCCCCTGAATGAGTAATCGCCGATTTATTTGTATGGAACGCGGAAGAATTTCACCATCGTCATCACCTGGCGGAAGCCACGGTTTCTGGATCCTCCTCCTAGAAATGACTCGGTTGTTCTGGACTACGGGCTGTGGTTCAGGAGGAGGCAAGAATGCATTGTTGCCTAGACCAGTTCTTCGCCAGCATTGACAAGCAATTACTATTTGCAAACAGACTGCCAGTGCACGCAGTGTTTCAGAGCATGACAGTCGTGACGACTGCTTCTCCTGAAGAGATGGCGATCGACCCTGGATTATTGACAGATGCGGAGATGCTTGTCAATTGATAACAGGACAGTTTCAGGTCCATGCAGCGTCTGACTTCAAATTGATAACATAGCCTTTACTCGTTCTTCCTACCATTGCGATAGCGGTTCTTTAAAAACCGATAATGCATCTGATACGATGGCACAAAGAGCATAAAGCTGTTATCAGCTCCTGACAGGGATCTCAGCCTGGGTACAAGACAGCGTTGTCCCCAGGATTCCACTAACGTAAAGCTGCTGCAGGTCCAAGGAGGTCTCCATCAATCAAGTCCAAACACCTTTTATCGCTTGGTTATTGTCCGTATTTTTTTTTCAAAAGCAGGCGACTTGACGAACTCCACTTAGTGAAACCGGATGCTGGACTCTGCATGCATTATTTCCAATCCTCGGTGCCTGACGCAAAGATCCAGCGTCTGCCTCGGCCGGATCGCGGAACAAGTTTCTAAGGAAAGCAACAAGCAGTAACAAATTTAGGAATCGGCAGCGTCAGCGGGGCGCTATTCCGTTCTGGGCATGCAGCACAGGCGCTGTAGTGGGCCTCAGGCTGCAGGCCAATTAGGGGCAAATGACGCCAGAGACTCGCGTTCGCATTGCAGCCACGTCTCGAATCGTCCGGGGTGGTCTGGATGATCTCGCCCAGGCCGTGTTTTGGATGGAAAGACGAACGATCCATGGATCGCTCAACTGCGCAATATTCCCCAATCTTACGCTGCCATGGCATGCTCGCTGGAATCGTCAGCGGCAAACAAATCCTCGAATTGCCGGTTGCGCTGACTACTGGTGCTGCGGCTGCTGCTGCTGCTGCTGCTATTGTTGTTGCAGTCTGAGTCTGCAGTCTGCAGTCCCCGAGCGGGCTGGGGCTGGGGTTTACTATCCGGACCGCATGAGAGGTGCATACTTTCATGCCCAAGGCCTGGAGATGGCCAGTTGGAAGACCGAGTTGGCGGTGAGAATGCCCTGTAGAAATCCGATGCGTTAGTGCCACCTTGACCGCTTCGTTGTGTGGCCGTAAGGTTTATGCCTGCAGCAGCGCAGTCCAACTTGCGTCTCAGAGTAACCCCCTGCCGCCCTCCAAGACAAAGATTTCGTTCTTGGAATGGTGCAGATTGCATAAGCACCCATTCACGGAGGAGGTGGTGGTATCCAGGAGGGACAACATCGTGTGATGCCACCTGGCGTTGAACACCACACCACCAATATCGCTAGCCCACTGATGGATGTCTTCACAGACCAACCTCCTCGGGCGCTTTGATCAATGACAGTGGCTGATTTGCCGTTGATCTTGGTCTCGATCGTCAGGACACGAGTCCCTTGAATGCTGGAACCGAGGGGTCGGTCAGGTGGTGTTGGCTGGAATTGCTACACTGTGCTATAGAGTGCTTACTTGGCCCGTTCGGAGCGTAAACCCCAAGGGACTGCAGCATTCATTCTTGAGGGAACTGCTTCCGGCCTGCGACAGACTGACTATTGATCGAACAGATCACAGCATCAACAGCGTGCTCGCTTACCCCGCACGATCTTCGTCGAGGCAAAGGCTTGGTTGGGGTTGCGATGGAATTGGGTGAAGATATTCCCCGGATTTTGGCCCCGTGATGCGTTATCATTTATCAATTTATCGAATTTTTAGGTTCATTCCACTTCTCCCCTCGCGATCTGGATGGAGCACGGAATACTTGAGATTTGAGAATGTCCAGAGGGTCTCTACCCCAGATTGATGAATCAGATTGCGGCTTGCGATGCGAATCCCTCTCCCCTCAGTCTCCGTCCATCTTCGTTGCTTTTTCTCGACTCCGTTTTCGGCAACTCCCCGCATGCCCTTGGCCACCTTGTTACTCAAGTTACTCAGGAATCAGGACGGGGTGCGTCAGGTTGCAAGAGACAATTCAGATATCGCTGCAATGCAATGGCCCGTTTGATTCTGCCGGTCGGGTCCATGCATTTCTCCATCTCCCATGCAACGAGTGGCAGGTCGGACAGCTCATAACAGCCATGTCAGAATGCAGGACCGTCGATCCTCGAGGAATTCGCCACCAGCCACCGGCCCAGCACCACAACCATGGTCAGTTCTGTCTCTGGCTCCGGCCTCTGCTCCTCAGGCAACCAGTGCCAATTCCAGTGCTAGCGCCATAAGGAGCTTGTCATATACCCGGCCTTGTACATTCTCCGCAAACGCTTGTTGACTTGACAACAGCAAGGGGCTTGTCAGCAAAGCATATTATATCACATCGAACCCTCAACCCCAGGAGTCAGACAGCGTCTCTCGGATGAGATCACGATGATTTCATCCATCCCTCCATCGAGTGCATCCTCCAGCAAACGGACGGGAAGACCTCCGAGTAGTATCAGCAGCCAGTAACAGTAAATTTCTAAATACCCAAAACAGGAAATATCAGGCAACTGCTCAACGAAACCATCGACTGGCCCTGGGTCGTATCCAGAATCTTCGATCTGAGGTCCTTGCCGACCTCGCGTAACTCGAGCCAGGCAAGCAGCGCAACATGATCCCTCCATCCCCTCCCCCCTTCACTGTATGTAAAACAATCCGACGCATTCAGACGGGTTCTGGGTCCGGCTCAGCACGACATGACATAGCATAGCTGGAGCACTCGACCATACACCATAATTAGTTAGCTCTCTGACTACCCCCGCCCTTGTCGTCGTCAGCATCACACCATCCCTCCCTACGGGACCACGAGTAGGGAAGCTCTTGCCGGGGCGATCGGGGTTTCTCTCTGGCCTCCCAGACTTAGACTGCAGAGAGGACAGCTGGCTGTCCTGAAGAATCCCAAGCATGCAACGTATGACGTTCATCGCTTCTGTTTGCAAGGGTAGCTTGGCTTTCTACGGAAATATGTATACACGCATCAATATATTTGTATTATGTATTAATTATTGTAAGATTCTATTTGGTTCCATTGGTTTCTATAGTATTGACACGAAACTTGGGGTTGTTGGAATAGCATTGCATTGGCGTTGTTTATATATAAAGAACTGGTTGTGCAGCAGTACTAAACGATGAGCTACAGTATCCATTTTACCTACAAGCAAGAGTCAATAGACTAGTAGAAGAATAAAAGAAACGAAACGGATTGCCAATTACTCGCAAATATATATACATTATAGACATGAAGAATGAACCAACACCACAACAAGATCTAAACATTTATCTTCTCAACTCCAACCCACTAACACCACCCATCGTAATAAAATCCGTACTCGAGAAATGCCAACTCAGCCCCTCTCTCTTCGCCCTCCCAGCCCACTGCAATGGCGGCAAACGCTGGAAGTCCGCCGCCGCAGGAAGCATATCGAGATACTTGGCCACATGCTCCATAGTCATCTTCACCTGGGCTGGATGGTGAATGAATTGCAGCCGCACCTCATTCTGCCCAGCAAGCACAGCACCGGAAATATCAGCACCCAATGCATCGGCAGGCGTCAGATCAAACGTCCCCGTCCACCCACTGGGACTTGGGAGGGCTTGCAGCTTCTCTGCGAGCGCGGACATCTCCTCGAGGAGCTCGAGTGGTGCTTCGGGCGTTACCTCTGCTGCTGGGGTGAGACGATGGACATGCACAGGTAGGTTTGTTGCCTTGCTGAAGTTTTCCAGATATACCTCCGATGCCCATTTCGATGCGATGTAGCCGTTGGAGCCATCGGTGGGAGGGGGCGACGAGGCCAGCGACTCCGCCGTGCTATACTCTGTCTCTGTCTCATTGGTACTGCCACTCGAGCGAAGAAGATGCACTCCGCCGCTAGAGATGAAGTGCAGCGGAGCATTATTTTGCAATGCCAGATTCGCTAGAGTCTTGGTTGACTCGACGTTAGGGCCGCGCAGTTTGTCGTAGTGGTCCCAGAACGAACGGTTAGCGCCGCTGTGAATCACAATATCTGCTTCGCGGCCGATGGACTTGAATTCAGCCTCGGATAATCCGAGGAATGGTTCATCGAGGTAACCGCCGTGCAGGACGAGTTTGTCGGAGCTGTTCTGCATCAGAATCTCGCGCGGTGTCTCAGCAGAGTGACCCCGGATAGCGACGCAGTGGATCTTGGAGACCTGCTTATCTGCAACGAGGGCTTTCATGATGCGGGACCCTAGGTAGCCGGTGGCTCCGGTTAGGACGACAGTGAGATCAGACGTCTTGCGGGGTGCAGAGGAGGAGGAGGATGATCCAGACGCAACGTTCTGCGGCACGGTTTCAGCATCCCAGTCGATCACGGCGAGAGACTCGCTGTTCTTGATCTTGAGAGCCATGGAAATCAATGTGCTGGCGTCGTAGAGCGTCATAACTGGGACAGATACGTTGAATCGGTCCCGGATGAGCCGCTGCAGGCGCACGAGCAGGTACGAGTTGCCGCCTAGATGAAAGAAGTCGGTGGTAGCGGTGATACTGGTCACTTTGATGACGTCCTCCGGAAGACAGCCAGCCCAGAGTTCTCTCAGGGCCAACTCGGTCTCGCTGAGATCCGCATCGCTCTGTTGAGCATCACCGTCGACAGTAGGCAAAGGACGTTCAGCAATTGCCCGGCGATCCAGCTTGCCGTGGGAGCTGAGAGGCATGTTGTCGAGGGGGATAAACATAGCAGGGCACATGTACTTGGGCAATGGGAGACGCTGCTGGATGTAGGTCAAGAATTCCTTGCCATCGGCCTCAGGGAAGTCGGCCTTGAGCTCGACATGCGCGACCAGGAAGTCTGGATTGTGGTGGTCGGTGACGATGGCGTTCACGATCTCGCCACCCGCGGTTTCAATGATTGAGGCTTCTACGTCTTTCAGGTCGATGCGGATGCCGTTGAGCTTGATCTGGGTGTCGCCTGCCATGCGGCCTTCGTAGTGCAGATGTCCGCCGGCGCTGTAACGCCCAAGATCACCGGTTCGATAGAGAGTGGCCAGCTGGCCGGGATAGTGGTTGGCAGGCGTGATGGCGTCAGGGAGGAAGGCTTTTGCAGTCAGCTCAGAGCGGTTGAGATAGCCTGCGATGTTGCCAGCGCCGGCAACAACAATCTCCCCACTGACTCCGACAGGGACAGGTCGGAGGTTGCGGTCAACGACGTAGACTGCCATGTTCGCCAGTGGATATCCAAGAGGGACAGCAGGGGCTCCAGCATCCAAAAACGCAGGCGCAGCGGTGGGATCGATTTCAGTACCGGTAATGACACCAGCTTCAGCAGGACCGTACACATTGACCAGCTTGACATCCGGCCTGCGGAGCAATCCAAAGTCCCTGACCAGTGCGTTGGAGAGAGCTTCACCGGAAGAAAAGGCGAACTTCAGATCCTTCGCGGCGCTGAGGTGGTTCGATCCGTGACGGAGCCACTGCGTGTACTCGGAGGGAGTTGCATGAACCCAAGTGATCCTTTCAGACTGGACGAGCCTGGTGATTGCGAGGGGATCGAGACGTATTTCTCCTGGAACCACGTAGAGAGTTCCCCCGTTGCAAAGAGCCATGAGGATCTGCTGCATGGAGACATCGAAGCTGGGCGCACTCTGCTGCAGGACCCTCTCGGCTCCAACGCCAAAGGTGGCTGTCATAGCCTCGACCTGGTTCACAAGACTGATATGTCGGATAGGGAGGCCTTTGGGGACACCGGTTGACCCGCTGGTGTAGAGAATGATACTGGTCTCGTTTCCGTTGCCAGAAATGGAGGGAAGCGCCGTTTCATTCTTTATCCCACTGGCAGGGACAGCTACGATGGCAGTCTGGGGAGCAGCCTCTAGCCGAGGGACATCGGAGGCAGTCTGTTCGTGGCAAAGAATAGCAGAAGGTTGGCTGTCGTTAACAAGGCGAGACAGGCGTGAGCAAGGCACGCGTCTGTCAAGTGGTAGGTAAATAGCCCCAATCAACCAGATTGCCAGAAGAGAGGAGATGGAGTCGGCTGTGGGCTCCTGATATACGCCCACGATGTTACCGGCGACTACTCCTGCTTCGAGGAGAGAGGAAGCAATTGAACGAGCACGATCAACCATTCCTGTATAGCTTAAGTCTGCTCCTTCTCCGTCAACAAGAGCAGTAACTTCTGGGTTCGCTTTGGCCACATCCAAGATGCGCTGGATGGGGGTGGACGGCCACTTGGAATCAACAGCAGGCCCTGGAGAGTCAGTACATGTATAACATTAGAGTAATGGAAACTTACCCTGTCCAACGGAAACAGCGCGGTCAATATCAAGGGAATCATAGAGAGCAGGCTCGCCAACAGGCTTGTTCGGTTCCATATAGGCACACAGCTTCACGAGCTGCACATAACTCTTCAATAGAAGAGCAACGCTCTCCTGAGAGTAGAGATACTGCTGCATCCGGAACCGAACAAGGATCTCGCTCGCAGACACATCGTTGATATCCACAGCAAGGTCGAAGAAATTGTGCGTCAGATGGGCATAGACCTCGTCCTCCACAACCCCAAGACCCTTGGGGGCCGTGAACTTATGCTGGAGATAGTCCATAAAGACCTGGAAAACGGGCGTATACGCCGCCGAGCGCGGTGCTTCGAGCTTCTCCAGGAGTGCATTGAAGGGCACGGTCGAGTTCGCAAGGGCCGCATACGACTGCGTGCGAGCCTCCTCGACCTTCTGCGCAAAGGTCTGTGTGGGTTTTCTTTCAAATTTGAGGGAGAGCATGTTCACCAGGTACCCGATGGTCCGGGACACGCTGGGGTCCGCACGACTGGCATCTGCAAAGCCGATGCAGAGCTCGTCCGTGTCCAAGAAAGCGAAGAGGAAGACGCGCAGGACGGTCATGAAGAAGTGGAACCGGGTTGCCTTGAGGGTTCGGCACTGCTTGCGGATTTGTTCTGCAGTGGCGGCGTCTATTGAAGCCATGGGAGCCTCCTCGAAGTGATATCTCGTCACTGGCAGTCGAGAGCTGACCTTTGCGACGGGGAACAGGGGTATGGGATCGGGGATCCGGCCTAGGGCTCGTCGCCAGTACTCTAACTCGGAACGTCTGCCTCCAGTCTGCAGCTCTTCACGCTGTTTTGCCATGACGTCGGTGAACTGGGTTGTCACTGCTGGGAGACGCTGGCCCTGGTACAAAGCATTGATCTCGTCCAGCAAGACGTTGAAGCTGAAGCCGTCGATGCTGATGTGGTGGAAGGCGAGCACCAACCAGTGTGAGGTAGGGCTCATGGTCAGCAGCAGGATGCGGATGGTCTCGCCAGACTCAATATCAAACACGTAATTACCAACGTCCTCGCATACTCGCCGGGCTTCGTCAGTATCTGCAACCTGCACGGTTTCCAGCTGCAGAGGCGATATCTCCAAAACGCCCTGGGTGGGCTCATCGTCGTTCTCGGTGTCCACGAAGAAGGCCGTCCGCAAGGCTTCATGTCTCTGGCCAAGCTGTTTCACAGCATATTTCAAATCAGGGATCTTGATCCTTCCTTGGAGTGGGAGGCGGAATTGCATGTTGAGAACCGTTGGATCGTCGAGGTGTTTCACGAGGAAGAAGAACTGGACAGAGCCATATCCCATCTTAACCTTTCGCACATACTTGGGCGAGTCAATGGAGGCCACCGAGGCAGGCTTCTCGACTTTGACCAGGTCGTCTGACTCTGAAGCAATGGAACTTGGAGGCGGAGTGGCCTCGGAAGACGAGGGCTGCTCAGTTGAGCTGGGCTCGTCGTTGGAGGAAGAAGTTTCATCCAACTCTGCGCTGTTCTCTTGCTCGCCCTCACCTTCGCCATCTGCTGTAGAAACTTCAACCGTGGGAATCTCGGCAGTCGCACCGGCATCGGCTGGTGAAACATCCTTCTTCGCAACCTTGGGGATCAGGTCTGGGGACATGCGCTCCATGGTATCCTCGACCATGGCGGCAACTGTGGCACCACCGAGCAGTTTCAGAACCGGCATGTCAAGGTCGAGTTCCTTGGTAAACCACACGCGCATATCGACAGCCACGAGTGAGTCGATACCAAGCTCGACAAGGCTGGTGTCGGGGGAGATAGAATCGTCGTTAGGATCGAGACCAAGCTGCTTGTATAAGGTTGATATCAAGCCATCTAATAGAGTCAGTATCGCTTCGGACAGAATAGAATTATGTGACTTACTGGTGAGAACCTTCTGAACATCCTCCATGGTCGTCTGCTCCTTCAACTGAGACCGCACCGACATGGTCTTGGAGTCACCTCCCTCAGCGGTTGCAGCCCTAGCCTGGCGGTAATGAGATAGACGCGGCATATCCAGCCAGGCAGGGGGGTTTGGCTCTTTCTCAGGGTCAATAGGACGAAGAGCCGACGAGACCTCAAGGCAGCGTCCAGAACCAGGAATGCCAGCCAGCACAGCCTCGGCAAAGAACTGGTGGAAGTCATATTCGGAGATATTGGCATACCCCAGTCTCCCAAGACGCTCCAGGATCGTGCGGTCCGTACGAGTGATGTATCCCAGACCAAATATACCAGCAAGGTTCATCACACTGCCCACCAGGCCGCGCTTCTGGCGGCCCTCGACCAGACTCGCCATGAATCCGTTGGCAGCGGCGTAGCTGGTCTGGCCGAAGTTCCCAGTCACGTAGGCCAGAGACGAGAAGACGATGAAGAAGTCCAAGTCCGGGGCATTGAAGAGCTCGTTGAGATAGATCGTGCCATCCACTTTTGGGCGCAGAGTCTGGTCGAAGTCCTTGTGCGAGATGACGTTGAAGAGGCCGTCATTGAGGATCATGGCTCCATTTCCAACGCCTGCAACAGGGGGTAGAGTCTTCCGTATCCTTTGTACGACGTTGTATGTAGACTTGCGGTCGGTGGCATCCATCGCCATGACATGGACTTCAGCGCCGTACGAGGCCATGAGATCAAACCATGCCTGCTCGACGTCCGGCTTGCGACTGGTGAGAACGAGATGGCGTGCACCACGCTGTACCATCCAGCGGCACAATGACCTGCCCAGTTCTCCTGTAAGGCCGACTAATAGATATGTGCGGTCTCCTCTGAAGGTGACCTCATCCTGGACGGGCGAGAGCTTCACTTGGGCCTTGTCCTGGCTCTTCCAGTTCACGACCTCAATCTCCTTTCGTGCTGAGGAGGCGCCAATCACTTCATCCAGAGAGAGCTCCTTGGGAGAGTCTTCGTGGTCAACGCGCGCAAACACGTCTGTTGTCTTCTGCAGAAGAGCTGACAGGCTGTCCTTCGCAACAGTACCCCATTGCTGGGAAGCAGGACTATAGAATCCATCAACAGAGATGATCCTGCCCTGAGTGGAGGAGATATGCCGAGCAAGACGGGCTCCAAGGGTCTGTCCCTTTGCTCCTCCCAAAGATGCATCCACGAAGGCTGCAACATCCGCTGGAACGCGACGAGCGATGGAAGTCTCCGGGCTGGATGGGTGAATGAACGAGAAGGGCAAGCCGGAGTCAAGCTTTACACGGTTGGTCGTGGTGAAGACGACCCGGCTGGGCTCTGTGGACGTTAGGGCAAGCAGAGTCCGAGTCAGTCCTTCACTGGCTTCATGGACTAAGATGCAGCCATTTTCAGGCGTACGGTTGAGAATCGACGTGCCCAAGCACACATCTGCAGCTGTCTGGATTAGAGCATGCTCTTCAGAGGCCGGTATTGCGATGTTGGCGACCCAGTCTTTGGGGATCTGGACTTGGGAGCCATTTTGATGAGAGAAAGCGAGGACTCGCTGTCCTGACTGAGATATATCTCCAGTTACAATGTACAGGTGCCCAACACCTTCAATCTCAACGGCCTTGGTCGACGACCGAGACACGTTGATGGCCAACTGACCTGCTTCAACCGCCTTCGGTGCTGTATTCTCCTCCAAATCGAACAGCGAGTTTGCATGAGTGAGAATAACAGGCCTTCCGGTAGGATCCACGGCTTCTCGAATGGTCCGGCGCCATGAGTTGTACTGCAGGTTACGGCGCTCGCTGGGACGATATCTGGGGATCCGGGGTTGTCCCTGAATGATGCGGACTTCACGCTCGAGAGTCCAAACTGGCCGATACGGTTCGATGAGGGTATGCCAGGCATCTGAGACCTGCAGACGCAGCAGAGTCCGGACGATGAGATCCGCGTCGAGGGTGTCGGCAACGTCAAAGTCAAGGAACTGGAAGCGCATATCGGGCTGTTCACCAACCAGACAGCGCGCCACGCCGTTCATCATGTTGGCGTAGGGCTGCTCGCCTGAAGCGCCCTGCACGACCCACAGGACGTTCCGGCATTTCTCTGTAAGCATCTGTAATCCTGCGAATCTCTCGGGCGTTAAAGGCGAGAATACTGGCGCGTCGAGCTCGACCAGGCTCAGCAGCATCTGGCGCGGATGGAAGTGTGATTCTTGCAGAGCCTCGACGGTATCAACGATTGTGATCTCGTTGACGAATGGCTCCAGCTGGTCCTTGACGCTCTCAATCAATGCGTAAGTGGTGAATCCCACGCCTCCCAGGATCAAGAGGTTGTCGATCTTGATCTTGCTGTCTTCCTGCAACGGCTGGCGGATCAGGCTCATCTGCTTGTCAACAGCCTGGGTCAGCATGACCGAGAAAGGGGCCATGAAGACATCATGCGACGGCGTTGAGGTATCGAGCCCCGAGAAGCCAGTCGCACTGAAGAGCTCACCCCAGCGCTCCTTGGTGACCAGAGGGTGATGAGGACGGCCGTCGTTCTCACCCACCCACCATCCAGGCAGACACCCAAAGAAGAATGTCGGCCGGAGAGGCTGCACGTCGGTGACTTCCAGCATGACCAAGTAGCCACCGGGCTTGAGGAGCTTTCGTGCATTGGCCAGGGTGGTTTCCAACGAGTGCGTGGCGTGTAGCACGTTGGATGCGATGACCAGGTCGTAGGTGCGTTCGGTATACCCCTGCTGGTTGGGCGCCTTTTCAGCATCGTAAGTCTTGTAGACCATCTTGCCCGTGTGCTCCTTGAACATGTCCTGTGCCTTGAGGAAGAAACCGGCCGAGATGTCGGTATACGTGTAGGAGGAGTACTGATCCCCAATCTTGCTTAAGACTGCCTCCGTGGTACTCCCAGTTCCAGCACCTGCGAATATTAGCCCTAACCAGAGTACTCACTCCAGGGTACTAGACAAACCAATTTCAAAGATATCCATGCGTGGGAATCGGTGCGAGAGCTGCTTCACCAGATTGCCGAGATAGCTGTTATACTCAGAAAAAGCGTACGTATTCCTATAGATGTGTTCGAGCAGGCCTCCATCACGCACCAGCTCGAGGAGGGAGAACTCGCCCCTGACGAACGGAATGAGGTTCTTTCCCACATGAGTGAGGCTCTCAAAGTCCTCATACTTGGCAGTAAGTCTGAATCATCAGCATATATCTTGTATAAAAGGAAGGGAACATACTCATCCAACGGCCCCTTCAGCATCTCCCATGTATCGTTCATCCACTCCCTCCGAATAATGGGATGCTCCCCTCGCGACACAACACCCACAACCTCCGTCGCCCAGTCCAGCATCTTCCTCGGATGCCAGTCACAGCGCTCTCTCTCCTCCGCCGTGATAGTCTCCTGCAGCTGCTTCAGATAGAAGAAGCACGCCCGCTCCACATACCGTGCATGCTCCCACTCCTCGTCCGTCAGCGTCCACTCCGCAACGCCGCGAGCCGCGTCAGGATCCTGGTAGTTCCAGATCGTGTCGGAGAAGACCTCGCGGTCGTCGCTGGACGTTACAGGTGCCAGCGGGGAGACCTGCAGACCCTCGACTTGGACTATCTTGTTGATTCCTGTGGAGTCGAAGATATCGACGTCCCCTGCGACGCCGTCGACGGGGGACACGGACACATTGGCATCGAAGGGCATGTCAACGCCCAGACCCGCGTTCTGGGCGCAGACGCTGGGGTTTATTGTGATTCTCTTGATGCGTGTTGGGACGAGGACGGTCCAGAGCCGGCCGTCTCCGGGTGCGCCCATGGCTCCTATACTCGATTAGCAGGAAGACAACTAGACTCGGTTTATAGCTGGCCCTTACCGAAGATACCCTGGAAAGCGACGTCGAGAGTCGAGGGGTGGAATGTCAGGGAGGTGGTGTAATCTGGGGGCAGCTCAGTGTGGATAATGCCCTGTGCAGCATCGGTTGTGCGCTGCAACGAGGTAATCGAGCGGAACATATCGGTATAGTTATAACCCAGCCCCCAGAGGGTGCTGTAGAAATGGTCGATATCGACATCGTTCATGCGCACCGTGCAGGCGTTTCGTTCAGGGAGGGCCTGAGGGGAGGGCTCTCCCAGCTGGAGACGAACAGTTGCACAAGAAGCCATGACGAACCCAGACTCCTTGGACAGACAGATGTCACAGGCAAAGTCTGCTGTGATAGAGGACTGGTCAGAGTCCTCGACGACATTCATCAGCGAGCAGACAACCTCCACCGAGGCGTTCTCGTCCTGGAAGGCCATGGCCCGCAGGACCTGCACGTCCATCAGCTCGACCATTGCAATCTCCTCGGCCGGAGCGAGGACTTTGGCGGCCTCGAGGGCCATAATAGAGAATCCCGCTCCCGGGAAGATCAGCTGCGATTGCACCTGGTGTCCGCGAGTCCACGATAGCTGGCTGGGCTTGATGAAGTTGCGCCATCGGTACTCGCGGTCAAGGCTGTCGGCGCGCACACCAAGCAGTTCATGGTGTGCAGCAGGGCGCAGACGGAGCGCAGCAGATGATCTCGACTCCATCCAGTACTTCCTGGAATGGTCCCACGAGTATCTGGGGACGCTCTCGCAGAGCTGTGGCAGGTCTTCGGGGCCAGCAGATAGTAGGGCATCGACTCGTGAGAAGTCGACCACCGGACGGGGCATACTGGCCCAGACGGTGCCGATTCCATCGGAGAATGACTCGACATCGTCTGCATTGCGGCTTAAGACGCCGCTGTATGGGATCTCGCGGCCGAGCTTGTCGTTGATGGTCAGCGACGCAGGACCTTTCAGTGCAGCATGCGGTCCAACCTCCAGCACAAGACCGATATCAGGCGTGCTGGAGATGGCTTGTTCCAGCGCCTGCGAGAACATGACAGGCTGCAGCAGATTGTCACGCCAGTAGGTGTTTGCCAGAGAGTCAGCCATCTCAGGGCCGACTTCCTCGCCCTCCAGGACGGACGAGAACCAGCGAGTCTCGCACTGGGGGTTCAGGGCCTGAACGCCAGCCCCCTTCATGGCATCAACATAGGGCTCGGCACATGGCTGCATGTGGTACGAATGATACGCGGTATCAACCTTGAGCAGACGCGCAAACTTCTTCTCGTCTTCCAATATAAACTGTGCCTCACGGACGGCCTCTGCATCACCAGACAGAGTGACACTGGACGACGAATTGCTGGCAGCGACCTGGAGACGGCCCTCGAAGGCCTCTAACTCGCACAGTTCCTTTGCATCGGCAATGTCAGTCCCAGCAGCGAGCATTCCTCCTGAAACTCCGTCTCGTCCGCGAGCCAGTCTGCCAAACTTCCCCCGATAATATGCAACCCGGATTGCATCCCTGGCGCTGAGATAGCCAGCAGCATACGCAGCACCGATCTCACCACTCGAGTGGCCGACGACAGCATCAAATTTTACCCCAGAGTAGGATAGAAGGTCGACCAACATCACCTGGACAGCTGTGCACAGGACCTGGGAGAACTCGCCCTCCATAACGCGAGACTCATCCGCCTCCCTTTCCAGCTCCTGCACCAGCGACCACGACGGTCTGTCCTCGGTGGAAAGCTCAGCCAGCGAGTTCTCCAGCTGAGCAAAGATCCTTCTGGCAATGGGCGAGGTCTTGACAAGTCCCAGCCCCATCTTCGGCCACTGGGCGCCCTGCCCAGTGAAGACACCGAGGATCTTCGCGTTCTTCGCTGAGGCCCGGATCCCAAGGGCCTTGCCGTCTTTTTTGCTATCGATCTTGGCTTGCAGTTTCTCTCGCAGTCTCTCGACGCTGCTACTGCCGGAGACCGTTGTGCGGATTGCAAATGCCGATCGCCGGGATAGAGTCCATGCGCTATCTCGCAGTCGTGGCTTGGGGCTGTTCTCGAGATATTCCAGGAAACTCGTCAATTGGGCCATCACGGCCTTTTCGGAGTACCCGGAGAACGTGAATGGGACTGCAGTCTCGCTTCTGGGGTTGGGTTCGACGATATTCGTATTCGACGGCGTGTAGCTTTCCACAATTGCGTGTGCATTGGCACCACCGAACCCTATCACCGTTAGAACACAGTATCATACATATTACGGTGACATACCAAAACTATTAACACTGACACGCCGAGGAACGCCTCGGGCAAGAGCAGGCCAAGGTTTCGGGCTGGTCAGGATCTGGAGCTTGCCATAATACGGCTGGATATCAGGATTCAGGCTCTCGAAGTGCATGTTAGGAGGCAGCGTCCTGTTCTGCACCGCCAGCGACGCCTTGAGCAGACCAGCGAGACCAGCCGTGCCCTCCGTGTGTCCGATAATAGTCTTTATTGACCCGACATACAGCGAGTCAGAGTCCTTGGTGTCTTCACTCCCGAAGTACGCATTGTAGATGGCCCTGGCCTCCTCAGGATCACCAGCCTTAGTCCCAGTTCCTGCATTTGTCAGATATGCAATCCAAGAACTAGATAAAAGAACAAACCGTGAGCTTCAAAAAACTGTGGCCTGTCAGACTCTTTCGTTAGATCAAGGCCAGCCCGCGCATACGTCGAGCGGATGAGCGCCGCCTGCGCCGTGCTGCTGGGCATGGTGATACCGGTCGTTCGCCCGTCCTGGTTCAGGCCAGTCTCCCGGATTACACTCTCAATGTGATCGCCGTCTGAAATCGCCTGGCTCAGCTTCTTGAGTACGACGGCTGCAACACCCTCGCCGCGAGCGTAGCCGTCGGCGTTGGCGTCCCACATGCGAGATCGTCCTGTTGGCGAGAGCATGTTGACGTTGCTCTCTGCGATGTAGTTTGCTATCCAGCTGTTAGCAACCATGTCTTAATCATTTATGAAAAAAACATACTTGGAGTGAAGATCAGATTCGTGCCAGCCGCCACAGCAACCTTGGACGAGCCCTCGCGCAGAGTCTGCACAGCATGATGCAGGGCAACCAAACTACTCGAGCAAGCCGTATCAATCGTCATTGACGGACCCGTCCAGTTAAAGAAGTAAGAGATGCGGTTCGAGAGAATACTCAGCGCGGACCCCGTAGCAGCATTCTTCGGGACAGACTCTAGATCCGCATAAGTGATATGCGCATAATCATTGCACATCACGCCGACATAGACAGCCGTCGGAGAGCCGGCGAGGTCCTCGATCGTCATGGCGCCGGACTCCAGGGCCTCGTACACCACTTCCATGAGGAAGCGCTGCTGCGGGTCCATGGACTCGGCTTCGGAGGCGGGGATGTTGAAGAACTGTGCGTCGAAGGCGCGTGTGTCTTGGGTGAGCTGGTAGGAGTGCAGGACATTGCTGGAGCCGTGGTGGTGGCCGTCGGCGTTGTAGAAGCCGTCGGCACTGAAGCGATCAATCTTGCACAGGACATCGCGTGGTGTCCGGAGCAGATCCCATAGTTTTGAGGGGGAGGTGGCCTCACCTGGGAATCGACAGCCACTGCCGATGATGGCGATTGGCTCTTGGGGGTGGTTATTAGCCATGGTGATCTATATGGTGGTGTGGAGAGTTCCGTTGCTTGATATGAAGTGAAGGATATAGGTATGCAATAGGGGAGATAGTCTGCAGCAAGGAACAGTCCAACTGATGGGTATCACAAAAGAGAAGTACTGGGCATGGAGACGCAAGAATTTTCACTGACACAAAGCAGGTATTCTTCCACGTTGTCCAAATCTACCGGGGACGTGCAGCTGAAGTACAAATGATATCCAGCCCACTGAACCATAGTTCCAGCTGCGGGCCAGCTGCAAGACGGGATGATCCATCTGAAGCTGTCCGTATCGAGTAGCTTACTGGACTGCTGGGTGTACATGTCCTGTACATGCCCTGATCGGTATCTGACACTTGAGTATTACCCGATTAGGAAGTGCAACGTCAGCCCTAACACTCGGCTCTCCACCGTACGGCTGAACGAACTATACAGGAACATTATCTTTGACTAATTGTAGTCATTTCAATAGTCATGCAGTCAGATCTCACAACCCTCACTAATCTGGGGGCGAAGAAAGGCATACCTAGTATCAGTATCAGCATCAGTACCCAGAATTATCCGGCACCCTACCCCCCCTTAGTTCTTTACAAAATATCTCAGAAATTCACAAGTCTAACACTGCAATTGCACTGCAGTACTAAAAAAAAATGGCAGCCCCAGAAGAAACCACCATCCACAACCTAACCGGCACCTGGACTCTCGTAGGTCTTTATATCCATACCCTAATTCCACGCCTAATCCCGATTTTCTAGAACTTCACCCACTCCGATGACCCCTCGCCAGCACTAGAGCTACAAGGCGTATCCTGGCTCGTCCGAAGCGCCATCGCCTACGCCCCCGTTACACTCACCATAACCCAATCCGAGGACGGCACCGGAGTCACCAAGATTGAGTCTACGCAGTCCACGCTCGGCCGGACGGTGTCGGATGTACGGGTCTTGGACTGGGAGGCTACAGAGCAGCCGGATCATCTGCTGTTTGGTAGTTTGAGTATGCGCAGCCGGTGGGCGGAGAGGAGTAGTTTGGATGATGGCTTCTTGGCTGGTGATGCGGATGTAAAGGCGGATGGGGAGGAGGTGATTGAGGTTCTTGTTACTGGGACTGAATGGACTAACCATCAGGTCTGGGGGTTTGAGGAGATTGATGGACAGAGATATCATACGAGAAGGGGAACTGTTACCAAGGGCGAGCAGCGGGTACAGGTTCGTATGGTGTATGACTGGCAATGTCAGGAGCAGTAGTAGATTCATAAACTTATAGCTATCTATAATCTAAAACCAACCTGCACACCATAATAACTACTCAAAACCAACCCCATATGCTCTCTCCAAGGCCTGCCATCCCTACTCTCCAACCCACCCCCAAACCTCTGCACCATCCTCACAACAACATACGCCGCCTCCGTCAGCGCCTTCTGCTGCCCAAGACAGATCCTCGGCCCCCCACTGAACGGCAGGTATCCCCATCCCGGCCTCAGAGGTGTCTTCTCGTCCAGCCACCTCTCCGGCCGGAACTGCTCCGCGTCGGACCCATAGATGGCTGCGGACCGGTGCATCGTCCAGATCGAGTAATGCACAATCGAGCCCTTTGCAACGAACACAGGCTGGGACCCGTCAGGGCCACCGCCGCGGGGGAGGGAGGTGTGTCGTGTTGCGCAGCGGATGTTTGTCGGGACGGGGGGGTATAGACGGAGTGCTGGATTTAGCAATTAGCTATCACCAAATAAACTGAGAATTGGGGTTACATGGATTGAATAGGTAGGTAATACGCACCCTCGTTCAGCACAGCCCGGACATACTTCATCTCGCGGAGCTGAGTATACGTCGGGAGCTGGCCATCCAGCCTCGCGACCTCGCGGTGGAGGTTCGTCCAGGCGGCTGGATGGCGCGAGAGCTCGAAGAAGGTATGGCTTAGAAGACTAGCGGTGGTGTCTCTCGCGGCGAGGAGGACATTCAGCAGCTCGTTGCGGATCTGCACGCCGTCCGCGATGGTGTTGACGAGTTCGCTAAGGAGGTCATACCGCTTTCTCTCCTTTTCATTTACATTTTCCGATCCAGCTGTTGGTCGCTGGAGCAGGGCGTCTGTCACGTATCCATCAACAGAGGAATGCACGAGACGGCAGTCTGCATCAAAAGCCTTGTTCTTGACGAATCGGAGGAAAGGGCCTAGCTTTGCACGGACCTGGAGGTGGGCCTGGGCGTCGTCGAAGGCGCGAGAGAACTTCTCAGCGTCGGAGCCTGGCGGGCTGAGTTGGAATCCGACGGGCTGGCCCAGGAGAGAATGCGTCGCGCTGTCGAGGGTGAAGTTGAAGAAGAGCGGCTGCAGGTCGATGGTCGAGCCATCGTCTGGGATACGGCTGAGGAGGTTCTGGACGTGCTGCTCGATGATAGGTAGCTCAGATATCTGGGCTTTGCTGAGACTAGGACGGATGAGGTTCTATCTGGTCAGTCATCAAATATAACAAGAGAGACAGAAAAGAGATACCCTCGATCTCTCCCAATCCACCCCATCCGCAGTAAAAATGCCATGTCCCAGAAACGGCTCAAAGGCCTCATTCCTTGCACCCAGATTAAAGTCCCGAAACTGCGTCGCAAGTACAGCCTTGATATTGTCCGGGTCCGAAGTCGAGATGAACGACGTGCCCATCACAACAGCTGAGATGGTCGGGCCATCCTCCCTGGTGCCCTCGTAGTGGCGCTGCAGCGAGACGCCGGCCTGCGAGCTCTGCTGCATGCGCCGAAACAGAGACAGGCCGATTATCTTTTCTGTCTGGGGGACAGAGCGTGCGAGATGAAGGCCATGGGTCCTACGGAAACGGTAGGCCGCGAGGGCTGCTGCTGCTTTGCGGGCTGTTATGGCGAGGAGGAATGCGTATAGGATCCAGCGTAGCATGGTGATAGCCCGACGATGATGGTGATTGTGAGCCAGGAATTGGATCAGTAGTATATTTGGGAAAGTCAAAGCTTCCTTGACTGCGGTGTTGAGGATGTCAGCTTACACGAATGTGGAGTGCAGACTGTCTGACTGCATATGGCCCCTGCATACGCATACGTCTGACAGTTACTGAATTAATATAATGATCTATTTCCCTATAGAGTAACTTATTTAATCACAGTCCAGTTGGTCAGGCTATTCACTACATCCTGTCAGATGAAGCATTCAATCACTCCTTTCAGTATTGTCAGGGACCAAGTCTGCCTCGGACTCTGTGGCCATGAGACTCTCTGCGCGGTTCATGTCGTCGTTTGTCGGCATATTGACGATAATCATGTATAGTACTTTCTGCCGGAGTGTTAGCTATTGAATAATCAAGTAAAGGGAAACTTACATCAGCAATCTTGCGCTGACGCCTCGGATTGCGAGTCTCTCCACGCCACTGGGCATTGTAGGGCACAGCACCCCCCGTAGCCAGCGAGATGGGCGACTTGTTGGTGGCATCGTTTGGATCCGCAAACTTGGACGTGAATCCACGCTGCGGCGCTGCTGCCAAAGGACTCGTCGGGTTCCTCGCAGCCTACAGTATATCATCAGCAGGGAGCCATTTACATATACAGACAGGTTACTCACGTATTCAACTTGCGCGCGGCGGTCATAGTAATCCGCCACAAATTTGCGGAACTTGAGATACCTCCCCTGCTTCTCAGCCTGCTCAGGATTCTCCTTCATCCAGTCCAGCACGGGGAATACCAACGGCGCCGACTCAGGGAACTCAGAGGGGCCTGTCGTCCCGCTGTTCGTGCGCAACTTGTCCGTGTACTTGCGGACACCCGACTTAGCCTTGGGATCCGAGCTCGCGATTTTCTCAGCAAGCGCCTCCTCAGTCATGGCCTGTTCGTGGGTATTATCGAACGAGAGAACGAGGCAGTAGAGCCCGCGGGGCTGGAAGAAGCCCTCGTTCAGTTTCTGGAGGAAGGCGTTGGCCTGCACACGCCCTCTCATCTCCATCGCAATCGCATTAACAACCTGGATAGCGAATCCCACCCCGGCGCCCATCGCATGCCCCGGCAAGGCAAACGCCGCCGCGGCCGTTAGGTTAAACGCGCCCATCCACTGCGGCGCCCGACTGGCGCGCGTGAAGGTCACCAGGAAATCCATAAAGGTGTCCTGGTCGATTCCGCAGCGCTCCAGGTCCGGTGCGTAGGCTCTCACGAAGCCACGCACACGCACGCCGGGGCGCCGCTGGGGAATGATGACGGGGAGTGGGAGGTGGCTTGACGTAGTTTCTGGAGCAGGCGGCGGGTATCTTTTGAGGAAGTCGTCGGCCAGATGGGCTGGGTTGCGGATTTTCTTCTTTTTGTCGTCGTTGTCGTTGTCGTCGTCGCTATCGGAGATGCGCGAGACGTCGTCTTGGATTTCGTCCAGCGCCCACTGGTCGTCTTCGGGATTGTCATCGCTATCTTTTTGATGATTAGCTCTGTGCTTGCTATGGAGCGGAACTGCATACTCTGAGGCTGCTGGGCTTGGGCATTCTGTTTGTGGCGGTTGATGGATTCAGCCACCAGCCCAATGCTGGCGGCCACGACCATGTTCACTCTCTCTAGAACGACGACCATTTCGATGCTTCGTCCAGCTTGGGAGAAGGAGAGGAGAGGGCATCAACACTCAACCAGAGTCAACGGCACTAGACGAAAGAGGAGAGAGTCGCCAGGCAGCAGCGGGGCAGATGTGACAAAGAAACACATTGACTGGACTAATGGGGCGATAAATCTGACCATCCAGCGATCTGCCGGCTTGTCCAATGCTTCATCGCCTTTAGCTCGCGTGGATTCTCTTGGCTCTTTTCTGGCTGACTCTGTCACACTTCCTGTTTGGGCTCGGAGTCCTTCTGCTGTTTACTGTTCTGCTGGTCTGATCTGATCCGATCGGATTCAATCATTGATATGCAAGTCGGGTTTAACTGAATCCTCTTGCAGTCGCCGCAGCCCCGCGGGTCTAGAGCTGCAATGGAGCTTCAACGATTAAACTACGCAGAGCTGGCGAGCAGCGACCGCGAGATCCAGCAGGCTGCCGACCGACAGCTCTACACAGCACTGTCGCAGTTGGGCTTCGCAAAGATCACCAACCACCCCATCGCCCGGCCGGTAATTGAAGAGCTCTTCTCGTGGGTAAGTGCAGGAATCCAACATTGGGGGCCGAAGCTCGTTACGAAGCTGATGACTGCGATTGGATCGCTTCCAGACCCAGCGCTTCTTCGCCCTGCCCCTGGAGCACAAGCGAAAGGCCGCCCACCCGGCGCAGCCAAATCCACATCGCGGATGGAGCTGCATTGGCCAGGAGAAGCTGTCGGTGATTCGCCAGAACAAGGCTGTGCTGGATCTGAAGGTACAACAACACGTACAATCGATGTTGAAACGGAGCTAACCGACCAGGAATCCTTCGACATGGGCCCCGACGACGACGAGCTGTATCCCAACATCTGGACCGACGAGCACGCGCTCCCCGGCTTCCGCGAGTTCATGTCAGACTTCTACCAGCGCTGCGACGCCCTGCACCAGCAGCTGCTCGTCGCCATCGCGCGATCCATGCACCTCCCCGAGTCCAGCTTCACGCCCCTCTGCGCACGCAACAGCAGCGAGCTGCGCCTGAACCACTACCCAGCCGTTAAACCTGACGAGCTCAGGTCCCGGCAACATGCGCATCTCCTCGCACAGCGATTTTGGCACAATCACCCTGCTCTTCCAGGACTCTGTTGGCGGGCTGGAGGTCGAGGACCAGGCGGAGCCGGGGCGCTATCTCGCTGTGGAGCCGGCGGACTGCGCCGACATCATTGTCAATGTGGGCGACTGTCTGCAGCGCTGGACGAATGACCGGCTGCGCTCGGCGAACCACCGGGTGACGCTGCCGCGGGGAAGCCTCGATGTGGAGAGTGATGGTGATAGTGGCTTGGTGGACAGTCGTTATTCGATTGCTTATTTTGGCAAGCCGAGTCGCGACGAGACGGTGCGGACCTTGACGGCGCTGCTGCGGCCGGGCGAGGAAGCCAAGTACAAGGACGAGATAACGGCGTGGCAGTTTAACCAATTGCGTCTGCTGCAGACTTATTAGATCCACAGGCTTCTCAATTTATTGGTGAGGGGGATCGTGAGCCAAGATGCAAGCTGAAGGAAGCCGGATAGATACGCTACTGCCAGCTGAAGATACACGGCCCGTGTCGATTCAATAATGCTTACTTCCAAAAGAACGTGATGATGTTGCATCGTTCTCAGCCCCTGTACGATGATTAGCTGCTGCCTTTTCGCCCGTACATTAGTGTCTGCTTACTCTCGCTTCAAGCAGAGTATCCGGTATAGAAGCTAACTAAACATAGCTAACAACAGCCCCGAAAATGAGACAGACAGAGTACGCTGGCCCCACGCTGCCCTAGCTGGAGTTGCTAGTTACCAATTACTACTTACGTTGCTAGCTACCGGAGTGGCTATGGCTATGGCCGCTGTCTAGACTACGTAGACAACAGCTATAACTCGCCCCAGTCCAGCTGAGACTTGGCTCCAGCTGCCAAGTTATCTACGGCCGATCCTGAAGCCAAGTCTGTCCAGCCTGTCGGTAATCACAAGGTTGTACTAGTATAGGCTATACAATGACAGCCAGCCCAGTAAAGGACTTCTCGCCAGGCCCAGACGAGTGGCAGCATCTGGAAGACTTGAACCAGAGACGCCGCGTGCAGAACCGTCTGTCGCAGCGGAATCGACGTAAGTTCCCTACTTATACTGCATAGGGTCATGGCAGTTAAACTCTCAGGGACAAACCTCCGCAATCAGAACCAGAGACGAGACACGAATACGGCAAAGAAGCCTTCTGAGCCCGTGAAGACTAGGCAGTTCTTCTGGGTGCCGCCGAATACCTCCACTGTAAAGGGGGAGACCCTGACGAAGCGCAATGACAAAAACAATACGAAACCCGACTCAATACCTCCTTCAATACCACACCCACAGCCAGATTCAGACGCGATACCTAATGCAAATTGGGAGATCTGGGATGGTTCAGTGGGAAAGTCTACAGAGGGAGACACCATGGACGGCTGGATCGACAATCTCATGCGGCCAGTTGCAGTGCCGATAGAAGACGAGATGCTGGGGTGCTCCCCGATGCCTGGCTTCGACGCAACAATCACATTTGACGTGGGAGGGAATCTAGAGCCAGACAGCTGCAAGGCACCAGCACCTGCACCTGCACCAACCCAGTGTAACATGGATCTGCAGTCAAGCACAGACATGGAGGTGGAGGTAGATCGACGAGACCACTTCTTCGGATACGCCGCACTCCACGTGGCAGCAAGCCGCGGCCATCTGTCCATCGTGCAGCTGCTAACCGAGCAGGGCATGCCAGTCGACCAACTCAGCAGCGAGAACGAGACGGCGCTGCATGTTGCCGCAGAAAAGGGCCACTTTGCGGTGGCGCGGTATGTGCTGGAGCGCGGGGCCCAGCCACAGCGCACCAACCAGCAGGGCCAGACAGCGCTGCATGTTGCGGCGGCGAATGGGCACTGTGATATTGTGCGCCTGCTGTGTGGGTATCTGGCGGACTTGAATGTGGTGGATCGGAATGGGCATACGGCGCTGCATAGGGCTGTGGAAGCAGGGCATGTGGATGTAGTACGGGTGATGCTGGAGCGTGGCATGGATGCTGGTGTGAAGGTGGGAATGAATACATGATCAATTAATAGAGGTTTACATGGTGTCTGCTGGCTACTTAAACTGACTTCAATCATGTATCATCATGCTCCATTCGTCTAGCCCTAACTATTCACCACCCATCCACCACCTTCACTCGCACATACAGCCCCTCCAACGGCTTTCCTGAGAAATTCCCATTCGACGTCTTCATATTTTCTTCATTTCGAAATCGTTCGTCCGCCAGATCCAGATCAAACCGCCCAACCCAAGCCGCCACCACGCACGCCATCTCCGCACGCGCAAACTCCGCCGCAACACAGCTCCGCGGGCCATGGTTAAATGTCAGATAGCCATATTTATTCAACACGCCGCCGGTCGAGTTGAACTCATGTCCTCCAGATCCCTCTCTCAGCCACCGCCCCGGGTTAAACCGCTTCGCATCCGCACCCCAGAACTTCTCCTCGCGGTTGATCGCCTTGATCGGGACGACAATGCGCGTACCCTTGGGCACATACAGCCCATCCAGCTCCGTATCAACCAGCGGCTCACGCATCGTCATCGGGATAGGCGGATACCACCGCAGAACCTCCTCGAGGAACGCTCTTAGCAGAGGCATCCGCTCGACATGCGCACTGCTCATTGTTTCCGTTGAACTTGAACCCGGCGAAGGAACAGTAGCACGCACCTCCTCGCGCAGTCTCACCTGCCAGTCCCGGTGCAGACACAGCATATAGATCGCCCAGGTAATCCCCACTGAGATAGTCTCGTGGCCCGCGCCCAGGATCGTCGTCATCTGGTTGAGAACCTCGTCCTCGTCTACGCCTGCAATCTCTTCATACCGTAAACACACACTAAGGATATCCCGACCCTTTAGTTCCTGTCCGTCTGCCATCTGCGCTTTCTTGCTGTGTAGTAAGTCCCTGCAGACACCGCGGATTGTCTCGTACGCACTCCCCTGGTCCTCGTTCGCTTTCAGCGGGAGAGCCTCGACCAGCCGCGCCGGGAAGAAGTTCTTCAAGATTGCTACAACGACGTGGCCCAGTGTTGGCTGCAGCACGGCATGGTAGACTTTAGCCAGAGGTGCATGTGCATCACTGACAGAGCCAAAGTCTTTCCCCATGGCTGAGAGGGTGATGATATCCAGTGCAACGCGCGCCGCCCACTCTCCAATCTCAATCCCTCCATTATCTTTCTCAACACCATTCTCCTCCTTGGAGATAGTTGCAGCCATAACATGCGTAACCTCACAAGCCTTCGCCCAGAAAACCGGGTACAGATCGCGGATATGCTTGGGTGCGAATGGCGGGAGAAATAGCTTGCGCTGCTGCTTGTGCTCGTCGCGCTCGGTGAGGACGAGCCCCATGCCCAGGACGCGGCCGGCGAGCAGTTTAATCGCCATGGGCTTGATGAAGGTATAGTTGTCGCTGGCGATTTTGGCGAGGGCGGTTTGGGAGGAGACGACGAGGCGCTCGCCGTTTAGGAGGCCGCGGCAGTGGATTATGCCGTTGTTGGGGATTGAACCCATCCTATACTGTTAATTCTGTATCAGTTCGGTTTATATGGGTTAATACCATTTGACTTCTGCTTCACCATTTCCCATGTCCATGATCTCGTGGAAATGGCCATTTATCCAGCTTCCTCCCTGCGCTTGTCAGTGTTGGATATACTTGAGGTTAAGAGTGGGTGGCTACCGGAGGTTTTGGCAGGTGCTTGAATGGCGAGAAGCAGAGGGGCTTCAGGAAGATCTTCCACAGGCCGTAGAAAAAGAGCTGTACGGCAGATATAGTGATGAAGGTGGTCAACAGACGGAATCGCACCACGGGCAGGTTGTCGTCGAGATGGTGCACCAGGGCCGCGGTGGCAGCCAGGTTGGCCAGGAGGAGTACAGCGGTCAACATGGCAGTAACATGTAAACTAGTAAACTAACTAAAAGATGAAGTAAAGGTAGATATCATGGAATGATTGAATCCTGTATTTGTGAGCAAAGGATGGGCCAAAGTATGGTCCATTCTCATTGCCTGAGAATAGCCCTACATTTCCTAATTGGGACTCTCATGACTACTTCCAGGCTCATGTATACTCAGCACAACGGCAGCCCAGTATAGAGTGATAATATTGTAGACTGAAAGGGTACCAGTAATCTGACAGTTCTGTCTTTCAAGCTGACATCTAACAGCATCTATCTGACAACTAATCTGACATCTGACATTATCACATCTGATCTGACAGTGACATCTACCCTGATACAATTCTTCCCTCCAAAAGGCAATTCTAATTCAAGCAATACACCAGTTTCAGCCCACTAATCTCTCCCCTGCGCAACTCCTCCACTCCCTCCAACACCGCCGCAAACCCCCCGTGGTCCACCCTCAACGGATGTGCCCTCAACCTCCCCTCATCCATCAGCCCCTGCACCGCCCCATACGCCGGCTTCGCCAGCTTCCTAATTTCCACATCCGGCTCCCTATTATACGGCTCGGGCCACTTCGACCCCTCACCCGTAATCAGCGTCGCCAGGATCCAGTCAGGCTTGACGACCTTGCGCTGGGCAGCCAGATGCTCAGGGTACGGGTTCAGCGCGATATACTGCCCGCCGGCACGCCCGATCGCGCTGTAACAGATCTTGAATGTGGTTTCGTTGGTGATGCAGTCGACGGCGTATTTGAGGTTATTGCGCGTGGAGGCGCGGATGTCGGATGCGCAGGTCGGCGAGCTGTAGTCGAAGACTTCGTCGGCGCCGTAGGAGCGCACGAGCTCGAAGTTCTTGGGCGAGCAGGTTGTTATTGTCCGGACGCCGCATCTATCACATACTTAGTACTAGCCGTAGATATTGTGGGAGTTGGTGTGGTTGGTAAAGGGGGAGTACATCTTCAACACCTGCAGCAGCATCGTCCCCGTCGCGGTACTTCCTCCATAAACAAGAACAGGAAATGTCTTTTCAGCCGGTTCCTGCAGACTGGCTGGGATCTTCATCGTCCAAAAGAGCGCCATACAAGCCGACACCAGCGCGGTCCCCAGCGACGCCGCCTCAGCGAACGACATGGCCGGTGGAATCCGCAGCGTCAAGTCTGCTGGCAGCATCACGTACTCTGCAAAGGCCCCTCCCAGAGGTTTATCGCGGTTCATGCCTCGAGCACTGCCGCACACGCGGTCGCCGATGGCCAGCCCGTTGTCGACCTTGGATCCCACGGCCACGATCACGCCCGCGCAGTCGAAGCCGAAGATCGCGCCGGGCGTGATGAAGCCGCCGGCTAGCTTGGTGTCGACGGGGTTGAGGCCGATGGCTTCGGTTTTCATGATGATTTCGTCGTCGGCGAGGGGGGTGACGGGGACATCGTGGGCGATCTGGAACTCGCCGTTGGGGCCGGCGATGATGGCGGTTTGTGTTGCTGGGGGGGTGTGTTGCAGGCCCATTTTGATATGGTATTGTTGTTCGAATTCGATGTTCTGGATGTATCGTTGTCTCTGTATTGGTTGTTCTGCTTTTAATCCCAAGTCAACTGTTGATGCTGTCCCGATTAGGAAATCCATCTGACAGCCCTAAGAAGCACCAGATAAAGATGTATCCAGATCGGGATAATCCATCAGCTATCATGGATTGGAAGCTCAGGTACTAGTAGGCTACAGGTCAAGAATTCAATGCTGTCAAACCATCACAATGCACAAACCCACCATCCTCTTCCTCACCAACAGCGAGCTGGGCCAGGCCTCTGTTGTGCTCGCTGTAGCCCACGAACTGGTCCATCACAGCGATGTGCTCGTTGCTTCGTTCCCAGCCCTCAAAACACACGCCGATGCTCTCAGTGTCCCCTTCCATGCTCTCCCTGGCCGGTCGATGAAGGAGACGCTGGCCGACAGCGGTCTGCCCTATCTTCCACAGCATGCACCAGGGCGTCAAGGAGCCGTTGAATCGTACCGCAATGGTTTGCAGCGTGTGGTGGCCCCGTGGGAACCAGAAGGCTATGCGCCCATCTACCGGGCATGTCTGGACCTGATCAGCAAGCTCAGTCCAGCGTTGGTCGTGGTAGAACCACTCTTTGGGCCCGGCCAGGACGCCTGCAATGTGCTGGAGCAGCGATATCTCGTCCTGAGCCCGGCGACCTTCAAGGACCATCTCGTCCAGGCGCAGCCCTATCTCGGGGTGTTGTGGAAATACCCAGTGTAAGCCTCCACCTTCTACCTTATACTTATACTCATTGTTTATACTTTAGTATCTCCTCAGGCCTGCCCTATCCCATCCCCCTCCGCTTGATCGCCCTCAACATCTATCTCATCTTCAAGCTCGTCACAACCACCTTCCTCTCCCCCCGCGTCAAGGACCTCACCCAATGGCGCAACAAAACCGGCATCCCGGGCGAGTTGACCACAATCTACGCCAATTTCAGCGAAACAGTCCCCTGGATAGTTCCCTCTATCCCCCAGAGCGACTTCCCCATGTACATCCCTCCCAATATCACAGGCTGCGGGCCCATCCTCCCGCCTTTTGAAGCTATACCGGACGACCACCCAACAGCAGCATGGCTAGCTCAACGCCCAACGATCCTCTTGAATCTAGGCTCACACATGAAATACACCGTGGAAGACGCACAGCAGGTCATAGCCGCCCTGGACATAGTACTAACGAAGTACCCAGACTTGCAAGTCTTGTGGAAATGCCAACTATCCACCAATAATACCACCACCAACACCAACACCAACAGCAGTGAAACCAAAATAACCTCCCTAATCCCAAAACACATATACAATCGCATCCTGATCACCCCCTGGCTCACCCCATCCCCGGCATCCATCCTCGCACACCAAAGCACAATAGCAGCCGTACATCACGGCGGCTCCAACTCCTTCCACGAGGCGCTGGCCGCAGGCGTCGCGCAGGTCGTGTGTCCCGTGTGGTTGGACACGTATGACTTTGCGGCGCGCGTTGAGTTTCTGGGTGTGGGTGTGCGAGGGAATGCGGTGGCTGCGCCGGGGGTTGAGGGTGGAGAGCTGGGGAGGGCGATTTGTTTGGTGATGGATGGGGGAGATGCTCTGGGGGAAAAGGCGCGGGAGGTGCAGGCGTGTATTGCTGCGTTGGAGGATGGATGTGATGATGTTTATGGGGTTGGGAGGCGGAGGGCTGCGAGGGTTATATTGGATTTAGTCGAGTGATTTCTTGTATCTACTGTGCAAATTAAGTCTGGTTGTAGTTCCGATGGTATTCTGGCTGGTATATACATAAACAATAACGCGAGACTTAGATGTAAGGGTATAGTGGCGTAGGTTAGGTCACAGATGAGTTATAGATAACTAGATATAATCTATAAAGCCCATTCGTCGGCATCATCTTTCGGGGTTATAAATGGTTTATCGATTTGTTTGATCGCATGGTCGCCGCAGAGGATACTGCCAATTATTAGCCTTGTTAAACCTGCAGTGAAGAGACTTACCATGCTTCTGCTATCAAACCGTCCAGCTCCTTTACTATTTCTTCTCGTCGTGACGCAGTGAGGGCTCCCTCGTTTAGCTGTAACTGCAGGTCTCGAATGTACTTCTTCTTCCCGCCCGCTCCTTCAAGCACCTGGCGCCCTAGGCAATCGCTGTGGAATGCGTGCTGGCACGGGAAAACGAAGAATTGTCGGCTGAGCACTGGGAGCGAGCATATCCAACACTTCTCGCCCGGCTCCACAATCGCGTATCGTGTGTCAAGCGCCGCAATCTCGGATCGGATTTGCCGCGCGGTTTGCGCCGAATTGTCCATCTCCTGTCGGAGTGCATCAATATGTCGCGAATAGTCCTCCAGTGCTGTGCAAATCTCGTCTTTAAAGTCATCAATGACCACAAAGTCCGGGAAGAATGGAATGAGATCTTCGATTCGGAGCAGTTCGCACCTGCGAAGGAACTCAATCGCGTCTTTAATGCCGGTTCCCGGTTGCCGGATTCTCTTCTCCGCAACTGAAAGCCAGAGCTTCTTTCGTAGCTTATTGTTTCCTTCCGGACGGTCCGCGATGATCGCAGCCATCTCGATGTCATCGTGCTGTAGAGCCAGCTCAACAGCCTGGAGGTACTGGCCCATGGCACTGTAAATATGGATACATGACTGGACACGTTGGTGCTGGATGCAAAGCCGAAGTGCAAAGTCGGCGTCGTAAGGTGGAGGCGAGGATGGCTGCGACTGAAGATAGGTGAGGAGACCTGCCTCGGACGACGAGCGACTCGATGCGTGTATTGATATGAGCGTGTTATGCACTGCGGCTGTTGGGTTCGGGTGGTTGACAATGATAAAGTTGAGGTATCGCACCGCTTGGTTCTGAGTCAGTGGCACGCTCACGGTGTTGTTATAATTCAGCAAGGCAGGTATAAGCTTCTCCGGCTCAAGATTCGTTTGTCGCATCAAAATGTCCACCAGCCCAGTGGCCGCGTGGGTCATCAAAACGCTGCTGTGCTTGTAAAATACCTCTGGCTCACTCTGCCTCTGCAGGACATTCAACGCTTCAGTCCAGTTTTCTCGTTGAATCCAATATGACAGAACATAGTTATGGTCGTTAATCACAGTGGCGAAATACAGCAACTCCTTTTCACGTCCGTGACTGCTGATTATGTCGTAGGTCGTCTTCTGGTCCAGGTCAGACTTGTACTTTGTCGCGAACTCTTGGAATTCGTTTCGGACAGTCCTGAGCTCGCCCTCGATGTCTTCCGTGCTTGAGCCTTCGGCAAGCTCTGCCTTGGTCGTGATATTGTCGTCAAGAGAGTTCAGTTTGGTCATGAAAACTTCTACCAGCCAACTTGCAACCATAGTCCTTTGCATTGAAGAGGACTTCTTATACACCGAGAGCTGGGAAAGCAAGTACTTCCGTAGAGCATCGTGCTGCCCACGCTTGATGAGCGTCAGACAGACATCTTCAAACCCTTTACTACTCTTACCCCAGACACCTGCGGCTTCCAGGTAGCGTCCTTTGCTGGCAAGAAAGTCACCCGACGCCGTAGCAACAGCGTCTTTCTGAGAGCTCGTGCGAGCATATTGGAGAGCTTCGTCAAACGACTGTTTCTGCAGGAAGATCTTCCAAACATCTCTGTCCTCGTCTTGCACACAAATCTCGAAAATGTCTTGGCCCGTAAACAGCCAGTAGGTGCCTTTCATCGCATCTGTTACAAGGCCCAGAGCTCCTTGGCCAGGTTCCAGAACCTCTTGATCAAAGACAATTTCATCATTCATACGGTTAACAGCAACAACTCTGCCCTCAACAAGGACTAAAATGTGCCATTCCGACAATGTCACCGCCGTTATTGGGTTCTGGATCAGCTTCTTGCCTCCCCGCGCGGATTGCGTCGCTGGGAATATGGACCGTGGAAGCATAGTAGAGCCTTCAAACGGCTGTTCCAACTTTTCAGAGTATGGAAGCAGACCATGATATATACCTTCAGAACTGAGCCATGCAAACTCCTTCTCCGGCTGGCCATCCACCCGAGGTGCATCAGATCCAGGCGGCGAAACAGCCAAAGCCGACGGTGCAGAACCAGACGCCCGCTCGACCTCCTGAATTACCGGAGTTTCCCTTTGGAGAAGGTCGGCATATATAGAACCACCGCCCTCCCTACCAGACCTTCCAGTGCGCCCCAGGAAACACAACAACCTGCCGTGTGTTGCCACCAACACCCGCCTCTGCTCAGCCTTTGAAGTCACCGACTCCGCCCATATACCCGTTACCGGTGACGCGTCCGATGTTTTATATATTGATGTAGCATATCGTTCCTCGCGGCGATAGAATTCGGTAGATGGTTCGATATAGGTTTCCCAAACTTGGCCATCAGTCGTTCCCAGTAGTACTTCTCGGGTAGATGCTGTCGGAAGGGAGGGACTCCACGCGACACTCTCGATTAGAAGCCCCTTGAGTCGCGACAATGGCTTCGGCTGCCGTGACTGCGTGTGAAGGTAGTAGTTCTCGCCCAAGGTTGTGGTGATGATCAGGTGGGAAGCGGAAGGGTCCAAAAACATCCGACGTATCACGCCTATCTCTGACGACTTCTTCGGGAGGTCGACATCTAGTGAAAGCGTGGTCAGCTCAAGGCCGTCACCAGACCAGGTCCACCGTGAGGGGCTCTATACCATCAATATGCTCAGGGTTGTTCAAGTCAATCCGCAGGATGCGACCGGTCGATAAGGCAAGAATCAGAACATTGTCGGCTACCTGTGCAGCCACAAAATCGGCAGCGAGGGGGAACTGAAGCTGGACATGCTTGACATCGAACATAGCCAACGAGTCCGGAGGTTCAAGCAGGCTGCTGTTAGCGGCATACCCGCTGGATGTCTCCAGCGCCATAATGCGCCAATCGTACACGAAAGACTCTAAATCATACCGCGTACGAAAAGGAAAGCTGGGTAGAGCATAAACAACCGAGAGGTGCGAAGCTCGGCCGCGATGATGTCGATAGGAAGAGGTGGAAGCTCCGCCTGCGGAGAAGTCAATTGGTTGCCTGGCTAGCTGTTCCAGCCTGAGGCACCATTCACGTGGAATCAACATCTACAAATGCTCATTAACTTCCTGCTTATCTAGAACTACGTCCCTTCAAGAGGTTTATATTCTGCACTGTGAAAGTTCCATTGATCTATTCCATCATTTCCAACCATCGAACCATCGAACGTAAGACGCAAGAAGCGAATAAACATTAAGGGTATCCTTTAATGGAATATGCGTATGCTATCCGTACAAAACAAAACAAAAAGTACCAGTAGCGCTAAAAATGCTCACATAACAAGACATTCACGTTCCAGCTTGCGCCCTCTTCTTTCCCTTGACTTGTCCTTCCCTTTGTCTTTCTGCTTGTCGGAGAACCTTGACCGTCTCGGGCTCTTTTCTCTCATTTCACTGTTCTTAGCTGTCTCGACAGTCAATCCAGTGTTATTTCTGGTCACCTCGTCATCGTCGTCGTCCAGGGCAAAGGAATCACTGTTCAATTTATCCTTGCTAAGGCGACCCGCAAAGCGTGAGAATGTTGCACTGATCCTGTTTTCACCGACTTGGCTGTTGGCACGGCTGCCCGGATTCGACTTTGTGGCTCTGGATCCGCGCCTAGAAAATGAGACAGAGCCCCTGTTGTCGTCGTCATCTCTTGGCGCAAGCCTTGGTGATGTTGAAGGAACGGAGCGCAACCCTGATTCCGAAATGATGTTTCGAGTGTCCGTAGAATCCTCGGTATTCGTATTTGATGCATCCGCAACAGTAATTTCAAGACTCGGGCGGCTAGACCTGTACCCTGCGCTGAGTCGGTTAGGTTGCAGCCTGGGAGAAATAGCTTCCAAATCCTGAGTTTCCACGGAGGCTATAGACGATGGCGCGTTATTCGAGAAATTTGCGGCCGCTGCGTCCTCGTCGATTGGTAAGATTTGATAAAAGAGGAGGTATGGCGACTCAGTCTTCAAGGCTTGCTCAATGTCCACAAGTGTCACTCGTTCCGCAGCTAGGTCATCAAATCGCATCCAATATCTTGGAGTATCCGAATTTGACTGTTCCAAACCATGGGAGCTCGACGGTGGTGCGCCTGCACTGGTTCCTCTGACAATAGAAATGTAGTGTCCGGAATCAACCGAATTGCCTCTATGGCAAACAAGAGCCTGCAGAGATAACTTAAAGTTTCCCTGGATTGGACCATCCTCCATGTTGTCATCTTGAATAAAGTGTGGCAGCCCAATCTCGGTCGGAATATCAACAAATGTGTCAAGTCTAACGGCCTTTCCGTTTGGAAGTATGGAGTATCGTTTCAAACACATGCCCAGTATCGGCCGTTTTGTTGAGAAATGTGCCGCGACCTGAGAATCGTTTGTTGGGGAATTATCCGTATACCATGCTGTAATATGGGTTAGCGCTCGCTAATATGGTATCAGTTATGACAAGAGGCCTTACGGATCAAGCTAAAGAATTGCCATGCAGGCATCATCACCTCCTTCCTGTAAGAGCCCTGACGGTTCTTGGTGGAATCATCTTCATCCGAGTCTGGAATATACTTTGCCTGAATGATACTGTTCCTCCGGTATTTGGTTTTATCGGATGCTGGAGTCTCTGTCTTGGAGCTGATTTGGGTCACAGTCGGCGACAGCACTGTTGGTGAGGAGGAGGAGGTCGGTGTGCTTATTTCCACTGTCTCAACGTGCGCAGCAGAGCCCTTCACAAGTGAATCCATTGACTTAGTCGACTCAACAGTATTTCGACGTTCAAGATAACGCTTGACCTCAATCCTATTATTGAAGTATGATTCCAAGCACTCCTCTAACGTCACAGTCTTTCCGTCGGTTGGCTCTGGGATTGCGACCTCTAATAACCGTTCGTTGACAAACCTGTGATCGTCGTTCAGATCCTCTTTCCCTGTGTGATATATGTCCATCTTGAGTGTAAGGAGAGGCAGCTCTAGTCTTTCCGTAATGAAAGTAAATGCCTCGGATGCATCTTGCTGACGAAGGTTAGCTGCATCCTCCCAACCACATTCGGCAAGTGAATTCTGTATGTGTTTCGTCTTTGGACAAACCATTAAAATTAGCTTTTGTCCCTCGAATGGCGCAGAAAACAGTGGGTCACATACAATGTCTGTCGTTATAAGCTTCCCAGATCGCAACATGTTAACCCAGAGCCTTAAGAGCACTGATAATTTCCCACGAGCTTCATCGTTGAAGCTGTTGTATAATATCCCCTCGAAACAATCCAATCGTGCAAACATAGCAAAGAGCAGCGCGTCCAAATAACATGTCACACCATCCCGGTTCTCTGCGCCAAGGAGCTTCGTGCTTGGAGAATATCCCTTGATTATTCCTTCAATCGAGTCCTCAATAAGCAGGAGGAACTCAAACGCTTTCTCTACATCTCCCTGTGTATGCTGCAATGCATAGGTAAAGTGCTTTTCGTTTAACTCTGTGATGCCAAGGCTCGAAACTCGTCGCTCTAGAGTCTTGATCTGGCTTGTGTAAGTGGACGGAAACACAAGAAGAATAAACGGGTGGATATTGCAGTACACACCTTCTTCTGCAGATCACTAGAGTTGCCATTTGTAGAGTTTGTATCGTCTGAGGTGAAGAAACCTCGAAGTCGAGGATGAGAGGGGATTGACGACTGCAGGAAGGTGGTCAGAATGAACAAAGCATATCTTCCCAATTTCGTGACCACTATACCTCATCCTTGTTGCGTTTTGTATGCTTCCCGTTTCGTTCGCGTCTGGTCAAAAATCGGTGGATTCCGCTCATCTTCAAGGAGTGCTGAGTTCAACGATGAACGAGTGGAGGGGTATGAGACTGCGGAGGCCAGGAATCGACATGGGGAAAGTTATATGTAGTCGATATTGGGCAGGCCACTAAATTCTCGTCAAGTACGGGGCAAAGGGCTCGATCGAAAATGAGTGTATCAGGTGAGGGGCTCTTCTGATAAATTGCGCAGAGAGCTGGGCAAAGAACTTCCGTATGGTAGGCACCAGCTGAGGGAGCCAAGTGACATCACAGGACCAGGGCTGAAGGAGCAGGCAAGTAAGGACAGTAGGTGATGAAACGGAAACAGCACAAGGGTCTATGGGATGACGATGATAGACATAGATCTGATCGATCAGTGCGCAGTGCGTGCCCCACTGGAAACCAAGCTGTGGCAGATTCACTCACTAAATTAATGGTTTGATCGGGATGGCGGGGAGGAATGCCTTTCTCGGCCAGATGCGGAGCTTTTCGCGATACGGGCCGGAGTCTGCCTGAATTTGATGCCATCAATTTTAGGCTCTAAATGTTGTCTCACGTGATACCTCCGAGATCATGCGTCTTGTCCGCGAAACATTTTTTGACCGTCAGGCCTCGACGAACTTCGCAGCAACAACCATTACCCGCGGATTTCAATGGCTGCGAGTGAGCCGTCAAGATACCTGGCAAGGTCATTGCCGCGGGCTATTGTCCCTTCTGCCCGCGCGCAGGGCGTCTGCTGGCGGCGTCATGCCTCTGACCAGGCGTCCCCCAAGTCGTCCTCCGCTCTCAGTGATCTGGAGTCGGACGGTCTTCTGAAAGGCACAGTTGCTCCAGAAGACGTTGCGAAGTCATTCGATCCCGTTGCACGAGCCAGGTCACGAAGGACCCAGCTTCCACGGAGTCGGTAAGTCGCTTCCTGCGCGACTTGCAATTTTCCCCCAGCGCTTTCGAGTTGAAACAACGTCTCATACTCATCATCCACATATAGGTATCAATTCCGATCGCCGAAGTACGATCGCGGTCCATTGCACCCTCACAGACCTCCTCCCCCCTCCGATCCCTCTTCTCGACTCTTCGTGCCGGGCCCCTTCTCTCTCACGAGAGTCGAACAGACCCACGAATCAACCATCGCCTCCGACATCATGACCCTTTGCTATGTTCACAACCCACCAGGATTCAAGCCCCCACCCAAGGCACCTCGTCTTCGTTCATGGGATGACAGCTCACCCTACCACAAGAATCGAACCCTCCGCGGGCCTCGTGGCGGCGATGTACTCCGACTCCTTCGGAAACCAATCACCTTCAACAACGTCCCCAAGCTCGAGCGTATCACAATCCACACTTACGTCAAGGAGGCCGCAAAGGAGCACTCTGGATGGCTTCACGTAGCTGGTATGGCGCTACAAGCGATCTCAAATGTTAAGGTGCAGACATACAAGTCTAGGACCAGTCTTGCCAAGTGGTACATTTCTCCCGGTAGAGATTCCGTGGCCGCTAAGGCGGAACTGCACGGAGAGAACATGGAGCACTTCTTCGGAAAGCTGGTTGACATCCTAATGCCCCGTCTCAAAGACTGGCCCGGTGTGAAGGGCACCAGCGGTGATAGCAGTGGAAACATCACCTTCGGTCTGGAACCGGAGCAGGTCGCTCTATTCCCGGAGATCGAGGTCAACTACGACATGTACGTCTTTTGACTACCTTCTGACCCTCAATACATGCACTTTTTTTTACCTACAGGACCATGGACTAACTCATCAATTCGTGAATAGGTACCCACCCAAGATGATTCCTGGTTGCCACATTACTTTCCACACATCCGCCAATACGGACAAGGATGCTCGCCTGCTCCTCAGTGCCATGGGTGTCCCATTTTACGGAAAGCTAGTCGACTAAATTGGCTCTTATTACTACGCCCTGTCGTACATCTTATTTACCAGCCATTTTTCCCGGTCTCCTTATTTTATAAACGGGCATGTAAACGCATATGGTGTGATAACGCCTTTTGAGGACATGTATATTATTATTTGTTTTAGTACTCCCACTGCACAGGCATTTCTTTCTGTCTCGTATGTACATTCCTAGATCTTGTTGTTTTTGCGTGAACAAACCATCATACACCTAAAATGCAAGCCGAAAATCCGTAAACTCCGTAAATGGGCTGGTGCAGGCCACACTGTAAATAACAAAGGATACTTGAACACCATAAGACAGTTCGTAAAATGTGAACTTAAGTTGCATCATTTTTTTTTAAAGATGAACAAAATCCTGGGATATATGTGGTCCAAATCTAAAAACGCCAGCGTACGCAGAAAACCGACGGCCAAATATTCATTCAAAAAAAAGAACAAGACAGGTATAATCCCCTAATTGTTATGGCTACTCCGATTCTCCAAAACTCAAGTGCTAAGAAAAGACCCTATTCTGTCATCCAAATCATAAAGCTTAGTTTAGTTGCGTAGCAAGGAAAGGAGACTTGAGCAATTCATCTGCGTCAGGTCTCTGCTCGTGATCAAGTTGGAAAGTCATGTCCAAGAAGGCAACGGCATCCTTGCTGGCGCTTTCGGGAGCAGGCGGCCGGGCCTTGTTGCTTCCAATTGCAAAGATGGCTTGCAGCTGGCTGCAATCTGGGAATGGGTGCGATCCGATGAACATCTCAATCACAAGACATCCCAAACTCCAAATGTCAGCCTTCTTTGTATGGGCCGTCTGACGGACAACCTCGGGCGCCATCCAATAAACACTGCCTTGCATCGAGGGTCGATGAATGTGGCCTCCTCCATTACTCGCTCGAGTTCCAAGTACAGTTGACGCTTCGACTCGTTTGGAAATACCAAAATCAGATATTTTGATGCCACCTTTGTTATCAACGAGAACATTGGCACCCTTGATGTCACGGTGGATGATATCCTTGCTATGGAGATAAGACAGGCCCGCAAGGATTTGCCGCACGAAATTCTTTATCAAAGGTTCTTGGAAAGTGTTGTACTGCTTGAGCATTGTGGCGATGGAGCCACCGGGAACATATTCCAAGAAAATATTCAGGTATTGGTCATCGGCAGTAGTCCCCAGGTATTGTACAATGTTTGGGTGATGGAGACCCTGGAGAAGATCAATCTCATGCTTAAGCGCGTCGACCATGTTGTTCTTTCGCTTGTCAAATTCGGTTCCCTTGGTTGCCGACGGGATCTCAACTTGCTTGACAGCCATGAGCTCACCAGTGATTGAGTGGAGTGCAAGAAATACACTTCCAAATGAACCCTCGCCGATCAGTGAACCCTTCATCCAGTTGACGAAATTGTTCCCAGCCAAGAATTCGGTCAGCCCATCGTCTTCTTCTTCTCCATCTTCGGCCATGAGAACACTCAGGCGTTCATTAAATGAGCCTCCATCTGTTGCAGCAACACTTGCATTCTCATCGAGCAGACTGTTGCGTGAAGTACTTGGTTCATCAGAGCCACTGTCAAACGACACGTATGACTTGCGGTTCGGCTCAATGGGTGACTCCTCCTGAAGAGGGTGGAGAGAACTGGAGGCGATAGAGTCTCTATACGAGGTTGAAGGGAGGCCAGATTTTGCTGAAGTAACGGAGAGGGGTCGTGCGGCTCGAGTGGGCGGCGCACCGTTATTAAGCCAAGTATCAGCAATGCTAGGAATAGGCGGTGCATCTCTCAAGCTGGACGCATAACTTGTATTGCTGACGACACTTAGCCGGCTGGCCGCTCTACTCAGGCGTTGCGACCTGCGAACGGACATGCGCATCGTCTTCTCAATATCTTCCCTCTGGTGACCGGGGAAGTAGGATGATATTTCGTGGATAATCATCTCGCTAGGTGGTCGAGCACCAAAGAATGATCGCAGTTTGGAAACTCGCTCATTGACTTGACTCTGTCGTATATCGTGATCACTGGGTGTCGCATTATGGCGAGAGGAGACAGGTGACATGGGCTGTCTAATATTATGCCAAGATTCCCCTGTTAGTTGTTGTATCTTCATTTGGTTTCGCATGTTTGAGCTGCTGAGAGCGTTCATATGCGCAACTTGGCTCTCGTCCAGCGCGAGCTGTGATGCCCGATGAATCTCATCAGCATCTGGTTCTCCAGCATGGATTTTCCGGAGAATAAGGCGACCCCTTTCCGATCTATGGTAATTCTCGCATATTTCCATAAGCTCGTTGTCAGATAGTCTCCGACTGTTTGAAGGGTTTGGCTCTAGGCCGTCAAGCACATAGAAACAGTAGTTGCGGTACTGGTGTTCAGGAAGCTGTAATTTCCTCAGAACACAGAGAATAATCTCGTCAGGCGTTTTGCAATGCTTGATGTCCAAGACTTTCGTTTGACCACCAGTATAAATCACTCTGATCACGGGAGCGTTACTCAGCAACGAGCCCATTGTCATACCATCGAGACTGGGATTCTGTCGATGTGTTCCGTTTCGATCAGACGGGGTTGAGGGATTGCGCCCTGAACCTGAGCCGCTGGAGAAATAGTCTTTTCGCCCAGAATCCATGGGACTGGCCACATAGCGATGCGGTCGTAGGGGAGACCCTGGACGGGAAGAAGTCCTTCCATATTCAGAATCACCGGCCCTAGATGATCGCCGGCCACTCGCGGCTTGCTGACGTGCGTTGAATGAGCGAGCAGCGTCAAAGGCTGTCTGGTTAGCTGCTTCCAAAGCCGCTAGTTGTCTCTGTAGGACGTAAGTAGGAGGAAATAAATAGACACAGGCATTAGCATACCAAGTTCTTTTGTTTTCGGTTTACTACCGACTTGTTCCTGAGCTGTTTTATAGCAACGAAAATGCGGACCCGGTCGCCAATCTTCTTGATGCCCATTTCTTGCAGAATCCTTTGATCGCATTCGATTAAATTGTTGCCATTAAAGTTATTCGCTGAAGACAGTTAGTATTTGCCTATACCACCGACGACTCCGCAAGGGACTGTCATGTACCTTTGAATAACGGTTCATATTGTTGGCAGTTGATGGTATGAAGCCACGCGATGACTTGTTTCTCGTCCCAAGACCTACACGAGTCAACCCTGAACCTTCTTTGTTGTAGGGCCTATGGTATGGGGAGTAACACACCTCACAGCATCAAGCCCGTCATCAACTTCGGAGAACTCTGACTTTGTTGGGCTGGTGTAAAGTGTTGCTGACTGGGGGTCTAAAAATGTGGAGGGTTTCTGTGACGCGGTATGATAAGACGCTACCGGGGTCTGCGACGTTGGCAACCCCATGTTGCCGGTATACGTCTTCGATGCCAGCATTGTGGAGAATAATGATGCTGGCGCGAAGGGTCTTTCCGATCACAGTTTCAGGCGAATGGCTCTCTGCGATAACGTTTCGATTGAACTGGTAAAAAAGAGGGCGTTTCCCAGCAGGTTTCGATGGTCGCTAATGCATGATAAAGAGTACCTGGAGGCGCAGGGACAAGTTGTTAGTCTTGCTGGTCGAACAAAGAGGGAATTTGGATAACGAGAGTAGGCCGGAAACCCCGCGTCTAAACAATCACCCGGCTTGAAGGCAGGAGGATGGCACACCAAATCAGAGTAGTATAAAAGCGAATGTATGTAAAGAGGTCACGGCGACTCCGGAAATTCAACGCAAGCGGCGGTGGTTATTTTCTTTGTCCCGTGGTTGTGAGGTCTGGACTCTGGACTCGGACTAGGCTGACGATCGGCTTGTATTGTTGATCAGAGGCACCCGAGTATCCAGGAGGCTCCAAAAGGAGGGAAACAAGGAGGGACAAGGGGGTCAAGAGAGGGGGATGCCGTGAATGTAAGAAGGCAACCGATCAACAGCTGCAGAATGCCTGGAGAGCGGCGTGGGGGGGAGGATCGGACGGAGGAAGGAGAAGGCAGTCTTATTTCTGGATGTCGGGCAGGCTGTCTGTTGTCCGATCTCCTCCACTCCTGGCGATGTTTCAGCTTCGGGCTAAGGCCGTCACGTGATGGTCTCAATCGGGGTGTTTTCTTTGAGCTCGCTGGCAAAGAATCGCCTGACAGCAGCTGGCATCTGTCAAATGCGGCCCGACCAACACAAGAAGAACTCTCTCGGTGTTTTTATCATCTGATTCCTCACTCAAACACCCGTTGTATCCCGTCCAGATTGAACATCACCGATGGGAGGCGATTTGTCAGGGCGCGCAATCTGAAACAATAACCTGTCGCGGCTGTCAGGCTATGGGCGCCTCACGGCCTCTGTCTATTCTTGGTTCGCCCCTGTCTCGGCGGCTTCATATTTGGAACCATGGAAACGCCTGCGCCGATACATGTTCCCCTTTTCCACCCAGCATGCGAGAGAGTTGTTACGTAGCACAGGCTTCGCCACATTCCGTTCCATCGTCAATTGTTGTATTCGACGCTCTTCAGTATTTGTTGGGGGAAACCAGGCCTTTGGGAGCATATCATGGATGTAATCTAACTTGGAGCAATACGCGGAATCAACACCAAGCCGCCATTCCTTGGAGCGGTTGATGCGCTTGATTTCCTCCTTAATACACATGCCCACTTTCTTACAGGCTCCCAGCTGAGTGCACGACTCAATCCCCAGTGGATATTGCAGGGTGAACCGCGGTCTGTCCGCGGCCTGTGGACGAAGGACTTTATTATTAGAATCCCGCAAGGCCTATCAGGGCCATCACCTCCCTGTCTTGAGAGATACGATCACGATTCTGGAGGCATTGATTGCGACCCAGGTTTATTTAAATTGCCATTGGCCCTTGGGCCAACAATGTTTTGCGTCGGTCCAACAATAATAATAGGAAACTTCTCGGGCTCCGTCCCAATCGTATCAGATCGGGATGGCAGTGCCTTGACTTTTTTGCTTGGACAGCCAGAACCTACCAGTGTTACTGTCGATGATGTGGATATGAATTAACCCAGCTGTTCTAGAAAAGATCTCTCGCGTGTTCCCACTCCACGGGCCACGATCGAAGTCGCGCGCGGGATCTTTTCACCTCAATCTCCAGTTCTCCACTGCCGCAGACTCCATCACGAATGAAGCCCGGCCGAACAGCGAGTCGGTGAAGTTTCTTGGTTTAATTTATCTAGCTTGGGGGCCAGCCAAACACCCCCAGCAGTTCGACAATACTAGTGCAAGTTTCTTAAATAAGTCAATCGCAAAAATTGTCCTGAAGAGGAGAACACTGAACAGCGGAATTGGAGAAGGAAATATGCTTCCATCGGTTCCCCTCTATCCGTACTTTGGCACTCTGGTGAGGAGAACAATTGGGCCCCCATGCGTGCATTCCCTTCGCATACATAATACATATGTCAACTTAGAGTTGCGCACATGGCCTGAGAAGGCAGCATCTCCGCACCGGGTGGAGAGGGCAACAGACGCACCGCACTCCAAATCTCAATATGCTGTATGTCGGTCAACAGCTAGCCAAGAGGAGTGGGTATTCTAGTCATCGGCCCTTCCAGTTGCTTGGAGGGCTTGAAAACAAGCACTCCGTAGTATTCATTGTTTTTGCAGCTGGAGTGAAGGCCTTTCGTCGTCCAATGGAGTGCTTAAGATTGTTCATCGGCAGCTCTGAGGGTAAGCGACTTGGTGCCTCAGGCGCTGCCGTAATCTGTTTCCGGATGTCACGTGGCACCCCCTCACCCCCCACAGTATTTTCCTTCCCCGCGCGCCTGAGTCCATCCGAAAGACATGCTCTACCCCAAGGCTATTCGCCATGGACGATGAGAGATCAGATTCGGGGAAAGTGAAGAAGAAGACAAACACCGCCCATCGGAAATCACTCTCCTGCGAGTACTGTAACAGGTCCTTTGCCCGTCTCGAGCATCTTCAGCGCCACCTCCGCACCCGTTGAGTAACCCTGATTCTGCCCTTCCTGAGGGCATTTGCTTTCGACGGTGCGTCCCAGCTAACTGGCTGTCCCAGATACCAAGGAAAAGCCCTTTTCATGCGATATATGCTCAAAGTCTTTTGCAAGAAGGTAAGTCACCTAGTGCCCTGATCAACGTCTGACACCCACTAATAACGCATCTTTTCCCCTTGAAAAGCGATCTGCTTGTACGACATGAGCGCCTAGTCCATCCAGCCGAGGCCGCAGCCAATCGAGAAAATCGAAACCATACCAATCACGATGTATCTCAAACGCCGTCTTCAATAGTGCCGCCCTCCCACCATGAATCTCGAATGCTAGAGTTAGCCGATGCCATTCCACTTCAGACCCAAGCAGTCCCTCCTCCCCCTCCTCCTCCCGAAGTCCAGGTTCAACCTCCCTCTATCGTTGAAACGACCCATTTCAACCCGTCATGGGGATACGATTTGAATCTTTTGTCCCATGCCGCAAGCCATGTCGCTCTTGAGGGACAACAAGAGAGTCTTGATAGTCTTCGGAAGCCTTCACAGAACATTCCACCGCCGCCGCCGCCGCAACCGCAGCAGCAGCAGCAGCCACTCTCCCATGTTCCGGAAAGAGGGATTACCGACAATTACGGCGTTGAGCCTTCAATCCTAGATCTCACTGATCTTGGCGATCCGGTGCAGGACTTCACAGTCTTCTTAGAAAGTGTCGGGCTCTCTTCAGACTGGGACTCTGGCATTTTCTCAAGTGTAGAAGAACCCCTGCTACCGACCACGCTTCCAATGGAGACAAAACCTACGATCCGTGAAACTTCTAGGCTGGGGCCTGATATAATGAGTGATATGAGATCTACCAACGATGACCCACCGTCGTTCTCTAATTTTGGTTCTCGGCTGCCCTCGCTTCAGCCAGAAGCTCATGAAGTTGACGACCGCTTAGGTTTTAGTGACGAAGGCCCACGACCCGCCTGGGATATATCAAACGCGGATCGTCAGGTGTTTGTCTCTAAACTGGAAGAATTTGCCTATATCCTCCCGAAAGGATTCGTCCCACCATCCAGACATGCTCTATCTCGCTTTTTTGCTGGTTACATCAATGGTCTGAACGAGCATCTCCCTTTTATTCATGTCCCTACACTGTCCATTGCAAAATGCTCGCCAGAGCTTACACTTGCTTTGGCAGCTGCGGGATCTCACTACCGTTTTGAAAATAACAGGGGAATTGATCTCTTCCACGCTGCAAAGGCGATTCTTTTGGAACGCTTACAAAGAAGAGACAGTAAGCAGGTACATTACCCTTCCTGGAATTTCTTCTCCCCTGCGTCAAACTTCCATAATTCCCGTGGGTCGTCTGCCACATCCAACAGTCCATACCAAACGCACCAACACCAGTCTTATGTTCTATACCCAATTGACCCATCAGGCTACCCCCCTGAGGATTCGTATGCCCACATGGAGGTCATTAAGACCTTCCTGCTGCTCACGGTATTCGCTTCCTGGGAGCGTCATCCTGAGCTCTTACGGGAGATTCTGTCCCTTCAAAGCACGTTAGCGAGGCTCGTCCGAGAACATGGTCTCACCGAATCAACCATCGGGGTGGACCCAAACAATTGGGAAGAATGGGTCCGTCGAGAATGCAATAGGCGAACGAAACTTATCGTTTACTGCTTCTTTAACCTCCATTCTATTATGTACAACATCCCTCCCTTGATATTGAATGCAGAGCTCAAGTTGAACATGCCCTGCTCGCCCGAACTCTGGAAAGCGAACAACGCCGCACAGTGGCGTCGCCTCCTTCGCACCCGACATGGATCGGAGGTCGCTTTCCAAGATGCTTTCACAAGGTTGTTCTACAAGGCGAACATCACGAGCACTGCACCCATTTCTCCTCTCGGCAATTATATCTTGATACATGCCCTTATCCAACAGATATTCTTCGCCCGTCAACTTTGTCTTTCTGCTCCAAACCTTCCTGGGACAAGCCTAAGGCCAGACGACTTGAACGTCCTAGACAGTTCTTTAGCATCTTGGAAAGCTCTGTGGAAACGCACCCCTGAGTCAAGCATCGACCCGCAAAATCCAGCTGGACCCATTGCTTTTACGTCCACCGCACTATTAGGGCTTGCATACATTAGGTTACATGTTGACCTTGGGCCGTGTCGCCGCCTCGTAACTCAGGATCCGGTTCAGATTGCCAGGGCACTCAATGAATCGCCGCCAATTGCACGAAGCCCTCGTCTCATCATGGCGCTTTTGCACTCTGCGCACGCACTCTCCATCCCGGTACGCCTGGGTATAGACTTTGTGGCAAGAACTCATTCATTCTTCTGGAGCATTCAGCATTCTCTTTGCAGTTTGGAATGTGCTTTCCTCTTAAGTCGATGGCTGCTTTCCATACCAGCAACGCAGGCCGAACAAAGACTCTCTGAACATGAGAGAAAACTGCTTTTGTGGATCAAAAGTATGATGGACGAGACTGATATGGCTGTTGATCCAGGCGGGGCACCTGATGTTGATTTCATCGCGAATCCTTATAAGGCCAGGCAACTTAGTGTTGCTATCGTCCGCGTATGGGCAAGGACCTTCAAGGGAAACACAAGCTGGGCAATCGTTGACTTAGTCGGGCTAAGTTTGGATGCATACGCCGATCTCCTGGAATCTCAGATCTAGTGGCTACGCCATAGATTTTCAGGTTGCCTTGTGAAATTCGCATATATCAAAAAGGGTAGATGTATGCTTCCCATTAGAAGAGTACGCTCTGCCATAGGGTCTAATGGGCAGCCATTATGCTGTTCAATCAAAAAGTTCGCCATATTCGGCGTCTTGATAAATGATGCTGGATTATACCCTCGTCTTTGCGCTAATTTATTTTTTCGTCTGTATATAGGTATTCCTCATCCCAAGTACTGATATTGACTCATGTCTCTTTTACCTTTTTTTTTTTGCGCGGCGCGGGTCGGATTATGAGTTTATTTTATCTTGTTGCGGGATGAATTTCTTCCCTTTCCCACTTCTACCTATTTCATGGTTCAAGATTGGATGAGGAATGACTTTTCTTGTATCTCTTTATTACTCTTTATTATGAGTCTCAAATGAATATCTGCGTGGGTTTTCCGTCACATTCAAAACTGACTGCTCGTAGTACTCTGCCTCAGCGACCTCTCTTCACCTGTTAATCCCAATCCCACCTCGTACTCTCCTTGTTCACAATGTCCTCTACATTGACTAGAGCAACTGAATCTCTCTTAGGTAGCTCCCTCACCTTTAGCAACGGTGCCATCCTCGAAGGTGAGATGGACTACAACTCCTTCATACCCGGCACAGAACATCATGGCTGGCAACGCTCTAGTCCACCCAGCAGTGGGTCGAGACTGCTTCCTTTAAGCCTGAGCACTTGACTGGTTGCCATCTAGAAGAACACAGCCCCATCATAATCTGTCCGTATCCCCAGCGCCAGCGGGCACTTGGCAAATAAGGACTTCGAATCGCTCTTTTTTCTTGTTCGGAAACTCCTCAATCATGACTTCCAGGTGCTGTATCTGCTTGTCGAAGCGCGCCGCGCGGTTGATTCCTTCGTGCGGTTTGCCGCGACTGCGCATTCGTAACGCTGGCCGGAACGAACCGCAGCGCGGACATGGATTTCTCGAGTTCCATTATCTCCGTCTCGTCCGACCTGGATTCGAGTACAGAAGAAACCGGATTTGAATTGGGAGCAGGGCCTGCGTGTGAGATGGATGTCTGCCGGTGCCGTAACCGGCCTTCTTTTGGCGATGTTGGTGTACTAGATAAGCGCCGGCGATGGTTCTGCATTGACCGGAGCATTGATGTTTGCTTGTCTATGCCGTCGTTGACGATGTAGAAGTTATATGTCTGTGACACTGTTAGCTATTTTTGCATTCCTGGAGGGTTGGAAACTTCAATAGGGAGGTAAGTAGGTACCCTGGGAAACATATGTTTGTCAATAAGATGCATTCGGCGTTTTTGGGGGGTAGAACATTTTCGCTCGCAGTTTTCGACGAAGCATCCGTACTTCGTTTGTTGTTAGTAAAACGTCTGAGAAGGGGGGCCTTGGGATAAATACAGTTTTGTCCCCCCGGGCTCTCCTTGCAGCGATCAGGGAATCATGATTCTCCTCAATATGTAAATTCAAAAAGAGATCCGTGGGGAAGTTCCTCCCGCACTCGGTGCATCTGTTGACGTGGGCTTGATGATAGTGCACCTCGTAATCTTCGTATGAGGGGAAAGACAGAGTTTCTCTGTGAGGCGGGAGAGAGCAACGCATGGCTTCTTCAGCAGGGGAGTCGGAAGGGGTATTTGAGAGATGTATTTTGGATGAAGCTGGCGTGGATGATATATAGTCTGGAGAGGAGGATCTTGACCGACATTCTGATGGCGGATCGATAGACGTAGATCTGGACCGTTTGGCCATTTCTAAGGGGGTTGCGGGGAAATAATGCTGGCGGGGTATATTTTATCGAAAGCAATAGCAGCTTCTTGTCATGCAATTGTTCAATCCACAGGGCCTCGGGCTTCTTGTAAGAGGATAGGTAAAGAATTGAATCCGATGAGACAAACTCGGCTTAGCCAAGAGTTTCAATTCTAGAAAGAACAATCTCTCTTCCAATACAAGCCCAACAACCGCATACGACAAGCCAACTACGTTGTATGCCAAATTCGACGAATATTATAAACTCGAGGTCTACTATCCAGTATATGTATTTGTGACGCTCTGTGCTTACTGTTTGAAATAAATATTTATATCATGCAGTTGGGTCTCTATATATATAGATGGCATCCCTTTTGCATTCTCTCCGCAGCGACAATCCCCGACAACGATATGTTGGATAATATCTCTCGAATCTCAAGTCTTAACAGCACTATTCACCATTATCTTTAGTTCACCGAAATGAAAGCAGATGTGAAGAGAGTGAGTACCGATGGAGCACACCAGCCACAGCTGGCCACCCAATCAGCGCTTGAGGAGCCACCAGAGTCACTGGACTGCATCCACCGCGAATCTCCGGAATTAAGGTACTGCGATTTTCTGTCAACTGTCAACGAGCGGCGGCCTCATTCTCCGCGTCTCGCTCGCCGTCCTCTCGCACCAGGGCTCATCATCCCATTCCTCCCACGGCAGCGCGTCATCGGCGCCTATTCCGGAAAGCCCGTCTCCTCTCGTCTCTTTGCCGCCTTTCGATATACCACTGATGGATCGTTCATTGATCCTGTCGCCCGCAGACTCCCACGCCGCTATCTGACGGGCGAAGTGAACCGTGGAGTTATACAGGCGAACCGGTCTTCTGCTCATTGAGCATGGCGCTCACTTTTCAAGATGCGTGGCAGTTAGTAGTACCTTTGCTTTTCTTCTTGCGAGTTTGACGAGTGAAACAAACCATCAAACACATATGATACTAAAATTGGACTACCCTAGATCTGCGCTCACCGTTGAGAGAGACCTGCTAAAGAACCTCGCTGAGAAGGATCCAACATTTGCCGAAATATCTCACAACATATCGGAGTTAGTTCTCTATTCATGTGTTTTATTGTTAGTTGCGCGCAACTAGTCTGACCCCTCCGCTTCTTGTCGCAGACTCCGAAACGCTTCTCAAAACGCTATATTCCAAGACTTCGAGACCGCCCGCACCGTTGACGTTGAAGGTCGCCTATGGGAGGCGCATTTAAAGATCAATACTCGGTTCCGGAAGCTGCTCTCCCGCGTGAGTTACTCAATTTCTCTTTTGTTTCACTAGCCATTGTCTAATCGGGCATACAAAACCTAGTTTCGCGAAGACAATGGCAAGAAGAAAAAGCCAGTAGAGAGGCGGAAACTGGAAAAGCACTTTCTAGAATTCGTTAAATCAAGCCAGCGATTCTATCGCGGCTACATTCAACAACTAGCGTCGCACTACGATGGCATTCCAGAACTGGAGAAGGTTGCACGGAAGTTCAGTTTTGAACGTGAGCGTCATCTCCCATTGTAACTTCTTGATCTAGTAACTCAACATATTGTAGCTCTGTCGGCGGCGCCTCCCGTCCAACCTGTCGAGCGTCTACGAAAATTCATCCTTCAATCGTGCCACGCGACACTTATACGCCTAGGCGACCTTTCCCGTTATCGCGAAACTGAATTGGCCACCAAGGAGCGCAATTGGGGCCCAGCAATCGGTTACTATGATCTAGCCACTACAATATACCCAGCGTCCGGTGCGTCCCATAATCAGCTGGCTGTCATTGCTCTTGCCGATGCCAATCATCTGAGAGCTACTTACCATCTGTACCGGGCTCTCTCCGCCCAGGAGCCACATCCCACTGCAAAAGGGAACCTTGAAATTGAGTTTAGAAAGGTCATGAGTTTATGGGCCAAAAGGGAGTTGATTCGACCAGAGGACGCTGGTATTCCAGGCAGAGCCTTGGCCCCGTGGTTTGTCTATCTCCACGCCCAGTGTTACAGAGGCGTGGACTTCGCCGAGCACGAGGAACTTGAAAGCGAAGTTCTTAACCAGCTTGCAGTCGATCTGAAGGAGCGCTCCTTGGAGGGTACTCTACAGAAGTTCTGTCTTATTAATATTGCAGCAGAAGACTTCTCTCGGGTTCGGTCGGAAGGTAAGTCTCTTAATACACTCTTAAGTCCAAGTGAACGGTAATTGATGTTATCAGCAGAAGAATCGGTGTCAAACGCGCGTCTATTTTTTCAACGCATTAACGTCAAGACATACTTCACCCTCCTACAGATTCTCCTAGCCGAAATCGAGAGGTTCGCTGTTGAAGACCCAAACAGCATTAATAAAGACGCCAAAGTTGGGGCCGACAAGGTGACTGTTGTTGCCCGTCGAATCTTACCAGCCCTTCGCAACTATAGCTCTTGGCTCTTGACTGTCAGTGCGTACTTGGTTGCATATAAGGAGAAAGATACACCTCTGGCTGTCCAACTTACGGAATTCTGGAAAATCTACGCCAACACGCTCACGTTACTCGCGTCCACTTTTGACGTCGTTCACCTGCCAGAGGTAGAATATCTTCTCGAAGAAGATGAGGAAACTTTATGTTTCATACCCCTCAGTAAAGGTGCCACGTCCCGTAGGTATTTGGATGCGAATGGTCGACCAAAGCCATCAATAAACGACCCAGGCGTCGAAAGACATCATCCTAACATTGAAATGCTCTATCGTATCCGCGAATTTGTGATTGATGGTTTAGACCTGGTTGTGGGTAATGTACGTTGAAGCTAACCCTTGTGCTCTTGATGTCTGCTAACCTGTCCAGAAAATCCCCATTGCTCTTGTTGATGATGAGGACAAGAAGACGTTTATTTACAAGGAGGACGGTCTTCCATCCCAATTTTTTGCCAGTCCCTCCGGTCATCATCACTCGCTCTCTGCAGCAAGCATCGAGAGAGAGGACATTCAACGGGTCAGGCACGAGTCGAATTATCCCCCAGATGCCAGAAGTACATTTGGAGATTCTCAATCAGCGTCCGTCTCCATGTCGACTAACATGAATGGTATCGTTGAAGGTGTTGAACGACTGGTCGAATCTGACACTTATGAAAACGCGCCAGCTATCCCTAACCATTTGGCGCACCCTATGGACTCGAACCCTGCCATGGCTCAGTTCTATGACCCGACTGCAAACCTGGATTTCAGAGATAGCCTTCGTACTCCTATCGCTCCACCAGGTCTCGGACTTCCCGTGGATAATTATTCCAGCGGATTGGGCACAATGTCGTCCTCCCAGTCATATACGCCGCGGCCAGCCATCCCTGGACTCCCTAACATCTGGAATACTGCTTTCTCACCCGAAATTCGCGACGCATCCCCACGGACTCCCCCAGGACTTGGTCCACTCCAAGGATCAATGCTTTCCAGGCACACTAACAGCTCGGGTCTTCAGTATACGCAGCAAGATGCTATAAAAAATGACATGGCATTCCGCCAGAGCCTGCTTGCGCAAAACCAGTTGGAAAACAACTCACTTAACGGGAGCGGTCCTATGTCTCAGATGCTTGCCCCGCCGCAAGCATATCATCAACGTCACTCTAGCTCTCCATGGGATGGAGACGGCGTAGCCGCCGGCGGACCATTTTCGCAACAGGCATACCATCCGTCTGTCTTTGGATTCCCCAGCCAACCAATGTCAAGCGGCCAAGCCAATGCCTCGTGGGCCAATAACGCCTTTATCGAAAGTTCGCACCCATCTGGAGCGGGGTTATCAAGCCCGGGATTCGGTGATACTCGCAAGTCCTCAGCCCAGTTTGGCGTCATTGGTCAAGGCCAATCCCCTCGTCTCGGACATGGTGGCTGAATTTCTAGCATGGAAAAAAAGTTCTTCAAACTCCCACTCTTCGCTGAGGGCGTATGCACGGATTTGGGAAACTGCGATCATGCTACCCAAAGGCGATATTGACGTTGCAGAAATTACGCGAGGAAAGAACATAGCTGTTAGTGAGGCTTTGCGGTCCACATAAGTAGCCCCCTTGCAAGACAGGGGAAGAAACACGCGTGGTCCATGATTTTCTTATTCGCCTACACTATCAAGCATCTATGCGTGTGTTTCTGTCTGGCCCCTGTCACTGCCGACCTGTACTATCGCAACGCAGCCTCGCCATAAAATCTCTGTCTTGGAGCAGTTCTCCACCGGCTAGGCTGACCTCTTTCTTTCTGCACATCAGGATTGGTTTCTAGTGTTCGGTAAAGATGAGCGAAGGATTTTCTCGTTCTGGTTCTTCAATGCTTTTTGCGTCTCCCGAAATTGAAGTTTGACATTAAATAGATGGATCAGATCTATTCAGGTAGGGACTGGGTTCCTAGGGCATTGAGCACTTGAGTAATTTATCTCATTGTCTCTTCCCTTTGGGCTAAGATCTAGTGACCCAATTTTTGAATTGCCTGCATTTAGAATTTCAGCAGGCACGAATAATCAGACCATCTGAAGTTTCCGATTGAATTTCCAGTAATTATGTATTTTTTAAGTAGAACACGGAGTATGCATCGTAACCAACGTGGTACATATTGTTGAAGATAAATCTCTGGTAAAAAAAAAGAAATACAATGAAGTTAAGTTCATCATTAAATCGTTGTTGAGAACGCCTTCTCTGCAACTCCTGTCTATCGCGTTTTCATCATGATATGTAATGCAAAAGAGCGCGATTCGCACTTGACCGGTGAAGTAAGTGGAATAGACAGCGCCAAGTCTAAGACGTTAAGTCAAGGACAATGTGGGTATAGAAGGTTGAATCCTAGATAATAAGAAATGAAACGGGATTTTATGGCTTTAGGGCGAGGGAGTTATGTGTGGCATGAGAGAACTGTTTAGGAACGTTCGGGAGTGTAGGTTTGCTTGGGGAAAGGGAAGCTATATCATGATCAGCACAAGTGTCCGTTACGGTTGGAGTTTGTACGAGAAGGATTGGAATGGGGATGAAGCTTACGAAGGTCCCAACTCTTGAATGCTCAGCTTCGCGAGCCACTGGCCGAGGTCAATGCTCTCTGAAAGAGACTTGCCTTGGACGACTCCAGCGGCGAAACCACCGGCGAATGCATCACTGGAGTGCAATTATTAGCGCATAGTTTCATATGACTCAATAACGTGGTTACTTACCCAGCACCGTTGGTGTCGTTGATGGCATCCTTGGCGATCTCGTGGACGGGGAATTCCTTGACTTCGACGGCACCGCTGGAAGAGCCAGTGGCAGTGACAGTGGGCAGAGTGCCTTGGGTCACAACAGCAACCCTCGGGCGATTAGTGTTCTTCTTGGGAAGTTGGGCCAGCTTCTTAGCAATCTCAACGATGTCGGTGGTGCCCCATTGGTGGCTCTCAGCATAAGCAAGGGCCTCGGTCTCGTTGCAGAAGGTGTAGTCGGTGTAAGGGAGGACGCTGTCGAGCTGGTCCTTGAAGAACTGAGGAATGAAAGGCGCGGAGAGAGAAAGCATGAAAGTCTACTCAGTCAAAATAGGATTAGTGAGGCTCTATAAAAGAGAACCCAATTGGTCCGTACCTTGTTCTTCGCAGCGGCCTCCTCACCCAGAGCCTGGATGGCGGGAACAGAGACCGTCAGGTGGTAACCACCAACGTAGTAGAACTGGGCCTTCTCAACGAGAGACCAGATGTGAGGCTGCTTGAGATGCTCAATTTTGTACTCGTTAGCGGCAGCAAGATGAGTGCACATGCTGCGGTTGTGGCCGGTGATGATGACACCGCACTTGCCAGTGGGCTGGACATCGTCGACACGGTATTCCGTGTGGACACCAGCCTTCTTGCAGGCCTCGGTGAGGATATCAGCATACTTGTCGCGGCCGACGCAGCCGATGTAAAGGGTCGAGTTTTCAGGAAGAATGTACTATGAGTATATAATCCATCAGCCACTCGTTTCGCAAGTTGTACAAAGGTAGGAATGGGTACCTGAGCGCCACGAGCAGTGTTCTGAGCGGCACCACCGGCAATCAACTTGGCATCATTCTTGAGCAGCTCCTCATAGAGACCCATGTGCTTATCCTCGGCGAGGATAGCATCGTTGTCCTTAAGTCCGTACTTCTCTAGAAGAGCAGCATCACTGTCGGAGATTGTTAATTAATCCCTTATTTATTTACAAAGTAGCACCATTGGACTTACCCGACAGCTTGGATATCTATAATAAAGCACGAGAAAGCATCAGTAAATCGCCCCAGCTAACTTGGACTTGAAAATAACTTGTCCATGCAAAAGATGAATCCACGCACCCAAGAGGGGGTTCTCTAAGCAGAGAAGAGGGTAGCCTTGAGCAGCAGCCATGGTGATTCAATGCCTGTACGAAAGTTTGGAACAAACGGAGATTATAGTGTAGAGTTGGTATGAGGACAGAGGAGAAAGCCGAGGGAGGAGAGTGAGGAGTAAAGAGAAGGTGGGGAGAAGGTCAACCTTGGAGGATAAGATTGAGAATTGACCGATGGAGGGGCAGCAGATTGATGCCTTTGTGCCTGAAATTCAAGGCTGTAGTGCTTCTCCCCGAGAACGTGCTCTGATTGGCCGCAAGAGCACCGTCATCTCCTGGAGTCCGGAGTTATCATGGAACGTTAAGGTTGACCTCCAAAACAACAGCACTGGACCTTATTCATCCCGACCAACACGAAACTTCCATATTACTACCTATCTACGTGCTCAATATGACGGACCCCGCCATTCAGGCTGCAGAAACCATCCAAACGGCGTCCATCAATCTGTCGCCCTCTGCCAGCCGTGACATCAACCCTCCAACCTCATTATCGGAAAAGAAGCCCCCTGTCGAGCTTACGTCCTCTGATGCTGACAGCATCCCTTCGGATCTCATTGACCGTCCTCCGGCTTTTCGGACCCCCGCGCGGCGACACACTTTACCGCCCCTACCTGACCTACGATTCGAGCAAAGCTACCTCGCCAGTTTGAGAGGCGCGGACACTTGGGGGCGAGTGGCATGGATTACCATCAGAGACCAGGTACGTGCGTTCCCAATGGCCCACCGTGTGTTCATTGTCTAGTTGTTTCGATGAGGAGATAAGCTTATAAAACGATATGTCTAACTCCGCTCTAATTGTCTAGGTCCTTTTACCGCTAGTTCAAGGTACACTCTGGACTCTTGCGCTCTCGGGATGGCGTTTTTGGAACCGCACTGCATCTCTTAGCGGTCAAACGCTAGGGAGCAGGGTTAGGAGATGGTGGTATGAAGTCAATAACTGGAAACTTCCCCCTATGGTGCCGAGGAACTCCAAGGCGGCCGCCGCACAGGTAGAAGACGTATGTGGACTACATCTATTTCATTTTGGAATCCATCGACTCTATTCAATACCATGAGCTGACATTTACGGAGTTTCTACAGTTCTACACTGCACAATTCTCCAATGCAGGTGCCGACTGAGCATTCGAGTGGGGGAATTGAGTAATGGTTTAGGCGATATCTGTGTTTGCATGCATGGCGTTAAGGATATAAATGGTTGTTCAATTTCGTTCATATGTCCGAGATTCCTTATATATCCCGATGTATAGGAGGTGATCGGAATGACATACTGTACACAAGGGTCAAGAGCATTACTTCCCTTCAGCCTGGCGCTGAATTCGACCATTCAAGATACACATAATAAAAACGATACTGTCTATTGAACATGGAAACCTCAATTAGGTACCTAATAACATTTTGAATGTTCATCGCCACTTGAGTATCAAGATCAGCGGATTTCCATAATAATCCGCAAGCTTTTCTGAATACTAGACCATTCTAATCCGGTACAACCCATATTGCGCCTTCGGTAAAACAGTACCAGAACACCACTATCCACTGTAAATAGGTTCTAAAGATTATAAAGCCCTTCGGGTTATGCGCGCCTTGACTCTAAAATGACAGACCCATTAAATCGCCCCCTCCTGTTGTTGACCCGGAGTAGGTCCAATAGTATCAGCGGAGCCTCCCCCGTCTTGTACTGTCCCTTCGCTCGGGGCCGAAGCAATTGTGTTGCTAGGCTCTTCAGCAGGCGCAGCGTTTGTGCTGGGGCCAGCCGGGGCTTCTGGAACCGATACTGGAGGCCCATTGCCCACTGGTAATTTTTGTGATGGTTCAGCCGCGGGCTCCTGTTCAGGGGCATCGATTGGCCGTTCCGCAACGGCCACCTTCTGAGTTTCAGAAATAACGTCTGCTGGTTGCTCTTCGGGCCCTTTTGAATCGCCCTGCTTATTGTATTTGAGCTGGACAACAAGGCTCGCTGGCTCCCCATTGACCACCGACTCATCTCCACTCACTTCCTCTTCGTCGTCACCTTCAAACTCATTTTCGTCTTCCTCCTCGCCACCTTGCCATTCATTCCCACTAGACTGCCCAACGTTCGAATCTGCATCCTCATCGTCTATGCCGTAGTCAGGATACCCGTTCATTCGGGTATTCCGAGTCCGCTGCTGTCTCTCAGTGCCATCTTCGTCAGCAGTAGCAGTGTCTTCACGCTGTCCAGCGAGCAGAGCCTCGCCGTAGAGGCCACCTGCGCGCGAACGGATTTGCCTTCCGCTGGCACTAAATCTGGGCCCTGTCGGCTCTGCCGGGGTTGAAAGTCCAGAGTTATTACGCCCCGATCGTCGAGGCGGTGGAAGGCCATCGGAAAAGATATCTTCATCATCTGAGTACGTATACTTCAGCTTTTTCCCACGAGTACGGCCTTCATAGAGTGAGAATCCGGGTTCAGGTCGGGAAAATGCGGCTTTACGAGCAATACGATAATCGCGGCGTTTGCGTTTCTAGAGTCGTGTTAGTCGATAGATCTCATTCGATGGCTCATATAACAACATACCTCCTCTGAGCCCTCGAACCGGGGAATAGAATTCCTTATCCTCTCACTCAGTTTCTTGGAGTGTATTCCCTTGTCTTCCTCCAATTTGTCTGCAACACCCTGCAATTCTGGAATCGTCCCTGCCACGCTCCACCAGGTTACGTTCTTCAAAGCTGGGTTGCCTTCCCGGTAAAGCCGAAAATGCGTATCATCGTGGCCTTCAATGAGCCAATACCGACGTTTCAAGTTATCACGTCCCCAGGGCTGTACAGACAAAGGCTGGTTCAAGTCATCTTCATGGCGCGCTTGCTTGTAGGATTCCTTAATCTTCGCTTGGACGGCTTCGGAGGAGGAGAGTGACCAGAGAATCAACGACTTAAGTAATTGTAGCTATTATGAATCAGCAAAACGCTCGTCACCGACCAAAATTACAATACGGGAACATACGCGCTCTTCCGGGGACATCGAGGCAAAATTGCGACCCCCATGTAGAGGGTTCTTGCCTTGCCATGTCTTTGGCCACTGGGATGAATGTGTTTGGATCGCCTCTTCCAATGGGCGCGTGTAGTGGTTTCGTCTGCGCATTGCGAAATAGAAAGTCAGTGACCTGTGCTGCAATGTATCGGCATGTAATTCAACGAGGTTCTTCAAAGTCTCGAGCGAACGACACGGTATGGAGAGGGTGGCTTACTCCACGTCCTTCTTTCTGTTCAATACCAGCCCAAGAAATGCACATAGTAGCCTTTCAATGTGGTCCCCCGGAGGAGATTCTACCACGCCTCGCTCGATATCCTGCGGCCCAAGGTGTGGTGTTGATCGCGGGAATACTTCGTGGAAACGCGCGCGGAACATTACAATGAACTAAGAGTTGCGACAATCAGCAAACACATCCACCAAGAACGCGCACAACGCGTTATGCAGGCAATTTTAAGCCCATATAGTATAGTAGGAGAGAGATAACTCACGGCGATATCTGGATTGTCGGCCAACACATATTCATGGGGTGGTGAAGGAGCTCGCTTCGGTGGCGGAGTTTCGGACTGCTTCTTCTGAAAGTACTTGGTTATACCCACAGGCTCATCGAGAGCCATGGGATTAGGCTCCTCATCTGAAGGAGGCGCGGACGATAACGAAGAGAGATCCGAGTCGGAAAGTGACATTTTGGATATGTTTGTGCTGAGGCGAGGAGGTGGTGTCGGATGGAAAAGTGGGTGAGCCTGGTCCGCGTCGCAAGGAAGTTGGTTCTGCTGCGCTTGACCACCCCAGCTTCAAACGCGGCTTCTACGCGGTTGGCTCCAATGAGCTCACAGCCCATATCGAGCCAAGATCAGCGCACAATCAATTCTACACATTCTTGAGGACTACTTGTAGGCATGGTATCGAGATAGAATTTCATGTGTTGTTTTCAATGAGAAAATAAGGGAATGGCATGGTTTACAAGGCGAAAAGGCGCTCCTGGCGTGGAAAACACCGGAGCATAGCGAGTAGCTAGCTATATCTGGTTGAATCAAGAAGCTGAGAGGGCCATGCTTGAAATAAGCTTGAGTCGGCAGACGATTGCCCGCTAAGTACTGCCAGAAATGAGTGAGGGCGGACTTGTGTTATTTGACTGGTCGAGACGACCTCAAAGCGACATCTGGTCACTCTAGGAGTTGATGACATTTGTGTTCAAGAACCTCAGGGAAATAATTTGACACATGGCCAGCGTAAGGTACTCCTCACACTTACTTTGCAACGGCGGCGAGCGCATGCACCACTGGGGCCAAACATTTAATGCATGAAAGTACGCCTCGGGTTATTGGGAGGCCGCTGAATGCCAGTGTATTCGTCAAACTCTCCATAGACAAGAGTAGACGACTCTAAAAGGGATTTGATGTACTGTTGAATGATGTCAGCTTGGTGTATCCCACTGATAACAGAGCGGTCAAAAGCAGAGGCGAAAAGCCAGCCAATGTTGCAAAAGCAAGACCTTGATAGGAGACTTGATGCTGTTGTTCAAGGCTCATGGAACCATCACGTTCTGCCTTTGTAATAGATCATTCAGATGTGGAGCGCTAATATGTGCAAGGTTGGCGGCGAGGCACAAACGGGGGAATGCAACTGCTACTCGCAAAACTGAAAAATGCCCAGGTCCTCTCGATGAATCTCCGTGGATTCCATAACTCTTCATGATGAGCAACATAAACACGAAAAAGCTCCAAGTCAAGACTCAAGTGTGCTTCCACTGCTTGTGGAGCTATGGACTGTTTAGCGTGACGGAACGAAAGGGAGAGGCAGGTTGGGCTGTGCCAAGCCGCTAGCACCAGCTCGGCTAGTGTATTCTGTAGCGACCTTTGGCCCTAACCCACAAAGCCCTTCGATCTTGAATTCTCAAGTTACAACCCGTCAAGCCAATCTTCCTGAGGTACGACGACTTCCCACCACCATCGCTGGCGATCTTTCTTTCAAATACTAACCTCAAGGTTCGCAATAGAAAGTCGCCATGGGTCGTGTGATCCGCAACCAGAGGAAGGGCCGTGGCTCCATTTTCAGTGAGTGCGACCGCGTTATCGCAGAACGACTGTGCGATGATATTGCTTGGGGATCAAAATGCTGATAAAATCTCTCTTTCAGCGGCTCACACCCGTCTCAACAAGGCTCCTGCCCAGTTCCGTGTCCTCGACTACGCTGAACGCCATGGATACACCCGCGGTGTTGTGAAGGAGATCATCCACGATGCTGGTCGTGGTGCTCCTCTCGCTAAGGTCCAGTTCCGCCACCCCTACAAGTTCAAGCAGATCACCGAGACCTTCATCGCCAACGAGGGCATGTACACCGGCCAGTTCATCTACGCCGGAAAGAACGCTGCTCTGACCATCGGCAACATCCTTCCTCTCGCCTCCGTCCCCGAAGGTACCGTCATCACCAACGTTGAGGAGAAGTCCGGTGACCGTGGTGCCCTTGGTCGTACCTCCGGAAACTACGTTACCGTTATCGGCCACAACCCCGATGATGGCAAGACCCGTGTCAAGCTCCCCTCCGGTGCCAAGAAGGTCATCAAGAACACTGCCCGTGGTATGATTGGTATCGTCGCTGGTGGTGGTCGTACCGACAAGCCTCTCCTGAGTATGTTATCCGAATCACAAACCCATTCGACCGAATCAGGTTGGAGGAAATTGGAGGAAAACGGCCGCTAATATATCTTGTACAGAGGCTTCTCGTGCCAAGCACAAGTTCGCTGTCAAGCGCAACAGCTGGCCCAAGACCCGTGGTGTTGCCATGAACCCCGTCGATCACGTAAGGCTTTCTCTCCCCTTTCTTATCACCTCGAATATGATAAGCAGTTCTGACGAAAATTTTCTCTATAGCCTCACGGTGGTGGTAACCACCAGCACATTGGTAAGGCCTCGACCATCTCCCGCTACGCCGCCCACGGTCAAAAAGCCGGTCTTATTGCCGCCCGGCGGACTGGTCTGCTCCGTGGTACCCAGAAGACCAAGGATTAAACGTGATATCATATGGAGTTTTTTTCTTTGTGACGGGTTGAAAAGGCTTTTTGCTATGAGACATATGTACTTAGGCGACTGCGGACGCGCCCTTAGCCAATTCAAGGTTGTGGCCCAGAAACAATTTCATTGACTATTAAAAAGCAAATGGGTTGAGCAAATGGGATTATAAAATCTCACGCTTTTGGGTTCATTCCAGGTATATCATATCTCAGCATCTGGGGAGCACGTGGGTAATAAAATAAAATCACGAAATCTCTTATTTACTGCCGTACTCCATCTACTTCGTACAATTTGAAAGTCTAGTGGTGCTATGTACTTACAAGACTGTCTAAGCGTGCTCGATATTGTGGGCTTGCAAAGCTTTGTTGTGCGTCAATAGGCACAATGATGGGTGGTCCTTTTGAATTTTGGCAGCGAAATTCAGAATGCATTGGCCTCAATGCAAGACCGCACTAAGGGACAACTTGACTGTGTACATAGATATTTCAGTCCCTCGACAACCGTATGGGCTATTATCTGTGGCTTTTGTATGGAGTATTTGCTATAGTCCGTCACCCACAAGAACCACCTAATTGAGTCACCCCAAGCGACTCCCAAATTTTTATACAACTCATATACAATTTCTAACGCCACAGTCTAGCCTACCGTAGTATTCAATCACAATCGTTCTGATAAGTGTCGTTTTGTAAATTTTCACTCCCTTGCCCGTCGGGTCACGTTCTGCTCGTGATGAGGATTTTGGGAATTGATCTCAATGTGGCCAATCAGCGCCACGATCCCCAACCAGCAATGACGACGGCACTGCCAGACACTCGCCTTATAATTACGAGAGCAACCCCTCGAAGCGCCATGATATCGATAACGAACTACGTACCTGATTGATAACCCTTCAGCAAGATGACCCAAAGAACATCCCCGCAGAAAATCCCCCGCCTCTCCAAGACCGCCCCTCCTACAACCTCCCCGGCCAACCGCTGGCAAGCAGTAGTCAACCGCGACCCAACGGCTACATCTTTCGTCTACGGCGTCCTCACGACCAAGATCTATTGTCGACCCTCTTGTCCTGCGCGTTTGGCTCGCCGAGCAAACGTCGAGTTCTATGATACACCCACACAAGCGGAACGAGCAGGGTTCAGAGCCTGTAAGCGCTGCAAACCGGAGACGCTCAAACCGGCCGTCAATCCACAAGTCTTGTTGGTGCAGAAGGCATGCCAGACTATCAAATCGGATATTATATCTGGCAAGAAACCGACGTTGGTCAGGCTAGCTGGGGAGGCAGGGTTGACGCCTAGTCATTTCCATCGGGTGTTCAAGAAGGTTACGGGTGTTACACCGGGGAAGTATACGGCTGAGGCTGTGAGCATGGGGGCATGTGAGGATTTCAAGGGCCAGCCGTTGGATGGTGATCCGTTACAGGATGAGAAGGGGGATATGTTCATGTTTCAACCCTGGGATGGGGAGCTATTCGCTGGTTTAGATCCTTGGTTGGCGGGCTTGGATGCTGCTGGCGCCGATAGCGATACCACTTCGATGTGGAATGATTTTGATGTTTTGATAGCCGCGGAGGCTGACTATTCTTCCTGTCAGGAGGTTTGTCCGCTGATAGGGGCTGTTCAGCTTGGGTTGTCTGATCCTAGTTCACCTAATTCTGGTGCCTGAAGTGGTGAACAGTGAACAGGATTTCATTTGTTGGTATTTAAGCGCGAGGTTCACCCATGAAGTTATTGTTAGTGCTTGGCCTGGGACGGGGATCCTTCCATAGGGTGTTTAATATAAGAAAATGCACCAATAGGTTTTTGGGTATATTATTCGCTGCATAAGCCTTGTATATATGTTATATGCAGGCACTGGGTGACCCATCGCAGGAGGCAGAGGAGCTAAAAATATATTTCCCAACTGCGGAACAAAACACGCGACCAAGAACCTGCGATATACGGTGTATTGTTAGACAGTGAAACCTTGACTATCAATACTCTGTAGGATACCTTCAACCCATTTACTAGTGCTGCTTAACCCCAGGAGATTGAACACCTCGTCCCTTTTGCTCGGACCGTTCCACATAATTGAGTGTGCATCAGAAGCCTCCAAGCCTCCCGAGGTGCTGAGACATGTTCCAGATTGAACAATAAATGACGGTATTACACTAGAAACACTGCTAACCTGGCAAATGACAATTGCCAATTCTAATTGATTCTGATCAACTGCGGTAATACGAAACAAAATTGGCCTTTTGACGAACGCAGCGCAGTGAGTTCATGTTGACGCCAGGATCTTCGAATATTGCTGGCGTGGCGCTTTGGGACGCATCAGCAAGAAGATCCGTGCAACAATCCCATCCACCGCGGCAGTTGATCATCGGCGACGTCTCCCATGATGTGACCATCGCATTTGTGGGTTGTGCTGTAAATAGATCGTGGCAAAGGATCTCAAGTTCGAAACATCGGCCTGGACTGAATGCAGGCCCACCCGCCCGGCCCACCGCCCTGGAAACGCGTGTCGCTTTCAACGTCTGGGCGAGCCAGAAAATGTCCAGAGGGTGACACAGTGAGGGGATATCAGGGTGATCGATTTGTCCAGTCGTCGCATGTCTCAACCCGCTAGGTTTCAGGCACACGCCATCGTCTGTCAATCGGTGGCTGTGAGCCCCGCAGCCAAATGATTGCCAGAGCCAATTTGCGTCGCTCCCAACGTCCGGCATAGGATGGTCCAGCCTCCGCACCACCAAGTCTTGCCTACGCCCTGAACAACTCCGGTTTTGATCATGGTTGCCAGAATACCACCTTCTTTGGCGCCGTGGACCAGAAATTGAGACGCTGTGGCGTTTTCGGTGATGTCTTTGCACGACTGCAATTGGCATAATGATGATGTTCCTCTCTGTCATTCCTCAACGGTTGCCCAAGCGCTTTAGGCATTTCTGGTCGCAATAACAATACTAAGGCATCCCAATTGAATTAGTCTTTAATCGACGTATTACTGTGCGCCGTAAGCTAAATCTGCGAGCGAAACAAAAATAAGAAATAATAAGAAAAGGAGATAGGGTACAATTTAGCTGCGGTGGAACTGCCCATTAATTATTCGGCCCTCCCCTCCCCTCAGTCGCAAAGTCGCCTCTCTCTCCTCTCTCTTTCTTTCCTTCCCTCTTTATCAACTCCCTCTTGTGTCCTCCCTCTGACACTAGATCTCCCGCCTGTCTTTGACCTGAAACAACATCGGTCCTTGTCAATCCATCTTGCCTGGACTTGATACCACGCTCGTTTACTACCGCATCCGGCTTATTTATATGAGTATCTTGGGCCCGTTCACCACCGGGCTCATTTATTATTGCCTTTAGCTGCAAATTGGACAGTTCACACATACACGCCAGTACAAAACATCCAAGATGAATGTCAACAAGAGATTCGACCGCTTCAAGCAATGGGCTGGGGAGAGAATGGGTGGTGAAGTCAAGACCAACGTCTCTGATGACTTCAAAGCCCTGGAAACGGAAATGGGCGTCCGTCATGAAGGTAGGCATGCCAAGCATTCGAAAGCTTGTCTGGCATAAACTAATGTTCGTCTGAAGGCATCGACCGTATCCACAAGTCTATGACTGCCTATGTCAAGTCCGTCTCGAAGCGCAGCGAAGGAGATGACAAGGAAAAGACCCTGCCTATTGGCCACCTGGGTGGTACAATGATTGTTCACGGAGAAGATTATGATGCTAATTCTGATTACGGACGTTGTCTTACCAGTAAGTTATCACGGCCGTGGGGATGAAAGTCGAAGCGGAGTGCTGACTTTATTCTAGCGTTCGGAAGAGCAGAGGAGCGTCTTGCTCGCATTCAAGAGACATATATTGCTCAGGCGACATCGAGCTGGCTTGAGTCACTGGAGCGATCCATGACCCAGTTAAAAGAGTACCAGGTAGGCACTTCTCTCTGCCTGGACCTGACCTTTTTCGTTTCTAACTAATTCCCTCTAGACATCTCGCAAGAAACTGGACAACCGACGCCTGGCGTACGATGCATCCCTCTCAAAGATGCAGAAAGCGAAAAAGGAAGACTTCCGTGTGGAGGAGGAGTTACGGACACAAAAGGTTAAATATGAGGAGGCCACCGATGAGGTTCACCGCAGGATGATCGACATTAAAAATACCGAGCCTGAGAATGTTATGGATTTGGAGGCTTTTCTGGATGCGCAGTTGAACTACCATGACCAGTGTAGGGAGGTGCTTCTTCGGTTGAAGAACGAGTGGCCCAATGAGTGAGACCCCTTCTTCAAATAATATTGCGCTTAGGGTGACCGCTCGGCTAACATGGAATAGGCAATCTTTCAGCCAACCCTCGAACGGCCACCGTGGGACGCGCTCTCGTTCAATTACCCCCCAGTCACATCATGACCGTTTCGGACCGTTGCATGAGGAACATACGAATGGTGCCGAGGCACGACCTGTGACTCGATCCAACACACACAGCTTCGTCGAGACGCCAGTCAGAAAAGCCTACGCACAAGATACCTCACCTCATCGGCCGGTCTTGAACCGCACCCCTACGTTTGAAGGCCCGACGCAGTTGCGGCAGGTTCACGAGCACCCCGTTGCTACTCAATGGGCAACTCGGGCAAACAGTGAGAATTTCGTTTCAAGGAGGGACAGCATGCAGAGCCGTCCATTTAGTAGAGTGGTCCCAGAAACCACGGAGGATGCCGGCTATCACAGTGGAAGTGTATCTGATCGCTCCGACACCAGCTGGATAGAATCTCGCCAATCGCCGTTTGGCAACTCGGTGTCAAGACGAACCAGTTCGGGCACCTTGAGCAGTGCCACGCACAAGAAAGCTCCTCCACCTCCACCACCGTCTCGCGCAAAGAAACCCGCGCCTCCACCACCAATGAAACGCCCCATACTTAGCGCAGCTCAAGTATGAGGATTTGAGTCTTATTAGTGAATTAGTTTGGGAGACTTGGCGAAGCTTGGAAATATGAAGGGTACGGATGGGGGATTGTAGACTATTGTTTTCTCCGCATCCCACCTCGCGGGCGAGTTTTGGAGGGCGGATCACTTTGTTTCGTTACGGGAGTATACGGTTCTCGAATTCAATATTATGTATCATTGTTAATGCTGCGTGAAATGACAACTGCCATTCTTCAGCTATGAACTGTGAAGTAGAGCGCGATGCGGCTAAAGCCGGCTAATCCCAAAGCGGCCAAACCCAGCTGAGTCAGCGCCACGCCTCCACGTGACGGTCTGGGACGGCAAACTTCTTCCAACTCCTCTCCCTCGCAACAGGCCTGGGTGAGCACCGCCGACCAGCACGGAAAGTCGCGAAAGCCCCGTCCCTCCATCGCCATTTCATCAAGACAGGCTTTCCACGCGCTTTCTTCAACAATCACCCTCCTTTTGGGGTCTTTATCCCCACCCCATCATCGCGTCACCCTTCCCTTTTCGCCCTTTTCGCTGATTCTCCTCTTCATTGCCTACCGCCCTGGACCCCCCGACCAGTCTAAACATCACGAAACCTGTCGCCAAGGACCTGATACAGGTCGCTACTTGTCGCATCCATCGACAAAAAAGTCTCACGGGTCTTTATCCTCCGTGAATTCGCGCGTCTTATCGCCTTTCCCTCGCGATTCTCAATTACTCTCACGAATTTCTTTTCCTACGTGTTCCTCTCGCTTCCTGACTTGGACGCTGTCGCATAAAAATCGCACTGCCGACGTGTCTCCCCCCCGAAATACGTATGAATAGACAATAAACGCGCTCAATCATGACGTCTCTTCAGATACCACCCAATGTAGCGGCTGCGAATATGAGCCTGCCCGCGAACTTAACGCCACAGCACATACAAGAGGTCCTTCAGGTATGGTGTCCTTGCCCCTTCTTTATGTGCTCATACCTCATCTCATATCCCCTCCCAACATAATTGCTCAATTGAATTGCTCTCACTTTGCTCCAAATAAAAACAAAGCAAAAAGGAAAACCATTTCATATTGCATTATCGCCCGTATCTAACTGTACTATAGAAATTCAAGCAGATGCAAGAACAAGGCGTCCGTCACGATGACCCAGAATACCTCAAGGCCCACAATCTTCTCGCTGCCGTTCAGCGACAACAAGCCTTTCAAAAGCAACGACAGTTGGCCCAGCAGCAGCAGCTTCAGGCGCAACGCCAGCAACAACAAAATGGCTCTTCAACGCAGGAGTCGGCTCAAACGAACGGAGTTAATAGTAAGCATATCAACTTGACGCATTGTTTTCTCTTTGACTCTCACTTACCATAATTTTCTAGGCCGGTCCAACTCGAACGCTACCCCCAACAGTACTATCCAAGACGCGACCGCCACACTAGGACAGAAGGGCGCTCCAGCTGCTAGTGGCAGTTTTTCTGCAGATCAACTGCAGACACTTAGAAATCAAATAATGGCTTTTAAGATGCTGTCGAAAAACCTTCAGATACCTCCGCGCGTTCAGCAACAGCTTTTCTTGTCCAAGAAAATTTCTACCCCTGCGCCCTCAGATAGCGTAGCTACGGCTGAGAATGCTTTGGACAACGCCGCGCAACCGAAGCCAGAACAAACTGCGCCCACCCCTGATTTGCTCAACGCGAAGGAGTTCTACGAGGATTTCCTGTCGCCATACGATTTGATCCCCAAGACAGTCAGCTTCACAGACCATGCTTCTCGCGCTCATCGTATGCGCATACCAGCCCTGATGCCACCGGGTGTCGACCTGGAGCAGGTTCGCGAGGAACGAGAGATTGCACTTTACAACCGGATCAATGCACGGAAAGCAGAACTCGCCGAGCTCCCTGCCAACATTGGCGCGTGGAATTCAAGCCAAAGCGATACCGCGACTCCCGACGATGCTCTAAAGCTGAAGGCTCTGATCGAATATAAAATGCTCAACCTTCTACCAAAACAGAGGCTCTTTCGGAAGCAAATTCAGAATGAGATGTTCCATTTCGATAACCTCGGCATGACAGCGAATCGTGCTAGCCACCGACGTATGAAGAAGCAGTCTCTGCGGGAAGCTCGGATTACGGAGAAGCTTGAGAAGCAGCAGCGCGACGCCCGTGAGACGAGGGAGAAGAGGAAGCAATATGATCAGCTTCAAGCGATCCTCAATCACGGAGTGGAACTTCAGAATGCTGCCAACCAGCAAAGACAGCGCATGCAGAAGCTCGGCCGTATGGCGCTTCAGCACCACCAGCACATGGAACGTGAGGAGCAGAGGCGCGTTGAACGGACTGCTAAGCAACGTCTCCAAGCCCTTAAGGCCAACGATGAAGAAACTTACTTGAAACTCTTGGGACAAGCCAAGGATTCGCGTATCTCTCATCTCCTCAACCAGACTGACGGTTTCCTCAAGCAGCTTGCCGCGTCCGTCAGAGAACAACAGCGCAACCTGGCTGAACGTTACGGCGAAGACCACGAGATTGAGGACGATGAAGATGAGGATATCGCGTCGGGTAGCGATGATGAAGACGAAGGCCGCCGAAAGATTGACTACTATGCCGTCGCTCATCGCATCAGAGAAGAAATCACTGAACAGCCCAGCATTCTTGTTGGTGGTACCCTGAAGGAATACCAGATGAGAGGTTTGCAATGGATGATTTCTCTCTACAACAACAACCTCAACGGAATTTTGGCCGACGAAATGGGTCTCGGTAAAACGATTCAGACCATCAGTTTGATCACACATATTATCGAGAAGAAGAGGAATAATGGACCCTTCCTTGTCATCGTTCCCCTTAGTACTTTGACGAACTGGAATCTCGAGTTTGAGAAATGGGCACCGTCAGTCTCGAGGATTGTTTATAAGGGACCACCGAACGCTCGTAAGCAACAGCAACAAAACATCCGGTGGGGAAACTTCCAGGTTCTATTGACCACCTATGAATATATCATCAAGGATCGACCTATTCTGAGCAAGATCAAGTGGACGCATATGATTGTTGATGAGGGTCACCGCATGAAAAATTCCCAGTCCAAGTTGAGCAGCACCCTCTCGCAGTACTATACCAGCCGCTACCGATTAATCTTGACGGGTACCCCATTGCAAAATAACCTCCCTGAACTGTGGGCTTTGTTGAACTTTGTTTTGCCAAATATCTTCAAATCAGTGAAATCTTTCGACGAATGGTTCAACACACCGTTTGCTAATACCGGTGGTCAAGATCGCATGGACTTGAGTGAAGAAGAACAACTGCTCGTTATTCGTCGCCTGCATAAGGTTCTCCGGCCATTCTTGCTCCGGCGTCTGAAGAAGGACGTCGAGAAGGACTTGCCGGACAAGCAAGAAAGGGTTATCAAATGTCGCTTCTCTGCTTTGCAAGCAAAGTTAAACAAGCAGTTGGCTACACACAACAAAATGGTTGTCAGCGATGGAAAGGGTGGCAAAGTTGGCATGCGTGGTCTTAGTAACATGCTGATGCAGCTGAGGAAGCTCTGCAATCACCCTTTTGTGTTCGAGCAAGTGGAAGATCAATTGAACCCTGGACGAGGCACAAATGATTTGATCTGGCGTACCGCTGGAAAGTTTGAGCTGTTGGACCGGATTCTTCCAAAATTCAAGGCGACTGGACATCGTGTTTTGATGTTCTTCCAAATGACTCAGATCATGAACATTATGGAGGATTTCCTTCGTCTCCGTTCGATGAAGTACCTGCGTCTTGATGGTTCAACAAAATCTGATGATCGCTCAGACCTATTGAAGCTTTTCAATGCTCCAGGCTCGGAATATTTCTGTTTCTTGCTATCGACGCGAGCTGGTGGTCTTGGTCTGAACTTGCAGACAGCCGACACTGTTATCATCTTCGATTCAGACTGGAATCCTCACCAGGATCTTCAGGCTCAAGATCGTGCCCACCGTATTGGCCAGAAGAATGAGGTCCGAATCCTGAGACTCATCACCTCCAACTCAGTTGAAGAAAAGATTCTTGAGCGCGCCCAGTTCAAGCTTGACATGGATGGAAAGGTCATCCAGGCAGGAAAGTTCGATAACAAGTCTACCAATGAGGAAAGAGATGCACTCTTACGTACTTTGCTTGAAACCGCCGAGGGAACAGAGCAAGTCGGAGACCAAGATGAGATGGACGATGATGACTTGAACGACATAATGGCTCGATCGGAAGACGAACTGGCGGTCTTCCAACGTATGGACAAGGAAAGACAGAAGACCAGTCAGTACGGTCCTGGTCACAAGCTGCCGCGTCTACTGAGTGAGGGTGAACTTCCTGATATTTACATGACTGAGGAGAACCCGGTAGCGGAAGAAGCCGTTGAAATTGAGATGTCTGGTCGCGGTGCCCGTGAGCGCAAGATTACCCGCTACGACGACGGCCTTACGGAAGAGCAGTGGCTCATGGCGGTTGATGCCGATGACGATACTATTGAAGAGGCTATTGCCCGGAAAGAAGCAAGGGTCGAGAGACGTCGTACCAACAAGGACAAACGTGGCCGTAAGTCGGCAGGCGCCGAGTCATCCCCCGAGCCATCTCGCGAGAGCTCTGAAACACCGCAACCCAAGAAGCGCGGCCGCAGAGGCCCTGCTCCAAAGCGTAAAGCGGAGGAGCTAGTGGAGGAGACTCCTCAGCCTAAGCGTAAGAGGGGCAGGCAAGCTAAGCCCGTTGAGACACTGAGTTCCGACGATCGATCTGCTGTCCAGCAGATCCTGAACAATGTCTACCAGGCCTTGATGGACATGGAGCAAGAGCTTCCCGCCGATTCCTCTGATAGCGAGGATGGCCCTGTTACACGTGCCATTATCGAGCCATTTATGAAGCCGCCACCCAAGTCGCAATACCCTGATTATTATATGATCATTCAAACCCCCATTGCTATGGATATGATCAAGAAGAAGATCAACCGTGAAGAGTATCAGAACCTGAGAGATTTCCGGAGTGATATACATCTCCTCTGCCAGAACGCTCGTACATATAATGAAGATGGCAGTATCCTATTCCAAGATGCGAATGACATTGAAGTAAGCCAACCACCCCCCCCCCGAATATAATATCCATTATCTAACGCTGACTTACTTTATTTAGACACGATGCTTGGCCGAACTGACCAAAGAAACTGAAAATTATCCACAGTTCGCCAATTTTGACGACTCTTCGGCATCTGCCAATGACTACTCAGTGTCTGCCATTGCTGGGCCTGAAACACCCAGCGCCTCCACACCAGGACAACCAAAGTTGAAACTGACGTTCAATGCTGGAGGCGCCGTGCCCGGCATGAACGATGAGCATTGATTCACTAACAGGACTCTTGTTGATACATATACTCTTGTTCTAAAGATATTTTGCCGGGGCTTGCACATTTTATGTTTCTTATACTGTTTTTACTTATCTGATTAAGCATGTATTCCACTGGATCCGTGGCGGCGGCGTTTTGTGACTGGGCGGCAGGCGAGCAATAATGCAGGCTGACGGCGCAGTCATGTTCTGTTCTCTTCTAAGGACGAAACGGGAAGTTTCACCCATATGTTTATTTAGTAGTGGTTGTTTTTCTGGCCCTTGCCTGTTTACTTCTTGCGCGGTGAGCTTTTGCTTGCACTGGCGATATTAGATCCACAGTTCTTGATCCAACACTGTTGTGCTTGCCGCTTATGAGTTGGGTCTGCAGCACTCGCACATTTGATAATAAAATGATGGAATTGGTTTTCAAAATTAATATTTTTTTGGGTTCAAGATAAGGACATAGGAGGCACGAGTAAAGATCATCCTATCGCTGGAGATCATTTGTCAGAATCATCTGCATCTGTGATCTGGAAGAATCTGGACGCCCACCGAGCACACACCACTTGCAGGCCTCGGCGAAGAAAGACGTCATGGGATCACGTGCCATAGGCACACCGTCATTCGTTAGTCCCGCTCGTCATCTCTCACCTCACACTTCTGGCCTGCAAGATAACAACCTCCACCTTTCCTGCTCCCTCGCTATCTCCATCACTTTCGTGAATCGTCGAATATACCCTATTCCAAAATCCCATCAAATATATAACATAACCAGAAAAAATGGCCAGTTTCCAGGACCGTGCTCAGCACACCATCGCTCAGCTTGACAAGGAGGTAAGTTGTTTGTGCGTTTCTAGCACTGGCTCGGAGTGTGCGGTACCTTTACGACCCCTCGAAATAGCCTCCATATTTAGTGCTATCCCATCGCTATCCAATCCTATTTTGTCGCTCTGAACAAGAGATTTTTATACCGCACTTTTCGATCGCCAGCCAGCTTATTATCGCTCTCGTGCTTTGTTTTCGCACTAAAAACATAACTAACGAGGTCCCTATACAGCTCTCCAAGTACCCTGTCCTCAACAACCTCGAGCGCCAGACTTCCGTCCCCAAGGTGTACGTCATCCTTGGTCTGGCTGGAATCTACACCTTCCTGGTCTTCTTCAACATCGCCGGCCAATTGCTTGTCAACTTGGCTGGCTTCATCCTCCCCACCTACTACTCCCTCAACGCCCTTTTCACAGCTGGAAAGTCGGATGACACTCAGGTGAGTACATTACCAGCTTAACACCAATAAATGAATTATACACATTTACTAACATGTCTCGTGATCCAGTGGTTGACTGTATGTTCTCGTGATTCCTCTATCCCTGCAACCGCCAGGGCTCTTCACCTAGGCATGAGCCTAGCACGTGATCCCGTATCGCAAAGAACCGGAAGCTAACATGTGAATCTATAGTACTGGGTTGTTTACGCTTTCTTCACCGTCATTGAGAGCGCCGTCAGTGCTCCTTACTGGTTCCGTAAGTGATTTTTTTTTCTTTTCTTTGGGAAGCGAGTTGGCATTTAGAACGTATGCTAACATTTAATCCCAACAGCGTTTTACTACATCTTCAAGTTCGTCCTTGTCCTCTGGCTGGCTCTTCCCCAGACCAAGTAAGCTATCCATTCTTGATGTATTCAAATGCAACGACGGCTAATCCAATTTTTAGCGGTGCTCAAGTCGTCTTCAACTCTCTCCTCCAGCCCCTTGTTGGCCGCTACTTCAACAGTGGCTCTACCTCGGCCAACCTCCGGGCCCAGGCTGATGCCGCCACCAAGGACCAGTAAATAGACCGACCGTAAATAAGAGGTTTGCGGCTTTTGCTCCCACAGCCGCAAATAAGGTCTATTCCCTGCTCATCTGGTGAACATAAAAAAAATTAACGACGAAGACGATAATGAGACTTCGCTGTTTTGACACAGTTGGCGGAAGTGGTGATTGGTGAGAAGCCATGCGGGGCTGCATGGTAATAACGTTGGAACATGGACTCGTCCTTGAACCTCTTATTTTTTTTATTTTATATGATTTTGCTGTTGTAGAAACGTTTGCGATCGCTGGTGGATTAGGGGCGGGATCTGTCTCGTTCACCAGAGATGGATAGGTATATCTGATGCATTTGTCCTCTTGGATAAATTCGAGTACCGTTTCCCTTGACTGTCATTCTTATTGATATATCTCTCGTGTGACGCATGAATGACATGAAAATATTTCCTTCGAAGCTTATAACCCAAGTAGAAAAACTAACTGATACGGGTAAACGCTATTCGAAACTTTGGGAGTGATGTATGATATTTCTGATTAAGACTGGGTACCGTAGCCCAGAAGTAGCTATCCCCTAGCGAGTAGATATACGCGGGGGGACTGGTGATATTAGTATAAGCCGAAACGATTCTGCCAGCCATCCGTACGCGGATTTAATATAATACGATATGGGAAAGGGTTCGCATCCGTGGTCGTAATTGGGGGAAGATGATCTTTGTCGCGGTTCACGACGGCCAAGATCTTGAGCGCAGCCTTCTGCAGCATGTTCTCCATTGCTTTGCGGACCTTTGCACGCTCTAATTCGTCTGTGTTAGCTGAGTGTCGGGCCGTAAGGAATTGCGTGGTGAATGAGCATTAGTCCAACATACCAGATTCTGTCCTGGGGGTGGCGATTGTTACGTCCAAGTTCCACACCTCCCAACATACTTCTTCTTCTCCTTTTCCCGCTAGCCCAGAGAACCAAATACCAGAGCGCCTGCGCTTCTTCTCGTAGAATTCGACGGCGATCCGCCCGCGTACGCCGCCGCCTCCTCCGCTACCACCCCCAAAACCACCGCCAGAGTCGTGAGCACCCGAAGCTGAGTGTTGGCGGACTAATGAGCTGATGCGTGAGTCTATTAGAGTTTCGAGGTCTACGTCGTTTATAGCGGGGAGGGTGAAATCGAGGACATCAAACGTGGTCGGACGGATAGATGGGAAGTATCGGTGGAAGAATATTAGGTTGAGCACACCTAGACACCGAGAATGTTAGCTTGGTATAATATACACCAATCTTGGACACAAAGCGACTACCACAAACCTTTTAATACGTCTCTGACGCTGGTCGTGTCTGCGAAGATCTCCAGGAAGTACTCTGGAGGGGTTTTGCGGGGCTCCATTGCGAAGCGGCGGGACGGGAGAGGGTGGAGAGCGAGAATGGGGTGAGTATGAGTATGGCGTGAATGCGATCGACTATATCACACAGCTGGCTGTTTGAGTTCTCTGAGAATAAATAGAAGATGTGGGGGGACTCCGGTGACGACTAGCTATGACGAGCTGGGTCGAAGAGCTGTTCTGGCTACGTGGGGGCCAAGATAAGCCGGTTTGGTGTTGGAGACAGCAGAAACGCAGTGATCGCGGGCTGTGGAAATGGCAGGGTGAAGTCGCCTAGTCCGCTAGGAGAAAAGATCATATAGGAAAGTCCACATAGGTAGAAAACATGGTGCCCTCAGCGAGGATATATCCCTTTGTCTCGTTGAGCGAAGTTGCAGGTGAAAGGGACAAGAGTCCTCATCCGGGGAGGACGACTCATGATAAAATTACGGAGACGTACGGCTGTGACGCGACTTCCCCGCCACAAGCCGGTATTTTATTGAAATTATGACAGCAAGGGCTCCCGTGACCTCAGCATACCTCCAGTTGGGCACAGCAGACAAGGAGAGGGCTGCACTATACAACTGGAGGTGCATTTAACTACCGAAGGAATGCCGCAATAGACTAAGCTCCAAGAAGGCTAGTATATCGTGATAGAACAAGCCTTGTTATCATTACTATAGCCCCCGAGCACTTGCTTGGTTGTTCGCGTATCCTTATCATAAGGCAATCGGTTTAGCCGAGGCCGCGTCCATTCTCCGACCGTCATTCTCGGTTGCTGTGATCGCCATCAATGACCTGTCTTCCTCTCTTCTGCTCCATCTTCCCTATCTATCTAATTATTGCTTCTGCTCCATTCTAGTATCTATTCAGATTTATATTGTATATGATGAACTGCATTGGTTCGGTATTCGCGTGAAGTTGACCTCCAATCCCCCTTCGCTCCACCATGATCAGTGCTACGAGGCGCTGGTTTCGGCGCAATCGCAAAACCCTCGCAATCGGCACAGGCGTCATCGGAGTAGGATATCTTGCAGGACAATATGTACTGTCCAAGATTTCGGAAGCACGAGAACGCATGAGCAGTGACCGTATTTCCAGAGAGAAGTGAGTGATTTGCCTCCTGTTATCTATCCCCACCTGACTCGCGTGCTCGGCGACGGAGGCTGACTGCCTTGTTTCACTCCGCAGTTTACGACGACGATTTGAGCAAAACCAGACTGATTGTACATATACCGTGCTGGCTTTGCTGCCGACTGCGGCAGAGGACATCTTAGAGGCGCTCCCGGTGGAGGAGTTGACGAAGGAGCTACAGAAGAAACGCGCGGAGCGGCTGGCCCGTCTTAATGCCGGGGAAGGGACAACAACCGGGTCGGACATGAGCTCTGTAACCCCCAGTCTGCCCGACGACGATAGAAAAAGCCTGTCAAGTGATTCTTTCCTGCGTACCAGCCAACTCGGCGATTCGACTGTTGAAGGAGATCCATCCTCCCAGCCGAAGCGGAACAAGACCCAGCTTTGGAACGAGGTCAAGATTACCTGTGTGTCTATCCGCTGTGTATAATATTTCCCTCTGAGACTGACACTGTTTAGCGACTACTCGAGCATTCACCCTCATATATACCCTATCGTTGTTGACTATCTTCACACGCGTCCAACTCAACCTACTTGGCCGCCGGAACTACCTTTCGAGTGTGATTTCTCTAGCCACACCCCCCGCCGACTCTTCGACGATTAGGCTAGAGGACCACGATGATGATCTTACGCAGACCTTGGGAAATGATTTCGAGACTAACCGACGGTATCTCGCCTTTAGCTGGTGGCTGCTCCACCGTGGCTGGAAGCTATTGATGGAGGAGGTTCAGACGGCAGTGGAGGAGGTGTTTGGTTCACTTAACCCACGGGATGATATTTCGTTTGAGAAACTATCGGAATTGACTCTCCAAGTTCGAAAGAAGGTTGAAGGCAACACTGAGGAAGATAGGAAGTACGTTTACCCTATAGGCTCGGTATCCGAGTTGGAAATTCCGTTTACTAACTGAGCGGGAAGGCACCGAAAGTGGCTCTCCTATTTACTTCCTCCACGAGAAGAAGAAGATAACCTGCTTGAGGAATCTGGCGTCCTCGGGGTTACAGAAGCTGCCACCCCCCAAACCGCGGCGACGCTACGACACCTCCTCGATGAGACGGCCGACCTAATCGACTCCCCAACATTTACTCGTGTTCAGATGCTTCTGAACAATGAATGTTTCGAGACATTGATACAGCAGTGCAAGGCGGATGCATTCAAATCCGCGGGGCCCGTGACTGCACCACAATCCTTTACATCTGTTGGTACAATTATTCCACCCTGGCAGGATTCCGAACTCAAGACGAAGCTGGCGAATGTCCTGGCAGTGCTTGCTCGACAAGCACATGTTATTGGCAACGGGGCCTCTCCTCCAAATCTATACGTGTCCGCAATGGACCAAGGCGTTCGGGAGCTGGAAGCATTCGCGGCAGTGGTGTACAGCTCAAACTTCGACTCAGAGCTTCTCGGTGCTGGATCCGGATCCGGATCCTCCGGCGGGGCAGGCACAGTGCCAGACTCCGTTTCTTCTTCCCCTATAATTGTTGCCCAGGACGACGGCGAGCTCGATCATGACCGGGTTGCTCGAGGGGTATCAACCGTACCGGGATTTGATAATAATGATTTGGAGAAGGCATGGGGAAGGGCTGTTGAAGAACAACCAGGCAGTGGACCTGCAGCATAGGCTCGACGAGCCTGGTGACAGATAAACTCTGAAGGCATACGGCCGTGATACCATCCACTCTCATCTATGAAGGCTAACTGGGTGGTGATTGTAATATTATATCCAAGCTGAATAGCACGAATTCTTGACGCGTGAATTAGGACGTCAGATATTAGGTAGCGAATAATACATTGGAGGATATACCTACCTAACGTGTATGGTGTACTCCGAGTCTCCATCATCACTCCGTAAGGTGTAGCTAGTTAGTTAAGGCTTGACAGGCTTACATAATAACCGTGATCTGTGGGGGAGCCGAATAGCCGAACGGATGTTCATCGGATCAAGGGACTCGGTGGATTTGGTGGGTTAATATATTGTGGCGCGGTGGGTTGAGGGGAAGCTTGGAGTGACACCAATTTTTGCGCCTCGGATTGGCTAAGGGGGGATCCGAATGTGCACTGTTTGAGTTGCATCGACGGCGCTATGAAATGCTTGGGAAAAGCCAGAATTGCAAGCATACTGTTCAGCCTGCCAGGCGAAGATGAATTAGCTATACTAATGCAAGTTATGAATGCTTCTCTGCTGCCAAGTGGATTCGCTGTGCATGGCGGATTCTGATTTTGAGCTCTTTGTTTCCTTCGGGGTAGATCATGTCTTCTTGTGGACGCTGCACCTTTGTGATCTTCCACGATCCCCAACTTGTCATGCTTCCAGGGCCTCCTGGTGGCCGGATTTCGTGAGAACCCCCCCGCTGCTAGTTTGTCCATGAGAAAGAAAAATGCTTCCCTTCCTGTCCTTTCCCTCTCGTGCCAATTTCTTTCCTCTCCCATCGCTGTCCGCTAATCCGTCGCGTGCCCTTCGTTTGGCCCCCCTCCTGAGGTTACATCTCCGAGCTCGGACAAAAGCCGACACCGGCTGAGGAATCCAGCTCGCTCCCGCGCCGTTCTGTTGCGCTGGCCAATTTCCCTCCGCTTACCAGTTTCTTTTCCCCTGACTCACTGGGCTTGCTGAACCCCATTCACACTCTTCCGGCGACAAGACACTGCGACTGCGGCAGATCGTATATAATGGGAGTCCTGGGTGCGTGCTCTACTGACTCAGATTGTGGATGTTGCGGTGCTGATGTATAGATCGCGAAACAGAAGAGAGCCACGACCCCAGCCATGCGCCTGAAAAGGGCGGCGAGGCGCAGGAGCAAACGCAGACGTCGTCGATGGGGTCCAACGACCTCCCCTTGCTCACCAAGACTACGGAGCGCAAGCTCATGGCCAAGGTCGATTTCCACGTCGTTCCCTGCTTGTGCATCATGTACCTGCTTGCCTTCCTTGACCGGTACGAGAACCCACTCCCCACTGCAGCGAATGCGCCTACGACTAGAGTTGATTTTTCTTCTTTTTTAGGGTTAATATCAGTAATGCGGCAGTCCTAGGCATGACCACGGATCTGGGTATCGCAGAAGGAACAAAATACAACACAGCCTTGACTATTTTCTTCGTTCCCTACGTTCTCTTCGAAATCCCTTCCAACATCCTTCTCAAGAAATTGCGGCCCCATGTTTGGTGTATGTGCCGGATCTTTCTTTCCCCCTTAGTCTGCGTCGCTGACTGCTGCAGTGTCACTCTGCATGTTCTTATTCGGCATTGTCACCATCTGCCAGGGCTTAGTCACGAACTGGGGTGGTTTAATGACTACCCGTTGGTTTTTGGGTAGGTGCATTGCACTGTATTCAAAAAAGATCCGTGGCTAAAAGGTTAATGTAGGAATGTTTGAGACCGGCATGTTTCCTGGATGTGAGTGTATTTCCCCGTTGCTAAATTTGTTTTGTGTATTAACCGCTCCCAGGCTTCTATTTGCTGGGAATGTGGTACAAGCGCAGCGAGGCCCAAAAACGATTCAGTTTCTTCTTTAGCTCTACCACGCTAGCTGGTGCTTTTGGCGGTGTGCTTGCTGCTGGTCTTGGAAAGATGCACGGCGTCCGTGACCTTGCGGGGTGGCGATGGGTGTTCATTGTCGAAGGATTGCTCACAGCTGTGGTCGCCATAATCTTGTTCTTCTTCCTCCCTGACTTCCCCGAGGATGTGAAATGGCTCTCGGAGGAAGAGCGGGATTTTCTCCGGGCGAAGTTGGCCAAGGATTCTGGGAAGGCTGGAAATGATGCTGATATGGGCTGGCGCGAAGTTCTGGCCGTTTTCAAAGATCGTGAGTAGCGTCCGTCCCTCGGGGATCGCCGTTCCTCCATTCTGACTTCATCTCTAGCAAAAATCTTTCTTGGTGGTCTCATGTACTTCGGGCAGATTGTCACGGCCTATGGTTAGTCGTTGCTCCTTGCCTAAAACTTAATTCACGAGCAGAAGAGCTAGAAAGCTGACCTATCGCAGGCTATGCTTACTTCGCACCAACCATTATCAAGTCTTATAACTATGGGCGTGAGTGTTTCCTTGGTTCCTGCTGGACATATCTCTAATCGGGATTGAAGCAATCGAAACTCAACTGTACTCCATTCCACCTTGGGCTGCGGCATTCGGATTCTCCATGTGCATCGCATACTTATCCGACAAGTTTAAACACCGTTTCTTGTTCACCATAATTCCTATGTTGATTTCGATGGCTGGCCTGGGTATCCTCATGAACATACATAACAACCGCAGCGTCCAATATGGAGCACTATTCCTTGTTACTGGTGGATGCTACAGCGCCATGCCCGTGGTCGTTTGTTGGTTTGCGATGAACCTAGGGGGCCATCGCCGACGTAGTGTTGGAACCGCATGGCAAGTTGGTTTTGGCAACAGTAGGTGATCTCTTAACGCCTTGCTCCCCGAATCAACACTAACGTGGAATTCAGTTGGCGGTATCGTCGCTACGTATTCATTCCTTCCGAAAGATGAAGCGAATTTCTGGAGAACTGGATTCAGCATTGGCGTGGCCTTCCTTGCGTTTACTTGCGCCCTCTGTATCCTCTACTTCTACAGAGTGTGGCGCGAAAACCAAAAGAAGGACCGGATCATGGCCAGTGGTGACCCCAGTTATCTTGAAGAGGACGAGGAGGTTTTGGGAGATTTGGCGACGAAGTTCCGTTACTCATACTAGGATGTAAAAATCGTTGGATCCTTCAAATGAACTATGAAGCCCATTGAAGTCCATGCTAGGGCTAGGGCTTGGATAATATACCCACAAAGAATATATGCTTGAGATATGATCTCTTATCAATATTGAAGAATGAAATAGAAAGACTATATGTGCCGATATTACACATGGAACCCACAATAGCTGTAATTGATGTCATGATAATGCGTTGATGTTGGGCTCGGTAAACAGTCAAGCACTAACACGTGACCCGTCACCTGACTAGGGTTTCTGACGCACACAACCTTAAGTAGCTCTTCCGCTCCCGTAACCGTTCTTCTTCCAACCATCTTTCATCCTCGAAGAAGTGTGAGTAATAGCTCCCCCATCGGCCTCAATGGCCATGGTAAACCTGCTAGACGGTGACTAACTACCTAACCAGTCACTCTACGAAGATGAGAGCCAAGTGGAGAAAGAAGCGCGTTCGCCGTCTCAAGCGTAAGAGAAGAAAGATGAGAGCTAGAAGGTGAGTTTACTACTGATGTTGTCAAAATATCGGCCTGCAATCGATTCTAACGTCGCAATAGCAAATAAACTACTCGCCCAATTCATCTCAGCTTCTCATGTTAAGCTCGGTGTTGAACGCTAAACACGACAAATCTTTGACGACGTCACGATGATGATTTTCCAGTTATGATCGTTTCGTGGTTCGCCTCCTCCAATGAGGCCTGCCTGGTCGGGGACAACCAATGCTCCTCATATTTATCTATTATATCGATTTCGGAATCCGCCGTTCAACTGGAACTTCCTTCCCGATCTTTCAAACGAAACGGATATGAATTTCCATCCAATCCCTCGGGTTCATCAAACGTTTTCGATTGTTCTTTGACCAGGTGGTGGGGTTGCGTTCTGCGTAACTTGTTACCCTCGGAGGGGTCAATGTGTTTGGTGGGGTTTGGTAGGGGTCAGTCCAAGTGTGACTGATAGTCTTCGGTTTTCCTGTACTGTCTAGTTTCAGATGCCACTGGCTTCTCCGAGTTTGATATGGGGGACTGGTCAATTCTTACACTCTAGGCTTTAGGACATCAGCCTCGGCTGGTGCACCCAAGGTCTGGAGTCGTGGAGAGGTCCTCGAGAGTTTTATCATCAAATTACGAAACAAAAAGTTCCGAAACGCAACATTGTCTCTTGTAAACTGTAAATTGTAGACTCAATATCTTCGAACTCAAAAGGCCATCCAGCGCCTGTAGGCTTCTGTTTCAAAATTCAGTTATTCTTGGGTTCTCGTGGCCCGTGGCTCGAGGCTCGTGGGCATGTTTCTCTCCGCCTTCACTTGACACTCACCGCCTTCACTTTTTTCTCCAACTTTTTTTTTACAGCGCAAGCAGCCTTTTTGCACTCTACGAAACTCCAGTTACCACCCTCTCAAAACCATATTATACAATGGCCTCCGACAAGGCTGAGAAGAAGCGCAAGCGCGCCTCAGACCGCCATGAACGACCAACCAAGAAGCCAGCCCTGGATCTGCAAAGCCTCCCCCCATTAAAGTCCAGTTTGACCAAAGACGACAGCGAGCTCGCTCCTGTGCTGAGTATGCGATTTTATCTTGATATTTCCCTGGGTATGATTTCTAACATACTTGGAAAATAGTAAACACGCCCGGAGTCACCAAGCAACCTAATGTCCGCCTGAACCCGTATCTGAGAACCCGCAGCCATGCTGTCGATGGCCATTCCGCGGGGAACGATGGGATTGCAACCACAGAATTATTGCTGCAGTCTTCAGAGCACCCGAAGTTGGACTTTACGGGACGGGAAGCGAACGATGATGCCGATTCCCAACTGAAGCATTACGTTGCTGTTGTGGATCCTGTTAGCAAGACGTGGGAGTTCGTTGAGGCGAGGAGACTTACGCTTCGAGGTGCAGTGAGGAGGGCGCCTTCAGCGGAAGAAGAACAGGACGAAAGCGAAGATGAGGAAATGGTTTGTTTCTTATTCCCTTCATTTTTGTATATCAATTATGGATAGGAGGGCGAGATGCTAACGATGATATCTCCACAGAGAACCATGCGTGAACAGAAAACAGACCTCACATACACATTCGGCACAAAGAAATCACGGAAAGCAACCGAATCCATGGCCGAAAACGCACAACTCTCCAATGCCCCTGAGGGCGCCGCAACAGCCGCAGAGTCCGCTCTTCTCCAATCCATGCCCGCCGACGCAGCAAGAGACATCGCAGCCAAGTCTGCAGCAGTCCAGGCCGAAATCCAAGCCTCCAAGCCCTTACCCCCTGCGAACCTCGACGCCAAACACCCCTCAGAGGTATACCCCATCGAAAACCTCGTCCCCAATGGCAACGCCACCCTCCGGCAACTCCCCATCAAGGACTGGCAGGACACCATCTCCTCCGGGCTCGAGGTCATTACCTCCTCACGCTACGTCGCCAACCGCATCTACGACGTCGTCGAGTCCGGAAACACAACACATCTCCAGATCCTCCGCTTTGTGCTCGTCCTCATCGAACTCACCCGTGCCCTCGGCTCCGGCAAACCAGGCCGCGGCCCCAAACGCCTCCCATCCCGCGACGATCTGCGCCAGCTCCTCTCCGGCGGCTCAAAGAACGCCAACGACGACCCGTCTCCACAAATTCCAGACCCTGTCATCGATGCCATCCGCCGCAAGTTCGCCCCCGGCGGCTCAACCCTCTCCAAGAACGACATCACCCTCCTCAAAACTACCATCTGTGCGCTTACGCTCCATATCCCCCCGCAACCAGTTAAAGATGGCATCCCCACACCCAACGGCGGGAACACTCCAAATGAACTGGCTACGGACCCGTCGGATCTGCGTGACGACTTGCAGTGTGAGAATGCAGACATCCAGCAGTACTTCCGCGAGTTGGGATGTCGGGTTGATAAGCCTAGGGAGACTGAGTTCGCTAAGTGGGATGTTCGGGGTGGCAAGGCCCAGGCTGCGACGATGAGGATCGCGAGACTTAAGCTTCCTGTGGAGTTCCCCAAGGTTAGTCGGGCTGGTGGAAGGAGGAGGTAGATGGGG